ACCACAGAGCCTAGGACTTGGTGATCAGAAGGTCGGCGGTTCGAATCCCCGCAACGGGGTGAGCTCCCGTTGCTCGGTCCCTGCTCCTGCCAACCTAGCAGTTCGAAAGCACGTCAAAGTGCAAGTAGATAAATAGGTACCGCTCCAGCGGGAAGGTAAACGGCGTTCCGTGTGCTGCTCTGGTTTGCCAGAAGAGGCTTAGTCATGCTGGCCACATGACCCAGAAGCTGTATGCCGGCTCCCTCGGCCAATAAAGCAAGATGAGCACCACAACCCCAGAGTCGGTCACGACTGGAACTAATGGTCAGGGGTCCCTTTACCTTTAACAGTGCTACAATTCCCAGCAGCCCTAACAAACTGCACACTACACACACTTTACCTTTAAAGCACACACGGAGCACATTATTTCCCTCTGCGAAAATTCTGGGTGCTATAGCGTTACTGGGAATTGTAACTCTGTGAGGGGTAAACTACAGTGCTTGAGGGAAAGAGTGCTTCAAGTGTGCTTTAAATGTATAGTGCAGGTGTCATGAACCTTTGGCTTTCCAGATGTTGCTGAACTACAACTCCTATCAGTCCCAGCAAGTATGACAAATGGCCACAGACAATGGGGTTTGTAGTTCAGCCAGATCTGGAGGCCCAAAGACTCCTGACATCTGGTAGAATGTGTACACAGCCTCCAGTTCCCAGGCTTTGGGGTGTGTGGGGGTGTGATTTAATGCGCTTTACATTTCTGGTTCCTGCCAACCTAGCATCCTGCCAACCTATCAGTTTGACAGCACGTCAAAGTGCAAGTAGATAAATAGGTACCGCTCTGGCGGGAAGGGAAACGGCGTTTCTGTGTGCTGCTCTGGTTCGCCAGAAGTGGCTTAGTCATGCTGGCCACATGACCCGGAAGCTGTACGCCGGCTCCCTCGGCCAATAAAGCGAGATGAGCGCCGCAACACCAGAGTCGGTCACGACTAGACCTAATGGTCAGGGGTCCCTTTACCTTTACCTTATATTTCTGGTATGTGTGCAGCCATAATTAAACCTGTCAAAAATTCCAAAATCGGGCATTGCCAAAGCTGAAGTGGCGCAGAGGTCTGCCTGTCAATCTCTCATTAGTATCCCACCTTTTGTCCAAGAAGTAGGACTAACCAGTGTTATCTTCACAACACTGTGAGGTACATTAGGCTGAAAGCTGGTGAGTGCAGGAATGTCACCTGATGAGCATTGTGACTAAGAGTGGATTGGAAGAGAGAGAGAGAGATGCATGGGGTTTATAAATGGTTTTCCTTCTACTAAGTGGCAATGCAGAAGAGAGTACTACTGTGGAAGAGAGGAAGTAACTAAGAAGGGAGAATAATCTTTTTGCTAATAGCGTTTTCCAGAGGAGGATAATACAGTGGTACCTCGGGTTACATATGCTTCAGGTTACATACGCTTCAGGTTACAGACTCCGCTAACCCAGAAATAGTGCTTCAGGTTAAGAAATTTGCTTCAGGATGAGAACAGAAATCGTGCTCCAGCGGCACAGCAGCAGCGGGAGGCCCCATTAGCTAAAGTGGTGCTTCAGGTTAAGAACAGTTTCAGGTTAAGTACGGACCTCCGGAACGAATTAAGTACTTAACCTGAGGTACCACTGTATTTCCATTTCCATAGGCTGGGTCCGCTAGAAATCTCAGCTTGCGGTAATTGTGTATCTGGCACTCCATAAAGACAAAGAACTTCAGTGGTGACGACTCTGTGAAATGAAGAATCAAGGTGTCACAGTAGCAAAAAAATCAAAAGCACAAAGGGAAGGAAATCGTCATTCACATTTGAGTGCAGAAACAAATATGTATATGCAGATGACAGGATAGAGATGGGCAGCGCACTTGAAACGTGCTCGATTATGCATATGCTGCTTCATGCACATCTGAAGCCAAAGGCAAGTGGATCCGCTCTCCTCTTCCACAGAGGCCACTCCAGTTTTCCATAAACAGCAGGATTCTATATTGGGTTGCATGCGCATAAAACAGATTAACACTTTCCCTGCATGCATGCGGTGGAATTGTGTAGGTGTGTGGGTGCTGCTATACCAGCCTCCATCCTGCAGTTGTTTTGGAGGACAACTCAAATCAGCCCAAGCCAACACAGATGTCTAAAACATCTGGAAGGGCAATGTTGGCAAAAACTACGCTTTTGCAACTATTCCGCCATGCATCGTCAGGGGGCAACTGGTTGCAGCGTACCATTTTCCTCTAGTTTTTGTACAGCATATAAAGGGTTGCTTGTATACAGCACCCCCACATATCTGAATTTCTGATCTTACCAACTGTATCCGAGGTGGGATGTGAAGAAGTAGAGTTTGTACTACAAAACAGAAAGGGGCAGTAAGATGTCATAATCTGTGCCTTGTTTCTGCACTGAAAGCCTCAAATGTTGGTATTAACAAGAAGCTTATTGTGTAAAAGTAACCTTGTTTCCATTTATCTTAGTGCCAGGAATATGGAGGGAAAAATAATATCCAGGGTTTTTCTGTTTTGGGGGGTGGGTGGGACGTGTGCGTGTGTGTGTGTGTGTGTGTGTGTGTGTGTGTAAAAAATGACTCAAGAAAATTATAAATTATTAAGCCATGTGTTTAAATCAGTAAATGGAATGGGTGAACACTAATTTAAAACAGTTCGGTTTATTGGGGGTGGGGGAGAATCTCCTATTCTTGGGAAATGACCCATTCAAAGTGAAACTCTTGGATGAAAAGCAGCTCCACTATTAAAAATTTCCTCGGGTTTTTCTTTTAGGCACAAATACAAACGCGACAAAGTTTACCTCTTTAGGAACACAAAACTTAGATACGCCATTTGCGTGTGGCTGCCATGTTCCACTCCGCCAGTTTTGATCCTTCTGTGCTGCGGTTGTGTTTTGGAGACATTCTGCATCTCCTCCTCCTCCCCTCCATCGCCCGCCTCACTCCCCTCTTTTGTCTTTTGGTAACAGCATTTGGCATTTCCCGGACAGCCCGGACTCCATAAGGCCTCGGAGTTTGAATGCTAGAACGGCTTGAACATTGCCTGCTGAGTCTGAAGAAGAACTTGAGTGAAAATAATCCTCTCCTTTGTTCTGCTTGGTTTGCTTTTTGTTTGCCTGACAGATGTTCGGCCCCTGAGCGTGTGCATGGAACGGCTCCTCCGAAGAGTCGCCAGGCCCTGTGATCAGTCAGCTTATTGATTTCTGAATATCCCCGTGCTGCTTATTGCCACCACTCAGCCCAGGACAGGCTTCTGGGCCTGAGACCTCTCTCTCTCTCTCTTTCCCCCTCCCCGTTTTCCCACTCTCCCTGACATACACAGACTGACACACAATTTGGGAGACCTCCCGTTGCGAAGCTCCAGAGGAAAGCAGGTCTTCCTACTGTGCAACTTTAAATGGCAGTGGGCGCGGGCGGTGGCGGAGCAAATTCTGTCAAACGGGCAGATGTGATGATGTGTATTGATGCGTCATGACATGTCATTTCAAATGGGATGGAAAGCTCTGGGGCCAGAAGAGGCCTTGCGGATCCTCTCTAAGCCTGTCTTCACTGGATCTGAATAATGGATGGATGAATGGATCAAAGGTATAATTCTGAGCACAGTCGCACACATCCCACAGATTCTAGGCTGGTGGTGTGTGAATCCCATTTATTTCTTTGTTTGTTTCTTTAAACAGCGCTGCATTTTGTTGCTTGCTGTCCTACAGCTTGTCTGCACCAGATTTTACTGTGTGTTTGCAGCTGCTTGCGTAGTCCACACAATGTCTACCTCAAACAACGCCAATCTCAATAAATTGGGGGATACTGGGCTCCAAACTGCTCCAATCAGGGTGGCAGATGACTTGTTTCAGTGTCTTTGGGTGGGTAAAGTGATCGTCACTTTCTACTACTGAACTTTTCACACCCACTAATTCCTCGGTGATTTCGTTTCTTTTTCCAGCCTTGCTCTGGTGTGATGCTGAATGGAGGAGCGTAGCTTTAGCAAACACATAAGGAGATGCTTCCTGGGAAAGGCCAAAGTTGTTTCTCATATACAAATAAATGCAGGTGTGGACCACTATGGTCTCATCTGAATGGTGGGGAAAGTGGATTAACAGCTAAATAATGCTCAAACATGGACAATCCCCCAGTTGACACCTGTTGTTTCAAGGACATGAAAGAAGCAGCCTCCAGTTTTCAGGAGATACAGCTGAGTTTTCCACATCTGATTTCCTTGCTAACACCCTATGCTCAATTTTGACACAATTTTTGTCTCATATTTTTAATGATTTACCCCATGTTTAAGCCAGCCTGTCAGGCAATGGAGGCCACAGGTTGAAGTGGCAAGGCTCATGGGAGCATCTCCTGGCTACGAAACCTGTAAAGCAAAGAGTTAATCAGAGACTCCAAGGATATCAGACACAAGTTATGTAAGCTCCAGAGTATCCATCAAATTAAGTAGATCCAATCAGCTATCAGCTACTATAACTCTAGGCAAGTTGCACTAGTATATGCTGTCTTGATACTAATGGCTTTTATAGAGTTGCCACTCAGATATGTGCTGCTGCGCCACAAAGCTGTGATTCTGATCTCGCGCATTCTATTCTGTAGTTGACTGAGCCTCGTGTTCAGGTGAATGTTTTGGTTCTTTTGTACAGCTTTCCCTCCGTTATTGTGGTTTTGCTTCATCAGAGGGTTCCAGTCTGGTGGCCTGGGGCATGGAGGAAGCAGATTTTCTGAGCCAATGAGGAAACAGGTCATTTGTGATAATAACTGGATTATGGAGAAGATCCTCATGGAAACTGATAGTCAATAGAAGACTTCATTTTGTGGGAAAGTTGAGGAAAGTAGGAGAGGATATATTGATTAAATATTATCCCTCCTCACTCATGCTAGTGAACAAGTAGCAGATTGCTGGAAGCAAGTTGATGGATTCGTTAGAATTTAAGTTAAGCAATCCAGTCTGGCTTGGCCAGTCTGGCTTGTTCCTTTTTATTTCCCTCTTAAAAATAATAATAACAAGACAGTCTTGTTTGAAAGTAAGAGTAAAATTTATTTACATGCAGTGCTCTGAAGACAGGCTTTGTCTTGTGGTTACAGTTACATTTGTAGAGAAAAGAAGTCTAAGCTAGGCCTCAGACTTTCTACCTTGTGGCTTCCTTCCTCTGTAAGGATGAGCCATGTGCTGCCTAAGAGCCAGAAGAGAGGAAGATGGCAAAAGAGGAAGATGGCTGCATGGCTAGCCCTTTTGTAGGGTCTGCTAGGGTCACGCCCATCTACCTGATCATACACAGGGGGAGGATGCTCTATATCAGGTGTGACAGGAAGTCCTCCTTGTCTGGAGCAACATTCTCCTGCGTGTCCACTCTAGGCAACAGGAAATGTTGTATTTGACTGCTTCACTGATGATACATCCCACATATTTCACCCGCAGAGGTAGAAATTTGGTTGGTGTTTTGACACTAGCTGACTAATAACTCTTCACCAAGACATTTGGGAGTGATTAATCAATATTGTTCTGCTGTTTTGTTCTAGTCTTAACTTGTTACACTGTGTTTTACAATTTTAAGGTTTATGTATGCAGACCAACCTGAGGCCATTTATGATGAAAGGCAGCATATTAATTTACTGAATGAATTTTTCTTGCCAGCCTCAGGACTATGGATGGGGAACCAGTGTCCCCATGCAGATGTTGTATGAACCAAATTCCCAAATTGCCATTGGCCCAAGCCAATATGGCCAATGGTCAGGTCTTATGGGTGCTGGAATCCAACATTTGTAGATCTAGAGATTACCCATTGCTGCTGCCTTTCATCAAATATATATTTGTCCTGATGTCTCGGGGCTTCTTCACACATGCATATACTCCTCAGTGCTGAATTACGCAGCAGCTAATGACACTCTGTAGAATGCTTGAACAGACTGTTGAGAAGAAATTACATTTGAATTGAATGCGGAGTGATGTGAAAGTTCTGTCTGCGATGTTAGGCTTGCAATGGTCGATTCATACATGCAAGCCATCATCTGATCTTACTGTCATCAAGTGATGAACATAACGGCATGATCCAACATTTTGTAGAGGGCAGTATTTTGCCACAGCAGCAGGATTGGACAGCTGTGGGGATGATGACATGATTGTTATGAATGTATTGGCCATCCTGGGTGATCAAGTCTATTAAAGTCCCTTTTTGTGAAAACTCTTGCTATTTCATTCTCTAAAACAGATGTATAAAAATCATTTATGGGGATATTCACCCTTTTGACCCTGAGTGAAGCCAGTTTTTAACACATACGCCCATGACCTATCCAGCCAGATTATGTGAGTTGCACAAGCGACAAATCTCATTTTAATGTTGCGTGGCAATGCCAAACAAGTACCGTGTCCCTTTTAATAGGAAGGGCACTGCCCTGCAAAATATCCCTTTAAAAATACATTCTGCCTAATTCTGGTGAAGTCAAACAGCCTCTAATTGCAGTGTGAAGGGAGAGACCCGGGACATCTTTCAATCTAGAGCAGCTGTTAAAACTGTCAAACGGTCTCAGTGTCCATTTGGCTGTGGTAGTAAATGTGGCACTAATGAGATTGTGGGCCCTGCTTCTGCCCTGCTAGCAAATAAACACCTTCAGCCGCTGACATGTTTGTTACCACATCTGCTTAAGGGATGGGATTAACTATCTGCTTAATGTCACACTTCATTATGCTGTAGTTAAAATGCTACCTCCAGCAAAACTTTAGAGAGGGAGGGGAAAACATGAGATTTGTAAGGAAGGCCGGCTTTCCTGAAATCTAATATGAACAGAAATACCCCCTGCATGAAAGGTATGATAATAGCTTTGGTCGTTGGCATGTGCATGATATCAAGTTACATGGGAAACCCACCACGTGGAAAGACAGCTTATTCTCAGAGATAATATAGAGCAAAACTAGCCAGGTTTTAATGGCTGGGAAGCAGAAGGGGGGGTGGAATTCTGTTTGTGCAGTTCCATACAACCTTTAAAGCCCACAATGATCATGGTGCAGGTTTCTGCAGGGTGAATCCACACATCTGGATTGCAACACAACACAACAGCAGTGAGGTCATGGCCATATTCTATTACAGTACTACTTTAAGTTGAGAAATACATAGAGAAAGAAGGTAGGAGAGAAATGGTATTATTTTTAAAGGGTGTAGGTGTTTGCAGAGGGGAAGAGGGGACAGGAAGGTTTTCTTCTGTGCACTTCCTGAAGTTAAATTATTTCAGGACCCAAGCAGATATTTGTTAGTTGCATCTCAGCTGAGTTGCAGAGGAGCCATGGTTTCACCCCAGGTTTAATTCCAGGCACTTCCAGTTAATGGATCTCAGTTGGGAGGGATGGGAAAAGGCTCTCCCTGAGACTGTTGTTAGATGGAGTAGATGTTAGTTAGTGGGTAAAGATGGGGCAGTGGTCTGCTTCATTATAAGGCGGATTTGTTTGTCTGAAGGTAACTAGACTGATGCATACAGTGAAAAACCTTCAAAACAGTTCAAATAAAAAACAAAATTTGATGTATAGATTAAATACACAAGCAGCAATTTGGGGGGAAGTTAAGCACAAGCCCTATTGAAATTTCTTCTTCTTCTTCTTCTTCTTCTTCTTCTTCTTCTTCTTCTTCTTCTCCTCCTCCTCCTCCTCCTCCTCCTCCTTATATTTATTTGTTGAATTCTCCCCGCCCCCAAAATGAAACTCAAAGCAACTTACAAAAAATGAACATTTGAAACAAGTATAAAACAGTCCAAGCTACACAAATAAAATAATGACAACTGGGCTCTTGTGCGGTTCTCATTCATTTTAATAGCACTTATGGATTTTGTAAAGGATGCTTGAGGAATTCGACTTTTGCAAATTCCTACACATATTTGTGAAATGTGTTGGAATATCTTGAAATATTTTGAAATGGAAATGCATTTTTCAAGCAATTGAATAAAAGTAATTTTAAGAAATATTCACAGAGCAATGAGGAACTGGGACTAAATAGACTTGTGGATCTTATGGGACAATGAAATAGACCAGAACCAGAGTGATTCACCTGTCCCTAGTTCCCATATTTCCTTCCATTAGATTCTCCTTGCTGATGTGCCTTTATGGGTCTTTTTAAATTGTAAAAATAGTTAAATCTTAAGCAGAAATGATTTTAAATGATTTGATTGTGGTCATGCATACACTGATTTAATGCTTCTTTTAAAGTAAATCATAGGAAATCCATCATTTCTCATGATGAAATCCAGAAATCCTCTCATCCAGTGTCAAGGATGGCTTCAACAAGCACTAAAATTCATTTTTGAGCCTTTCTGGAAGTGTAGTGTGATTCTCCACCACATCCACAAAGAGTAGGTTCTGAGCAGCTGAATATCACTAGGTGACCCCAAAATTTCACGCATGAGTATCACAAGTCATATGAAACTCACCACCTCCCTCTCATTGCCAGCAACCTGGAAGTTCACCTCTTTTATTTCTGTGTACCACTGGTCAAATATTAACATAGCATAGTTTGCCAGTACAAAGCAAATGAGCACATAGCCTATTAGTTTATTAAGTAGGCAATAACCCGTTAATCTAATGTCCCAACACCAGAGAGTGCTGGAAAAGTAAGGATATAATAGCTGCCTTGTTAGTTTATTTTCCTTGAGCATATGATAAATAGGCCTAAATTATGTTTCCCCAAATGAATTCACATTAAATACAAAAGTTCCTTCATTTTGGAAGTTGACAAGTTATTGGTGCAATAATTCAGGCTGAAAAAATTTCCTTCTGGTGATTTCAAAATAAAAACTGGAAATTCATCCACTGAAATTATTCATTTTCAAATGGGATCTGTTTTATTATGTAGTCTTTATTGAAAGCCAGCTTAGATCAGGTGACTATATTACCTGTATATGGTGAAAAATGTATCTGGAATAGGTAATTTGACATTAGAAAGTAATTTTTACATTTGAATAGGAAACAATTTTCTCCTTTTTGTTGATAACAAATGTTCATTGTTTATTTGAAATCTAATAAATCTCTATTCTGACCTCACCCACAGTTTGGCTACCACCATAGTTGAAACTGAAGCCTCAGCAGCAAAGGCCCTTTTCACGTTAGATCTCAAGATTATCTTTGAAGATTTCCCATGCTATTTGGATGGGTGAATATCATTAATGTGGAGCAGAAGAGGAACTGAAACTGAATAAAAGCTGCTCAGGTTGGTTAAATCTCTCTGTGTCTGAGGCCCAAAGCATCCCCCCCCCCCCCCGGAAGCCAGTAATAGCAACTCAATGCTGCCCCCTGATGTTTTCTCCTGGCCAAAAGAACTTCAGATTCTGCTCTAAAATGGGCAGCCAAACATGTAAGTGGACTGACGTCACTAAAAATAACACTTTGAAATCACTGTTTGGATGCTTGAGAGCATTGACCAGTTCCGTTGCTTAACTGCTGTTTTAAATAACTTGGCCACTTCATCCCATTCTAATTTCCAGAATGGATTATTGTAATGTGTTCTATGTAGAGCTGCCTTTGAAGACAACTCAGGAACTACAATTGGTCCAAAATGCAGTGGCTGGGGATCCACTTAGATCTTCCATAGCCCCTGGGACCTTCTGGCAAAAGGCAAGTAATGAATTAAAGTAGCAATAATAAGTATTCTGATCATTATTTATATTATTTTATTATATGTATTGTGTTTCAGTTTTACAACTTCTGTAAACCATCTGTGGATTTTTGGCTAAGTTGTGCAACTTTTAACTCTGCTTTTAAGTGGAAATTTTAGGTTTTCTTTCAAATCAAGAGACAAGACATCTGCACCAAAGTTAATGGAGCACAAGGTTTCTACATTAACGTTACCAAACGTGCCCATTTCCTGGGGACAGTCTCCGGATTTACAAATCAGTCCCCAAACAAAATCCATTGAAGTTGAAAAGTGTCCCTGGATTCATTGGGGGGGGGGGGGAATCTGGTAACCTTATTCTACATGCAACTGGGGGGTGGGGAGTTGATTTGGGTTGGGCTGGGGTCTGAGCTTAGTTGAGGACAGTTCAGAATTGTGCTGGTTTCCATCCATAGAGCCCAAGGGTTGTTGGGTAAAGTGGCTCATAGTGTCCATGCATCTTCCTTGCCCCAGCAATGGTGCATGTGTTGATAGAAGGCATTATGGCATGGTTAAAGAACAACAGCTAGCTGGGCTGAAACAGAGAGGGAGAGGGCTCCACCTTCTGGCTGACAGGAAATCCTCTCACCTGAACTAGGAAACCACACTGGGGTGTGCAAGTAGCTCAACCACAAAACCCTGAAGTGAGCTGAACAATGAAAGGTGCAAACTAATACATTCATTGTCCTGGATTCTTTTCAGATCAGATTCTGCGGTGGTTACTAGTGGTTACCTAACCCCACTTTTGTGGTGACTGTGGGCTTTCAATTAGGGATAAATAATAGTGTTCATATCTCCCTTCTTTTCATGTATACATGGAGGTCTTACAGAACTGCCAATAAAGGCTTAAATTGTGGAAAGACCTTGGTGGCTGTTTCTGGGCACTCTGTCAGTGGAATGCTCGAGCCTCAAGGAAGGACATAGCTCATATCATCTGTTGAGATAATATTTCACTCCTAGTCACATCCCGGTTGTTACAGCTGAAGCCTACAAAAAGACTGAAAAGTTCTGGTTTGCATTGAATGCAAAATATTGATTAAAAACAGCCAATCAGGACACGGTTTAACAATGCCTACAAGTCCCATAGCTTTCAGTGAAACTTCTGCATACTAAAATACACGCTGAATTTAATAAATGGGACTCTTCCCAGTATTGGGGACATTGGAGATTGGGATGATATGATCAAGGAAGAGAATGGCTTGACTGATGTACCAGATGGCCCACTTAGGAAGATGATCCATTAACTCAGAATAAACTCATTATCCCATTAAAAAGCAGGATTTTCAGTCCCTTGTTTTATAACTGTGATGAGTTGGCCTTGGTGTTTACACAGAATGGGCTGAATGATTAACTGTAAGCTATACGGACGCTATTAGGTCTGTTTGACAATCATAATGACCTAGGTTTGTTTGAGGAGCAGTATTGCCAAGGTGGTGGAGCTATTCCTGTACAAGGCGTTATGACAGCAGCACGACTGCTTTCGATCTTCTTGCTATATCGTATGGGACATGGGACATAGTCTGTTGCACTGGTAAAACAAAATCAGGCACAATTACTTTGTAATTGCTTCAAGGTATTTGATAAGCTGCTTTGCCTTAGCATAACCAATAATATATTCATGTAAATATTGGATGAAACTTGTAATCACATAGGACTTACATAGATCTTAAGAAGCAAATATCATGTCTGCTTGTATTGAAAGCCTCTGAAATGGATGTTGATTTGCATTTGCAAGGCAGCAATTCCACATTCATGCTCCCTATGCAATCTTTATACAAGTTACGTAACAAAAATTCATTCCCTTCCTGGTTTATCCTCACAACCCAGTAAAGCAGGTTCAGCTGAGAGTGACTGAACCAAGGTTGGTTTCATAGTTAAGTGAGGATCTGAATGGCTCTACTTTTGGCATAAGACTTGAACCACTAGAACCACATCTGCTCAAATGTATACTGAGTTTCAGTCAGCACTCAGCTCTCTAAGGAAGACCTCAGCTTTCCATGACATCAGAGCAGACAAGCCAATTGCATACTTCTGGGCAGTTGATTGTGGAACGTGCTAGCAGGTTGTGAAAAGGGGCCTTTTTTCTATTGAAAATGCAGCTTTGAGTGGAAAATCTGCAATGTGATGTGCCATAATATTCCTAGCTCCACCCCCAGTTCTTGTGTTGTCACTCTATTATGTTCCGACACCTTTGTGGTTGGGGTTGCAGGTTGAATAATAAGCTGGCTTGTGGACTGATGCAATCACATGACTCTGAATTCTAGGTGAAAAACAAGAATATTAGCTTTTCCAACTTTTACTTTCTTGCCCCAGCTAGCATGGCCAAGTCAGAGCTGTAGTCCAGCATAAACCGGAAGCAATAGTTTCCCTACAGTTTCTGGGACAGTGTAGTCCTTCGCCTCTTCCCTGTATTTACCAGCAAACTGATCAATTCAGCATAGCCTAGTCAAATCCAGTAACACTTTGCTCCAGACTATATTTCATCCCTCTGCAGATGCTTGGTCTTTAGAAATGCAAGTCTTGAGTTGCATAGTGTCAGGGGTTCAGAGAGAGAGGCACAGGGTAGGCAGGAGATGGAGAGCGAGGGGGAGGAATTCCAAGCCAGCGAGGAAGAGGATGACAATGACTCAAGAGATTCCATGAGTCTTTCCAGCGAATCAGAGGATTCCCAGAAGGGGGCGCCGGTGGTCAAGGCCAGGGGAGCCCCAGGGGGGAAGTGTCAGGAGCAGGGTGCCAGCGGAGGATCCCAAAGTGGCAGCTGGGCGTCAGGACCAGCCTCCCCACCAAAGTGCAGTGAAGGGGGTGGAGTTTCCAGTGTGTCAGAGGAAGCAGCTCCAGCAGCAGAGAAAGGAGGGGGGTCAGAGCAAGCCGCCCTCCCGGAAGGGGAGGGAGCAGTGAAGGGAGTAGTGTAACTGTCAAAAGGAAAGTTAGAGGTTTGGCGCGCGCGCTAGTTCAAATGTAGAGGCGCGCGGCCGTGCAGGGAGTCCGGAGGGGGGCCAGGTCCCAAAGCCCGCAGGAGGGGGGGAAGAGCAGTCTGATTCCGCGTCAGAGGAATCCAGAAGGGGCGCAACCCCAGGGGGCAGAAGGACCCTGCGGAAAAGGAAAGAGAGAAAGAGGTGGAGCAGCGCAAGTCTCTTAAATTGGTGCAGAGGAGGGACTGACTCAGAGGGGACTTCGGCGGTCTAGCGTAAGAGACGTAAGGCTGCGCGCCTAGGATGTCAAGCAAACCATGAACTGCAATAAACACCTTTGTATACAAGAAGACGTAGGCGTTGGTCTTTTGTGAGCTAAGACTTGAGGCAGCCTTGACACATAGCAATACTGGGCAGGTGGGAATTTCTCAGACAAGGGAAAAACCAAGTTAATTCAAGCACTTGAACTAGGGATGGGGTGTGTGTGCGTGTGTGTGTGTTTAGTAATTTGAGTTTATCAGGCAGCTTAAGGTAAAGTAAAGTATGCTACAGGTCTCCAGTTTTATTATTGATTTGCATGCTCAAGGTTGCACTCGTCCTCAACACTGAACTATTTTATCTTGGTTAATTCTTTGACTTTGCCACATTCCCATCTCTGAACTGCTGTTATAATATGAAATTGCTGAGCAGAAGCCAGGAATTGAAGGTCAAATGCTCTCAGTATTAAATGAAGTTAAACGAACTTCCTAGACGGTATAGGGTAAATGATTTCATATAGCAATTCTTATATAAGCAGTCTTGCTTTGAAAACTGTTAGGAATAATTCCATGTTAAGAGTAACATTTTGTATTTTAACTTGCCAGCCATTTGTTCTATCCAAACACAGATGATCTGCTGTTTCTCCTAACTAGAGAAATCTTAATTCACTTCAAAGGAACAGTAATGCCACCTGGTGGTGGCTAACTCTACTGCAGGAAAAAACTTTACAATTGATTTATACCCTCCCACACAAAGAATACAGTGGTACCTTGGGTTACATACGCTTCAGGTTACAGACTCAGCTAACCCAGAAATAGTATCTCAGGTTAAGAACTTTGCTTCAGGATGAGAACAGAAATTGTGCTGCGGCAGTGCGACAGCAGCAGGAGGCCCCATTAGCCAAAGTGGTGCTTCAGGTTAAGAACGGACCTCCGCAACGAATTAAGTACTTAACCCGAGGTACCACTGTATTACTCAGAGTTTCTCATTCATAACCTGTAATCAGAGAGTGAACATCTGCAGTCAATATATCAAACTGTGGATGTTTGATGCCTATACACAATATTAATTATATTAATAATTTGCCAACTGGTACACAGAAATGAGTATACTTTACTCTGGGCCACAAAGTGAAAAAAGGGGACAAGGAACCTGCAGAGACATAAAATATGACCTCCCAAGCTATTTTTTAAAAATAGACTAAAACTACCAAGTTTCAATTTAATCTTTGTTAACATTAGGACAGGACTTTATCCCAATTTCCATTACTTTGATAGCATCAATCACTTTTTAGAGTTTGGACACCCTTTTCTACATTTTTGAAGTATGCAGAGACCTTAAAAATACTTACTTTCTGGGCCAGACCACTTTTTAAAGAGTTTTTTTTAAAAAAGACCCACCATAGAACATCAGGAGTAATAATTATCAGAATTTTTCTCTCCTTACATGCTGTGATCCTGAAGAAAATCCCTCCCCTAAAGGAGATACTTGCATTTTGGAGAAAATTCCTGTTAGTGCCAAAAACTATTAGCCCCTTCCTGTGTACCTGATATTCTTTGCATTTTTTTGAAAAAACACCCTACATTAAATGCAAATACACATTTAACATGATGCCTTCATTGGGCCCTCTCTGCACCACAATTCAGAGAAACAGAAGACTGGCTACCTTACTCACCCAAAGTAATGAGAATTTGTCCAACTAACAGCTGTCATCATAATTTAAGGTATAAATTTGTATCATGTGTTTGTGCAAGTCCAAAGTATTAAGATAAATTTAAGTGGTTGTGTAGTAGACTGCGTTGACATAATGATCATTAAGTTATTCTCTTCTACCATTTACCAGATTGCAACTTACATTTGAATAACTTGAGCCTGTTTTTCTTTGACTGGCCTCATGTGACTCAAATCCCACTTATGCTGTGAACAATGAAATATAAATAATGAAAGACAGCTTTGGTTTCTTTTTTATTACATCAAATATCATACCAGCAGTATATAGCCTGCACAAAAATTAAGGTTGCACACCAAAATTCTTTAAATGTACAGTGCACTGATTTAGTCTCTTCGCAATGGAGTCATTTCTTCTTTAATTCCATCTTTTGTGATAATGCAGATTTTAAGTGCATCCCCAGTGTATACATCTCTTTCTGCAGCAGAAATAAAGACATCCTTGACTAACTGCAAAGCCTTCTCCAGAGACAAAGACACATGCTCCACATTCTGCAAGTTCTTGAGGCCAACCTTTCAAAAAGAAAGACATTTTAATTAACCTTTCTGTTCTCAGTTTCATTTGACAATTAAGATGAGGGCTACTTTGTTACAGGCCAGATTTTGCCACTAAAAAAAATTTAAATCAAAATAACGGGTAAGGAAGTCATTTGGTAAATGATCACTACATTCATTTGGAGGCGGGGGCAGAATAAGGGAATAAATTAAAGGCCAAATTCGCACATTCACTTTTGCTGCAATTGCTGGAAATCAACTCTTCATAAATGCCATGACATCAAAGTGTAACAGTTACGGACAGCTGATGATGAGATGACAGCAGTTTCACATGTTCAAGGTAAGTGATGGATGCAAGCATTATCTGAATGCAGCTATGGCAAATAAAATAGTCATCCTCTCTGAATTAATAAAAAACAAACTGAAACAAGCACAAAGCACCAGTACAAATTGTTTCCTTTTTATTTAGGTGACCTTCTAATGCCTGTGGCATGATCATGCTTGGTCAGCCAGAGTAGCACTGCTTTATAGAATGACAACTCTTTCAGGAACTCACAACCGAGCAAATGAAGTCCCCAGAGATGCTTATCAGCCCACCTGCTCACATAATACCTACATTAGTCATCAGTAGGCTAACAGGAAAGAACCACCAAACTTGTCTAAAGCTATGGTGTCTGGGGTTCTGGAAGCAAATCCTAATTGTTCCAGGCTGCCAAGCAGGTAGCCATTTACAAGTTTGTTCTTGTGTATGGAAAATTAGTTTATAAAACTTGTCTGTTTCTTACTCTTAATTTTCTATCAGGTGAAAACTACTGTATGTCAAACATGGAGGCCATCAGAAGCACAGAAGAAACATTAAGTGCTTCAGAAACAATTCAACTACAATCAAACCTTGGTTCTTGAACAGCTTAGTTGGTGAACAAATCTGCTCCTGAACGCAGAAAACCCGGAAGTAAGTGTTCCAGTTTTCAAACGTTTTTCAGAAGCCAAACATCCGACACAGCTTCTGCTTCAGTGCAGGAAGCTCCTGCAGCCAATCGGAAGCCACACCTTGGTTTTCAAATGGTTTTGGGAGTCAAATGGACTTCCAGAATGGATTAAGTTTGAGAACCAAGGTTCCACTGTACTTCTATGTCTATGTAACCACTAACCAGAGAGTCATGTCTGAAATCTTACCTGGTTGTCCAGCAGAGGCTGCAGCATGGCACTAGCTGATCCACCAGCTTTGAAAGTATCTCTCTGGTAGGAGCCTACTGGATCAAAGCTGTACACTGCACCCTTTCCTTAAGAAGAAAAAGAAGCTGACGTTAGAATCACAAGCAACAACCATGAATAAGGTCTAATAGCTGGAGCAGACACACACACAAAAGGCTATAGCAGCCACTTCAGTTTGGAACCAGATGATGTGGATTTGACAGAAAGAGTAATGAACTGTCATCTTAGATAAAAGTGGATGAGAAATTATATAGCTACCAAAGTATAACAAAATTAATCACACAATCCAAAAGAATGAACTCGAAACACAACCCAAAAGAATGAATTCCAAAAATCCAACAGGTATTGGCCCATTTCATATGCAACTCTAAGGCAAACCACAACTTGCCATGAATGAACATTGTGTGGGTTCCTGGAACAAAAAGTGCAGTTGCAGTGCTCCATCCCTGGCCCTGCTGCCACCATGCTACCTAGGGCTGAGCTATGATTTGTCTTAGCATTAAGTCTCAAGCTGTGCTTATGGTTTGTGGTAAACCATGAACTGTAAACCAAGAACAAACCTTAGTTTTCAGTTCATGATTTGTGTGGAGCATTTTAAATCAATGTACATTTTTTAAATCAGTTTTTAAAACTATGGCCTGGTTCATACCTTATGCCAAGCCATTCTCTGCTTAGCCAATGTATGGTCGGTTTGAATGGAGGAGTGGCTACTCCAGACTGTTGCAGAGCAGTAGAAGGCTTGGGGCTTCATGGGCATGAATGTCAGGGTTCCTGAAATTTGTTTTGATTGTGCAGATATAATTTCACGGCTATAATTCTACAGGATGTGTTGCTAGTGTGTGAAAACAAGCAAGATCCCAGGATCTCCAGGCATGCACCTCCAGATGGTGGAGACATCAGGCAGACATCTTCACTTTGTCACAAGCACCCGATAGCTAGGTGCAAAATACATTTGGCGCCTAGCAAATTTTGAATGCTGCAAGAGAGACTTATATTTACTACTACTACTACTACTACCACCAATAATAATAATAATAATAATAATAATTTATTTATTTATACCCCGCCCATCTGGCTGGGCTTCCCCAGCCACTCTGGGCGGCTTCCAAAAAATATTACAATACTGTGATACATCAAACATTAAAAGCTTCCCTGTTTAGGGCTGCCTTCAGATGTCTTCTAAAAGTCTGGTAGTTGTTGTTCTCTTTGACATCTGGTGGGAGGGCGTTCCACAGGGTGGACGCCACTACCGAGAAGGCCCTCTGCTTGGTTTCCTGTAACTTGGCTTCTTGCAGTGAGGGAACCACCAGAAGGCCCTCAGTGTCTGGGTAAAACGATGGGGGTGGAGACGCTCCTTCAGATATACTGGAATTCAAATTAGACTTTACCTTCTTCATCTAATCCACCAATTATGTTGTAAACATAGTAAGGGAAGAATCTTCGAGAATACAGGATTGTAGAAAGCATGGCTGCAATAGCTCCAGCACTCATGGTCTTGTTATTGGAATGTTTGTACATCTGGAATCAAATGGCAAAATTGTTATAACAGAAACAAGTTCATGCTGAATCTTTCACTGAAATGAGCTGCAGAACAGGCAAGATGGTCAGATTCAGACTCCTACATAAGCAGGCTACTCTACCAACAGGCAAGAAAAACTAGTTATCATTAAAGGGTAAAGGAGTTCCTTAAAACATCTGGCATCACCCAATGTTGTAACTGTACACTGGAACAGCCACTTAAGTTTTATACACACCCCTGAGGTTAAAGAACAACAAAAACGCAAATTTGCTTTCTAATCCACAAGCTTCCACTGTTGTGCAGAGAAATTATATTTGATTCACCACTATGCCATAGGAATTTCTAAGCTTAAAACTATTTTCTTGGCAATTTCTTTTACTAGCGTTTGGCCGCCTCCATTTACAAACATATATAAATAAATATAATTTACCTTTAACCTTGCTTCAATAATTTTAGTAAGTGTAAGGCAATCTCCATGAAATCCACTGCAACCAATGACCGTTGTATCTGTCCTGTACAAATGCAACATTAATATGATTTTAAGTAATCTTGACACAATGAATACTCTCAGATAAGATTTTTTGTTAAAGTACCTTTAGTTGTCAATTATGACACATATCAACTGTAAACAAAAACATCAAAGAATTCCTCTCATTCAAATTTTCATAAAGCGGTGTTGTACGAATTACAACTTTACTGCTTAACATGCAGAACCAGGACTGATTCAGTTGTGCATTGATACTGTTTTTATTCAACATGACGATAAGCAACTGTGCTCACTATCACATGGGCCCATGCAATTTGAATATAGTGCTACACACAACTGGAGCAATTATATGGAATGCATTCTTGTAAGATGTGATGGTGACGTACTAGCTGTGAAGGCCAAATACAACTTACATCTTCATAGGCCACATGCCACCAAATACCAGTTGCTGGAGGCTTGTCAGCTTCTCAGAAGCATCTGGAAACACACAAACCTTTGGGTCTGATTTTGCAAAGCTTTGCTTACGTTCTTAACTGGTGCCTGAGTGTACTTTGGTTCACTTGATACATTCTCCACCAGATCACAGGTTCTCGAAGACACCACAGAATCACATAAAGGAAAAGTGGCAGTAATGCACATCTGGACTAGCCCCAAGACTCTGCATAGCGTATTATATAGCATATAGTACTTTGCACAAACCCTGCCATCTACAGAGAATACTATGGAAACAGTATTAACAAGTACCATCATCACAAAAGATCAACTGATGTTAATAGAAGGTTACAAGTCAAATGTTTATATCTAGGCAACTATTTAAAAACTGTTCTACTATAAAGCTAGCAACACAACCCTATGCAGAAGTAAGTCCTACTATGTTCAATGGGGCTCACTCCCAAGTAAGTGGATACATAGTATGCCAGCCTAAAACAATAAAACTAAGTCTACAATTCTATACCCACTTACCTAGGAGTATATCCTAATATGCTAAGAATGCATCCCCAGTTGGAACCTATGAGACATGTCTATTAAGAAAGCTAAAAGGCTATATATTTCATGCATCCAATTAAATGAGTTAATGCAAAAATGAGTGGTGAAGTTTGTGGTACTACTCATACCTAGCAAATTTCTTTTCTTTGCCCTGGAAAATTCTGAAGTAATATTATAGAAAACATTTTGGTTTTGTAGTCTGAAATGTCCATGATGTGCATAAGCATGTAATTGAGTGTTTTTCCTGTTTCACTTTAAAGAATATTACCCAAGAGAAGACATTGACAAAGTGAACCATGTTAGATAATGAAACTAAAACTACTTATTTAGAAAAGACTGGGCCTACCAATGTTCCAAGAGCTACTACAGCAGCACAGTATTTTACTCGGAAGTAAATACTGCCATGTTCAATGGGGCTTACTCCATCGTAAGTGTACAGTGGTGCCTCGCAAGATGAAATTAATCCGTTCCGCGAGTGTCTTCGTCTAGCGGTTTTTTTGTCTTGCGAAGCAACCCTATTAGCGGCTTAGCTGCTAAAAGGCTATTAGCGGCTTAGCGGCTTAGAAAAAGGGGGGGGGGAGCGAAAAAAAATCTCAAGACTCGCAAGACATTTTCGTCTTGCGAAGCAAGCCCATAGGGAAATTCGTCCTGCGAAGCAACTCAAAAACGGAAAACCCTTTCGTCTAGCGGGTTTTCCGTCTTGCGAGGCATTCGTCTTGCGGGGCACCACTGTACTTAGGTTTGCAGCCCACGTGTACTCAAAAGCATGCCCTGAAACAACTTTTTGTGTACTTGAATAGCAGGCTCCCCCTCCGTTCCACACTGCAATGTGCTTTTAAACAGCTCTTTCATTTTCAAAAGCTGCTTGCCATGAAGGATGGAGGAACACAGCCAGAGAATTTCACCATTTTACCAGATGGCATATTAGATAAGATACAGCCATGTTAGGCAAAATCACTGTCAGTTAGTTATCATCCTTCTAGCTAAAAGTTTGAGATACTTGAGTTTATAAGAAATCAAATGAAGCTTATGGAAACACCAGGCTTCAGTGAAGTCCTGTTTCAAAAAGCAAAATTATAAAGAATTAAGTTAGCTGCAACAAAGACATGATGCTCTTGATGATTATAGGGCAATTACAATTTTAGGTTCTCTTAAGTTAAACTTACAGTTTGTAGCATTTTGGACTGTCCCGGCTATGAATTGCATAGTCTTCACTCAGTCGGGTGTCTGAGGCAACAATAGAAAAGTCTTCACCAGCAATTGCCAATATAGTCCTTTAAGACAAAAAAAGGAACAAATGTTTCTGGGTACTTAGGATTTAGCAAACAATTCAGCTCAGCAACACAAAAACTAGAAATCCTACAAGTATTATAGATTTTGCTTTGCCGTTGTGATTGTTCCAATAAAAAACACATCTAACGAGTATTTGAAGACATAATCGCATAATGCATTGCAGTAATGCAACCTGCAGACTACCAGAGCATAGACAACAGAGGTTAGGCTATCTCTGTGCAGATAGGAGCACAGCTGGGCCATCAGATGAAGCTGATGTAAGCACTCTGTGTCACCAAGGCTACCTGAGCCTCAAGCGACAGCAATGGATTCAGGAATACCCCAAGTAAGGTACCCACTCTTTCAGCAGGAGTGTAATCCTGTCATTTATTGACTCTCGTCATTCTACCCTGAGTTATCGATCCACATTTATACCAGAGAATCAGATACAGGCAACCCCTGATTTGAACAGGGGTTGCATTCTGGGTCATTTGTGAATGTTAGTGGAGTGTGTGCAAGCATGCCACACTCCTGCCCAGATCCAAAAACAGCCTGCATATACGTGGTTGTGCATTCTTTGAAAGCACTCAAAACTGGAGTTTCACTGACATAGCAGCCAGATCTCAGCACTTTTGCTCAAAAACAGGATGCCAGACTAACAGAGAGTCTCTCCCCCCCCCCCCAAATCCCCTTGGTTATTGTTTTTCCTTAGTGCACTTGTACAACTGAAAAAATACAGACAGAACTCTGAATTAAAATAAAAAGAAAATCGGATATACGTAAGGTTAAGAGATGAAATACAACTGAGGGAATCAAGGAGGAGCCACCCTCACCAACGGGAAAACCTGAAAATCCATGAGAAAAAGGCTGGGCAGACTGGGAGGGTGGGATTAAAACTATTTTGTACAAGTCTTGATCTGGAAAAGCACACCAACTCTGTCGAGACCTTCGGGTGAGCATATGGAGGCCGTGATAACTGTGGGCTCTCACAGGAGGGCAGCGATTTGATGCTCTTGGTGATTGCATTCATCTTTAAAGCTGTCCTTAGTGTTTTAAACTTGGAAGCCGTCTTGAAGGGGGGGGGGGGACGACCTTCTACGGCCCATAAGGCATAGCTGTCAACTTTTCCCTTTTCTTGCGAGGAATCCTATTCGGAATAAGGGAATTTCCCTTAAAAAAAGGGAAACGTAGCTGTGCCATAAGGTGGGGTCGGATTGTAATAAAACAAGCACGTCTCGAAGACATAAAAGCCAAACACTAGGAAGTAGGGCTGATCGCGAAGCAAAAACCGCCGTAATTTGGGCAGCCCGGACCGAGCAGCCGAGTACAAAAGGAGAGGACAGGAAGCGGTTGCCAGGCCGGCGGCCAGATACTCACCCGCCATTGAAGGTGTAAGGGGAGAAGCGGTGTTGCACCGCAGAGCCCTGCTTCGCCTCACAACCCAGGCCAAGCGCGGGCTCGGCGTAGCCTGCTGTCGACAGCATCGTTAGCTTCAGAAACCCCGCCGCTTCCCGGACTGCTGCTGCGGCTGCTGCTGTCTCACGGCAAAATGGCGTCTCCGGAAGGGAACCGGTTTCCCAAGCCCTCTCTGGGCGGGATCCTCGACGACTTCCGGCGTCGGCATCTGCGCGTCACAGCGCCACCTGCAGGCGGGAGGCTGCTAGGACTCACAAGGGGGCAACGGAAGCGAAGGAGGGGGGGATTCATTTCAAGCTTCAGACCCAAGCGCGCTTCCCGGGGAGAGAGGGCCTGAGGCGGCGGCGGCGGCGCTGGGGAGCCCGACTCCCATCCGCGCCAGCCAGCCTGGCCAATGTTCAGGAGTGAGGGCAGTTGAAAAGTGCAGCAACATCTTGCTTTCTCTTTCCCCAGTTTCGTGGGGGGGTTTTTTCTGCTTCTGCAGAAAAATAGACTTGCAGTCAAACGGGAACACGGGAGTCATACACAGCACTGCGCTGAGGGTTGGAGACCAGCGTAAGGGGGTCAGGAGCACCTTCGCTTTGCTTGGAATCCCTTCTTATCTGATCCATTTGCCTAGGCGTGCAGCAGGCGGCTTTGATCGCCAGTGCCTCCTAGAGAGGAGCTGCGCTTGGCATCCCGATGCTCATGCTCACCCCTCCTCCCCTTTATGCCCCTTTCCTCTTTGGGGCACGCCAGCCGCGCTCGGATTCTTTCGAACGCGCCTGCGCGTTCCTTCCGCTCATTTCTCTCCCCACCCCGCCTCCTGGTCGCTGCCGCCCTCAAGAAAGCTGGCGCCCGAGGTAACCGCCGAGCGGCGCAGCGGCTGCTTCGGATGACGCGAAAGAGGCGCGCCGCTCGATGAAGCGAGCGAAGGGGCACAGCTCGGCTCGGGAGAACTTCTGGAGCGGTAAGTTGCCGGTCCGCCAGCGTCGCCCTCGAGGGGAAGGGCAGCCCTGGGAAGGAGCCCAGAGCCGCTGGGCTGAGGGGGTCGGAGGAGGCGGCGTCGCTACGGCTGTTCGTACCGCTACGGGCGGCAGGCAGGGCTTTCTCCTTCCCGCTCCCCCTTCCCGCCCTTCGGACCCGTAACGTCAGGACGAGGGTTTGGCGGGTCTGTGGGCCGCGAGTTGGGCCCGGTAGCCTCCCGCCCGCTTGCCTCGCTCCCGCTTTTCCCTCCAGCGGAAACGCGGCCGGCGGGGAGGGGCGCCCTTCTTTCCCGGCGGCTGCGGGATGGCCATGTCGCCGGTCTCCCGCCTCCGCCCGGCTGCGGTGTCTGCTGCTCGTGCGGTTTCCCAGTCCATGGGAACTAATGAGGAGGATCCTAGCTAGTGGCCCTAAGGTAGGTTGCTTCTTCTCGGCCACACGTGCTCCTCCTGCAGCTCCTCCCGATTCTGTGCATGCACTCTACTTGGAAGCAAGTCCCAGTCCGCTGAATGGGGCTCCTGCACCGGTGTCGGAGATGGTCGGAGGGAGAGAGGAGAATAATCACCTTTCTGGGTCTCTGCACGTTTTTCTCCAAGTCGTTTTGGCACACACGATTCCGAGAAGCACTGGATGATTCTGTGCAATTTAGGAAGCTGTCCTGGTCCTTTGCCATCCTAAAAATGTTTCGCAAGCAAGGGCCAGTGAAATGTAGTTTGCTGCATTACTCTTCAACTAGTAGCAATGAGTCCAAATTGCCATAGTTTAACATACTCAGTTGAAACAGGTTACATTTCCGTGGGCTCAAGATCACAGAATCATAGAATTGTAGGGTTGGAAGGGACACCGAGGATCATCTGGTCCAACTGCCTGCAGTGCCAGTCAGATGCACTGATCCATTGCGCCACAGAGATTGCTAGGCAGTTGTTGCTTGGGTTATAATCCTAAACTTACTGGCAGTTAAGTGCCATTTGAACTGTTGTAGTGTGTAATAGATATCAGTGAAACTCATCTATTGGGTGGTTGATGTCAGTCTCTTTAGAAAGATATTTAATTGTGAAACCTGCAGTGGGTACTTAACTGTCTTGAACTATTTCTCCAGCTCTTTCACATATATTCCTATACAAATATAACTTTCTCTAAACATATGAATAGAGGGAGCTGTAGACCACAAGGAGTGGTGATTGACTGTGCTCATTTTATAAGAGTTTATACATGTTTTTATTTCTGCTTAGATGTCAGTATTGTGTGTGTGCACTGTTAATGTATGTTGAATGTTTTTTGTATTTGATGAAAGTTATAAATAGAGGATGACAAAGTCAATTTGCAAACAGCTGTAATATGCAATGGTTGCACTCCTTTACACTCGCCTAATTCTTTCAATCTTAACATGTTAAATGCTACCCACACTTATTATGTAGCAGTATAACAATAACTGTAGGTGTATCTGCAGCTGGAAAGATTATCCTGCTTTGACACTGATATATTTGTGGCATTTGGCAAGACTATTCTAATCCCTGGTGTAGTTCTGTGTCAGTGGAATAAAAATAGTGCTGTTTGGATGGCAGCCTTCAGTGAGTACTTCTATAAAACACTCCTTGAGGAAGCAAGGTTTGTATAGCTTCATTACTGAAGCAATATAGTCCATTCTGTAAAATAGCTTATTCAAAGTATTGATGTATGGAGGTGCTTCACAATGTTTCTGGGTTGTTTTTTACTAGGCCTTTAAGCTGTTGGTTTCTGGATGAAACAATCATTTCCTGGGATGTTGACAAATGATGCTACTAGACCGGGGTTTCCAGATTGCAGTCAGTGGACCACCAGTGGTCTGCGACATGTCTGCATTAATTACTCATACTGATTTTTATTTTTATTTTGCTGCCTTTATTTCTTATATTATATTAGATTGTATTACAACTTGAATTCTGTGGAGTTCAAATTGCAATAAAATACAGGCAAGGGGGAATAAATTAAAACACACACACACAAAATGCATAGTACCACACATTCCAGTTGCTACAGCAAGCAAAAAAATCATTAAGTGATCTGCCAAGGCCATAAATAATTTTCAAGTAGCCCATTGGCTGGGGTGGGGAAGTGCGGAATGGAAACCACTATACTAGATAGTGATGTTCTCGTGGTGTTCATAATCTAAGAGCAGCCATGCTGGAATCAAAGATCTGTGTACAGCAGCTTATTTTATCTAGTCACCAGCCAGATGCTTTTGGGAAGGCTGATGGAGGGCATGTAGGCATGTTGTCTCTTCTTCCAGGCCACTGTTATATTGCTGCCTCTCAGCCTGTATGATCCACATAGAAATGATTGGCTGATAGCCATTGATAGACTTGTCCCTCATAAACTACTGGTAGTTGAATCCTTCTTTAAAGCAAGCTGAGTTAATGCTGAGTTGTAGCAGTGAATTTCATTGCAGTACTAGTTTCTCATTTCACTGAATCTTCTTCCAATCAGTTTTTTTAAGGGTGTCCCAAACCCAAGTGTTAGGTGAACGAAATGAAATACACTCTTTCATTTTGTCCACACTATGCATACTTTTATAAATGTGTATTGTGCTGCACCTTTTACAGTTATACAATTTCTTCCCAAGATGGGACAATCAGAAACCTACACAGTAGTTCAAGTGAATATATGCAGCCATATACTTGTACCCATAAATTATAATATTGACAGTTTTTTAACTGACATTTAATATGCATACACGGAACATACGTTATTTCTTAATTCAATTTAAAGTACATTTGTTGTTGTATAGTCGTTTAGTCGTGTCTGACTCTTCGTGACCCCATGGCCCAGAACACGCCAGACACTTCTGTCTTCCACTGCCTCCCGCAGTTTGGCCAAACTCATGCTGGTAGCTTCGCGAACACTATCCAACCATCTCATCCTCTGTTGTCCCCTTCTCCTTGTGCCCTCCATCTTTCCCAACATCAGGGTCTTTTCCAGGGTGTCTTCTCTTCTCATGAGGTGGCCAAAGTATTGGAGCCTTAGCTTCACAATCTGTCCTTCTAGTAAGCACTCAGGGCTGATTTCCTTAAAAATAGATAGGTCTGATCTTCTTGCAGTCCATGGGACTCTCAAGAGTCTCCTCCAGCACCATAATTCAAAAGCATCAATTCTTTGGCGATCAGCCTTCTTTAGAGCCAGGGCTTTCTCGGCTGCGGCTCCAATCTGGTGGAACGCTCTGTCACAAGAGACTAGGGCCCTGCGGGACCTGACATCTTTCCGCAGGGCCTGCAAGACAGAGTTGTTCCACCAGGCCTTTGGTCAGGGCCCAGCCTGACTCCCACCTCCGGCAACCTGCACAGAACTTTGCTTAACGGTTGCCATTAATTTGATTTTAATTAATTTTATAATGAAATGTTTTAGAATGTTGATTATTTGATTGTTTGATTATGTGTTTGTTGTTAGCCGCCCTGAGCCTGGCTTTGGCTGGGGAGGGCGGGATATAAATAAAATTTATTATTATTATTATTATTATTATGGTCCAGCTCTCACTTCCATACATCACTACTGGGAAAACCATAGGCTTAACTATACAAACCTTTGTTGGCAAGGTGATGTCTCTGCTTTTTAAGATGCTGTCTAGGTTTGCCATCGCTTTTCTCCCAAGAAGCAGGCATCTTTAAATTTCATGGCTGCTGTTACCATCTGCAGTGATCGTGGAGCCCAAGAAAGTAAAATCTCTCACTGGCTCCATTTCTTCCCCTTCTATTTGCCATGAGGTGATGGGCCCAGTGGCCATGATCTTCGTTTTTTTGATGTTGAGCTTCAAACCATATTTTGCGCTCTCCTCTTTCACCTTCATTAAAAGGTTCTTTAATTCCTCCTCACTTTCTGCCATCAAGGTTGTGTCATCTGCATATCTGAGGTTGTAGATATTTCTTCCGGCAATCTTAATTCCAGCTAGGGATTCATCCAGCCCAGCCTTTCGCATGATGAATTCTGCATATAAGTTAAATAAGCAGGGAGACAATATATAGCCTTGTCGTACTCCTTTCCCAATTTTGAACCAATCAGTTGTTCCATATCCAGTTCTAACTGTAGCTTCTTGTCCCACATAGAGATTTCTCAGGAGACAGATGAGGTGATCAGGCACTCCCATTTCTTTAAGAACTTGCCATAGTTTGCTGTGGTCGACACAGTCAAAGGCTTTTGCATAGTCAATTAAGCAGAAGTAGATGTCTTTCTGGAACTCTCTAGCTTTCTCCATAATCCAGGGCATGCTTGCAATTAATGTTAAAGCCAACATATTTCTACTTTCCTTTAGTAGGGAGTAAGTTTTATTGAAATCATTGGACTTATTTCATAGTAAACAACCTTAGAATTGCATTTTTGCTCTCTTAAACTCACTCAGTTTTATTGTGCAGTTTTGATCTATTCTTTCCATGTAGGCGTTTTTGGAGTTTGCCAGTCTTTGGCCATAAGCAGTCATCAATAAACAATTATTAAGGGATAATGTTCTCTCAATACAGGTGCATGCACGTGACTTCTCAAAATAGTTTCACACTCAGTGATACAGCTAGACATTTTATTATTATGTTTCCTCACAATTTTTGATGTCTTATTTTATGTTCATTTCCAAATAACCCATAGCATGGATTTTTGCCTTTTTCTTTCCTGACATGCCCTGAGTTGGTTTCATTGAGCTGTGCAACACAACCCCAATATTTTTTCTGGTTAGACAACCAGCATTAGAAATGACACCTTAAACCTATGTTGTGGTTGCCACCACGGAATATCTAGGCACCATAGTTTTTTTAGAATGAGACTTATTATTAATAATAATAATTCCATTTCTATGCCACTTTATATTTTAAAGAAAAAATCTCAAACAGGTTGATAACACATTAAAGCATCAACTAAAGCAATCCAGTATAAAGCAAATTCAAGTTTCAAGGAAAACATTTCAGATCCTTTTCTAACTGCTGCCTACTATTCAGCCAAGGGATATAATAATCAGTTTCAAGCTTTATTCCAAAAAGGATCTCTTGATGTCATGCCCCTTTTAGAGGAATGCTCTTTGAAGGATGACCTTGAGCTCTCCAAGGCAAACATTCAGGAGAAGCATCCTGTATCAAGGGACTGCAAGGCAGAGCAGGGGGATGCAGGCACTTCAGGGGTCACATCAACCCACCCTCCTCTCAAGTTAGCTAGCTATTTATTTCTATTTTCAGTGTGAAAAATGTTTATGTAATCTGATACTTATTATTTACTTGTTGCACTCCTGATTTTGGCTTTTTGCTTGTCCTGGCCAGGCTGGTGCAGTGGCTAGTATGTTGAGTTTGGACCTCCAAATCTTTTCTCAGATAATGAATGTCATCAAAAGAACTTGGGAATAACACTCTGTCTCAGCTGAAGCTCACCGTCTATGGGGTATACAAAGTAATAATATAATAACCTCAGTTTGCTTATTACTTAACATTCTTTAAAAGTTCAGGTATGAACAGAATAGAAATTTTAAGTTGCAGTATTACTGGGTCAAAGAAGAAACCAAGTTGTAAGCACTTGATTTCTTTTTAGGTATCATTATTTTCCTTCCAAACTGAGGTATTTGGGTTGGGTAGCTAAACTGATCGTGTATTCTCCTTTGTCCTGCTTCAAAGGCAATTGTCATCACAGATCTCATCTGTCTGTTAGGCTTATGCTTTTTGCTTACTTCAAAAACCAATTTATTCAGTATGTGGGAGATCTGAAAGGGGATTTGTCATTGCAGATTCTTAGAACTGGCACCCAAAAGCTATTCTGCAAGCAGGCCCATGCATATAATACTGGAAGAAGCACACTTGACAGCATTGTTTGGACAACAGAAATACATTTTGTGACTATAAAATACAGCAGTGTTGTGTGTTTCTTAATTTTACTGCAAGGCATGCATTTCATTAAACTTGTTTCTCTCTTTCAGACTTATGATCCTCCTCTTAGACACTTGGAAGCTGAAGTCCTTTCAAATATGTCAAGACAGGCTGCATACCTTGTTGGGATGCTTTAGGAAGTGACTCTCAAGGCAGATGGTGTGAAACTGCTTTTCTGGACGGGGTTTCTGTAAATACTTGTCACTTGACTGGACACCGGACTGCTGCCATGGATCAAAACAACAGTTTACCACCCTACGCCCAGGGTTTAGCATCCCCTCAGGTAAAGATGTGCGAATTTTGCAGCTTATTAGGAAACACAGATTTCAAAATTATTTACCCAGTGAAAAGTGATGCAATGTTGTAGGCACTAGATCTTCCTCCTCTCATCTTTTTTCTCGGTGGGCTTGCTTCAAACTCTTTTGAATCACATCTTATCTATCTATCATCTATCTATCTATGCCTGCCTGCCAAGATTACAGGGTGGTTTTACCTCTCCCTTCTCACCACAGGCCGGAACATGCTCTGGCCCTACCTTTTGCTCTGCCTCTTCAGTGGCCTCAGTGAAAGGGTAGTTGGCAAAGGAGGCAAGAAATACCACTGGCCCTTATAACAGCCATTGCCCTAAGTGGCGGCATGCTTGCTGATGGAGCAGTCCCTGCCACAAACCTACTACAGCCTCCTTCAATGATAGCCAAGAATGCTTTTCTTGGACCCTCTCTGTTTTTTTGACTCTCTGGAAGCCAGTTCCTTGGCAAGAGCTGAAAATATTGGAGGCACTTCTTCCCTTCCTGCTTCATTCTTGTTTACTTTTTGAGTGGGTGAAGCATTAAAGACACAGACTCCTCCATACTGACTTCCTAACTACCCAAACTCAATGTCCAGCATTTTGTGTCTTTGATGTACCCTTGGCCTGAAAGGTGTGTGTGTGAGAGGAGAGAGGGAGGAGACTCTTATTTCATTTAATTTCAAAATATAGTCTCAATTTATAATTATGGTTTAGACTTGAATCCTTTTTCAAAATATCTCAGTTAAAGTGAACAATGTGTGTCTAGATGGTTATTTGTATTCTGGAAATTCCAAACTCTGCCCCCCTTCTGTTGTTTTGTAATTTTGTCATAATGCAATTTGATTGAAGGGAACAATAAGCAAACAATAGTTTGTTTGTTTGTTTGTTTATTTAGAGTATTTATATACCGTTTTTCAGGTGGACTTCACATAAGATTATTACAACAATAAGCATCCCCTTCTTAAAAAAGAAGCTGCAATAGAATGGATGGGACAACTTGTTTAGAATAAACTGTTACCGCTTCTTCTCCCCTCAGGGCAAGATGGTCCTTCAGACATCCCTGTGATGAAAGTTGAGAGAAGGGAAAGTAGCAAAACACTGCAGGATTGCTTAAAAAGAACTGTTCTGCATACTTGGAATTTGCTGATCTTTTTTTAAAGAGTATGACATGTACAACTGAATTTATTTTAATTAGCTTCAACTAGTAATTCCCAAACTGTGTTCCAGGCATGGGGTATACTAGTGTTCCTTGAGGGATGCATTTTGAAATAATAGATGCAATTCAGCACTGCACTCTTCTAGTTGTTCCACCTGCAAAAACATTTCAGCTTGCTAGACAGAAAGATCCCACCTCTCTCTCCCAACCTCCCCAGAGCCAATGTTGGGGCACAAGGGGAAGTGGCGAGGAAGCACCATGATGCAAGCAGAAGTTCTTGTGCAGGGCTTCTGCTGATGGCACTGAGTAGGTGACTCCTGCCCAACTGCATGTTCTGAACCCAAAGCAGCTGTCCAGCAGGGGCTTCATTGCTTCATGTTTTTACTGCTCTGTTCTTCCCTTGATTTTATTTTGCTTTCTGGTGGGCATTCTCTAGTGGTGGGCAACTCCGACACCTCTCTACATTGTATTTGGATAATTCGGGCAGAAATATTTGGGACACTTACTTAGGAGCAAGCCTCACTGAACACAGTTGGGCTTTCTTCTGAGTAAACATGCATAGGAATGTAGTGTCCGTCATCCCAGATGCAAAGACACAGAACTACCAGCCTCAGGGAAGGAATGCTGAAATGAAAGGGAAGCGCTCCTTTGAGTAGGTAGTTATTACTTTTACAGGTTCTGAAAATCAACCATTAAGGATATAAGAGCACTGCATGCCTTTAATTTTAAGGGAAAGTTCCTCAGCCAAAGAGAAGCACTGATTTAAAAGTATCCTAGTGCTAATGAAAGCATTTTTTTTAATATGATTTTTATTAATTTTCCAATAAAAACTAATTTATAACATTATTAAACATCAAAAACTCATCACACATCTTTTTTTCTTTTAGACTTCCATCAACATGTCTGATAATTTTCCGTAATTATCACAAATCTTCACATTTCTTAATTTATATTACACTATATATATCTTATCTTACCATGTTGTTTAAACAATATTTCTACCAAATCTTCTTACAGAGCTTCTTGAAAACTTACAAACGTTATATCATTATCACAAATATTTTTAATATATTCTGTAAATTTACTCCAGTCCTCAGTGAATCTTTGGTCTCGTTGGTTGCAAATCCTCCCTGTCAATCTGTCCAGTTCCACGTAATCCATTAATTTCGATCTCCATTCTTCAATCGTAGGCATTTCTTCTTGTTTCCATTTCTGGGCCAAAAGAGTTCTGGCTGCTGTTACTGCATACAGAAATCCTTTCTGATCGTTCCTTTTTATTTCACCACCTAATATTCCTAATGGAAATGCTTCTAGTTTTTTAACAAATGTATATTTCAGTATTTTCTTCCCTTCATCATTATATATCATTTCCCAGAAGCACTTCATTTTTTTACATTCCCACCACATATGATAAAATGTCCCTTCTTTCTCCTTACATTTCCAACATTTATTACTCACCCTATACATCTTTATGAAAGCATATTTGAGAGAAATCCAGTTTTGATCTACACCCCCCCTTTCCTTTATTATAGTAACTGAATGTCAATTTCAGCCCTATTATAAGAGTCCAAGTAAAATAAGATGATAACAATGCCTTGGAGAATACACATGGTAATATACTCATTCTGGAGGATCCTAGCTACTGTTTCAGTGCAATCCTGTGCATGTTTATTCAAAGGTAAAGCACATTGTGTCCAGTGGGTCTTACTCCCAGGTTAGTATGCATTGGATTGCACCATTGGTATGAAAATAGAATTGGCTGTTTTTAAAGCAACTTCACTAATACTTAATCCTCTTCTTGATGGTTCAAAAACATCTGTGGTCGGTAGCATTCTCTAATTCTCTTCTCTTTTTTTAGGGTGCGATGACTCCCGGCATCCCTATATTTAGTCCCATGATGCCCTATGGCACGGGGCTCACACCCCAACCTGTTCAAAGCACCAACAGCTTATCTATTCTGGAAGAGCAACAGAGGCAACAGCAGCAAGCAGCAGCACAACAGTCCACATCACAATCCACACAGGGTGCATCCGGTCAAACGCCGCAACTCTTCCACTCACAGACACTTACTACAGCCCCTTTACCAGGAACCACACCTCTCTACCCCTCTCCGATGACCCCCATGACCCCAATAACTCCTGCAACACCTGCCTCTGAAAGCTCTGGGATTGTACCACAGCTACAGTGAGTGTGTAGTCTTCTCTTCTCCCTCCCATGACCCTGCAATATTTTTAAATAATGACTGTAAGCTCCTGTAACCTTCTGATCTTGGCTAGCAAATCTATCTTCTTTGATTGACTAGGGCCAAGCAACTAGTGTTAAGCAGCAATAATAAAGTACCTTTTAATGGCAGCATCTTAACTAAAAACCTCTGAATAGTTGACATATCCCTCGCTTCTCGGACATCTCAAATAAGCCTCACAACATTTGCAAAAGATGCTCAGGCTTTAGCTCATGTTTTGGAATGTGGAACTTCTTAGGAATGTGACAGCTATAGAGTTCCTCTGCATGCCTGTGCTCTGAACTGGTTCACAGATGGGGAGTTCATGAGCACTCTCGATTGTTTGATTGTTCTTAGAGGCTATAAGGCAGGAGGTTCCCCTAATATGTTGACCATTAACTGTTAATGTACATCAATGTGGGACTGAGGGGGCTCCTGTAGTTTTACAATAGTTCAATTCTTTGTTGTGTTCAGAGACAATACGATAGCACCCTTCAAATATTTGTCACAGCTTTGATGGACCAAATGTATTTCCTGCTGTTCCAGAGGGTAGGACCCAAATCAATGGGTTCACTGTGCGAAAATGGAACAGTTCATTGTGGTGTAGTAGACTTTCCTTTGTTGGAGATTGAGTGTGTGTGTGTGTGTGTGTGTGTGTGTGTGTGTGAGAGAGAGAGAGAGAGAGAGAGAGGGAGAGGGAGAGAGAGAGACAACAGACAGACTAATCTTGAAAATATATATTCATAATAACTGTAACCATATAAATCAGTAGGGTGTGTTTACATGAAAATTGGCACGAGACAGTAACTGAACTCACGAGTCAAAGTTATCCCGGTTGTAAATCTTACAAGGCTGAGTTGTGTCCTGGTATTCTAGTTACTACTTGCTTAAATGCAGTTGCATAGTAGGGGATACATTCAAAATTTGGAAAAAAATCTAGCTTGCCTAGCATGTCTTTGAATTGTCTTTAGGAATATTGTGTCTACAGTGAATCTTGGTTGCAAACTGGACCTCAAAACCATTGCCCTTCGTGCTCGAAATGCTGAATACAACCCCAAGGTAAGGTATAATGGAGAGTCGATAGCCATTACTTGATGCTTCTGTTTCTGATTGCCCATGGGTCCAGCATGAATCTCTTTTAGCTTTCTCATGGCTGGGGAGCCCCCAGTCTACAGGTCCCAAATTGGTCTCTGGGGCTGTTTCCCCAAACCAAGCCCACCTGCCCCACACCTGACATCATATGTCAGGAGTTGGACATAGGCAGTTCCACTAGAACAGATAATTCACCTGGTGGATCGAGTTTGGCAATTTCCTATCTTTACTCTTTAAAGAAGGTAAAACAATAAACCTAGCAGAATTGGTAGAAAGGATGCAAAAGTCACTTGCAAAGGTATTCCTAAAAGGGGAGTGACAATTTTTACCTCTCCAAAAGCTCCTTGGCAAAAGTAATATTTTGAGTTGTCCATTGCATATTGACCATATTCAGATGGTATGTGAAATCAGTTTAGTGTGTGAGGAGTGAGCCTTGAGCTCACATAATTCTCTCCCATTTGTTTCTCCTGGGATGTCTGCAAGGAGTGGAGAAGCTTTCCTTCCCATTTTTGCTTCTTCAGTTTGTGCTTTCTGAACTGACAAGCTGTCATTAATATTGACTATGGTTAGTTTGAAACAAGTCAACAGAGCCTTCAGGGGGTTAAATAAAAAAGGAAAAGGTCCATGAGGTTGTGGGGTATTGTATGGTGATGGGAAGGGAAGTATTTTTCCTAGTGTTTACCAGTTCATTTTAAAGGATTAGTGGTGGAGAATGCAGTCTTTCAACTGTCCAGGGGAGTTCTGCACCTCTAAAGAATTGTTGGGGAAACCCAACTTCCTCTGCATATTTACTGGGGGTAGAGGCAAAAATGGATAAGACTGGCACTTCTGTTCTGGTAGATAACTGTTGCTCACATTTGGAGATTAGTCTCTATATAGTAAAAAATGACACTTTGTTGAAGAAAACTTTTTTTTTAGTGTTGAATCTAAGGAAGAACCTGCTACAATAAAAATGTTAAACACTTAATAAAAAAATAAAACACTTAAAACAATTTGTAGCAGAGTGAGTTTGCAGTACTCCTTGGAATATTTTTAACAAGCCTTCTGAATAGTCACATTTGGGCTGCAATTTGTGGGTTATATATCTTAAAGTGGAAATGAAGGCTGTTTATACAGCAAGATAAATAATCCCTTTTGGAATGTGAGGTCTATACGCTTATTCCTGAAGTAGTTGATTATAAATGCTTGCAAAATTATAAAGATGACTGAGGAGTGAATTATAATATAGAGGTTGTCGCAGCTTCAAAAATTACTTACTAATATTTCTTGGGATTCTTGTAGTAACATCATTTTATTTTATTTTATTTTGTATTTCAGCGTTTTGCTGCTGTAATCATGAGAATAAGAGAGCCACGTACCACCGCCCTCATATTCAGTTCTGGGAAAATGGTGTGTACAGGGGCAAAGAGGTATGTGAGTCCATGGAGTATCTCATTTCACTTGGGGGTTGACAGTCCAGCTCCCCAAGCACATTTACTGCACACACATGCACCATATACAACATTTTGTTATTATTTACTTGGTAAAATTACAGTGACTTCTTTTTCCCCAGTGAGGAGCAGTCCAGGTTAGCTGCCAGGAAGTATGCCAGAGTTGTGCAGAAATTAGGCTTTCCAGCCAAATTCTTGGATTTTAAGATTCAGAATATGGTGGGCAGCTGTGATGTGAAATTCCCCATCAGGCTCGAAGGATTGGTACTTACGCATCAACAGTTTAGCAGGTAGGTAAAAGGTTATTGTACCCAAGTGGTAAATAAAACGTGCCACAAAATACAAGTGGATACGGCAACATATTCTCTTGTTATTATCTCCGCCATTTTAATTTTTTTTGTTAGTATGTTTAATCATTGCTTTGGATCTTCCATAGTATCCTGAATTAGGTGTATGCAAATGAGAAGGATTGCTTGTCAAGCTGTAGCCAATTTAGGACATTCTGTGGGTTGGATCCAGGTAAAAGTGCATAGCAGAAGGCTGGTTAATTTCCCCACACCTCTCACCAAAAACCTTCTCCATGAAGAAGGACAGGCATCCACTGAAATCGAGCAGAGGCACTTTCAGTGAGCACTGATCACATTTGCAAAAGGTGCATGTATCCAGTTTTTGGAGATTTCCTATTCAGCAGAGTCCCCTGACCCCTGGGAGAAGCACCGAGTCAACTTCTGTCAGTGTCCTACTGCACACTTTTCTCAGATCCAACCCTGTATCTATAAAGTTTTGTAGACAAGAATTACTACACTTGAGACTTCTTCCATTTGCTAATATTTTATGATGTAATGATTTTATTGTATATAGCCGTATTTTAAATAAGCTGGTCGTTTACAGACAAGTGTCTCTCAAAAAGGGGGATGGGGAATAGACTGGTCTCATGAAGTCTTGGGGACTAATGGTGTACATTGCTAGCTGAGTAGCCAAAGAAATCTGTATGAAAACCTTTTTAAATGTCAGCTCCCCATAAAGAGCTTGAAACAGGAGATGGTTCAACAGTTAGCTTAAGCCATATTTTGTCATTCTTATACAAAATATGTCGTATATTTTGCAGGAAATGTCTGCTTTGGTGTATCAGCCACAAGATTTAGTAATAACAAAAATTAACATGGCAAGAGAAATAAAATGACTTTCACTTACAGACATCTCATTCAACCCACACTAGCTTAAGTTTCATTTAAAGATTTTGCCTGTTTATTCTTTTCTTCCAGTTATGAGCCAGAATTGTTTCCTGGTTTAATTTACAGAATGATCAAGCCAAGAATTGTCCTGCTTATATTTGTTTCTGGGAAGGTAGTTTTAACAGGTAAGTTACATATGACATTTCTGCATTGAGTTAAATTGCAGTGCCAACAGGGGTGCCTAATAGTAATGATTTCATGAAAATCCAAATTATTTTAATGTTGGCTTAGTCATTTTTTGAAGTGTTGGTGTTTTGGTATTGCAAATGTGCTACAACTTCTGTCGATGAACTCTTCTAAGAGTCTACAACTATGAACCAACTGCACAAATAAGAGATTTGACCCATGCACTTCCTCCCTTTTCCTGTCCACATTACAGGACAGGACACCCTGCCTCATGCTCTGTAAAAAAAAGGGGGGGTACATTGTAGGTTTTTTTTAAAAAAAATGTGATTGTATAACTAATGCTTTTCCTTCTAGGTGCAAAAGTCAGAGCTGAAATCTACGAAGCATTTGAAAATATATATCCTATTTTAAAAGGATTCAGAAAGACAACGTAACAGTTCCTCATGCTCATCCAAGACGCTGGGGAACATTTTTAAGTTACTGATTATGGCACAGCAGTAAAAGGAGACTTACAGACTGCAGCATCAGGCCTTGGAACATTTTCCCAGTTAGTGCCTAATTACCAGATCTCCATGGGGAGGGTGTTTGTGTTACGTCTATACTGAGTTACCGTGAGTTGCTTCACTCGGCTCTCCTTAGAGAAACAACTCGACTTATTTATATTTCTAGCTTTTAAACAGTTTTAACATCTATTTTTTAAAAAATCGGAAACCTTACGCTGGCAAATTGGTTAAACCGTGTTACTCAACATTTAACAGTTTTCTTACAGTATTCTTTCAACCATGAATTTTATAATCAGAAACTTTGATTCTACATTTTTAGACCACCTTTCACATTCCCTGTTTTCAGTATTCAGCAGGACAGAAAGTTGCTAATGAAAACTGATGGTTGTATATATATTCCTCTATTTGGGAAGCAATTTTTTGAGTTCTAAATGTATAAATACATGCTGCTTTTGAAAATTGGGGAAAGAATTTGAAGAGTAAAAGCCTGTGATTAACCTGATTGGCTTCTGCTGCTGTTTTAATGTGCTAAATGCATGCTTGTAGCTTTCAGTGTATTGAATTGGTTTTTATAAGATTTCTTAACAATCCAGTATTAAAGCAATGTGTTTTGCCTTTTAAATTACTTTCTGTGTGTTTCTTAAGTATCTTTTAAAAAAAAGTTTAGCATATAAGCTATAGCTTAGTTCACACATTTTCTGGAACTGGTGGTCAATTCATGTAGTGGTGGAGCAGGCTTGCAGCCCTATAGGGATAAGAACAATTTCAAATGGGTAGCACCATTTAAACACCTGGTCATATGGAGCACCCAGTTACCTCCATGGTGGAGGGAAGTTTGTTCTTTTACTGAGCATAGGGGGATGCTTTGGAGAAATCTAGCTCTAAAATTAAAGGTATAAAAATAAGACTACTGTCTGAAAAATCTTACCTAGCTGCCAGCATGGCAAAGTTTCACTACAATATAATAAAGCTACCTTAGCTAATGGTTTTATTAAAACAAAAAGGCAACTGTTATCATCTCATCACTGGATAAGCTCTTGCTTCTTTTGTTTTATCCATGTTTTGTGTAGATGTCCCAAGGTAATAAACACAATTACAGGATTAGTTATAAAGTGAGATATTTTAATGATGCAGAGTTAAATGTCCTGCCATTTAAATTTTGTAGATATTAAATAGTGCTAGAAATATCTTGCTTCCAGACAAATTCTTCGGTATAGTGGTTGCCTCTATTACAGCTGTCGGCACACGTATAAATAGCTAGTGTTCCCCAGTCGATGCTTTCTCCAAGGCTGTCAACTTTTAGGTGATTCAGAAGTTGCGGCATAATCTTAAACAAAACACAACAGAAATGTTAAGTTACCTTTTAAGCTACATAGTACTTTTTCTGTACTACATAGTTTAGAAGGCACAGTGATCAATTCTTTATAGTCTTCAAATCTTAGCTTCCAGCCCCCGCAAAAGCAACAGGATTAGTTGGGGTGGGGGGGAAAGAAAAAAATAGCACCATTCAAATACTTCAGCAAAATCTGTAGAAAATTTGCAGCGATTACCTGTCCTAAAAAGTTTATTTAGCACTTGGCCAATAAAGCAAGATGAGCGTCGCAACCCCAGAGTCGGCCACGACTGGACCTAATGGTCAGGGGTCCCTTTACCTTTACGTTCTAGTCAACAACCCATTTTTAATTTAAGTAAACTATAGTTCCAAAAATGTGTATTACTGAACTCCTGACTTCCCACAATTCAGGCTACACAGACCTTGGCAAGGATTGAAAGAAAATTTAAGCAGAACTAAGAATTCATCCCTAAAATTCTTCTCTGCTGCATGCGCGCGCATATATATATATATATATATATATATATTACACACACACACACACACACTTATTACACACAATTTAACCAGATTTCCATACCTGGAATTCAAATACTCTTTTACTACCACATAAACAGTTGGGGATGTCCGTCTCCTGAGGAATGTTTTCTGCAGAAATCCAGAGTGGGCCTTCTCCATCTCTACAGTATCTGATAATCTGAGATTAAGAGAGATCACAGATGGAGTTTTAAATTACATGGAAAGGCTCCAAGACTTCAGTCCCTTTAAAATTAATGAAACCTGAATTCAAGCTCCATTAATATCAATGTCAGTAAGTGCAATTTAACTTCTCTGAATTGGAGCAAAAGGTTATGAATGAAAATGAAATATATATGTCATCCCTTCTGTGAAACAATGCTGTGCTGCTGGTCACCCCACTCAAATCTTGTGCCTCCATGGCAATCATGTTAGCTTGTTTGCTCTACAACCTCTAGAACCAATCCTTGCTTTATTTCAGGATGCTAAGTATCAGAGACTTCAGAAAATGGAAGTCTTACTCAAATAAGAACATCCTTACAAAACAGTAAGAGATGAAAAGGAAGCATACTGCTGAAACCACTGATTAAAGTATAAATATGTCAAATACAGGCAACCAGCTATGGAGGCAATTGAACCAATAATAACAAGGGTTTTAAGGAGATTGCTGAAAAGTTAATTAATGTGTCTTCACTGTGGAAGACTTGGGACAGAGGCAACTAGTGACAAGAGGTGAACTTCCAAGACTTCCTTCTCAAGAAATTAAAAACCACAAGGTCTGAATGGTTTCTAGTCAAAGGTTCTAAATGACATCCTCCTCTGGATCAATAAAAAGTTAAAGAAAGGGTAGCAGAAGGAATAAGCAACAAGTTGCACAATAAAGGGATGTAAGAAGTGAGGTCCTAATAATAATAATACTGGCTGGGTTTCCCCAGCCACTCTGGACGGCTTCCAATAAAAGATTAAAAATACATTAAAACATCAGACATTAAAAACAGGGCTGCCTTCAGATGTCTTTTAAAAGTAAGATAGTTGCTTATTTCCTTGACATCTGATGGGAGGGCATTCCACAGGGCGGGCACCACTACCAAGAAGGTCCTCTGCCTGGTTCCCTGTAACTTGGCTTCTTGCAGTGAGGGAACCGCCAGAAGGATCAAAGTTGGAACCTGTGCCTGTTCATAATTTTTCAGGGGCAGTGAAGTGGCTATGCTTGCTGACCAAATTATTCCGGTTGGTAAAAACAAAAAGGGATTGAACAGCTTGAAAAGGATCTCCAAACCAGATGAATGGGAAATAAAGTGGCAAATGCGGTTTGGTGAACAATGATGAACACTAGAGCAAAAAAATCCTTACTTTACACTGATGATGTGTTGTGAGCTGACAGTGACTGACCAGGAAAGGCGTCATGGTAGGTAGCTCAATAAAAATGTGTGTGGCAGCTGTTAAAAAAAGGCAAATACCACGGTAGGGAGCCTTAGGAAAGAATTCTGAAAACAAATCTAATATCACAATGCCTTTATAGAAATCTGGCTGCAACCACATTTTGAGAACCATACAGTTCTGTTTGTTGCATCTCAGAAAGAGATTGGGAGGCACACGTATGCCTCTGTCAGGAAGAAAAAGGAGAAATGTAAGATGATGATTATTAATAAATGTAGGAGTAACCAAAAACTGTCAGAGAACTGTAGCAGTTCCACTATAAGGAAAAGTTACAGAGTTGGCTCTTTTTACATTAGAAAAAATGAGTAGGGCGAGGGAACATGATATGGTGTAAAACATGCATAGTGTGAAAGAACTGGATCAAGACATCTTTCTCCATCTCTTGTGATACTAGAACTTCATTCAATGAAGCTGAATGGTAAGACACAAACAGAAGTACTTCATCACACAGCACATAATTTAACTAAAAAAGAACTAGTTGGATATGCTATACAGTGGTACCTTGGTTTACAACCATAATCTGTTCTGGACGCCCATTTGTAAAACCAAAACAGGTTGTAACCCAAGGCGCGATTTCGCCAATGGGGCCTCCAAAAAAATTTTTGTTCATAATCCAAAAAATAATAATGGGTGGAATCCAAAGAAAGGTTGCAAACCGGGACACGCACTTCTGGGTTTGACGTGTTTGTAATCCAAAACGTATGCAAACCAAGGTACCACTGTATATAACAGCAGGAGAGAGCTATTATCATGCCCAGCGCATGGGCGAGCTCTCCACTTCTGCCAATTTTATCATTTAAGTGTGTTTTTTTTAATGTAAAACAATATTACCATTTCTCTTAGGTAGCCACCCTAAGCGGTGCCACTACCTGATTCCCCTATTACTTCTAAGATTTCATTTGGGCCAGATTTCTGATCTTCACCACATATTTTAGTACTTTAGTGGCATGAAGACCTAGTGGTTAGAAAATTAAGCAACACTGACAGGATTCTAGGCTAAGTAACAAATGACAAACGGGCATTACTATTGAACTCATATTAAAAAAAATAGAGGGAGCCACAGAAAAATGCATTTCAAAACCTGTTCTGGTTCCGAAGAAATTTTCTCTTTAAACTTCTGAAAAATCTTGTCATCTTGGGTTTCGTGTTTTGCCATTGCTTCCAATGAAGTCTCATCTAGAGAATCTGGTGCTTCATCTAAAACCCAAACAGATTAAAACTTTATAGTGTTAAAATCAGCAATACTATAGTTTTAATAAGCAAAAGTAAAATCTTCAGGAGGTTTGCATGAGAAATTAGAACAAAGTATGTTAAGATGAAGAGTCTGATTTTCATAGTGTAACTTGTTTAAAATATTCCTTTTTGTGAAATGTTTTTAAAAGAAAAGGCTGTGTCTTGCCAGGGAGATTATGCATGTAATCTTTTTCAAGTTTATGTACTTTTTGTTTATTGTTAATCTGTGTTACTTTTATACTATGCATTCCTTTGTTTGTCAAACGTTTCCTGATGACTAGAGCTTCCTGCAGCCAATCAGAAGCCGCGTTTTGTTTTTCAAACGCTTTGGAAGTCGAACGGACTTCCAGAAGTTCGGCTTCCAAGGTACAACTGTAGTATAATTTAAAAATAGGTCTTGCAGCAAGGAAATTTATTCATACTCCTTACCTGTATTGGCGGCAGGTGTCAATTCTTTTTTGTCCTGATCTTCCTCTTCTGCTTCACTGACATTGGAGGAGTCAGTTTCTTCAGGCTCTATCACAATTTCATACTCGGGGAAAAGAAATTTATGATCTGGAATAACAACATCCAGCTCACCTACAAAACAAGAACCCAAAATTATTTTGATCAGTCTTCCCTATTCTATTTTGTATATCAGTCTATTTTCAAATGATTTCTTGGGGTTGGGGGGCAAACTTTAAAACTAGCAAAGACAAATATAGAATGAAATGGCCAGCAGAATAAAGCCAGAGCAGAAGGCACCATTGTTTTATACAAAGCTGCAGTGTCTCAATTTTTTGATTTCTTTAAAAACCCTGCTTGTCTCTAGAAGCAGAAATGTCCCCAAATTCAACAGTAACACCTCTAGCATTACTGTAGAGTTTTTATGTCATTCTACTCACAGAGACAAACAGGATTTTAAAGAAATTGAGGCACTGCAACTTTGCTTTAAAAAGAAACTTGTGCTGCTGGAGATGTCAAAGACCAAAAGTGGACTTTGCAGCAACGCCAGAAAATATGTAAAAACTATTTTGGCAAAAATTTCTGAATATAATAGAGGATATGATGTTTTAGAATTTGTAGGTGAATAACAACAACAACGACTACTGTGTCACCTCCTTCAGGCCAGACTGTAAAAGGCCTTGCACTACCCAGGAAAGCTCTGTTGGATGACACAATGAGGATGCAGTGGAGGCAGCAAAGTATACCTTCTTTGCTGCCTTCACTGCCATTTGGTAGGCTTGATGATGAGGCCTCACTAGCGTTTGATTGCATTTGACTGGAGTTTTGCTCCACTTGCGTTTGAGCTGTCTCCCAGCTTGCTTCCTCATCCTAAGCTATGGAGTGGTACCTCGGTTGTCGAATGTAATAAGACCGTTCAACTTCCAAAACGTTTGACAACCAAGGTGCAATGGGTGGTCGGTAAATTCCATTGAGAAAATGGAGAAATGCGCCTCGGAAGCCGTTGGACTTCCAAGGCGCGTTCGAAACCCAAGGTTCCACTGTACCAGGAAGCCAAATGGGCTCCACAAAATGGGAGAGGGTGCTGAAGGGCAATCATGTCAATGGCTATTAGGATATTCCAGAGACTGGCCAGGGCTTTGATATGAGCACCAGTTATATCAGCCAAAAAAATTCCCAGAGCAGTTTTAGAAATCCATTGGATTCATCAGCCGCCAAGGGCAGACAATCCTAATAGATACCCAGCCTCTGCAGAGAGAAAAAAGGTGCTAAAAGTCTAAATCTCAATAGGAAATGATTAGACCATGACCAGAGACTGATGCCAATAACCTCCACTTTCAGATAACCCTCTTCACAAGGTCCCGAGCGTGGCCTGCCACATGTGTTGGGCCAATAACATATTGGAACAGCTCCATGGCCGCTATGAAGCCCTGAGCCACCGTAGAGCCATTCACCTCATCATGGATGTTGAAATCCCCCCAAACCAGCAGTCTGTAAGCCTTCAACACCACCTGAGACTAGCTCTGTCAGCCTAGGCAGGCAAACTGCTGTGGAGCTAGGTGGACGGTAAACCAGCAGAATGCCAAATCTGTCCCAATTGCCCAATGCCAAGAACATGCCCTCTAGTTCTCCTGCCCCCAAATAGACAGAGAGCCTGGAAAGAGCTAATTTCTATAGATCACAACAGTACCCCCTCCCTGACCCTCAGGTCTGCCCTGATGCTGTTCCAAATACTCTGGTGGACACAGCTGAGTAAGACCAACCACACCTTGCTCAGCCACCAAGGTATCAGTAATATAGACCAGATCAGCCTCCTCATCCAGAATAGGATAAGGGAGGTCTTCCTCAGAGCTAACTTGGCATTCAGGGCAGCAGCCGGGGACCGAAGGGCTGGCTAACAGGATGACTGCAATACCTCAGATTGGAGGACAGGCTGGCACACAGCACAATCACTAAGTACCTAGGCCGTGTGCCCCTTCCGCGGCCTGCCCCCACCTCCCATACCTCCCCCTACCCTGAAACATTGTGATTGCACCCCCCCCTGCTCTCCCCAATTATAACAATTCTTCTTGGACTGCTTAATTCTGAAGTAATCAAAGCCGATCTTCAACTGATGGAGACCCTCCTCTAAATCAATGCAAATTTCTAGAGTTTCAAATTGCTTACCAGACTGCAAGCATGAAAGCTTATGCCCTGCTTTCCAGTCCTTAACTTGATGGTCCTTGCTACAGTAATGAGCCTTGTGGCATTTGGAGCATGTTTTGCTTCCTAAACACCCACAGACTCGGCACAGCTTCGTCCCACATTTTAGCTGTAGATTTGCACAAATTGGCTCTTCGTGGGGTGGCTCTTCCCGTGGTGGATCATAAGAGTAGGTGTCATTCTTCCTTGGTAATTGATTCCTAAAAACTTGAAAATAGAAAAAAATTATTAACTATCTGAAAGCAACAGTATGGATATATATTTTTTGTTTGCTCTCTCTGACCTGGCTATGTCAGAAACTATACAAGTTGCTACACTTCTCCTTAATCTTTACCGGAGGAGAGACCTCTTATTCCAAAGGATCCAAAGCTCCTTAAGGGAGGGAGAGATCCACTAATTTTGTAATATTGGCAGCATTTGAGTGTGGTATAACAGCATGCACGGCATGTATATAATCTGAGAGAAAATTCACTTCTCAGCAGTGTCAAACTACACACGCTCCAATTCTAGTTTAATAGTACCACACATTTCAGTTAGTACCTGAAAAATTTCTAGCCACCATCTGAGGTAAGACTCACACTGCTAATGTTTTCTTAAATCCGTTTTTGATGCTTTAATTGCTCCGTTCAACAGACCAGTTATGCCATGAAAGTATCAAGAGCAAGGCAAACACTGTCAGTTTAGGATCTCAGAGGTTGGTTGGTTGTCTCGCATTTTAAAAGGGCTGTTCTTGTCAATATCAAAGCCAGCCAAGAAGTACCAGAAAATACCTCCCTTTCCTTAGCTCCACTTCACCAGTTTTTTTATTTTGACATTTAATTCAAACATGGCGATTTATGGTGCTCTGAGATGCTCTCTAATGCATCTACAAGGGCAGCACTTTAAGGAAAGGGAAGAAACATTCCCATATGATATTTAACTGCTGACATGGGTTGTTGGTGAAAAAAAAGATTGCCTGACTCCCTTTATTTTTAAGAAAACTCTACCAAATGACATACACTGTATCCGTTCATCATTTCTATGCTGTAATCTTGCAGTTGGTTACTCACACAAAGATACTACGGATTTCAGTGGGGCCAACATGACATGTTCCTGAGCACAAGATTGAAGCCACTGACAAGTCTCTCCCCCCCCCCCCATTTTCAAATTCTATTATAAAGTTATAAGCTGGCTTTGTTTATTATTTTTGGACTTCCAGTTTTAGAACTCCTTCACAGCATTCTATTTAAGTAAGTTGTATTATGCCTGTTTATTGAACTTTACCTGTGCTTTTTTCTTTGTTTTAAACACTGATTTATTTTGATCGATGGATTGTTTTATTGACTGTTGTGTAGACTGCCTTGTGAACATCTGTGGTGAATAGCAGTCTATAAATAGTAGAAATAAATAAAACTAAATTTTTAGCTGTGTACCTAAGATACATTTGCGTTTATTTAGTGGAAATATTTACATCCCACCTCTTTACCAGATGTGCCGCAAGGCAGAAGCAAACCTGTAAGGATACACCTGACAAATATGAATCAGGGTGCACAGGATGTGAGCCAATGCAGACGTTATCACACATCTGTATCCTGACAAGTGGTAGGACTGAAGATGCCTTGAATAAGCAAATATAAGCAAACTCCTACACAGGGAGCTCAGCAGCAGGGAGCTGGGCAAAGAAAGCTGCATTTTTATTTGAAATGGGCTGTACAGTATCTGCTTCCCCCATGTTCGATCCCCATCATCTCCAGGTAAAGGTAGGGAAGAAAACCCCTGTCTGAAACCCAGGGGAGCCACTGCCATCCCCTGTATATGATACAAGCTAGATGGGCCAGTGATTTGCCTTTGGCTAGAGCTGTGGTTCCCAATGTGGGGCACACGCACCATTGAGGGGCAATTTGATTTTTAAGGGGGGGCAATTCAAAAATGAGTTATTAACAATGAATGGCCTTTTCGGCTTCCTCCACGTGAATAGGAGTTCACTTTTTGAATAATAAGAATTATGTCGCGGGGGGTGGGGGTGCATCAGGATTTCAGAGATGCTTAGGTGAGGCATGGCCCAAAAAAGGTTGGGAACCACTGGACTAGGACAACATTCCGTCTTCCTCAATGGAAGGGCCCAAATTTTAATAGGCACAAACAACAAAGAGCCCAGGGAAACAGCCGGTCCATCCAATAACTCCTATCACCCCTAACCATTGGCCATGCTGGCCGGGGCTGCTGACAACCGCAGGTTCCCCAGTCGGGCCTTGAGGGCTTCAGCTGCAGTCCTAACTTGCACCGCTGGGTTTAAGGGGAGGGGACTTAGGACTTCCAGCATCTGCCTCATGCATGCCTTGACGCCCACAGCAGACCCGACCGAGGCCCCTCTCTGCCCGCGCCCCTCACCTCTCAAGCAGCCCGGGGAGGGGCCGGCGAGGCGGTAGCAGGCGGGCCGGCGGCAGCCGAAGAGGAAGAGGCTCCTGTGGAAGGCGTCGGGCCGGCCCGGCCGAGGCGCGTAGAGCTGCAGCAGGAAGGCGCGCGGCTCCCCGCACGCGCCGCACTGCAGCTCGGCGGGGCCCGGCAAGCCCGCCTCGCCCAGCCACGCCGGCCTGCCGCCCACTTTGCAAGGGAACTGCTCGCTGCGCAGCCGCCAGGCCGCCGCCTCCTCCGCGAAGCCCAGCTCGACTCGCCGCCAGGCCATGATGTCTCCTTCCCGGCCGAGGCGGTGGAAGCTAGCGGCAATGGAGTCCGCCCGGCGAGGGGAAGCAACAGCGCCTCCGTTGGAGAGCAGAGGCACCTGCGGGGGTTGGGCTGGAGACGGTTCTTTCCAAAACGGCGCCTCCCTCCCCGCAGGACAGTCCTTGTTTAAAGCGGCGGGCAGCGGGGTGGTTTTCTTTCCAGTTGGACCAGATTCACAAGACCCTCTGGTGGTGACAAAGAAGTGAGGTGGCTTCAAGCCCCACCGCCTGGAATTAAAGGGGTCAGAATCCTAGCTGGAGTATAATCGAACCGAATTCCTGCCCCCTTCCAGATCCAGAACAAACACGAGCTGGCCTGATTTTTACTCCGAATCCTAATACTGAATCGGGTTGTGTTTTTTAATGTCAGGGAACTCTCCCAACCCCCAACCTCAAGGGCCTCATGGGCAGCTTTCTGAGAGCCACATGCCAGTTGTGGGCAAGGCAAAAAGCAAGGCGTGTGGGCAGCCTGAGCCAACGTGAAGGAAGCTATGGACGCAAGTTTGTCGGGTGGGTTGTGTTGCAGATGATACACACAGCATACTCCATCCGGGAAAGCAAGAAGCATTGCCGTTGGTCAAAGACACTTCAGCCAGATAAAAGCTTTCAAAGAGGGCGCAGAGCATGGGCAGTGTGACCTAGCTGGGTAGGGGTGAGACCTGGGATAAACCCTAGAACTGGATAGGGACAAGTGGGCCACCAGGTTTTACACAGCTTCCTTTTCACCAGCTTTATGCAAAAGCAAATTTGCCTAACAAGCAGCGGCAGGTACCTTTAAATAATTGTGAAGAGAGGATATGGGCAAGTGGAGCTTGTAATGAAGAAAAGCTGCAATTAATAGAATCTCCTTTTCCAGAGTTATCCAGGTACCGGAACTATGTCTTCTTCTAGATATGACCAACCCAAAGTATGTTCAGATGACCACATTATTAAGGTGCCAGTTACAGTCACTGTTGTGTCTATTAGATTTGGGAGGTGAGGATTCGTTTTTGGTCATATGAATTAGCTGCATGAAAGAGGAAGATAAATAGAGATACTGGGGCAAATGCTAGTCTTAACTCATGCAGTATCACATATTATACTGCAGCTGGGTCATGCTTCTTAGAGAAGGGGGATTGATCACCTTGGGGGGGTGTACTGATCACTTCCCTGCAAGAACAGAATGGTGTTTCAAGTTCGTACTTGATGCACTGGATACTAGGTTAATACTTATGGTCATTGTACATTAAGGAACAGTTTGCATTATCACAAGAGCATGAAATTCAGTAACTATGAATACCTTCCACTTACTTCTCTTGTGGGACTGGCACTGTTTCCAATTTTATTTTCAATTCTTTTCAACATATAGCCATCCAAACCAGCACAAAGACAAGTCCCTTTTATCTTCTCTCCCTATCCCCATTTTTAAAATCAGAAATTATTTTGGTAATGGGACAAAATGTTAGCTTTCTTTTATAGTGCTCCCTCCCACTCCTGGCAAGCATATACTGTATAAACAGATAGTATTGTTGATGAGAGCAAAGGCTAAAAATCAGCCATTATCAGCGACTCACATTATTTCTAATAAACACACAATGAGTTTGCCCAATTTATGAAATATACCTAGTATGTATAGGACTGCATACTCATGTCTTCTCCCCACAACCAGACAAAGTTCAGGTCCTTCCCTTATTTAAACTTTCCAGTGGAGAAGATACATCCATACACCAACCCCCAGTAGTCTCAGCCAACACAACTGTAGCCCAGAACATCTGGAAGGCACCAGGTTGCAAAGGCTGCAGTAGTAAACCCTGTTACATTTGGTAACACACAGGCACATACTCAGATATATAAATGTATATACCATTCATACATGAATAAAAGCGTAAGTGACAATATGCTTTTATAAAACCTAACAGCAAGAGAAGAAAAACAACGCAATGCACATTACACTGAAGTCATCAAGTGTGCAACAGTTGAAAGCAGCAAAGTATTCCATTCTTAGTTTTTAATACTTAAAAGTTGCAAAACCTGAAAAAACAGTTACAGCATTGACATTTTGTGAGAATTACATCCTTGAAAGGAATGAAATAATCTCTTCCTATGTACAACAACAGCCAATGATGCTTTTCCTTAAATATTGCTTTTAATGCTATGTCCTTAGTTGTTCAATCACATTTCTTCACAACAACAAAATAATTATATAAAAGCAACAATTTCCTTATGGCAAACATTTCAGACGTTAACAGTGTGATTCTGTTAAATGCTAACTGGGTGAAGGAAGGAGTGGCGTTTATTAAAGAGAATGTTAATCATCAATGCTGACAAAGTTCTCTGAGTGGCAATGGAAATATTCTGGACGTCAGGAGTTTTCTCCCACAATTATGTAGCAGTAGTAACATTTCAAGGTGGGAAGTGTATCCTAAGTCTTCAGTTAGCATCCTGTTCATAATCTGCCTTACTTCCAGCCGTTCACAGTTTTAGTGTGCATAAGGCAAGCCACTCAAGGAGCTCAAATTAAAGTCTTGCAGCCATCGGTTTGCTTACAGGTATCCTAGATTCTGTAACAGGAATACAGAGTGTATTAGTTCTGAGAGAGAAACACTCTACCATTCCTTTACAAAAGCTGTTAAAGAAGTAAGACAAAAAGTTATGCAGGGAAAGGACTTGTTACAAAACTACCTCTCTGAATCGGAGCTTAGAAGGAAGCTCTGTTTTGGGCTGGGAAAGGCAAAGGAGCCTCCATTATGGAACCTGGGCAGGCAGGATGTGTTCAAGCAAAAACTACTTGCAATAGCTGCTACACCTCATGCTAAATCCACTGATGTAGTGCTAAGTCTTTGCCATCATTACTTCCATCACTTTTAAAATGTAAAGGTCAACTAAAGAATATCAGACATATACTCCTGAAAATGTTAAGCCAGGAGGCAATCAGCTGAAATGTAATAAAAAACTCCTATTTGGCCGTAAAAGCTGCTATGGAGAGTGTTAACATTTTGGAGACCATACATGATTCACTCAGTCTGTATTTCTGATGAACTATTGCGGGTCAGAGATGATCCTGACAAGGTGAGACTCTGTCAAGGCAATATTGCAAGGGCCCAGTTTTCAGCATGCTACATTTTACATTTGAAAAACAGCTCCTACTATTGCAAGAAGTTTACAAACTGTTCAGCTACTGTTGACTTGGGAAATAACAAAAAGAGGAGAAGACACATGCAAAGTCTTTGGCAAAAAATCTCCCTCAGATTTCATAGTACAGTGGTACCTCGGGTTACATACGCTTCAGGTTACATATGCTTCAGGTTACAGACTCCACTAACCCAGAAATAGTACCTCGGGTTAAGAACTTTGCTTCAGGATGAGAACAGAAATCATGCTCCGGTGGCGTGGCGGCAGCAGGAGGCCCCATTAGCTAAAGTGGTGCTTCAGGTTAAGAACAGTTTCAGGTTAAGAACGGACCTCCGGAACGAATCAAGTACTTAACCCGAGGTACCACTGTACTCTCCATTAGCAGAGACACTTACCAAACATTCCTGCGGTTTTACTTAGAGCTTCTTTCCTTACAATGTAAGTGAATCCATCACTCCTGGGGAGAAAAGGACAAGAACTGAGCCATATAATTAATGCATTCAGTGTTGTGAGTCCAAGCCTACAGAAGCCCCTCCTGACTGAGATTAGACAGGCAACCCTCCTTGCTGAATTTCTGGCACTGCTTAGTTGTGCAATCTCTGTATAATTTGCAAGAGACTTTATACCCCAACTTTCTTCTCAAAAATTTTGTACTCACGTTTTCGTTCTTGATGCAACGCCTTGTCGCACGAGAGCTGCCAAAGCATTTTTCTGCATGTCTGAGGACAGGACATCGTAACACTGTGTGCTTCCTAAACAGGAGAAAGGGGAGCAATTAAAACTTTGGTTCATTTACCCCAAGTGCTAAGTAAAGAATTGCATCATCCAAAGACAAAACACTCACCTGCCTCGAGAAGCTCAGAAGCAAAGCTTCGGACTCCAAATATAAACTGCTTCTCCATAAAGGTCTCATTCGATTCCTTTAAAAGGTACTTGCAGATTATCTAGTGGAGAGAAACCCATTCACGTCTTTGGTTAAGAAGCACATTAACAAAAGGATCATCACTCTTGCATGAATAGGCATTGGAAAACTAAACTTGTAATAAAAACGTAACATTTTTATTACATAGCTTTCTAAAGAGCTACTTCCAAGGGGCAGCTGGATTCGATCTCCCCCGCCCCCCTTTGAATGCCAAGTTCCTCATGCCATATCTCTGTTTTTGAAAGCCACTTTGGGTTTCAAAGCAATTTTGTCATATGGCATTTGGGGGGTGAGGAGATGATGCTGTCAGAACACCACAAAAGTTCTTGTGAAATAAATATATGGGAACCCACACGAGGGCAGGGGGAGCAGAGCTGTAAGTGCTGTACGGCAGGGCTTCATTCTGCAGGTAATACCAATTTCAACTTGCTTATTCAGTTTTTGTTTCCTTTAATCAATGACACCACCCAGTTAAATTTTAAATGTCAGCTTGATCAGGAGATACAACCCTAAGTGGGAGTGGACATGTGTTTGTTTGACTTCTAGTAAAATCTGTGCTACAGGTTTTAACCTGTTTTCTTAGGATGCTTAGGGTACATGTAGGCCACTTGCTTCTATATAAACACCCACATGTTAAGATTTTCACCATAGGCCCTTCTCATTTTCTTTATGTATTTATCTTTCTTATCCTACCAAAGGCCCTTCTCTGTGGGCCCCAGCATCAAAATATTAATAAATAAGTCACTCCCCACAAAAGGAATAGAAGACAGACTGGTGAAAATAACATTGCAGTTGATTTTGTACCTGGTAACCTTCCACAAAAGGCTTGAACATTGCTGTCAAGAAAGTGATTATATTGTTTCCTTTCTCAGTAACGAAAACTTGCTGGGACGTGACTTGAACTGCGTCACATTTTGTAAGCAAGAAACAACCTTCTTCAAAATCCTGGGGATTAAACAAAATTGGTTATGTTTTTTCAGTGGGTTTAATGCCATGCAGACAATTACAGATATTCAACACCTGTATTTCTCCAGTAAACAGGTCTAACGTATCTCAAGTCTGTTTCTAACTTTCAAATTATACCTAAATGGTATCTCAATGAAAAGGTATTTCAGTTACTATGGTCACAGCAAAGACAGGTGGTTTTTAACATTTTATGGCAGCTGACTCCTTTGCGATATCAAAACAGTAATATAGTTTTATTCTACAAAAATAATCTGATGCATGATAAAGTTAATTGCATACAGTGGAGTCTGGTTACACAAATCAAAACCAGTTTTTCAAGACAAGACAGCCAAGGCATACACACTCTGGAACTGGGCCTATAAAATTTCCTGCAGGCCCTCCAGTAGAGCAAGCATATGCATGTATTGTACAACCTGCCATCTGAAGAAAATAATATCTGTGTACTGGACTCTGGCGTACAAAAGCTGAGGCCACATATTTTGTCACTGTCTTGTCTGTAAGCAGACAAAATTCTGCAAACAACAGCACATGGGATGCACAACCAAAAGTTTCGAATTATGCCTCTAGGTTACATAATAACACTAATTGCAAACCAAACTGTTGGAGAAATTAGTTAGAGTCCATGCTTGTTAAATATATATGTATGAATTTCAGAATGGGAAATTTCATTTAAATCTTTGCTCCAAACTGCTTTAATTTAAACAATTCAATCTGCTTAACAGTAATTATAATCAGGCAATCCACGTTGCCTGTATTATACCCCTGGATTTTTTAGCACCAAGTTAGCCCCAACGGAACAGCTGTTCCCAGCCAGCAGCAGAAGCTAATTCTCAGTTTGCATTGCGCAACAACTGCAAATAGTCCTGCTTGTTTGAGCACTTTGCACACTACATCAAGATTCAAAGAGATGCTCCTTGAACATCTTAGAACCGAACACTCTGTACTCTTAGATGGCCAAGCATTCCTGAGTTTTTGTACTGAGATTGCATGAAGTGCAGCTGAAGACCTGACCTTTCAAGAGGCAGGGCAAACAATTCATTATTGGGCTTACACAAGAGCAAACTGAACTACAGACTAGTATGTATGTATTTTTCGCTCTATAAGACGCACCAGACCACAAGACGCACCTAGTTTTTGGAGGAGGAAAACAAGAAAAAAAATATTCTGAATCTGAGAAGCCAGAACAGCAAGAGGGATCGCTGCGCAGTGAAAGCAGCAATCCCTCTTGCTGTTCTGGCTTCTGGGATAGCTGCACAGCCTGCATTCGCTCCATAAGATGCACACACATTTCCCCTTACTTTTTAGGAGGGGAAAAGTGAGTCTTATAGAGCAAAAAATACGGTAATTATGGCCATATTAAGAATGGCACATGGAAGATAGATCAGAGAAAGTTTGGGCGGAACAGACTTCCCCTGTTAAAAACTAAAAAGAAGGAAGAAAATAATTGTGCATGCACTTCTAGCACAACCAGAATGGTCTTCCTCCGCACCATGATGGGACAGAACATAAATGTAAAGATAAAAGCAGCCCAAAACAAGGGGTGGGAGAGGGAAAACCACCCCAAGTAAGGAATAAGACACATCTGTATGGCAGGGATGGGGAACCTGTGATCCTCCAGATTGGACTACATCTCTCATCATCCATGCCCACTTCTTGTACTGGCTAGGGCTGATGGGAGTTGCAGTCCTAGAGGGCCACAGGTTTCCCATCTTTGCTCAGGGGATGTGAGTAGGGATAGTGAACTGACACTCTCCAGATATCTTAGAAGGACAGAACAGTGCGGCAAGGTCAATGATAAAATGCTGGTACTAGAGAAGCAAAGATAAATGTGGTGTGTGTTTGTGTACACACAAGGTGTATATGCCACCCATGAAAAATATATTTTAAGTTTCAGACCGTTAAAGTTTCAGACTGTTAGTTGTCAAGCTCTTTCAGGTGTATGTGTAAAAATTAGGTTGTGACATCTAGAATGAGGCTATAAGATGACATTACATAGCTTTGGTTTTACAGCAAAGGAAGTCATAACATCTTAAAACATTATAGATGATGTCATTTTATGAGAAGGAATAGAACAGGGATGAGGAACCTGTGGTCCTCCAAATGATGTTAGACTCCAACTCGCATCATCCCTGGCCTACTGGTGATGCTAGATGGGACTGATGGGAGTGGGTTTTAGCCATGTTGTTTCAAGGAAAAGAGGGACTAGCATATTGAAAACTCACTCAAAATTACAGCCAAAAATACTACCAGCAGCAGATCACAACAGCTTCAAGATCCCTCTCTCTATTCACATTAGGCTTCACTATTTAGTGAAGTCATGAGAAACTCCTGTAGATATTAAGCTACCAGGACCACACACAATACTTTACCTTCAGGGGTATTCCAGGAAAGAATATAAACTCGTCAGAGAAGACATCACGCCAGAAAGCAAAATTGCTATAGACTTCCTCTGGAAAACAAAATGCAACTGCCCATGAATAAACCCTTTTTTCAAAGTGTTTCACTATTAAAAGAGGATGTCTGCAAGGTGCTCATTTTTTAAGATAATAATGTAGGTTAAACGATGGCATAAAAACTGAACATGTACACAAGAATGGCAGAGTCACTTGGAAATGGTAGGTGCCATCATCAGAAGGTACTTCTGCGCAAAGTCTACTGAAATGACAGGGGATTTCACAACCCAGAATTGTTGATGGATTGCGGTTAACCTTAACACTAAATTATGCAATGGAAGTTGTCAGGGCATGCAACATCCCCTTCAATCAGAATTAGTTCACCAGATAATGACAGTTCACTGGCACACATCATAGCTGTTAAATTAAGGATGATCTGAAGCATGACCAAGTTAGTCAGGTCACTGGAAGTGAAGCTGCTATAACCACAGAGAGCCACTGGGCATTACCTTCATGAACTGCAAACTAATATAAGCTTCACATTTTATTTACACTAACTAGTCTGCATGCATGATGAACACTAGATCATGGTGAATAGGCATATTGAGTACATTAACTTGCCAGCTTCCAGTACAGCTTATAATATAGGAAAGCACTTTATAATTGTGCTAAATATCTGAACAATCTATTTATATATTTTAAGAAAGAGGGATAAGACATAAACCCTAATCCAGAGCACAGGAAAAGGAGCATGCACAAAATGCTCTTTATACCCTTTCCCAATCTGTAGCTCATCCAGACCTGCTCAGTCTAACCATACATAAAATGCTTGGGGAACAAGGGAATAGCTCCAAAAATCTCATCACAAGCCTGTTTAGCAAATGACATAACTGCATTATAGGAACAGATTTGTGGCTTTACAGATTTGCTATATTAGACAATGAATTTACCTTTTCTAGAACAGTGTGTCATTTGCAACGCGAGTGCTACAAGGGCTGGTCGCACAAAGACGTTGAGCAGCTGGTTCCTGTAGGACCCGCACATGAGGACGGCGAGCGCTTGCTTAAAGACAAGTTCTTCCGTAGCGCCAACTTCCATATCTTTGTCATTGAGAACCACTTGCCCGTTGACAAGGCTCACAATGTTGGAGTGTAGAGCAAGACTGGATCGCACTGCTTTGTTAGCACACAGATTATCTAGGAAAAGACAAATTGGGAATAAATGCCAAAACTGACACCATCTCTTATTTTAGCTTTGAATTTTTCAAAAAAAAATACCAAGGAAAGAGGCAGGAAAACTGAACTGTTTCAGCTAGTGATGGGCAAAATGCGCCTGTCTCATTCAGAGCAGGCTGTGCCTATCTTAGCCTTTTTTTGGAGAATCCTCAGAAGCAGTCGCCCAAGCGTTTTCTGACAATTCTTCCCAAAGGCTCAGAAGAGCTGGTCTAGGGGAGTTCCTCCACTGAGCAACATAGGAAGCTGAGCCAGGTCACTGGTCCATTGAGCTCAGCATGACTTACAGTGAATGGCAGCAGCTATCCAGCATTTCCAGACAGGTGACATTCCCATTCCTACCTGGAGATTTCAGGGGTTGAACCTGGCACCTTTTGCATGAAAAGCAGGTGCCTTGCCACTGAGCCACAACAGTTCCTTATGTTCCTACCTTCCTAGGTCCCACTATCACTAGCCCTACTTCCCACACACTCGCAATTTTACTAAGTTGCTGGGACGGGGAGGTAGAGGAGGAGAAAAAACAAGCAGCTGGAGTGTCTTGCCAAAAAATTTCCTAAGTTTCCAGTTCTCTAACATGAAGGCTTCAGAAAATCTTTGGATCCTCCATTGCCAATGGGGACTCTGTTCAATGACTTAGGAAGAACAAACAACTGCAGTCCTCAAAATTCACACTGGTAATGCTGGAACAACTGTGAAGTGGTCTTTGGCTATTGTTCCCCTTCCGCAACCTCACCCTACAACTTGGTAAGTTTGAGAAAGGTTGGGGAAACAGGCGGATGAGAGAGCCAGCAGGTAACCATTCTGAGTAGAGGCAGAATTTGGAAGAGGGTGGAAGCTGGTAAGGACAAAGAGATTTCTAAACTGGCAACTTTAAAAAGGCATGCAATTATTATCTGCCTTCCTCGAACAGGAAAGTGGAAAATTATCCTATTTTCAGACGACACAAAGTTAAGTACCCTTCATATTCCACTGCACTGCAAAGTAGTAAAAGCAACCAGAGCTTCTTCAAAATTAAGAGAACCGCAGACTTATGATCAGGTGAAAGATGGAAATGTGAAAGTGGGAGAAAGAGAAGACCCCTGTTACCACAAGGTAAGAGCATCAATTGTATACTTTCAGCCTTTGTGAACCTTATTTATAGCGACCAATTAATAAATGACTTATGGAGGCAGGCAAACTACAAGAACCTCGTATTCCAGCTCAAAATTATGCTGGCTTCAAAGCTCAGGTATTTTTCATATTTGCATTTCCCTGTAGCATCATCTCTCCTGCCCTGAACCACATGGCTCCTTGAGCAGTCATGGCAAGACACTGGTATTGTATGTCTGCCATACAAAACTCAATTAGATTGCGTCCCATCCCAGCCTCAAGGCTCAAACAACACAAAATCAGCACAATTGGGTAGGGCCCTAGTGGGAGGGCTCTTGCTTAACCTTGCCTCATAGTTGTTGTGTGTGCATTTTGTGTTGATGGTTTTGTTTTGTTTTTAAAAACCTTGCTTTCTAGCATGTCTTGTTCTCTTTTATAATTGAGATGGTCACCGCAAATATACATAACCTTTCCTGCAATTTTTAAATCTTTTTTATAATGAGGAAGGAAAGTAATCATATGCTATAGTAACATTATTCATGTATTTGGGGGGGGGGTGCAGGAATCAGACTGTTCCCAAACACATAAAAAGTAACACAAGCTACATTGTTCTCAGAAAACGAAATGTGTGTACAATGTTCATTGCATACCAGGCCAATCAAGGAATCCTCCAAATGTCTGAGTTAAACCTTTTAGCCAAAGTGTCTTTTCAACAAGAAGCTGAAAATCTATGGCTGGTAAATTCTGGAGTAGGACAGCAGCAACTAATATCCATGGGCTCAGAACCATGTTTTCTATTTGTAGGAGTTCCATTTTGTAGGCTACATCACAGGCAAATTCCTGGATTTCCTCAGATGGCTTTTGTGGAATATGCCTGAAAGGAAAAGTGTAGTGAGCAAAGGCATTCAAAGTCTTGTATCCCCATATAGATTCAGTTTGCTTTTGCGAAATTTCTTTTTGCAAAGGATATTCCATCCATCCCACAGGACCTCTGAGTGCCACTGAGTGAGGGACCTGTGAAATTGCATTTATTTTTTATGGATTCCCCGCCCCCACCGGCAAGCAATACCTTCAGATCACTGATCACACCTGTCTGCCATTGACTGAACCATACAATTTAAAAGTCCAGTGCTTTTTTTCAGTGTTGTCATGGTGCAAAAACATGGATTCAAGGCATGGATCCTTATGGATCCACGTAATTTTATAAGGGATTTCATCAAAAACACTATCAAATCATAGGTCACAACTGCATCCACAGTGTTGTTGTCATCCTATGCAAAAGTACAGTGGTACCTCGGGTTACATACACTTCAGGTTACATACGCTTCAGGTTACAGACTCCGCTAACCCAGAAATAGTACCTCGGGTTAAGAACTTTGCTTCAGGATGAGAACAGAAATCGTGCTCTGGCGGCACGGCGGCAGCAGGAGGCCCCATTAGCTAAAGTGGTGTTTCAGGTTAAGAACGACCTCCGGAACGAATTAAGTACTTAACCTGAGGTACCACTGTAATGCAAAAGTAATGAAGGTTCCTGAGTATCTCAGCCTTGTTTTCCTGATACTGGGAAAAACTGGATCTGTGTTTTTGATAGTGAAGTCTACACATTTTTATTTGATTTTTATTATTATTCAAGAGGACCTGTATTCATTCAACTAGACCCAACTTTTACCTGAACCTCATAGAAAAAAACACAGTGGAAGCATGTGCGTGTGAGAGCGTGTGTGTGTGTGCACGCACACACACGCGCACACACGCACACACATGCACACACACGCACACACACATAAATGCACACTTCCTCTGGAAAGGAAGTAACCTGGGGTTTGGAAGAAGAGAAACAACTCAAAAGGGTAGTGCCCATATGCCACTCTCGCAAAACTCCAAATGTGCCTACGAGTCCCAAATGGTGGGTGAATAATAATAATAACAGCAGCAACAACAACAACTGGGGGTGCTTACTTTCATATGTAAAACGTAAGTAACAATATTTTGAAGTTCATATTAACAAAGTGAAGTATGCTCATTAAACAGTATTTACATCTACAGGAAGTAATAAATGAGTTCAGGAATGCTTTATTTTGGGATCAGTATCCCCATGATGCATTCGCACTGTAATGCCCCTCAAACATTGAGATCTGATCAAAGCTGAAGGTAGGACCAATGAATGATCTAATAGACTTGTCTGATACAGTAAAATTATTACTAAATATTGTGATAAAAGGAGTAGCGTCACTACCCAGCTAATGAGCACTTTTAAATGTTACAGTGAAAAACAGACTCAGGCTAATTTCCCCACAAGCCATTATATATATCATACACTGTAATACCTTGGAACCAAGTTAAATGAACAGGTATCGATTCTCCCAGCTGCCAATGATCTGAGTGATACAGGCTGTCCAAAGAATATGTGTATGCTTCCAAAATCTTCACTCAGGATTTTCCTAGCTTTCAAGAGTCCCTACAAAAGATAAAACTTGAGACATGTGCAAAGATACATGCAGATATACTACATTTATTATTTTATCATACCTTATCCAGCATCAGTTTGCAATTTTTATGATTACCTTAGGATTCTTAGCCTATTCATCCTCACAACCTTGAGGTACATGACTATTTTTTTCTCTTCTATAGGAAGGAAACTGTGATTGAGGTAGGAAATTGCCCTTGACAGCCAGGCAATGTTTAAATGCAACCCTAAGTCATGGTTTGCATGCATCCACCTCCTACAAGCACAGGTGCAAAAAGAGCACCAGAAGTTGCTGATTCTTTTACAGTTACCAGATTTTAACTATTGTTTGTTAAAATAAAGCAACTTCATAAAATATAGGTGGCAGCCAACTAAAATCTACTCAGAGTTGACCCATTAAAATTAATGGGCTTGAAGTCAACCAATCTCATTGATTTAAATGGGTTTACTTCAATTATGACGAATGATGGATGTAACCATATGGCTTGCAGTTAGCTTGTTTCAACAAACCATACTTAACCATCGTTTGTCCAGGTCTGGATGTCATGGCCGGCTACGTTTAATTTAAAACAGAAGCAAAAGTTTCCAAATTCCTCCTTGTAGCCACATCAAAGGCGGAGAGAGTAACAAATGAGCCCAAGACTCGTGGTGACCAGTTCTTGTAACTGTCAACCATTGTGCCGCATTATGACCAAACAAGGCCACAGTGAATTTAAGGCCAAGCAAGATATGAACCCAGAATAAATGCCCAAGATTCCATCCATTGGACTACAATAATTTGAACCTGCTTTCTTACCGATGTAGATTCCTTTGGTTTAGGGACTCCTAAAAGTTCGCGAGCATAAAGGGATTCTTCCAATACCCTCTCGTAGCTGATACTGATTGGGACAAGGTAAATGTCAAACACTTCCCTTTTAAGGAAAGGATCCATCACAATATTGAGGAGACCTGTAAAAAGAAAATTATGTTATGTATGTAGTATGAAATAAATGCATAAAATTCATGTAAAAATTAAATCATGATTGTTTACAAAGCGCATAAGTTTCTAGCATGCAATTTGTGCTGAACACATGGCTCACTTCTGAGCATAAATCGTCTAATTCTGCGACAAAGGCTCCAATTTTCTGACCAACATACCAAACTTTGGAGTCAAAGTCTTTGCTGTGCGGCTTCTTGTCCCCTCAAGATAAAATTCAACGGGAGCATATCCATTCTTTAGGACAAAAAAGACAAAAACATAACCATTAGCAAACACAAGGGAAATCTATTAACTCATTTTTAAGTAAGTTATCGAAGTGGTGTATCTTTTTTTTTAATTAAAAAATTAATGTTTTAAATAGCAGCTACTTGGGTCAAACAAAGTATAACCAAATGTGGCATCAACCACAAATAAAGAAATAAAGTAAACCTGAGCAAGTATTAAAACTCAACATAAAATTACAGTTATTTACCTTTAACATAGTTTTCACATATTCAGCAAACACAGCCCAGTAGAGTTTGTTACCACCAAATGTACGTCGCATAAAAAAGGCACCTGATTTTCGTAGCAGCTCACCGACCAGTTTCATTCCCAAGAAATCTAGCAGAGGCACAGAATAGAGTAGCAAAATCAATTGGTGTTTCAAAGTGGTAGTCCATTCAGAAAGCAGAATGCAAAACACACCCAGATTTGGCCAACCACTTATGTGGGTAGCGTATCAGAAACAAAATTCCAAAAATATATTTAGAGGGTATTATTTGGCAGCAAATTATATAGCATTCATAGGGTGATATACAACTAAGTCATAGAATAAACATCTTAGGCTGTATCCAAGGCTCCTGTTCTGCTAGCGCAAAGGACATACACTAGTGGAATGGAACTTTCCCTTCTCTTTTGCCTGTAGCCCCCTATGGTCCCCCAAAATCAGCTGCAGAGGATTAGAAGATGCTTTGGAGAAGATGGGGGGTGGGGTGGAGCAAAGGAGAGAAAAGTTCTGCCAGAACACATCCTTTGCACCACTGCAGGTCTGCTGGCACTCCTTTGGCTATGACCCAATGATTTCAATGGGCTTGCTATTGTAAGGGGTTTGTGTTATGGAAGCCTTGGTATTCTACCCTGGTTTTCTGTTGGTTGTGTCAGTGTACACAAGCCTTTGATAAATGACATGCATAATTGCATCTTATGTTTTAAATGCTTATAATTAAGCTTCAAGTGTATTAATGCTCCTACTTGTAATAGAGAGCTATCTTGAAGATCCGAAAGGGTGATCTTCACACTGGTGATCTCATTCACAGGTTTTCAAGAACAAAATCCACTACGATTTCCCTTGGGACGGGCTATTCTCCCTCCTACCGGGGGATCAAGGAATCCCTGCATTCATCAGTTCCCTCTCAGATTTTTGGCCTGACCTTGTGCAGCCTCCTTGCCAGTGGCGTAGCGTGGGGGGTGCAGGGGGGGCCTCACTCTCTCTCACTGCAGTGCTGGCTGTGCGAATCCGATCCGAGCCGCTGGGTCGCCGCCCACTGTGGAGGGGGTGGGTGCCAGGCGTGCGGTGCGGAGAGAGAGCGAGGGACTATCTGGGGGGAGGGACAGTGCAGCGGCCGCCCAGCGCAGCGCTGAGCGCGGGAGAGAACCACACTAGACCAGCCCAGGCAGCAGCAAGAAGAAGCTGGCAGCGGCGGCAGGTTAGGGGTTAGGGGGCGCAAATTACTTGCCTTGCCCCGGGTGCTGACAACCCACACTACGCCGCTGCTCCTTGCTGTACAAATCCATGGGGGATATTGCAAGCACAGTAACACGACCAAAACACACATTTATAGCAGTCTGATCCAAGCTCACGTTGGCCAATCCGGATTGCGGCATTACAAAATTCTGGCTATTTTAGGAATCTTTTGTTTAAAAGGAAATACTTGCCTATTCCTGCAGCAATGACAGGCAAAGCCAAGTCATAGGTGTACAGCACATAAGATAGTAAGAGAAAATCGATGTAGCTGCGATGACTGGGCAGCAGAACAACGGGATGCTCTTGTATTGCCTGTTGTAACTAACGAAGAACAAAATGCCTTTTATCACTATGAAGGAATCTTGAGTTGTCTTTCTCTTTAATTTCAGCACATGGCCACAATATACAATTTCAGATTTTTCCTTAGAGAAGATGATTGAATAATAAACTAAGGCATCAACTTTTATGATGACGTAAACATAACAGACGCAAGGAAGTCAGACCTTAGAAGTTTTACATCAGCATTTCAATTACTCTGGGTTGCATGAAGTGGTTGTGTGAATGAAATCAGCTTGGCCCACACAAGGTTCACCTAATTACTTCTATGTAAGGCTGCTGTCCTAAGTATCGCCTACAGATTGCTTGGGGTTGCATAAAAAGATACCATGCATGCAAAGGCCTGCAGTAATACATTTTTTATATATTTAAAAGTTTTAAAAAGTAGGTAAAGGACCCCATGACGGTTAAGTCCAGTCAAATTTGACTATGGGGTGCAGCACTCATCTTGCTTTTCAGGCCGAGGGAGCCGGTGTTTGTCCACAGACAGCTTTCCGGATCATGTGGCCAGCACGCCTAAACCACTTCTGGTGCACGGAACACCGTGACAAGTGCCAGAGCTCATGGAAACGCCGTTTACCTTCCTGCTGCAGCAGTATCTATTTATCTACTTGCGCTGGTGTGCTTTCGAACTGCTATGTTGGCAGGAGCTAGGACAGAGCAACGGGAGCTCACTTCGCTGCGCAGATTCGAAAAACAATCTGTTGACTTGTAGAGTTATTGGGCCATTGATTCCAACCCCACATTAACATTGGCATGAAAATTCGTACAAACTCATGCTTGTTGATAGTTGCAAATCAAAAGCTGATACGAGGAAAAAAATGGAAAAGGCGCTTCTAGAAATAATTTTTTTTCCTTAGTTGTTTTTTATACATCTTAAGGTAAAGATCATGGATCCAAGGAGAACAAGGCTCCCAGTGGCTATTAGCTCTGATAGCTATGTGCCACCTCCAGGGTTGGAGGCAGTACGCCTCTGAACACCACCAGCTGCTGGGCAGCATTGCAGCAGACATGTCCCTAGTGTGGGCTTTTCATAGGCATCTGGCTGACCACTGTGAGTACAGGAAGCTGGCCTAGACAGGCTTTTTGGTCTAATTACACAGGACTTGGTGATTTCCCTGTGAGCATGGTAATTCTTTAATTATGGCTACAACCCAAGGGTTCTGAAAATGCCACCCCAGGGACAATCAATATGTCAAACTGTCACACTATAATGTGGTTACTACAGTCAGCATGGCCACACAGATTCATTCCGATTGTAATGGTGTCAAGAGTTCCAGCTGTTTCCATATGCCTTCATACACATACTTACTTTCTGCATGCCATCTTCATTCACACAGATGCTCTTGAAAAGGGATTTAAATATTTTGCTCAGTGTGAAAGCAAAAAACCGTATAGCTCCCATATGCATGCTATGCGCCATCTCGTCCAGAATTTCTGCTGCTTCTTCTTGTATGATGTCAGGTGATTCACCTGTCTCTTTCGATAGCTATGTGAAAGATGAAGAGCAGTAGTGAATAAAAACCAAATGTCTCTGACATTTTGAAGATTGTTTGGCACACAGTGGCCTATAATTGCTTTGTATGTGGCAAGTAAGAATTGTTGAAAAGGTTTACTCTCTTGCAGCAAGAACTACAAGTGCAGGTGCAAAGGAAATTACGCCTTGAGGATTTATCAGCTGTGTGACTAGCACAAATAAAATAGGGTAATCCTTTTCTTTTATGGAAATACAATTATGGGGAAAGCCCCACCTGTTGATAAAGTTATAAATCCCTGAAACAATCCATTTCAAAACACATATGAATTACACAAATCATGCAAAGGCCAATCCAATAAAACTCTCTCAGCTGAAAAGACCACCTCCACCTGAGTAAGACACAGAAAACAGTATAGATGATTATGCAATTTGAGGAATTTCTACTATAAGGGAAAGAAAAGAAACAAGATTATACCCTGAGAAAATCAAAGCAATAGCCTCATGGGTAGAAAAAAAAACTGGCAGTAAACAAGGGTGCTGCTCAAAGAAGACCTACAAATACATTAACTTCTGAAGTAAGAATTTTTTACTCACGTATTTGATGACATATTGAACTTGTTCAGATTGCAGAACAATAGTTTTAATGGCACTTGGCTTACAGGGAGAAAGTTCTTTATAAACAACAGGTGTGTAGCATTTCATTGCATATCTGAGGTCACTGGATTGCCGCCTCTCTTCCAAGATATCTTCAAAATCATCTTTTTTCTTTGATGTGAGGTTTTTCTGCTGGGAACATAATGAATGAAGAATCAGACAGTAACTTAATCCATGCACAGTGCAATCTCATGCATATCTACTCCGAAGTTAAGTCCTTATAAAGTCAATAGGACTTATTCCCTCATAACTGTGTATAGGACTGCAGCCTAAATAGCTTTCTGAGGTTTGTCAGAGAAAATGGTGTCATGACAGTAAAATGTAGAATTAGCAACATCTCTGCTATCATGAAATCCTTTATCTCTGCTGTTATGAAATCCAATAACTTTACTGTCATGAAATCCCGTATCTCTGCTATCATGAAACCATTTTGTAATATTTGCTTTTATTTAATTAGAGTTCAACCTACACAAATGAGCCACAAGGCTTAACAGCTGAGTTTTACAATCAAGGAGCTGGCTGGCTGGTTTAAATTAGTATGGCAAATTCAGTTCTTCACATGGTCTTTATTGTCCATAAGGGTTGTCATCTGGTAACAAAGGCCGCTATGAAAATAGAAGGTACAATTGGCAATACTCCCCTTTTATACAAATATTAAAAGAGCATCAGAATCTAACTATAGTCTTAACAACCCAGTGCTACCCACAGTCCCCAAGCTCTCCAAATCATCCTTTGCATATCCACTTCCTTCTTGTCAATAGCATACACAAATCCTTTGGCTTCTAGCTGCCTCAATGTTATGCATTGCCTCTGTCCTATTTTCTCCCTCAATTCCATCTCCATTGTCAATTGTTTTCTTGAGTACCTCTTTATCTGTCCATCAGTTTTGTTCCATGTCCATTTGGTAGTCCGTCTCCCTCCCCACCGTAGCATACAGCCCTTACTGACCTTAAGTGGAGTTTCTTCAGAGCTTTTCTCCACCCTGAAAGCGTTGAGGCAGCATTGTCCCATGGGCAGTTTGGAACATTCACAAGTTGGAATGTCCACACCAATTCAGCCAGTAACTGTCAGTGACCTCACTGCCACAAGTGTACTAAAAAAACAAATGCACTGATTTCTACAAACAGGAGAACTGTGCATTTCAAATTGTTGTGTGTGTCAATGAAAGAAGATTTACAGATTAACCTGCATCCCTTGGGAAGGCACAGTAGCTCAGTGGGAGAGTGCACATACTGGATAGAGAAGATCCCTAAGTGCAAACAGTGGCATTCCCAGTTAAGAGGATCCCAGACAGCAGAGCTGGGAGAAGATCCTTGCCTAAAACCTTGGACAACCAGGCAGAATCGATAGTACCAGGCTAGATGCATCAGTGGTGTGACTATATAAGGATGCTTCAAATGTGTCCATATATACATTATCCAATAGTGGCTTCTTCAACCCAGCATGAGATGCATACGTACTCACAAGTGCTGCTCACACTGTTGAGCCCCTAGTATCTTCAGGTCTGTGTTGATGAACTGAAGTATACCCAACATAGGTGTATGGCTCTGCTCTGCATCTGTAGGAATTCTTACACTAGCACTTGGGGCACATGGTTAGGAAGGGGTGGCAGAGGACTAAGACTGCAATCTTCTACAAGCTTCCATGGGAGCAAGTCCTACTGAACTCAGTCTGAGTAGACCTAAATAGGATTGCTCTGTCAGTCTTCCTGTTTCAGACAAGAACAACACTGCACAAGAGACATACTGGAGGCAAAACGTGCTACTGCTATAGAAAATCCCTACTGATTTGCTTATTCGATGAAAAAAGGCTCCAGCATAGAATCATAGAATTGTAGGGTTGGGTCATCTAGTCCAAACCCCTGCAACGCAGGAATAAATAAATTTGTACGCATAACACATGTGACACATCCCAATGCAATCTGAAAGAAATGGATTTGCGAAAAGCCAGCCTAGATGACTGGATCCATGAAAGCACCACCATACTGCCATTAACATAAAGACAGGACTAAGGCAAGGCAGTACAGAGGTGCTACATTAACAACTTTCCTGGCTTGCTGTAGTTTAAGCCTTTGACATTAAGCTCCCTATTCCAGGATGGCAGTAGTCACAAATACCACCCAACTCAGCTTCTTTTTTGTGGGAATTTTCTTTGACAGAGCACTGAGAACAAGGAATTATAAATAAGTGGAGTTTGCAATTAAAAAATCCAAAGATACAGAACTAGCTGTAAGGAGTGCAAGTTTCTTTGGTTACTACAGATTTATCTGTTACCAAATGGACAAACTATTCTCATGAGAATGCATCCTTCCCTATTCTCAATTGGTTCTGAGCAGTGTTTGAAACTCAGATATGAAAGCTAGGAGCTAAATGGCACCTTAAACCTAGGTTATGGGCGCAACAACAGAATGTCTAGGTGCACTTTTTTATAACAAAAATACAAAGCTGAAAATGAATGAACTGCAGCTAAAATATTTTCACATGGTCTAGTCCTTCCCCTGCCAAACCCCCCCCCCCAATATTCTTAAGAGGGTCTCTTCTCCAGTCTTCATACAGTAGCTGGAAGCGGGGAGGCAGAAAAAAGCCCTCCTTTCCTTCCACTCTGCAGTTTTAATCTGAAATCATAGGTGTAGTACTGCGCCCAGAGCTCAGAAACTGCTCACGTAAATGAAATTCCCTGTCACAAAAGGCACCTAGAACAATGGGAGTTTCAAACACTGCTTCTGAGATGTGGTTGGCAGTACTACATTACAAGTTAGGATTTCTACCAATTATAAGCACTGGTCTGTACAGGTATCTCCTCCTACATTTCAAGGGAAGGGGAATTTTTAGCATCTTGATAAGCCAGCTATTTGAAGGACTGTTGCAAGAGTACATACAAGTTCAAGTGTAACAAAACTGATTGAAACATACTACCGCAAAATTCAGCAATACCTGCAGCACTAGTTTATGTTCTGCAGCAGGACAGGGACTGTAGGAAGAAAATGCACACACTTCCCTTTCAAGACAGTACTGTCCACCTTCCTTTGACGCAGTAAAAAAAAACCTTGTGATCAAAGAAGCAGCCTGGATTCCCATTCCTGTGCAATCCCTGCTGCCTGAGATTGCTCAAATCAGTTGTGTCCACATAGCTCAGGTTTATTCCCTGCTCTTGGCGAAGGAAAAGAGGCTTACAGGCTTTACAGTAGATGAGGGAAGGCGGTGGTGCGCCAGCCAAAGTGACAGTTCAGTGGAGCTTCCTCCCAGGTTAAAAACACTTATTTACCCTAGCAACCAAACTCACAGCCCTGCCACACACAGAGCCTATCTTCAAGCGACCATGCCAAAAAGGCTTCAACATATTAATAACTCTTGTCTAAACGGACAACGATTCTTTCTTTCGGGATATCAGCGCCCATGCACAAAAGACCTTGCACTTCTGTGTTGTGACAGCCCAGTAAGCATGTCTGGCACATGAGCAGGCAGGCTCCACGTGAGAGCTGCCTGCTGTTTATGGCGTGGAGCGGTGGCCCCCGAACAGCTGTCAGGCAGGCAGCAATGCAGCTGGTGCAGTTCCCCGCCTTCCTTTCCCCGTGTCCCAGCACTGAAAGAGCATGCACCCTGACGAACTGCAACCTGCCTGTCATCGCGCGGACCTTCTGCCCACGACCAAGAGACTCACGCGGAGAGGTCAGCGAGGGGCGGCCGCGCCTCCCTCCCAGCCCTGACGAGGAAGCAGGGCCCGGCCGCTCTCCTTTTCCCATGGGGCTTCCCAGCACACAATGCCGCCCCACCCTCCCTAGCCACGGAGCAGCAGCCACGGAGGAGCTGGGGGGACAGGAGGCACTTACCGAGTACATGGGGGTCCCTCGCCGGACGGCGCCACTGACTGCAGCCGCCATGGCCAGCTTCTCCTGCCGGCAGCCGTTGCCTGGCTAAGCCCTCTCCTTCCCAGCTGGCTCCCTCCTCCGGGGGCCGGCAGAGCCCATGAACCCGCCCCTGCGCCCGTCCTCCTCGCCTCCCTGCCCGGCGGCTCTTCCAGCGCGGACTTCAGGAGGAGGGAGTAAGGAGAGAGGGGATGGGCGGAAGTGCTCTGTGGGCGCCGCCATCTTGCCGGGGTGGTGGCCGAGCGAGGACAAACCTCCTCCTACGGCGCGTTGCGGATGGACTAAGTGAGCCGGCGAGGAGGAGGAGGAGGAGGACTCGAGCATGGCGGCGACCCCGGCGGCTGGATGCGAGCTGAAGCCGGGGGAGGACGACAGGGAGGAGAAGGGCTCCGCCTCGGTCAGCTGCCTGCTCGACGCCGTCTTGAGCTCCTTGTACGACTTCGGTGCGTGAATGGCCGCGTGCGGGGAGTTGGCGCTTTGCAAGTTGCTCCAGACTCACCACCCTCCTCACCCCCGGAAACTTCTTGCAAGCGTCTCTCTCAGACTCGGGCTGCTCTCGTTTCTTCGGCACATGCTGCTTTCAGACGTTACAAAATTCCCGTGCAGCGCTTCCCGGGCCACATGCACACCATGCCTTTAAGAGCAGCGGTCCTGGCTTCCCACCCGCAAGGATTTTGGGAGCTGTAGTTTTAAGGGTGCTGAGAGTTGTTAGGACTCCCCTCTCTCCGAGCTCCCTAGGAAGACGAGGGATTGACTGTTAAACTACTCTGAGAATTGTAGCTCTGGGGCTTCCTGACCCTTCTCAGCACCCTTCACAAACTACAGCTCCCAGGATTGTTGAGGGGAAGCCATGACTTGAAAGTGGTCTCATGCATGGTGCTTTAAGTGTATGCTGTAATTGTGGACCCAGTGTATAGGGAAACACGTGTGGTGCTTGGCTGGGGTTTGTTCCGTTTTGCCATCCCGGCTATTAGGCAGATACATGGAGGATTAGCTTTTAATCTCCACTGTGAAAGGCAGTATGCTTCTAAACAGGAGTTGTTTTGATCCGGTCCTGCTGTGTGCTTCCCACGAGAATCTGGTTGGCCACTGTGAGAACAGGATGCTGGACTATTTGGGCCATTGGCCAGATCCAGCAGAGTCATTCTTATGCTCTTACTTTGGTTTTACTTCTGGAAAACAGCTGAGTCTTCTTCAGCACTTTTGCAAAGGCATGCTGCTTCAATGGAACATTAGAACTTCTTTTAGAAAGCAGGCAGCTTATGATACGGCTTAAACTAATTGGTTGCTACTAGAATTGTTAAAACAATAAAGTAGTAAAGCAGATACTAGTTCAGCAAAGATGTTTGCAACTCCAAATCCAGCAGGCCAGAGTGGATCAAAACTGGTGTAGGAAAGTAATCAAAATTGCCACCTCAGGAACCTCTCTGAGGCTTTTTAGTTCAGTGTCACAATGTCAGAACACAGGGTGGTGGTGAAGGTCTCTCTTCCTTAACCACAATCTATATTCATTGTTGTCCTATGGTTACAGGTCACTCCCTGATTTCATAGGTTCCAAAATAAATGGTCTTTTCATATTTTCCTCCAGGGCCCAGTGGCGTAGCGTGGGGGGTGCAGGGGGGGCCGGCCGCACCGGGCGCAACATCTGGGGGGGGGTGCGCTCGCACTCGCAGCTCTCTGCCCCTACCTGGCTCACTCACTCTCTCTCACTGCAGTGCTGGCTGTGCAAATCTGATCCGAGCCGCTGGGTCGCCGCCCACTGTGGAGGGGGTGGGTGCCAGGCGTGCGGTGCGGAGAGAGAGCGAGGGACTATCTGGGGGAGGGACAGTGCAGCGGCCGCCCAGCGCAGCTCTGAGCGCGGGAGAGAACCACACCAGACCAGCCCAGGCAGCAGCAAGAAGAAGCTGGCAGCGGCGGCAGGTTAAGGGTTAGGGGGCGCAAATTACTTGCCTTGCCCCGGGTGCTGACAACCCACGCTACGCCGCTGCCAGGGCCCCATCCACTTATAGATTCCCTGCACTTAAAACTAAAACATTTTTTAAAATTAAAGCGGGAGAGATTTTGTGTGTGTTTCCTACGTGGTTTGTGGATGTGATCTCTCTAAATAGTAAACATTCATTTTATATTTAAAAAATGATGTGGTATCCAAAATCATTCCAATGCCTTTGTTCCAATGCCTCTGCTAACCATTGTTCACTTTTAAACCACAGGTGAATCATTACCGGATGGGGGTGGAAAGAAAAAGAGCAAAAAGAGAAATTCAAATGAGAAGTTAACATTGGCGGTCAGCAAAACTCAAGTGGAAAATAAAAGCATGATTCCTGAATCTGGTGCAGTACCTTTTGGTAAGAAGAATAGTGCTTCCAGTTTCTTTGAGAGTCTGAAAGATGAACTGGCTTATGACTGTATTCATCAGAAAAGCACTATCCCCAAATCCAGTTCCCCTGATGCTGATACATGTAAATCTGCTCGGTTGGGAAACACATCAGAGATTGAAGTTGTGACATTTCATGGTCGACCTAGAAAGAAGAAAGCTAAACTTGAAATTGCTGAAGATGGTGGTTCTAAGGTAAAGTTAACCAGATTTCAGATCAGACCAGCTACAGGTTCTTATTCACTCCAGTTGACTAAATGAGTGGCTGTTTACAAGCCTGTTTCCGTCTACAGAACTCTAAACAAGTTGCCCTAAGCATGTTCACTTAGTAAATAAGACTTACTGGAAACATTTGGACAAACATATCTCAGCTTAAACCTTTTGCCCATGCATGCAGTTCCATTGTCTCTCGTTCATACAACTAGTCAAACCAAGAAGCCTCTAATTAAACACATTGTTCTGTTTTGTCTGAACCAGGGAGCTGTGTTTTGCAGCTTTGGAACAATCAAAGATATTAAGACAACTGTAAACCATAGTTTTATCATCTGGCTTGTTCCGAAGCCAATACAGTAACTATTGGTTCCCTGAGAACCTTTGGTTAATCAGATGCCTCCTGGTTTGACTGCTTGCACTGTGAAGGGAGGGGCAAAGCAGCTGTATGAGCAGGCATAAGTCTCTGAAAAGGAGCAAGGCCACTGTGTTTAGTTGGACACATTTCATAATAAATGGGCTCAGGATTGCAGCCAAACAGAACTGAAAGTACTCTAGCATAAGCTGTAGATAAGACTGTAAATCTACATGGTTTGCTTTTATGTGTATATTTTGGAATTGTGACAAAATTTGAAACCTCAAGGATACTTGTTTTATAGAATAAAGGCGAAATAACAGGTATAAGTACTGGCAGAACTCATGTATGTTTTATTAGTATATTTGTAAAATCCTGTGGATAAATAAGATAGTGGAATCGGTTATGAATCTCTTTATGGCCTCTGAAATGAAATTCTGCTCCTAATCTTATTTCTTTAGAAGGATGGCTTTTAAAAGTATGAAATCTGGGTTAAAAAACTCAGTTGGTTGGTATAACAGTAGCCTTTATATAATGTTCTGGAATTATATGTTTAATGGTAATATAAGACACTCCCCAGGTCTTTTCTTTTTTTTTAAGAGGATAATAACAATTTACTATTTATATGCTGCCCATCTGACTGGGTTCCTCCAGCCACTTTGGGCAGCTTCCAACAAATTAAAACACAATACGACATCAAACAGATGTCTTCTAAAAGTCAGATAGTTTATTTCCTTGCTACAGTGGAATTTTTAGGTTTATATCAGCTGTAAAGGTTTTGGGGTTTTTTTTGCTGAGTCAGGATTTTGGTTTATCTACTTCTGTGTTAATTCTTCATGCAATAAAGTACTATCTTATTTTACAGTGTTACCCACACTCAAGACTTCTGTGGTCCTATGCTAGATTCTGACCCATTTTTAGCAATGTTTGCATTAGACATTCCAGTTCCACTCCACTTCTTTCTTGTATCTCACGCCGCTGGTACAGTAGCCTCCTACTGAAACTGGCTTCTGATTGGTGGTTCAACAAGATGTCATGATGGGTGCTGGATTGCCAAACACAAGCATTGTGTGGTAATTAAGTCTAAGCTGCATGGTTTCATTCCCAGAATTTTATCATCAGTTTTTGGGTGTATAGACATGTTCTATAGACAAGTGCTTAGGGCTCTTGCAGTACTGGTTTACGTCATGTGAATGTTGCAAGGAGCTTTGTAAAAGATAGAATGAGCATTGTAATTAAATTAGAACAACAGTTGAACTCCTGAAAGCATCTGTGTGCATGATGACTATTGTCTTCTAAAAAGAAAAATAATTGCCAGTTTTGACCCTGCAGAATCTCTTTACATGTTTGAAAATTAATAGAGTATATATTTGGTAATGTCTCTATCTGTGAACCATGTATCCTGACCCACGTCATTGCTAACAGGGCATATTGATGAGAGAGCCCTGTGATGCTTTCATTATATTCATTCATTGTCTGTCTACTTCCTAAGGCTATGAGAAGGTAGCATGTTTTATTTAATATCATAAAAGCCTTGAAAGATATATTACCTTTATTCCCATTTTACAGATGACCTACTGAGGCCATGAGATCATGACTTGCCAGCAGTCTAAGGCACAGCAGATATTTAAATTAGACTCTAGGCCAAAGTGCTGTATTGTATTGATCTGGTGCATAGATAAACAAGCTATCATTCAAGTTATCATTACATGGCTGTCGTTCAAGTTGTAACTTCACTTCTCTGTCTCTGGGCAAACAGAACAAAACTTCAGCATTCATGCACCTCCCACAAGCACATATATAGTGTGCTCATTTGACAGAAGAAATTGATTAGGACTCTGGTTATTGGGTTAGGGGTTTTTAATTTATCTCTCCCTTAATCTGAACAAATTCTAGGTTCAAAAAATGTGATGGGAAATTGCAGCAAGAATTCTTATTTTTGCAATCTATTTATTTTTGCACTTTATTAAAAATAGATTTTACACAGTAAATACTACCCTCAAATTCCGAACAGAGTGAATGAAATGTTTACCAATATCCCACCAGAATGCCTCTTAATTGCTTTCTAGCAGCTGTAAACCTGGGCTCAGGTAGACATCCGCTGGAAATATGTTACATAAAATTGATTCATCCCCTGCTGATCTTGCAGCGAAGGTACTCTAACCAAAACAAATGAAGCAAGGCGTTCTCTGACCTAAAAAATATAGGGCTGTAGCACTTTGCAGTGGTTCAAGTCCTATTTGATGAGCATCCAAAGGTCTTTTAACAAGAGTTGCCATTACGTCTGGCCACCTCCTGATGTGAGGGTGCAGGTTATTTGAAAACATTTACAGATGCAGTTGAGATCTTAGCAACCCCAACAACCAGGCTTTTATGTTTTGTCGAAAATAAGAGCTATGGTAAAAAAAAAAAAAAGATCTCAGGGCAGGTTTTGACTGGGGGGAAATGCTTAAACAGTTCAAGTTTGTAAACTGTTTTGTAACCACTGGTGCTGTTTGTGGAGACATTGAGGAATGTGAATGAACTGACTATTATGAGAATAGGCAAAACACCTTCTGCTCTCCTTTCTTGCATGAAACGGACAGAACAGGTTCTACATATCTGTAGACATAACAACGGCATTTTTGAATAGAACTGACTCCCAATGCAATGTGAGTAAAAAATGGGCAGAGGGCTTCCCTGAAACCACATGGCACTGGCTGAGACATGGAATTGCAGAAGACTATTGTTGTTGTTTAATCGTTTAGTCATGTCCAACTCTTCGTGACCCCATGGACCAGAGCACGCAAGGCACTCCTGTCTTCCACTGCCTCCCGCAGTTTAGTCAAACTCATGCTGGTAGCTTGGAGAACACTATCCAGCCATCTCGTCCTCTGCCGTCCCCTTCTCCTTGTGCCCTCCTGCTTTCCCAACATCAGGGTCTTTTCCAGGGAGTCTTCTCTTCTCATGAGGTGGCCAAAGTATTGGAGCCTCAGCTTCACGATCTGTCCTTCCAGTGAGCACTCAGGGCTGATTTCCTTAAGAATGGATAGGTTTGTCCTTCTTGCAGTCCATGGGACTCTCAAGAGTCTCCTCCAGCACCATAATTCAAAATCATCAATTCTTTGGCGATCAGCCTTCTTTATGGTCCAGCTCTCACTTCCATACATCACTACTGGAAAAACCATAGCTTTAACTATACAGACCTTTGTTGGCAAGGTGATGTCTCTGCTTTTTAAGATGCTGTTTAGGTTGGTCATTGCTTTTCTCCCATGAAGCAGGCGTCTTTTAATTTCGTGACTGCTGTCACCATCTGCAGTGATCATGGAGCCCAAGACTATTACAAAGGTGCTATGTGATCTTTTCATTCCTTTTGGGGATGGGTGGGTGTGTTTGGCCTATCTTGTTGATAAGGTTAAATACTTCCACCCACAACGAACAGAGACTAGATTTCCTCCAGTGTAAGGCATACAAACAGAACATCCTGGGAGGGCAAACATTTTGCTGTTTGTATCCCGGAAAATGAGACCCACAGAGTAGGAAATGGTGATGGTGGCTCTGAATTACACAGTCCTTTAGTTTGAACAACATGCCAAATGGTATTTAACTAAGTTGGCTCATGTCAAGTTTGTGGTCAACCAAGACTCCTAGATCCTTTTCACATGTACTGCTCTCAAGCCAGGTGTCACCCATCTTGTATTTGTGCCTCTCATTTTTTTTGTCCAAGTGCAATACTTTACATTTCTCCCTGTTAAAATTCATCTTGTTTGTTTTTGCCCAGTTCTCTAAGAGTACAATGGGCAGAGAAGCACTTTTCGCAGTCTTCATGTTTCAGTATACTAAGTTAACTTTTTAAAACACTTGTTTGTCAAGGTTACAGATATCAAACAAAGGACGTAATTCAAGCAAATTTGAAGTGACATTTTGTGTTAAACTTTATATATTCTGTTAAGTAAAAGTTATAGATGTTCTTTTTCTTTTGTTGGAGCTGTGCCAGAAGCATGCAAATCAATGTGCTGGAAATGCATGTGCTATTTTAGCTCTGCAGCACAATCCTACATGCCTTCTCAAAAGTAAGTCCCACGGATCTCAACTCAGCTTACTTCCAAGAAATTATCAGTAGGATTAAAGACTTAATATGTTTGCTTAAATAAAGAATCAGTTGTTCTCTTTTAGTAAGAGCTGTATTATAGCTCTTAATCAAAAGCTGTCCAAAATAAAAGTTTACGCTTTTATGCCATAACCCTGGAATCATGTGACTCTGCAACCACTGCCATAATCTAGTTGTGTGGCAAAATGCACTTCGTTTCAAAATGCTGTTTTGTATTTTTTTTAAATAGGCAGAATTGACTGTTCAAGAAAACCATGCCGCTGACCAAGAATTTAACTTGGAAAAAGTAAGTCTTCATTGTTTTTCTGTTTCAATGCATGCAGATGGCTGATGTCTCAAAGAGACTGCAGATAAATCTGTATTGGGTATTGAATTATGAAATGCTTTATCCCTAAATGATTGCTCTACCAGTGTTCAACGTGCACAGTATTTTGATGGTTGCTAGAAAAAGGTGGTTGTATACCTGTAGGGATCCTGGGTTGTCAGAATGCCATAGTGACAGTCTCTATGTCAAAAAGAAAATCGATTAAACCTCCAAAATGAAACAGGGCACACATAAATGGGAGTTCCTTCTACAGGTATAAAGGTTCCCTGTGTTGCCCAAACTAATCTTGCAATTTTCTTTTAGGATTCTAGGGGATTTGTGTGGGATTTGGAAAGGGCATGCACAGAACTCTGAAAAAGAAAATCCATGAAATTGTGCTCTGGGAGTGGGGGAGAGAGGATTAGGCTGAGCTATGTTCAGTAGGCCCATTCCCAAATAAGTGGACATAGATTTGCAGCCAAATGCAATTTATTTGATACTGGTAGCAAGTTGTCTTCCATGTTTGGTTATATTTGAGATCAAGAGATGTTTGTGAAGAAAAATTGCTCTTGCAAACCCCAGAGGGAGAAATGCCCATAGAAGTGGTGGATAATTCCATCAAATGCCTCATTCTCCTCATACTGCGTTTTAGTTTTGCCAAATGTTGGTATCCTATACTGTTCCTCTGAAAACACGATTGTGTCACGCTAATCATGCGCTTTTAGTTCTTTTGAAGATGCTATTAACCATTTTTGTAATGTGCTAGGCCCGTTTGGAAGTGCACCGGTTTGGAATCACTGGTTTTGAGAAAAAAGAGCAGCGAGTTATGGAACAAGAACGTGCAATCATGTTGGGAGCAAAGGTATTGTGTCTCTTTCTCTGCTGAGCTATAAAAAGAGGACATAATTCTTCCCACCAGAAGACTCTGGATAGAACTTGGCATGGCAGTTGCACACCCAAGAGATCACTGCCAAACAGCTGGAAGGTAGTAGCATTAGGGATTTTCCAGAGAAGGCAAGAGCAGGAGAGTGAGTATTGAACTTTTCCTCTGCCTGCCACTACCTTCAGCCCTTACCTGCCACCCCTGCTCCAGTTTTCCTTCCAGTCACTGAGCCTGCAGGCAAGGGGCAAATGGTAGGGCTCTCTGTCTTCTGTTTTTCTGCTGGAAACCACTCCTCACATCACCACTACTGCTGTTAGGCAAGAAGGTAAAGGTAAAGGGACCCCTGACCATTAGGTCCAGTTGTGGCCGACTCTGGGGTTGTGGCGCTCATCTCGCTTTACTGGCCGAGGGAGCCGGCGTACAGCTTCCGGGTCATGTGGCCAGCATGACTAAGCCGCTTCTGGCGAACCAGAGCAGCGCACGGAAACGCCGTTTACCTTTCCGCCAGAGCGGTACCTATTTATCTACTTGCACTTCCTGCTTTCAAACTGCTAGGTTGGCAGGAGCTGGGACTGAACAACAGGAGCTCGCCCTGTTGCGGGGATTCGAACCGCCGACCTTCTGATCAGCAAGCCCTAGGCTCTGTGGTTTAACCCACAGCGCAACCCGTGTCCCTTGTTAGGAAAGAACTCTAGAATAAAAACTTATTCTGGTATTGCAAGCTCAACACACCCAGAGCTGAGTTTGAACCAGGGGTTGTAAAGGGCTGAACTCTAGAATCAGTTTTTATTCTAGAGTTCAGTCCCTGGTTCAAACTCAGCTCTGGTTGTGTTGAGCTTTCAATACCGGCAATGCATTTGCTTCTAACTGGGAAAATAGTGGGTGGGGGTTCTTGGTTGCATTTCTGGCAAAACAGTCCCCAGTTCATTTTTTAAAACGTTTCGGTGATATGAGTCAGAAGGCTGGAAACCAAGCCAATCCACACATCCCAGAAAGTCATACCTGTGTTAGTAAAGGGGGCCTGTTTTAATGGCATCCCCAAAGTTAAATAATCAAATTCAGATGTTTTAATATTTAAAGAAGCCAAGAATCCTCCTTTGGAGAAGGTTGCACCGTCTGTTAAGTTTCTGCTTCAGACTGCCTTTACCTTTTGTATTGATTTGCATGTTGGTGAAATGAGTCATTTTTGAAATTGTTGCAGCCTCCTAAAAAGCAGTATTTGAACTACAAGATTCTGCAGCAGAAAATCAAAGAAATGAAAGCAGCAAAGAAGGAAGAAAACATGACGGTTTGTGTCAAATGTTTCCTATGAAAACAAAATGCAAAGTCCAGCAGCCACTTGCTGGATAAAAGTTCAGGTTTCCACAAGGATGAACACTGGAAAATCTAGTGTGGGGGTTTCTGATGAAGCCACACCAGTGCCCACAGTTGGATAATAACTGTGTCATGTGCCTGGCATAGTGGCTGTTCTAATCAACACTCGTTGCAATTGGGAGCCATGTTTGATTGACTCCGGAGACTACTGGCTAGCTGCTAATGTATACTTACTGCTTTTCATTAACAGGAAAATAAACCTAATTCTCTCAAGAGGCAGAAGAAAAAAGGGCCCGAAGAAAGGTGAGACAGTATTTACGGAAGTACATCAATGAGTAGTAAAAGAAACTGGATCTGTTTTCAGCTTTGCTAATGAAGACACAGTAACCGAATGTCAGGCTAGGAACCATAAAAATGCTCAAGGCGTGTGCAAGGGCCTAGGCTTTCCCTGGGGGAATGACTTCTTTTACACATAATGCTAATTCGTAACTAACTGCTAAGGAAATGCACCTTGGTGAATCTTGGATTCACATATATCCCTGCCCCCCTTCTGCTCTTCCCCCTGTAGCCGCAAGGACATAAGAAGGATCTGCTTTTAAATTAACCAGTGTTCTTCATTATGTCTGAAGTTGAGGGAACTCTGGTTTGTTCAAATCGAGGATGGAGGACCTTTTCGAGCCAAAGGGTTGCATACCCTTCTGGGTAGCTTGCTGGGGACCACATATCAGTGGCGAGTGGGCCCAGAAGTAAAAGTGGATGAAACAAAGAGTGTCAATTCACCTTTGTACACTAGAGTAATTTCTAAATGCACTCAACTCATCCCTCTCTGTCCTCAATCCAGGGAGGCAAGGGGCATTGCCCAGGTCAAGGAAACGTTCTAAGCAGGCAAAAATACTCAAGGAGGGTGTTTAGGGACAAGCGGGAGTGTGGCTGGGGAGGGAACATGACCTGAGGAGAGTCCTGAGGGCCATACAGACAGGCTTCAAGGGCCACATTCAGACCCTGGCTCAAGGCTCCCAAACACTGGTTTAAATGAAAATTGGTTCTATCAGGCCAAGATCAAACCATTGTTTATGATCCTTGCTAGTAAGCCACACTTTAAACTAACCAGCATTTCCCAAGTCTGGACATAACAGGAAACTCTAGTTAGATAACAACTGGATATTTCCACTGTCCTCCGCATGGCAACTCTAGGAGAGGAGGAGCATGTGAGCCCGGTGCTCTTTGCTTCTTATGCACCACGCCCTGAATTATGGATTAATATTGTATGCAAAATGGGTCATTGACTATTTCTTAGAACTGCAGCCTTCTATGCCATTTCACAATCTGCTTTTAGTCCTTTTAGTTTCAAAAGTGAATTTCCATGTTACATAGAGAGCTGTAACATGGGACATGTAGAACTAATTACAGGAATCTTTGGATCCTGAACTAAATTTTTTCCTTTAAGAATAGAAGAATACAAAACAGGTTTTGTTTGGTTTTGAACACACTACTGTGATCTCCTCAGTATAAAACTCTGATAGTGTGTTTTCTGCCAATCTTTTCGCATCCTAAACAGGTAGTAATTTTAGCTACATTGTTGTATTTGGATTTAAAGCATACCTATCTTAAAACATTTCTTGTGAAACCTAAAAATGGTTAGTATTTTCGTTAGCATCTGATGATACTTTTCTTTTAAAAGCAGAAAATCGAAAAAGAAGAAGAAGCAGAGTATGTTACCAACGGGGCAGGTTGGAACTTTTAAAAACGGCACTCTCATACTTCGAAGTTCTGACATAAAGAAAATAAAGTCTTCTAAAGTCATTAAGTAACGTCACTGCATCATGTTCAAATGGAAAATGAAATGGATAAACTTTGTAGCAAAATAAACTTTTTTTAAAAAAAACTTTTCTTTAATCTTTTTATGATCTCTTATTGCTTACCACTCTGATGTCGCATTGAAGAAGGGTAGTTTAAAATCTTTGTAATAAATAAAAATGTTCTTATTCTGAAATTTTGATAAACAAATTTGATAAATTTTGATTGGCGTCCCAGTGAACTTGAAAAAAACAACAGCACCATTGTCTACTGTTTTGCAATATTAAAATGGAAAGGATACGTTGCTGTAAGGATTGTTAAGGAAATTGTTATACAGTTTAACAAACTAATTTAGAAATCTGTAATTAAGAAGAGGGTAAATTTTACAGCCTAACTGCTAATAACTCAGAGCTATGTCATCCTCTATATTTGTGTATTGGATCTCAGAAAGAAATGCATCCACAATGAATGTCCTGTGTTGTCCAGAGTTAATCTCTCGCCGCAGTAGATGTTGATGCTCCTCTGGAGTATCAGAGGAGTTGTGTGAACATGTTGTATGAACGTTTCTTGCACCTCTTTCATAGGAGCTTAGAAATTAAGGGTCCTGGCAAGCTGTGCCTGTGACCACTCCACTTCCTGGTATTGGCGTACAGAGACCGGGCACCAGTGTAATCTGTCTTCTGAATAGTAAAGGGTGTTGAGTCCCTGCAGAAAAGATTCCAATCTGAATCTTTTCAAGGATTTCTGGATCAGTATTTCTGAAGTGTTAGCCAGTGCTGCTATTGTCTCTCACAATGGCAAAGTCGCAACCGAAATGTGGCATTCTCCTTGTGGGCCAAGTTCCATGCTGGGCTTCAGTGAACACAGTTTCACAGCTTGAATAGCTATCTGTGTTTAACTCATAAAGAGACCGTGATTTCAGACTCGTCTGCAATTCGATGAGCCCATTTAAGGGAGCTCGTCTGCTTCTTAAACATACATAATTGTTTGCATTTCTTGCCTGCCTAAGCCAGTCAGAAACACTTAGCCTACAATTATGCTTTACTTTCCAAGTCAAGATCAACAGCAACCAACAATAAAACCACAACCTTTCTCCAGTTGTCTGCAAAGCAGCTGTTTTCAGTGGAACTCTGCCAGGTTCCAACATTTCCTCTCTTCCCCGGTTGTCCTGTTTCAGACTTTCCCCTCAAGTATGCCTCATCTCTTTCCTATGGAGGAGAAAAGTGGTAGTGGGGAGCTATGAACAATGGGCCTGACTCCTTTAAAAAGCAAATCAAGAAAGCCAGTGGATTCACTAGCAGAAACTGACAATAACAGGTATAGAAAGAAGCCAGTCTGAGGGCCAAACTAGAAGGGACCTGCATAGTTTGCCACTGAATGTGTTCTTTGCTTAATAAATAGCCGAAAAGAACATAAGGTAAGGTAAAGGTAAAGGCCCCTGGACGGTTAAGTCCAGTCAAAGGCGACTATGGGGTTGCAATGCTCATCTCGCTTTCTGGCCAAGGGAGCCGGCGTTTGTCCACAGACAGCTTTCTGGGTCATGTGGCCAGCATGACTAAACCGCTTTTGGTGCAACGGAATACAGTGACGGAAACCAGAGCGCACGGAAACGCTGTTTACCTTCCTGCCACAATGGTAACTATTTACTTGCACTGGCGTGCTTTCAAACTGCTAGGTTGGCAGGAGCTGAGACAGAGCAACAGGAGCTCACTTGGTTGCGGGGATTCGAACCACCGACCTTCTAATCAGCATGCCCAAGGGGCTGAGTGGTTTAGACAGGCCATTGGCCCATTGAGTGCAGCATCCTCTTCTCATAGTGGCCAACCAAATGCCTGTGAAAAAATAGTGCAGAGGCTGAGACAGACTGGGACTATGGTCTGAGGAGGGGCTCACACTTGCAAGGGAAGGAAACTGAGGAAGTTATTGAAACTTAATGCCCAGCCAATACAAATTCTGTGCTAAGAAAAATCCTCTTGTTTACCTGGATGGGGTGATGTAGAAACGTCTGGCTTTCTGTGTCGTTCAACAGAGGTAAGAGTCGCTCAGCCCAATTTCCCCCCCTGGTCCCATCCACTTCTGGCATCTGGAAGGTTGTCCATGAGGGAATGTGGCACTCAGTCTTGCAAGAGGTTCCCCACCCTTGCTGTATATACTGCTTTCAGCTTCCCTTTAAGAAACGCTGGGATACAAATGAGGTCAAGTTTCCAATATCAGAGCTGTTGTTTTTATTAGATTTTTTTTTTAAGAGTTTCAGCAAGTGAGGGCAATGTGACAATTTTATTGGGTACTCTAAACAGGCAGCTGCTCACCAGGGTTTCAGACAGGTCTCTCCCAACCCTACCTGGGAATAGAACGGCGGACATTCTGCTCCACCACTGAGCTACAACCCTTCATCAATGACAGTGCTTTGTTGCTAACTAAATCTTGCTGGGAGATTACATGGATGCAACTGTATTTTAGCAGAAAATAAAGGAGACGGTGTCAATGGGTTTGTTGGCAGTGTAATAAGAATTTATTTAAAATTTGTAAAACAGCATAAACTCATACTTTATGTTTTCCAAAAGGGGCAAATACACAAAAGTTTTGACTTGGAGACAATAAGACAAAAATTGTTTTGTTTCCAATTGAAAAAATACAAACTTTGCTACAGGTAGAAAAATTAGAAAAAGTTAAATTTTTCCCCTTACGTGATCTGGTGACATATGTACATTCCACCAGATCTAAGGATATTAACTAGGCTACACGACAGAAACAAAAAGGTCATGATTAGGGAAGAAAACAAGAGTAAATAAATGTATTCTTTACTTAAGCAAACATGAACATAACATGTGACTTTCTTTCCAATTGTTTTTGCCAACATTTAAATTAACGTCTTCCATGCTTTTTTATAACAACTTGAGAAAAAACAGCAGTTCTACCTCATGCATTAATTCTATAACATTTTCATCATACCGTGTCTTCAGGCTGTGCTTCCATTCACTATTTTTTAACAGCTTGGTATTTTTATTGACAGCATTTACCTAACACAGGGTTGTCAACTCCCATGAAACTGAGAAGGGGTTCTGGGTCCTTTAATATTGCATAGCAAAAAATAAATTCTGCTGATTGGCCCTTCCTTGTGAGAGGGAAGCAATGAAAAATATCTGTACCTATTGACTTTTTTCTGTCATGCAGGTATCAATGGCAAAGAATCGGCTTTGAATGCCAACTCTTGGCAAGCCTTCGGACTTTTTACTATTACTCTCCAAGGAGAAATATCAAGCTGGTATGAGTCTGAGGAGCATGGATGTTCCCTGCCTTCTCCTTCTGTTCATTGTGAAAGGAAAGTAAGGAGAATGCCAGGCTGCACTTTGTCTTTTGGGGACATGGTGTGTTTCTGGGCACCCAATCATCTCCTCTCATTCTTTCCTGTAACAGAGTGGGTGTCACAGGGTGGGGACAGAAAAGCTCGTACCAGTTTGAGGTTTCACTTTGGAAATTCACAAGTAAACAAGCTTATTGTCTTAAGACGATAAGTACTCTCAAAGGACAATGTAAATGTATGGTGATGATTACTGTTGTGCAATTTTAAAAGATTAGTGTAATCTTCCATGTGGGAAGAATTTTTAATCTTTGCATGCTCTTGGCCATTTCTAATAGAATGTTCTGTGTCACATCGATAGACTTTTCCCAACAATGGTGTTTAAAAGCCCTTCCGCATGACAATAACGCAGGTACATGAAGTTCCTGGGCAAAGACTTTCTGGAAGTGATCATGTGATTGGTTTCAAGGTCACTGATCTCTTATAACAGCTATTACAACACCTCTCAATTTGAAATTAAATGTTGCATCCAGTGAGCTCACACTTCTGACATGTTTATTACAGTCTCTTTGCCTGCACTCACAGAAGAGCATGGAAGTCATCATACATAAGAGTTTAAGGACAGTGGAAGAGCCCTGCTACATCAGGCCAAAAGCTCACCTATCCCTCCAGCTTGTTCTCACAGTGGCCAGATGCCTGTGGGAAGTTCATAAGCAGGATTTGAGTGCAGCAGCACTATCCCCACGTCTGATTCCCAGCAAGTGATATTCAGAGACAGACCACTGATAGCACTGGAGGTAGAACATAGCCATTTGCATGACAACATTAAAGAGAGTGATAACAAGGCAAAGCCTTGATCATGCCATCAGCGGGATCATGCCATCCTCATTGGTGTTGACATGTAACAGGGCCTTTTCAGTAGTGGTCCCCCATATGTGGAATGCACTTCCTATTGGGGTAGATCTGTCCCCAGCATTATTTCTGGAGCAATTTGGAAACATGCCTGCATACCTGGACATTTGGAGGCTGAAGAACACTGTTTCTGGCACTCCTTGTATCACTGGACAAAACAATGTTTTCAGTTGTAACCGTTTTTATAATGTTTTAACCGGTGCTATTTTTCTAGAAAAAGAGGTGCTGGAACTCACCATGAATACTTCCCTTGTTCTCTTACAATGGCAATGGTGCCCACCTGAGAAGTGCCGGAAATGAGTTTTGGTGAATTCCGGCCCAAATAAAGCTCTGATTGTAACTGTTCTATAATCCTTTCTTTAAAGAAAAGTATGGCTGTGTTTGTTACTCTGGGCTCCTTTGGGAGCCAGGGCAAGGTATAAATTAAATAAATAAAGCTAGTGTCACATTTAAAATCTGTTGCCGCTTGCTATATGCAAAATAAGATTCTCTCCCCAACTCCGCAGGGCAGGGCAGATTTTCAAGTACTCACAATTTCCCACAACAGCGAATATGTGCTGCGGCCAAAAGGAGTCCAGTACTGTATATGGAACGGAAGCTGGTCCATAGTCCTTAGATTACTACACCACAGTCTGGCTGAGAGTGTTCATTCAAGTGTTATCCATGCAGATGGAGACAAAATTACCTTCTTTGGATCTCTATGCAGCAGGTAACACTTGAAATGCAGTTGCCCCATGGATGGCTTGCCTTGTGCAGAGAGCCTCTCTGCCAGAGTACTTAGAATGCTGGAATGAACAATTTGAGCCAGACATGTAGATTGATGGGTCTGATCATGTTGGGTTTTTATTTCTCATCAAATTGCCACTCTCTTTCCTGACCAGGATGTGTGAAAGGAACTACTGGGGGGTGGGTGGGGTTGTTGCTTTTAGAGAAATCTCCTGAATGCGGTAGATTTATCCAGCCCTAGGTTAGAAACCCACTGAAATAATTAAATTAGACTGTGTGAGGATGTAGATATCATGGTGTTTGTGGAATTCTAGAGAAGCCTGGCTATGCGTATTTCATTTTAAATCAATTTGTGCTTGGTTTTGCTGCCCTGTTTGATTCTGAAATAAATATTGTCAATAAAAATAGGTAACTGCTCATTAAAAAAGAAAGAAAGAAAGAAAGGTTAAACATTAGCAATAACAAGCCACCTCCACTATATTCTTGTATTGATTGGGTTTGGTAATTTAAACTGTGGAAGGACTCACTGAGGTTACGAGGTGACTTTATGACTACACTCTACTGCACTTCCTACAATTAATGTTTCAATTTTTCTATTCAAGGATGCTGTAAAGGTAGCTCAAAACCCAGGGTTAGACTTTACAGAACTGTACCATAACTCTGCCTTATCATCCTTGCATGCAAGCTGTGGGTAGGGGGAAAAATACAGAAGAATCCAACTGAGATTTCTTGTGCATTTCTGCCTCTTGAAGTCGAAGGGCCAGGCTAGAGCTGACATTCATTGTGTGAATGTAATTAATATGTAAATAGCAGCTGCAGGGAAGCCTGAGCAGCTTCAGTATTGCAGGAGTTGGGAAGGGAGAGTTCATCAAACATTGTCTCTCCAAAGCTGCTGCTTGCGTTTCAAGGGAAGCTTCCATGTACACCAATGGAGGGCTCCTCTAAGTTGCAAATTTCAGTTTCCATGTCTGTCTGTATGTATATGGAAGGACCATGACAGGAGAGAAAGAGAATCTCCTTCTCCCGACCTCACGTGAACCCAAGGCTACACAGGCTTCCCAGCCCTCCCTGGGCTGCTAGTTGCACAACAAACAACGTACACACTGATTACATTCATGCAATATATAGTGTGGTCCCCAGTTTCAATGTACACCTCTCCCCTGAAACACACCCATAACCTAAGAATCCCTCCAGCCTTGTGGAGGCTCAAGTTTTGTGATTTCAGCCACCTAAAAAAGAGGTGTGGGTGGGTGGGTGTGAAACAGGCTTCCATGCACATGTGACTCAGTCTGGAACACCTACCTCATATATTATGCTCTGAATGTGGTGGAGGAGCGAGACATATTTCAGTTCCTCCTCCACCGCACAGAGAGGATTGCCGATCTGGTAGATGTACGGATCAGACTCAAGCTGCAGGCAAATCAGAGCTGGCGTTGTGTACATCTAGAATATGGATTGCACCGGATAGCAAACTGCAGTGCCTTGCATTGTGGTGGGTGGCGGAGCCATAATCTCTTACAACTTATTGTCCATATTAAAAGAGGAGGATAAAAGTCAAAACAACACACTTTGTCTTTCTCTAAAACACCTAAAAAACTTGGAAACCAAGTGTGTTTCCCCCCACCCCCTTTTCGTTTTGCGGAACAAGTCTTTAAAAAAATCTACAGCACTACAATGGAATGTGACCACGAATCAATAACTGACTACGCCGGTACATTACAATGCATTATATACACTAAGATGGATTGGTATGTATACATAATACATTACATTACATATTAATATCTCCTCTTAAAACTCTGATATAGCTTATTTCACCTTCCCCCCTCCCCTCAGTCCAATATATTTTGGCTATAATCCAAGGTAAATTAGACACTTTTAAGCCCATGGTGGCTTTAGGTAAACTGTCGAACTGTGGCCTTTCTCTTTATACTTTGTTCTTTCATTAATACAGTCAGGACTCAGGAGGGACATGCTCTCTGGCCTGCCTTCTAAATCTGAAAAAATCCAATTTGCAAGTCGGACCTGAATAGGTCAACTCAGGCGGTAACTCTACCCTCTTACCTGGAAGAAGCCCCACTGAACTCAATGGAACTTACTTCTGAGTAAACACCACTGTCCTTTCTGCAGTACATGGGAAGCTGCCTTAAACTGAGTCCATTCTCCAGCTCAGTATTGTCTACACCAAGTGACAGTGACTTTCCAGGGGAGATGGGGAATTATCCCCAGCCCTACCTGGAGATGCCAGAATTTGAATCTGGGACCTTCTGCATGCAAAGCAGATGCTCTACCACTGAGCTATGTCCCTTCAGACAAAGATTTCTTTTTCCTAAAGAGAAAAGAGTTTCCCGCAAGGCGGGGAGATGGAATGAATGACGTATAGAATGAAATCAGCAAAAGTAGGGTTTTCTATTTTAAAAATCTGTCAGTAGGAAGGAAACCATTGAGCAACTGCATATCATTTTTTCTTCTAATTACTGTAATTGCAGCAGTATAAAATGGGGCCGTTTTGTCAGGGAAAGTTATGAAGGCGGAAGAATGACAATGGATAGTTCTCTACACTGCACAGTAAGTAAAAGGCTTTTCATCATTCCTGAAACATCTCTCTCTCTTCCTCCTGACCCCCACAATTGATAAAGACAACTGAGTAATGTGGATTCATCAGTTGAGGTCTTCAAAGGGGGTGGAGGAAAATTTGGGGGGCCACTCCTTCAAAGATTCAAAGTTATTACATAAAAAGAAACAGCTAGAGAAGCGGGAAGCTAATGGTGGGTCCGCAATGTCATAAAGCAGGGTTGCTAATTTTTGGGAAAAAATACTGTAGCCAGTAGCAAAAGCTTTGTAGCAGTTGTCTGAAATAATTATATGAATAAAAGTCAGCAACAGCATTTTCCTTTAGTGTAAATGCACAAATTGCGTAGTCCATGCTTGCATACTAATAATCAGATAGCTGAGCTGGGTTATTAGTGTATGTTTTCCTGCAGGGACCCTCTGTTGCAATTCATTCTAGCTTATATGATTTATCATTGCCTTTTTTCGTCCTCCTGTTGTTCTTGTTCCCACAGCTGCATAGCTGGGAACTGAGGGAAGCCCAGTTGTGCAAGCAGAAGTCCTTGCACGTGGCTTCCGCTGACAGTGCTTCTTAGGTGAATCCAGCCTAACATATTTTTAACATGTTCCTATGTTACATGCTTTTTGTATGCACCAGAGATATTTAAAGTGTACACCTAAAAATGCAAAAGCTGCAAACTCATTCCTATGAAATGGCCCTTAGTTTTGATAAAAGGGAGGTGGAGATTCTGTCTAGTTTATTCTTCCCTTAGAATCCGAGAAAGAACAGAAATGGAGAGGATTATTCACTTCTCCACAGCAAGGAAGAATCCCCCTTCCAATTGCATGCATTGCCTTCAGTCTTCTAAGCTTGTGGTACACCTTTTTTTTTAGTCACAATCTACAAGAAAAGTCTAGTGCAAGTGCACCACACCAATTTATGGTGCCATATCTATATATACACAGAGAGAAATTATAAAAAAAGAACTCTGCAACAGGTGTATAAAAATTATTTCAAATCCCTTTAAAAATTGGATTGCAAGAATTTAAATTGCAAGGGATCATTGAAAGTGAAGATAGAAGCTCAATCTAACACTAACAAGCAGTGCTGCTTTACTGCTAATAAGAAAAGCCCAGTGTTCTCGGTATCAAGGTTGTATAACAAGGAATATATTACTGAAATGTGGCACTAACATTCAACTGTGATTCCGAAATATTTTACCAAATGGGACTAATACCAATGGGATTACTGGGTTTCTTGGGCCTATCTGTTGGCTTTAGGCTGGATCAGAAACAGAACCCTCTTAGTCTTTTGCATCACCTTATTCCCAACGCTCACCTCTGGCCCATAAAGCTGTTGTGATTCACAGGAGCAAAATGGCTGCCCAGCCATTTAGGAATCATGGCCGTATGATGTATTTCCAAAGAAGTACTGTATAATAAGTCATTACTATCTGTACAAGTTCTAAATTCAGACAAGGCTTAGGTCACAGTGAGCAGGGTCCATAAGATGTTAGGTGAGGTAGGCTTGATGCTGAACCCTTTGATAACTTTTAAACAAGAAATTCAATAAATAGAACAGCATTTGTCGCTACTGTCAATATATCACAGTCATATAGAAGTATCTTAAAATTAAAGTAGCATAATAAAAAGAGCTACATCTTAACAGAAAGCACCTTTGCTTGCAGGCTTAAGAGGGGAAATTACACATTTTCACGGGGTTGGTTGGATCCAAATGCTTCCTTCCTCCAATGGAAATAACTTGCTGTAATGGAATGAGTTTCCCCCCCATCAGTGGAAGGACTCTTTCCAGACCATTCTGTCAGAGAAAGGGAACCTTTCTGTCCAACCCACTGGTATTCTTTCCTTGGCAGTCTTAGTGTCTGTTTGCTACTTGCAAGACTGGAGGAAACAGGGATTGAAAGAAAAAGTTGGAATTGCATGGAGATGTTTAACTGGCGGTTCCCTCCATTTCTTCACCATGAGATTCCTAATTCTCCCACTTCTTAATCCTTCCCCAATAACTCTCCACTGTTATAGTACTCTCTGCATACATGCATGGAAAGCTCATTTGAGGTGCGTATGAAGTTCCACATCGAATCACAGAAACTATGATAGGGATGCATTTGGATCAATGCACATGAGATGCTGTTGTGTAGTAGTTCTAGGAATTGTGTGAAGCCCAATCACTGAATCCTTGCAGCAGTATAAGCATGATAATCACAAATTCAGTTGATGCATTAAATTCAGTTTCCATGTCAAATGCACACCCCTGTGCACCACAGATTTCCATGTAATATACCTGTATGAATAATAAATAATGACTAGAACTCCACATGTACGATGAGTGGAGGATGCCTACCATGATGTTCTGAACAGTAAATGTCTGCATGCAATGGCATGCCTAGTCTCCATGGTTCTGAGGTGCTGATTTTCAGGGCCACATTTGATTTCAGCAGAAGTGTCACAGCAATGTATTTTTACAATGCAATGTATGAGCTAGAATGTCATAGGCAACTCCCATTATCTCTGATGTTCAGAAATGTATGCTGGAGATAATGTGTTTTGCTAATTATTATACCCATGGACTCACATACTGCAGATGCAGATGCTGGGATGACTCCTGGCCCAATTTAACATCTGAACTAGCCAAGGTTTTCTTTTTAAAAAAAACAAAAAACAAATAAACCACATGCTACATATCAGTATGTCCCATATCTGAGGTGTTATTCAAGGCAGAAAGCTGGATTTGGAATGTATAAAATTCTTATACAGTCGTACCTTGGAAGTCGAATGGAATCCATTCCAGAAGTCCTTTCGACTTCCAAAACATTCAAAAACCAAAGCGCGGCTTCTGGACTTCTCGGAAGCTGTGGAAGCCCTGTCGGACATTCAACTTCCAAAATTAGTTCACAAAGCAGAACAGGTTTGCAACATTGGGCAGCCAAAACATTAGGGAACTGAGCTGTTCAATTTCCAAGGTACAACTGTATTAACTAAGGGCACATAATTATATCAGTGTTATAGCAGATGAGCAGAATGTTCTTGTGATATATCCATTTCTGGTGTCCTTAATTTCAGACTGCCGGTCAGGGACTGGGTGTCTTTCCTGCTTCCCGGCAAAACATATTCCCCATGCATATAAAACTAGCATATCAGGGAGATGGTTTTAGGTAAGAGGTGGGGAAGGGGTAGTTCATCATATATTGCTCAACTACATCTCCCATCATCCCTGACCATTGGCCATAGTAGCTAAGGCTAATGGGAGTTGGAGTCCAACAGCATTTAGAAGGTTACAGTTTCCCCACCCCTGTTCTACGCTAGAGTTTTACCTGGCTCTTTCTGTGGAAGACCATTTCAGCATTCCTCCCCAACTCCTGCAACAACACCTGCATCACCTGGGACTTCTGTTGGCATGTGTTGCTTTTTAACAGGAGGAGAGCATGTGTATTAGCCTAGATGCACATCTAAATGTACAAAGAGTGATAGCATCATTAGAAAGGTAAATAATTGGTAAAATAATACTCTGAAAGAACATATGGTGAAGTTATGTAAGAACTTGATTGAGCAAGGCCTCATCTTCATCCAGACTAAAGTAATGGCTGCATGATGTTGATAATACTAACCATCTCATCACAGACTGGAACATTTGCTACCCTATGGCAGGATTTGAACAATATTTCCTTGCATCATAGATCATGGTACATGAAACATGGAACAAGGACTGAGTGCTCCTTCCTCCACCTCTTGAAAACTGCCTTCAGTACTTAGTTCCTGGCTTGGTATTAAACCAGAGTCCTCTATTATGTCTGATCAGAGGAACTGTGACTTAGGACTCAGCTACATAAGTAAAAAAAAAAAAGGAAAAAGGAAAAAAAGCAATATAAATGTGTTATAACACTGAGACACCATATGATGCTGTAGAGTTCGATTCTTTGGCAATGTGATTTCCCATTATGAGCTTTACAACACATTTTCCAGAAACAGTTTTTTGATGTGTCTAGATCCAGCCTTAATCTCATTAACTAACCAGGTTTAGTATCCTAGTTAATTAATTGTGATTAACCGAGATTTCCCTGGTTCAGACGTACAGTAATGGGGAACTCTGGCTTAATGTCAAACCAATAATTAAGTGCTGAAGCTGGCATAAGGAGAGGAGGGGTAAAGAAAGAAGGAGTAGTCCACTTTGACCATGGTTTATGAAGCCAAGAAAAAATGTCTGAACCTGGCCACTAGACCTCATACTAAATACATATTTGCATTTAAAGTACATCAGGGATAGGTAACTACTGGGATCACAGAAGCAGGGTGGAGAGATGCATCCTTCCTAAAATCATTCCTTTGAAGCTGCTCTTTGAGCTGGGAGCAACCCACCCACCCTGGCTGCCAATGAATAGCACCACATCAGCTAATTTTATTATTTTTTAAGTGTGCTAAATGCACAGACACAGTTAATGTCACATCTAGTTTGGCCCTAAAAACGAAGTTGTTGCTACGTGCTGAGAGATTGACTCAGCTGGCATCTCAGATAGCCATGAAACAACTTCAAAAAGGGCTTAACTGCAATCCAACAAATACTTGTGGAAGAATATGTATGAGTGATAAGTTAAGCAAAGTCCATTTTGCTAGACTGGAAGAAGGAGGATATGAATGGTATATGGTTTAGTGGTTTTGTTAATTAAGTCCTGTTGAATAATAGAATATTGACTAGAAAGGTGGAGTGGGGGACATAGGTAAAAGAAGAGGATCTAAAATCACATAAAGATGTTAAAGATTTATTATTATTTTACTGAGTAGATATGGGAACTCTGCTTTGTTGCCCCACATGTTCTTATCTGTGTTTTAATGAGTGAATCTCTTCCAGAGATCTGCTTTGTTTGCAAATCATTTGATTATATTCTCAACCACAAAGTCACAAATCATGAAGTTACATTAGTGCTGCATGAGCTTCAGTCAAGTGCTGCAAGCAGCTACACCAGTGCAGAGGTCTGGTAGCATTATTCTGCAGCAATCAGTTTGAGGCCTGCAGCATATATTGCTTTAAAAATGGTAAGTCCTTGCTCACAGTGGAATCACTGAGAATTATGCTACTGACCTCAGTGGGATCACAAACAATTTCATTCCTGTTTCATCATGCCCAAATCTGGAGGATGCCTCAGAGGTCACTTAGTCCAAATCCCACCAGTGGGACTGGGTCCTTTATATCCAAACAGTACCTACAGTATTTGGACTGTTATCATCCACATTCAGAGACCGGAATGGAAAACGATAACAACAATGAATTTAATCCCAGTCTAATCAATGGTGATAAAGTACTTTTCACTTTCTCTGGCATGTGCCACTTGAGTGGCTAAAGGAAAAATGGATGAAAAGGAAAATGAGGCATTTTTTGATATTAAAAAAATCCACTTATGTGATTGACTTTAGATGGGCAGACCAATCAGGTTTCACGCACTGCTAATGCACAGGAAATTTGGTGATGCAAGCACTCTCAGAAGGCTGTAACATTTTGAAATGCATGTAGACAAAAAACAGTGTTAGGTTACTTAAGTCTAATAACCAATTCTGATTTTGATCTAAATGACGAATGCTTCGTATATATTTATGCCAAAATCTATTTAGAAAGATTATAAAATCCAGCTCAGATTTACGTAAGAGGAGCTCAGTTGCTCGGCAGCTTTGGTGGTCTGACAGTCTGAGGTACCTCGAGTCCTGTGTGCAGAGTCACCTGCGAGGAGACAAAAACGAAAGAAGACTGAAAACTTGAAGATGAAGCAGGAAACCTTCAACTATACCATGAGTTTGATAGCATAGGAACTAGTCGACGTGGAAGGGCTTCTCATCAGTTTAAAAAGACAGTTCTGACCACTTGAAGTTGCCCTTTTGACAAATTAGAACTCCCTCCCTCCCCCTCACAAGTAGACAAGGGGAGCCAACATAATGGTTGGACTCCCAAATCCCATCAGCTCCAGACAGCACAGTCGATGGTCAGGGAAGATGGCAGTTGTTAGCCTGTTATATGTGAAGAGCACCACACTGACTACTGCTGTTCCAGGCAATTGCTAAGTAGAAACATTTTGTGGAATACTTTCACAGCCTTAGTTAGCTATGGAGTCTCCATGCATTGTGTGGAGAAACTCCATAACCTTGCCAGACTAGAGAAGCTCCTTAGCCTCAGGCCTGAAATGCTGTGTGGGTCAGAAGTTAGTCTAAAGCAGACTTTCTCAACTGGGGTTCCGTGGAAACCCAGGGTTCTGTGAGAGGTCGCTAGGAGTTACCTCCTCTCATCTCTTTCCTGACACAACAATGAACGTTATTGGACAACATTGCCACTCCCTCACCCTTTCTGCACATGCATGCTTCTGTTCCCCCATGATTCACCCATGAAAATGGCAGGAAAGATCTGTATGCAGGTATACAGCCCCACATTTCACTTTACTCCTGAGTTAATGGGGTTGCAAGCAGATTTTTTTCTGGAAGCAATTAACGTGGAATTGAGTGCTAAACTCTCACTATATCCCACTAGATTTCTGGAAGAGTCTTTTATATCAGGGGTCGGCAAGGTTTACCTTGCCTGGGCCGGTTCACTCCAGTGGAGATCCCTCTGTGGGCCGGATTGCGCGCGGGGACTCGCCGAGCGGGCGGCTCGGTTCGGGGGTAGGTTAAACTACCCCCTTGGGCTGCTTGTGGCCCATGGGCCTTAGGTTGCTGACCCCTGTTTTATATCATGTGAAAGCTTAAATATAGTGTGGAAATTAGAAGTTAGGGAAGTGTCAGAGAAACAGAATACACTGCTTGTGTGAATGCAGCCCAAATGACTGCCTGCCCTGCCCACACCCAGAATCACCTCAGCTAAGGGGGAATTTATACAGGATATATAAAGAGTGTCTGGTAGACCTTTATCTACAGTGGTACCTTGGTTGTCAAACTTAATCCATTCCGGGAGTCTGTTTGACTCCCGGAACTGTTCAAAAACCAAGGCACGGCTTCCAATTTGCTGCAGGAGCTTCCTGCATTCAATCGGAAGCCGTGGAAGCCGCATCGGACGTTTGGCTTCCAAGAACGTTTAAAAAACGGAACACTTACTTCTGTGTTTTCGGCGTTTGGGAGCCAAAACGTACACATACCAAGGCATTCGAGAACCAACACACGACTGTGTTTCCTTTAACTAGTTAGATTTTCTTCATCCAAAACTTCTGACTTTCATACAGTTTGTGCCAGTCCACCAACAAATCATACTGTACTACTTGACTGGGCTATTTGGATAAAGGAAATTGTACCACCCATTCTCTGATTTTGATTCTGGTTACTCCCAGACAACCTGGTTTTGTTTTGTTTTATAGCTTTCATCCTGATTTGTTTGCACAAAGTTTGTGGGGAAGTTATATGAAAGGGGCAGGTTTGTTGAAGAAAAGGATCAAATCTGCTTTAATTGTACAACCTACCGTAAGTTTGTCTATTTGCAATTGAATGTGTCAGTAAGCAATTGAATCCCTACAGAAAAATGACCAGAGTTTGAAATGGCTCCATCTTATACAGAAAGATTGGCAATGTACATGAAATGTACATGGTGTGGAGTGAGAGCAGAACTTGGGAGACCAGGACTCAAATCTCCACCCAGCCATGAAGCTGACTGGGTGATGGTGGGCCAGTCACCATCTCTTGGCCTAACCCACCTCAAAGAATTGTTATAGGGATAAAATGAGGAGGGGACGAACTATGTATGCTACTAGGAGCTCCTCTGAGGAAAGGTGGGATACCAAAGCAAATAAATAAATGTGGGAAAATTAAGTTTACCTGCACGTTTCGGTTGAGGCTTAATGCAGGCATGAAGACACCCTCCACATTTTCAAATGCTGGAGGTCCCTGCTGTTGCCCATTTATGTAAAAGGTCAGGGTGTGCTTGTTGAGGTCCAGAAGAACTCCCACAGTTGCACCTTTTGAAACACCCCCTTCTGTTCTAAGGATCAGAGACAAAAATGCCTATGTTAGCTATATTACCTTAATGTATTGTACTTAATGCAGGAATCTCTTACGAAATCACAGGAAAAGAATGAAATAATCATTACTATTTTGTAGAGTTGAACCTGAAAGAAATATTGGCCCACACTTACCAAATTTCCTAAATTTGAAACTGCTGAACTACAATTTTACAAATCTTGATTTGCAGTGTTGGATATGACCCCACGTAACGCTATTTGGGTTTGAGGTTTGCAGGGCCATCTTTAGCATATGTGCCACCGGGGTGTAAAGATCCGCCCAGCGCCCCCAAATTTAGTTTAGCTGCCCCCAAATTAATTTTTATTGAGCTTTTTCGGGGAGGGGGGAAGCCAAAGTTGTTGACCTTCTTTTAGGGGGGGCGAACTCAAAGTTGTTTAGCTTTTTTTGGGGGGAATCGCTCACTGTAACAACGATGCAGCAGAAAAAAATGCTTTTGTTTCCTGACTCGTTGGGAATATTTGACGTGACGGAGGAGGGGGGTGGGGACTTTCGCTCCATTGCTTTTCACTGCCGCCGATTGAGAGGAAAATGTATACAGTAGGTATACATTTGGTGCCCCCCAGAATTCGGCGCCCGGCTGCCCTGCACCCCTTGGACCCCCGGGTAAAGACGGCCCTGGTGGTTTGTAAAACACTGTTGGTGCTTCGATTTCAACCCTTCATTTAAATGCAATGCAAGAAACTAATTTCAAATGCCAGGATTTCTAATTAAAGTTGATACATGTTTCCATGATCAACATTATCTGTATCAAGGGGGTAAAAAGTATAACGTTTTGTGAAAAGAAAATTCTACGCAACTAAGTCATATGTATGCTTTCAAATTTGTATGAAAATGTATGTAAGTGGCAAGGCTACAGAAATAGAAAAGGTCAATTTTAGGGCAACCACAGGGCACCATTCCCTAGAACAGCCCTCAAGCTGCGACAATCAACAGCTGCTCTTTGCTCAATCCCTGCTAGAAGAAGTTGTACCTGTGGCACATCTGCCTTCCTCAGAATTCTTAAAAATGAACCAAGGCCCTGTTCCCTTCTAAAATAAGATCACTCCAATTTTGTATTATATTAAACTAATACGCAGAGGTATTTGTGTTGTTTCTGTTGTGCTTACTGTTATTATTATTAGTTTTTGATTGAAAGTAAACAGGGAAGAACTACATGCATATGTTTCTAACCGACCTGGCCATCATGAAAATATGTTGCTTAAATGAAATAGGAACTCAAAGGCTATGAGACTAGCTCCTAGTAAATCTGTGTTTGTTACTAATAACTCTTGATAAGGTGACAGGAACAGCTGCTTAAACGGCAGGATCAAACTATGCTTATGGATTCAGCCAACTACTACATGCAAGACTGATTTGACATTACGGTAATGTGTTTTTCCTCAGGGAAGGTAGGCTAGCCCAACACTATAGCGTATAGAACCACTGAGCCAGAAATTTCCTGAATATGTGCATTGACCACACACACTTATGCTTTGTTAATGTCACTGGAGTTTTGCAACAGAATTACATCCTGACATGCAAGGCATAATCTTAGCATCAGTTTCAAGCAAATCTACAGCCAAAAGGGAAAACAAAACTCTTCTGGTTCTCTGTGAAGTTGACTAACAATTTCTAACTCATATGAAAAATGTCATGAGTGACATAGTATTTGCTTAAATTCAACATCAATGGAAGTTGAATGTAAAAACATGTATTCTGCAGGGGGAATAATTGTTATTAACCAGCTTTGAAAAGAAGCTATATCAGCCTCCTTCTTTAGCAGAATACATAGGGACATCGAAATATAATCTTAAATTTCAATTCAAAGTGTTGGTGCTGAGCTTCAAAGCCCTAAACGGCCTTGACCCAGTATACCTGAAGGAGCGTATCCACCCCCATCGTTCAGCCCAGACACTGAGGTCCAGCTCCGAGGGCCTTCTGGTGGTTCCCTCACTGTGAGAAGTGAGGTTCCAGGGAACCAGGCAGAGGGCCTTCTCGGTAGTGGCACCCACCCTGTGGAACACTCTCCCATCAGATGTCAAGGAAATAAAAAACTATCTGACTTTTAAAAGACATCTGAAGGCAGCCCTATTTAGGGAAGTTTTTAATGTTTGATGTTTTATTGTGTTTCTAATATTCTGTTGTGAGCCGCCCAGAGTGGCTAGGGAAACCCAGCCAGATGGGCAGGGTATAAATAAATTATTATTATTATTTTATTATTATTATCCAAACTATTGGTCCATCCATCTCAGTATTGTCTACTCTGACTGGCAGCAGCTCTCCAGGATTTCAGACAGGGAATCTCTGCCAGCCCTACCTGTAGATCAGGCATGGCCAAACTTGGCCCTCCAGATGTTTTGGGACTAAAACTCCCATCATCCCTAGCTAATGGGACCAGTGGTCAGGGATGATGGGAATTGTACTCCCAAAACATCTGGAGGGCTAAGTTTGGTCATGCCTGCTGTAGATGCTGGGGAATTAACCCAGGATCTTCTGCATGTAAAGCAGATGCTCTACTACTGAGGTATGGCTTTTCACTCTTCAATGGATACAGGAGAGTGAAGAAAACAACACACATATTTAAACAAGTTTGACTACTGTTGGAACAGTTATGCATAACATCATTATAAAAAGAGGAGAGGACCACAGTAAGAAACTAAGTAAACAATGGGTTGGAAAGGCATAGTTAAAGGGTGAGTAGTATGTCACTAAGGGATGCGGGTGGCGCTGTGGGTTAAACCACAAAGCCTAGGACTTGCAGATCAGAAGGTCAGCGGTTCGAATCCCCACGACGGGGTGAGCTCCCGTTGTTCGGTCCCTGCTCCTGCCAACCTAGCAGTTCGAAAGCACGTCAAAGTGCAAGTAGATAAATAGGTACCACTGTGGCAGGAAGGTAAACGGTGTTTTCGTGCACTGTTCTGGTTCGCCAGAAGCGGCTTAGTCATGCTGGCCTCATGATCCGGAAGCTGTATGTCAGCTCCCTTGGCCAATAAAGCAAGATGAGTGCTGCAACCCCAGAGTCGTCCGCGACTGGACCTAATGGTCAGGGGTCCCTTTACCTTTATTATGTCACTAGATCAGTTTAAATGAAACTATTGTGTAGTACTGAAGTCCTGCAAGGATGCACCTTTGTTTGACATTTTTTATTATTGTCTTCCTTGAATAAAGAAATTAGGAGAGGTGGGGGGAGGGGAAAGTACCATTGAGTAAATAGGACTCCAGCCTTGCTTCTCTGTCTCCAAGCCCTTATTCATAACACTAAGTCTTAGGGGATTGTGCAATGTTTATGGTAAATTACTATGATCACAAGGGAGGATGTTAAGACTACTTTCCATTAGCATAAGGGGGAATGTGAAGTAATAATTACATCAGGATTAAGAGAGATTGTGGAAAAAAGTATTGTAAACTACTATAATTAACATTTGTGCATTAATCAGTGCGTGGTTCTTTTGCGAAATATCATTGTAGTAATATTCTTTGGTTGAAATATTAGATGATAAAGTTCACCGATGTGATGAATGGTGAAACATTAATTTTAATGAGCACACATGTCAAATACATTTTGATCTTCAGTGGTTTCAATTTTTTTCAATTAAGTGACAATGGTTTTGATCTTAAGTTTATTTAGTAAAGTTTACAGGGGGTAGTTTTCTGCCCCCTCTTGCCACCTGATGCTGTGGAAAAGCAACTTGTGAGAGTCTAGACCCCCCCTCAACAACATGGGATAGGACAGGGAGGTCTACTGGAAGGAGGGCGGGGTTCACCCAAAATTGGACAGAGCCTTGTTAAGGAAGTCAACAAGATAAAAAATTATAACATATCCTACAGTTTTGACATTTGTATTTACCGTATGTATGACATTGTACTGACAGCTCAGAATCCTTTGGTAATAGATTTATTAATAGCAGTAAAAACTGTAAATAACAGAAACTGATTAATACCAAATACTCCCACCATAAAGTAGTGGCTGGCAAAGGTAGGACAAACCACTCAGCTGTCTAGATTGGGTGAAACTGTCGGACTGAAAGATCGTAAGCAAATTATGGGTGTGTGTGAGTGTGCTAAGAGCATCCCATGGCTGCTAGAAGCAAAAATTATGGTCTTGACATTAATGTATTTAGTTGCTTCTGTCTGATCACTGTTTTGTGATATTCTGTAATTTATCTTGAGTAAAGGCAATAGCACTCAATTTGTATATTTATAATAATATAATATAATATAATATAACATAATATAATATAAATTTTAAAATTAATAATAATCTGAAAAAGTATTTCCCTTCTGTGTCCTCCACAGAATAGCTTTTTATTAAGCTTTGGTGATATTTCATAAAATAGATTGTGTGCCTATAATCCAGTATGCCTGAGAATACATTAATAAAGTAGGTTTCTAGGGCAATGAGTGAGTGCTGCCATTTTGTCGCAACACAACATGGCCTGAAAGCAGCACAGTGTTCTAAATTTAGTAGAGATTAACATTATTTCCTCTTTAAATCTAATCAGGGTTTTAAAGGGGCAGATATCTGAGCCTTTGATGTGTATTGTTTTTGGGGAAAACATTACTCTCGGCAGGTTTAAAATTATTCTGAGAAAAGAAATGGAAACATGCTCATTGTCTTTAGGAACTTTTGAGCAGATCTCAAGCCTATTTTTCCATCCTATAAATGGGTTGCAAACTGATAAGAAACCCTTCAAGCCATTCATCCTACTTTCTCTCCAGTATTTGTGACCCTGCTATGCCAGTGTAATATGCAATATGCAGGTTGTCTAAAATAAATGCAATTAATCTATCTGTTCCTGAGCAGTGGATCATAAGTCTTGGGCTCATGAAAGAAGGGACCAGGATGGCATTTCATTTCCACCTCACACGTTAAACATATGCTAAAGTTCTGGATCTAGTGGAATTCCATTCCTGAAATATAGAATCAGCATTCCAGGGCTAGTAGAGGGGGGAAAGGCTGGAGTTAATCATAGCTAAGCTGCTTGGCTCAACAACGAGGAAATGGATAATAGACAGGATTTGACAGAATGGTAAGGATCCCCAAGCAAGCTTTATTGATTATTCTTTTTGTGGGTACTGTGGGCAGAGAAGCTGGACAAGGGCTCGGGTTTGGTGAAATCAAAGTCAAGTCTTTATCAGGCTACTGGTGTAGCATAGTGCTCAGGAAAGTGAACTACAAGTCTAGGAGACCCTGGCTTGATTCTCATCTCTGCCATAAATTCACTAGATGGCCTTAGAAAAACCAATTTCCCGCAGTCTTAAGTACTATCATCTGCAATATAGGGGGCTGATAGCACTAACCTTACAGGGTTGTAGTAAGGACTGCAACTAGATAATCTATGTGATGGGCGTAGAATACTTGAAAGTGTCACATATAAATGGTAAATATGAGCTGCTGCTGCTGCTGCTGCTGCTGCTGCTGTTGTTGTTTAGCAGGGCTATCCTTATTTTCTCCCTTTACATCAATTTTTCGTTATGTTCTAAGACAATGTTAAGTGATTCACAGTTTCTCCATTCAAATCTTAGGTGTCACATTATTTTCTCCACATTTTAAAATGGGCATAGCAAAGATGGATAAAATCCCAGCATGCAGCAGGAAAGATTAAAAAAAAAACCTTATTGAGAAGAATGCCACAGGAAGCGTTTAAATTAGTGAAGCACTAATTCAGACACTGCACTGAAAAGCTTCTCCTTTAGCAGGATCTAGCAATGCCATCGCTGATCCAACTGTGGGAGGGATGTTTTTAATGGATTTCTCATTCTTCTTGGTTTTAATGTCTCTACTCTATGTGGGGTTTATTGACTATTTGTTTGGCTGTAGGTCACTTTGGGTTGCCCTGGGCAAGATAAAGCAACTGACCATTTTAATAAATAAACAAAGAAACAATGCCTGAATCTCGCTGCAGATTTTACCACCACTGAGAGCCTTTCTTTGACTCTTTATAGCAGCACAAGCAAAATTGTACCTTGACCTCTGTGCAGATAGTCATTCCACACATGGATGTATGTGTGGTGTACGCATGTTCAGGAACACAGACGCTGACCACACCCCCTTGCCATGCTCAGTCTCCATGCACTGGGCAACCACTCTAATCAGGGGGTGGTTATGTGCATCCATGCCAACATGTGCAGGCTCTGAATTTATAGTTCATACCCTCAATTTGCCAAGGATACAAATTGTGTGTACATAGCCTATGCACTTTTATGCAAATATCATCTCCAACATAAGGGAGTCAGGCGTATGAGGTGGGGAGGCCAACAGACATGTTTCTGCCACACACACAAGGCCTCACTTGCCCAGCTGCTTTCCCTGCTTAGGTATAACATGCAAACCAACATTTATTGTAAAGAGGATAATATATAGCCTTTATAATGATCTTCAAATATCTGAAAGTTTCCAGAACTAAGATGGAGCACAGTTTTTCCACTGGCACAGAAATTAGCAGCCAACTTACACAACGCCTCTAAATATGGGTTGGCTCAGTCTACGTAGCAGTTCAGATTCTGAGGAAATCATCACCAGGTTGCTTCACCATGTGCCCTTTCCTCATAGGGGAGTTGCTCCATCCCATTGATCAACTGGATAGCCATCTTTTGAACCTTTTCCAACTTTCCAACTTAATCCATTCCAGGAGTCCGTTCGACTCCCAAAACGGTTCAGGAACCAAGGTGAGGCTTCTGATTGGCTGCAGGAGCTTCTTGCGGCCAATTGGAAGCCACAGAAGCCACATCGGATGTTCGTCTTCCAAAAAAAATGTTCATTTGGGAGCGGGAATGTTCGGCTCCCAAGGGGTTTGGGAGCTGAGGTTCCACTGGATCTTTTTTGTGGTGAGGTGAGGTGAAGTGACCAGAAATGTATTCAGTATTCCAAATGTATAATGCAATTTTCACTATTATGCACATTTATACATACATTTTACCCTGGTATATGCATTTTTGAGTACATTATTTTGCTGGAGAACTGCATTGGAAAATCTAGAGAAGTGCAGATTTCAAAGGATGTGTTTCAGTTCATGTATTCTTTCAGAAACTGTGAATTAGGCAAGTTTGTGTTTAAGTGAGAAATGAATCAGATTTCTGCCCCATCCACACTTCCAAAATTAGAGCTTGGTTGAAGAGAAAAATGATTGGAGTAGAGACTGTCTTGAGGTAATATTTTGGTGGGGAAGTTTAGTACACGCCACTTGGGTGTCCTTATTGTCAGTCTCCTCTCCATTCGCTGATTTATATGTGATTGAAGCAGGCCCAGGTTTAAATTAAGTGGCTGCTCATATTGCATCTAGCTTGGTCCATAGATGCCATAAAAAATAATGAAGTTATAATGTCAACAAATGTCAACAGAACTACACAGCAATAAGCTTCTGATTTATGGGGAAAGTTTGCAATGTCTAGAATTGAAATGCTGGAAGGGTTCCCAAAAGCCCTCTCTCTTGAGAAGTGACTTCCTGAGGGAGGAAAGTTCCACATGCACATGAGAAAATGTCTTTGGATGCTTACCGATTGGTGTGAGAATTGCAGTGCATGAACCAGCTGCGGTTGTTGTCAACATACATAGCCCATGCCTTGTCATCCTTTCCTAGCATCATGTCCTTGACGACGTTGATTCTAGCAATTCCAAAGGCTGGATCTGGATGGTTATCGTAACGGTCTACATGCAGTTCCCAATAGTGGATTCCCTTTGAGAAAGCTGCTGTGCCCAGGATGACGCGGTCATCATAGCTACTGCAAGTAGCAGTCTGGTTGTCGTTTGAAAGGACTATGTCCCGATGGGCTGAAGAGGGATCAAATGTAAACCAGGCCACTATTGAGAAAGAAAGTGTAGACGGATTAGAAGAATGCCACAAAGGCACTGGTTTGTTACACCCTATCTTGGAAGAGTAGCACCGGATCAGCAGGTGAAGACGACAGATTGTGGCCTGGCTACCCTGAGTTCCATGATGAAAGACAGGTAGGATACAAATGTACTAAGTCTGAGCGACTCTTTTCCTTCTGGGAAACATTCCAGGGCCACATGCCAGTGGTAGTTTGAGTCGATGGCAAAAGAGGGCAGAGCAACAGAAGAAGAGAAGAAGAGTTTGGATTTGATATCCCGCTTTATCACTACCCGAAGGAGTCTCAAAGAGGCTAACAATCTCCTTTCCCTTCCTCCCCCACAACAAACACTCTGTGAGGTGAGTGAGGCTGAGAGACTTCAGAGAAGTGTGACTAGCCCAAGGTCACCCAGCAGCTGCACAAGTCTACCACTCTTAACCACTACACCACACTGGCATACGCCTCAATTGTCCCACTTTAAGCAGGACATCCTGGTATTACAGAAACCATCCCAGCTTCTGATTGTATCCTGGGATGTCCGTTTGACTCCCACGAGAGTGCAGCCCCAAAAGACGCCTATTCTGGGAAGCTGTGTTCTCGCACAAGTCACCTGGCTCCCGTTGAGAGTGGGGCCCCCAAAAGATGTGTGTTTTGGGGGACTGCAGCCCCCAAAGTCATGTGTTCCAGTTTTCCTCTGTGGCACGTTGGAGGGCATGACAAAGTTTACTTTTGCACTGGAGTCTAGTTCTTACACAGACCTCTCTTTATCCTCTATCCAGGCAAGCAAGAAGCAGGATCAAAATCCAATGACATTTTGCTGCCAGGCAAAAAGGAGTAATAGTAATAGTAATTTATTATTTGGAGGGGGTGCAAAGCATGGGAGGGGAGAGGGGCTGTGGCTGGGGGTGTCTTTGGGAGAGTCCCAAAGGCCAGGTAGACAAGTCCAGGAGGCACCTTTGGCTCCTAGGCTTGAGGATCCCTATCCCTGCAGTAAATAAATAAATCACATTTAATTTCCATTGATTTCAGTAACTGAGAGCTAAGGATGTTATGCTGAAGTCCATACAGACAACCAATCTATTCAACTATATCCCTCAGCATAACTTGGTCTCTTTTATCACCTTCGTCAAGTGATAAGGAGAATTTTTATTACACATCAACTGCCAATGTATGGTAATATGCATGATAATATGTACAACAAAATGGTTTCTTATATTTATTAATTTATTGCATTTATATCCCACCTCCCCCCCCCCCCCCCCGGAGCAAATCTAGTGATGAAAATGTGTGGCATTACATGACATCATTGTGAAATATTGCATGACATCATTGTGCTGCAGATTTCCCTGTTCTTACTCTGATTTCATTGGCTGGTTCTTGTGAAGCCACAGAAATTCACAATGTGATAGCTTCATTCTATATCACTACCAGAAAGTATTAAGAGTTAAGGCTTCTGTTTCTGGCAGCAGCTACACATCTGCTAGAATGTCTAATTCTAGCCTTAGCAACTAGCTTTGTTGTACGACACTGAACATCCCGGTTGAGCTACATAAATAATAAATAGGCAAATCTTCATCTTCTCACAATCCAAAATTGTTCATCTTGGGAATTTAGCTGCAACTTATCCCTTCGCTCAGGCTTGCATATTTTGCTCTATCAGTGGCCAGGTTGATTACAAATTATGATCATCTGAAGACTTTTTTAAAAAAGAAAAGAGATTCTTGGGAACAAATGGTTTTTCCTGACATAGTTTGGCAACATGAATATGAAGAGAGGATGAGATTAACATGTGTTTTGTGATTCATGACAGTTAAGTATCATTAATCAATATTAATTTCTTCGGTTGCCCATATGGATAGCAAGTGTAATTACAGAGAACCGAAGCCTGAATTAACATCCATATTTTATAAGACATTGCTAGGAAATTATTTCCACAGAGAGAAAATGTAATTAAGCTCTGGAATTCATCATTGATATATAATTAGGGAAAGGGGGCTGTAAAAGCAATGGACATCTCCATTTTCTACAGAAGTAGCTTCTAGCTTTTAGGTGCCAATAGTTCAAGGGTCTATGTACAGTTTTCAGTTCCATAAACTTCATCATCTTTCTAGTTTCATAGGACCACTTTTACCCTCACCCTGTTGCAAATGGTATTAAACGTTAAGAGTTTAAAGCATTAGTTAATAAGGTAGTGAAATTAACTGATTTCCCACAATGAAAAAGGATTTATTTAATTATTATTATTATTATTATTTAAAAAACCCCACACAATATTTTCTACAAACTATGTGTGTGCCACACAATACTCCTTTTCTCACTAACCCTGAGTGGGCCACTTTGACAGGTGGGTGGGGCTGCTACCTATCAATTGCATGGTGTCATATGACTTTACATGACAATTTCAAAAGAAGAATCAGCAACACACTATGAAATTGAACAAAAATATTCATCTGTAGGTGCTGCTTGAATAAGCTGCATCTTGAAAACGAACAAAATGATGAAAAGAAGAATCTACACTGTTCCTGATTTTTCCTTTCCAGCTCTAATTCAATGCTTTTTGAATTTGATGCTTTTTCTGTTGTTTAATGATGGTTAAAAAGTTCAAAGATTTACAGAGATTTAGTTCAGTCAATATTTTGGTCTGGCCCTGGACATATTCAAAGCATTAACTGTGGGATAACCAACCTAATATACACGATACGCTTAAATCTAATTAACACATGAAGGGATTAATGCTATAGAGTAATTTGCCCTGCCAGGCTTTGCTCGGTCACTCTACCTCTCCTTGGGCGGAAGGTAATCAAGCCTACTGTTGTATTTCATTCTACCAGAAAAACGTGTAAAGAGGTGTGAGCTGGTTGCTCCAAGCTCTGACTGCATTATTGTGTTCCTACTGTAACTTGGCCAAGTTTCACTGCCTGTGTTTTCTGAATGCTGTATTGAAAAGCAGATGAATTTGACCTTTGGAGAGTTTATAAGTAAACCATTTTAAACTTATCAAACATGTGATCTTCTTCTATGCTGGGGAAGTGCGGAACTTTGGAAGAGGGGAGTTTTAGAACTCACGACGATATATTTTAAAGGTCTAACAGCCTATATTTCCATGCTTTACTTTGCTGCATATTTTGTGATTTTAAATCCCTGCTGGGGTTCTTTCACCAAACAGTACTGGGTATCCAGGGAATTCTCCTTTTATACCTATTTTTTCCTTGCCAACTAACATTAATAGGTCTATCAAATTGTGGGACATTCTCAGTCCATGTTAGAGCAAAGTACAAAGTGTGAAAGCACCTACATAAATGCAGTGATGCTTATGGAGGCTGAGCAAGCCCAATCTTAATTAGGTTTCACTGTAACCAAGTTTCCTGTCACCTAATTGCGTGCCATTGACCCACACAACACACCAACAGCTTCTATTCACACACAGCAAGGCTCAGCAGTTCATCTGGACTGTATAACTGAGTTGGAAACAGTTGTTCCGAAAACTACCAGAATCTCAAAGCTTCCATAGATTTTAGACAAAGAGAAATATTTAGAAGTAACTTTACATATCTTTAAAGTTACTCACCATCAGAAGTCTGTAAAACAACAGTCTTGCTATAAGGGCCCACTCCTGATGAATTAAAGGCTTTGACTCTTGCATTGTATGTACTGTTGAAATGAAGGCCATCAATAGTGCATAGGGTCTCCTTACCAACATACACTTCCTAGACAAGGAGAAAGGCAGCAACTGAGTTCACCAAATTCTTTTAAACCTGGGATCTTTCCTAATAAGACCCTTCAAAGTAAACCGCATGTAATTTCTTGTTGCAAAACAATTAATCTCAGCAATGTTGCGACCATGCAAGGAGAATTTGCAGTACTAGGGGGCTTGCCCCTGCTTGCACCACTTGCCACTCCAATCTCCCTCTCTCCCTAAACCCCATCCCCTTAGATTAGGGAAGGGAATCTTTTTTTTTGTTTCGTGGACCCCATCATTATCTGGATTGGCTATCTGACTGGTGCCTAAAAACAGATAATGATCACACCCTGACAAGACATTCCACAAACAGCAAGCCAGCACTGAAAAACATGATTCATATCATCACCCTCTGCTCTATAGTTTGTTAAGGATGCTCTGTCAGGGGATCCCAGGATTGTTTGGAGGAAGCTGTGACCATTAAAGTGGTATAATTGTCCTGTTAATATAGCCAAAATTGGCTAAAATGTATAGAAAGAGAGACAGAAAATGTTGGAAATCTAAAGAAGTAGATGGGGACTGTTTTCATATGTGGTGGACTTGTGACAAGGGAATCAATCTACAATGAACTTAAAAAGATATTCAAGTACACTTTCCCCAAAAGACCAGAAGCATTTTTGCTAGGTCTAGTGGGAAGAGAGATTAAAATAAAAGATCAGAATTTGTTTATGTATGTCACAACCACCACAAGAACTCTACTGGCCCAAAAATGGAAAACACAAGATTTACCAACCATCCAGGAGTGGCAGGTGAAGATGACAGATTTTGCGGAACTTGCCAAATTGACAGGGAAAATCCGGGCCCAAGAGGACCAGAGATACTATAACAATTGGAGTAAATTCATTGAATATTTAAAGGAGAACCATAAAAGCTTAAAGACACTAGCAGGACTGGAATAATACCTTCAATGTAATAGTAGGGATATGAGAATAATATACGCAATAAGATTGTGATGTATATACCAGCTACGGGGAGGGAGGGAAGTCAAGACTCGGTGGAGTCAAAGGGATTATATTGTGATAATAAGAATTGTTGGAAAAAGATCATATGAAGAAAATAATAAAAAATTATTGGGGGGGGGGAATTGTCCTTTTAATATATGATGTGGATGTGACCTTATTCTTCTGTCATGGGGAAGGGAATGGTCCTCTTCAGGGACAGGTTAAGACTGGATTGAAAAGATTTTCAATTTGATACTAAACGCCAGTAGGCAATACAAGCAGTTGTTTAAGGATGCCAAACATAAATCAACGAGGAACGAAGGTCTCACTCGGAATTGGCCACCGTCTCCGTCGTCGAGTTCCAAGATGTAACCCTCCACTGGGTTATGGCTAAAAGGTGGCATCCTCCAGGCGAGGGTCACACTGTTGTTTCGAGTGCAGCACTTCTCCAGCTGCAGGAGTGGGACTGGCGGCACTGAAACAGAAACTAAGCACCGATTAGTGCAACTCTGCCCTCACCCGTGTGACAAGCAGCAAAATCCACACACATCGCAACTGGCATTGCAGTTGCAGCTCTCTTGGCACTTAACACTCAGGGGAACATTTCTGGAGCAACAATCCCGAGGATTGCAGTTTTATGACCAATTAACACTGCCTTGTGCTTGTTTATTTTTAACCATAAGGAATATCCATATCTGGGAAAGCGGTGAACAGTGAATCTTTGGCAAAGTCACCATCTGATTACTTCACTGAACATCCAGTTTGTTCAAGATCCCACCTCTCAACTCATCTCTTGGCTTTCTTTTCTTTTCTTTTCTTATTTGCAAGCAGAATAGTTATCCATAGCCTGAACACAGAATAATGCAATTGGGCATTGGTGTGCATTCGGCACGCACTATTCACCTAGGGGACGCGGGTGGCGCTGTGGGTTAAACCACAGAGCCTAGGATTTGCCGATCAGAAGGTCGGCGGTTCGAATCCCCGTGATGGGGTGAGCTCCCATTGCTCGGTCCCTGCTCCTGCCAACCCAGTATTTCGAAAGCACGTCAAAGTGCAAGTAGATAAATAGGTACCGCTCCGGCGGGAAGGTAAACGCCGTTTCCGTGTGCTGCTCTGGTTCGGCAGAAGCAGCTTAGTCGTGCTGGCCACATGATCCGGAAGTTGTACGCCGGCTCCCTCGGCCAATAAAGTGAGATGAGCGCCACAACCCCAGAGTCGGCCACGAATGGACCTAATGGTCAGGGGTCCCTTTACCTTTATTCACCTAGAACTTGCATCTCTATAATTGAACCATACATTCTTCTACTAAAGACTAATGTTCTTGTGTTATTAACTTTTATTTTACTTCTGCTCATAACTGTTGCAGCACTTTATCTCTGAAACCCTTGCTTTTACTGATTGCCTGAAGGGAAAATGTCACCTTGGTTGATATTAACTAGGCTGGCATTTCGATTGGTATAAATCAGATTTGTGTAACCCACAGGCCACATATGCCCTCTAACTTCCCACATGGTGATATAGTGGAGCATTCTTTCTGCCCCAAGGTAAAAGGTGCTGCGTCAAATGTGTATCATATGTCTATTGACAAAATTCTCACTACAAAAGAGTTTAGGGATTTAATGTAAATACCTGTAGGTGACATTCCAGTTAAGCTTGCCATCTACAGTGGACTCAGCTATACAGCTGCAAATAAAACGTTTTAAGTGTGTTTTAAGTGCAATATACAATGTGACACTAGATGGCGTGGTGAGCCTTATGGAAAATTCAATGTATTTTTTTAAAAACCCTTTTTCAAAAAAAGCATTTTCAGAGTGGTTTTGATATGTGTCTAGATTCCACCAGACAGGATTTCTATTCCTGCAAGAATTCTGTGGCTGAAATTTTGTAGTTTAACCTTTGAAGCAGAGCCAGCAGAGCACAATGCATGAGGCAACACATGGGCAGGAAAGCATCTGGTGACATAACAGTAGAGCCAATGAGTGGAGAGCAATGTTTGGAATAGGGTGTGGCCAGCACAGAAATCGGCACTAGGTGGAGTGCCATCAAAACTCAGCCAGGATGGAGACATGTTAGAAGTGATGCATTTGAGGATTTTGTAATACAGCAGAGGGAATCTGTGTGACAGATGGCTGTTTGGACACTAATACAAAACTATTACTAGAAAGCTAAGTATGGGTACAAACATTAAGAGTCCCAATTATAGAAGCTGAAGGAAGTGCTGAAATTCAAATGGTCTCAAAAGGATAGATATGGAATGTACTTCAAACACCAGCAGTGATAGCTCCTAGAGCTGGAATAAACAGTAATATGTATACACCTTTGGACCACACCAGCAAGGCTGAGGGTGTGTGTGTGTCTACATTGTCTCCCAGTACATTTCCGGGCACAATTCAAAGTGTTGGTGCTGACCTTTAAAGCCCTAAATGGCCTCAGTCCAGTATACCTGAAGGAGTGTCTCCACCCCCATCGTTCAGCACTGAGGTCCAGCGCCGAGGGCCTTCTGGCAGTTCCCTCACTGCGAGAAGCGAAATTACAGGGAACCAGGCAGAGCGCCTTCTCGGTCGTGGGGCCCGCCCTATGGAACACCCTCCCATCAGATGTCAAATAAATAAACAACTATCTGACTTTTGGAAGACATCTGAAGGCAGCCCTGTTTAGGGAAGCTTTTAATATTTGATGAATTATTGTATTTTGATATTTTGCAGGAAGCCGCTCAGAGTGGCTGGGGAAACCCAGCCAGATGGGCAGGGTATAAATAAATACCGGTAAATTATTGTTATTGTTATTGTTATTATTGTCTGGGCAGCCCAGGACCTCCATATACACTGCCCAGGCTTGCATCCTAGGGAAGCTCACTTCAGTGCTGTTACACAGTGGTTTGACTTCATCTACGGAGCTGTACTCCATCGTCTCGCGAGGAAGATGGATGACAACAACAGTATATAGGTTCTGTTTGAAGAGCAGGCCCAGAACATAAGACTTAATAAGGACAGGCAGAACTATGCTGGCTCCCCTGGCCATGTGACAAGGTATAAGTCAGCTGGTGGGGCACATAATGCTGTCTAGACATTTGGGTAAAAAAAATCAGCCTGCAAGCTCTTTAGCAGACATGCTGCCTCGAGAGGTGCATGAAGTTCTGGGTGGTGTTCAACTAAAGTTTACTCAAGAGTTAGACCCATTGAAATTAATGAACATAGAAGTCAAAGAATCATAGAGGTGGAAGGGATTCCAAGGGAAATCCTACCCACAGGAATCCTACCCACAGCCATCCCTGGGTGGGCTTGAACCACCAACTTTCTGCTTAACAGCCAGACACACTGAGCCATTGTGCCACCTGATGAACATGACCACGTTACAGCCATTAATGTCAGTTGGTTTACTCTGAGTAATTTTTTTTACTATCACCCAAGGTTTAGAAGCCTAGCCAGTAAGAGTCCCAGTTTTGAAATCTTTGGTGCCTTATAGCTAGTAAAATAGCTACTGTGAATATCTACAGTTTCAATAGGTTGTGAATATCTACAGTAGCTGTTTTAAGAATTATGTTACTAATAGGTAATAATTCAAGATTTCTCTAACATAACATTACTAATTCATCTGTTCCTAGAGCAATGCTAAAGAAGCTCTTCTTTTCTGTATTATTGATGAAATTATACTTTTGGAGAGGAAGAGTTATTTCACCAATGGCAAGAAATGCACACACATTTTAATACAGTCTGATCCTCATTTTCCTTCTCCTTAGTAGAAAACATAGCATAGCTAAGGGCAGACATTCATCTCTCAGTAAGGTTGAATAAGGACAGAAGCTTGTTAAAAGCATTTCATGACTTCATTCTGCCATTTATAATAATCCACCATTTAAATATATATTATTCATTTAAGCTTAAAGTTGTCCTAGTACAACATAGACATCCCTGGACAGCCTAACTACTAGAAAACCATCACAGAACATCTGCACCCATTCCTGTCCCCTGGTTTCTTCATTCTAACTTCCCAGACAACTCACATTCCACCCAAGCTTTTTGTACAAATTGCACGTACAAAATTGCAACTGCCATGCCATAGAAACCCAACTCACTGCACCCATGATTACCACTCTCGCCAAGAGAGAGTGATGAGAAGAGGCAGGCATCTAAGACATCTTTACCCCACTCCCTATGGAGCCTTTTGGATACTTGGTGTGTCCTTTTCAGAAAGCATCCACTAAACTCAGGAACTGCACATATGGGTTTTTTTAAAAAGGAAAACAGCCCAGGCAGGCAATAGCTTATGAATCCAAGAGCTGGAAGTGGCAAATTTAACATCTCTGCTGCTTTGGCCCTTCTAGGTCTTAGCTTCAGACCTAGAAGGCAGCAGCACTGGGAGAGAGATGGACACACATTGCAACATAATATGGGGCAAATTGGATATAGATGGTTTGTCACTGAAGAAAGGAAGCACAGCATCCCTCTTTATGCCTAAACATACAAGAAGACACCTGTTATAATGGAAATATTACAGTCCAAATTCTTGCCCTGGCAAATAAGGTAAAGGTAAAGGGACCCCTGACCATTAGGTCCAGTCGTGGCTGACTCTGGGGTTGCGGTGCTCATCTCTCTTTACTGGCCGAGGGAGCCGGCGTACAGCTTCCAGGTCGTGTGGGCACGGAAATGCCGTTTACCTTCCCGCCGGAGCGGTACCTATTTATCTACTTGCACTTTGACATGCTTTCAAACTGCTAGGTTGGCAGGAGCAGGGACCAAACAACGGGAGCTCACCCCGTTGCGGGATTTCGAACCACCGACCTTCTGATCGGCAAGCCCTAGGCTCTGTGGTTTAACCCACAGCGCCACTCGCGTCCCTTACACTGGCAAATAGAAGCTATCAAACAATAATAAAATACATCCAAATTGAGACCAGGTTCTTTTGCAATTATACAATCTAAGAGAGACTTCACCTTAAATTCTCCTCATCTGCATATTCTTTTCTGGGTTTTTAAATTTTTGATGTTGCAATTTGCTGATGTTCTTTCAGTGGCTTCATTAATATAACCCATTTAGTTTAGGAAACAATACCCTTTTGGGGAGCATATTTTTGCCTTTAACTACTTTCCTAAATTCAAGCATTTTTCTGTTGTTCCTCAAGGATTTAGCTGTCAAATTAACTGACCTAATTGCTTTAGATTGAGCCTTTAGAGTTCAGAATTAAGCCAACTGAAATCAAATGAGCTTTGGATGAACAAGGATAAAAATTTACCAATGATTCTTGTAAAGATGAACAGTGCTGGTAACATCATTTACCTATGAACCATGCAATTCCTTCCAGCAGAAATCTCCTAGCAGTCTTCTGTGGTGCATCAAAGGAAATTGACCCATTGTTGTCTTTCATTTGATTTCATTTTTGTTTGTCCCTCTTTGTTCCTGTGCTGATCTTTGGGCACTTGCAATATGCACATTCCCATAAAAAGCAGCTCAAAAGAATCATCAGGCTGGAGCAGCCACTCATGAGTAGCTTTCATCCTAAGTAGGGGCTCTAGCCTGCTCTTCCAAGCAGCAGAATTGCAAGAACAATCTTTCTGGGCAATGCCTGTTCAGAATGCCAAAAGGGATACTGAAGAGAAGCTGCTAGGTTTTGCTGAGGCATTCACTCTCTTTGTACAAAATACAAATGGAGTATCATAACTGAGGGGGATAATTTGCAGAAAGGTGCAGGCTGTACCAGCTGATCCAATGTCCTCCTGGGACATAGCCTCCAAGGGCCACAGTCCTTAGGGTTCTGAATTCACACCTCCATTGTTTTAGCATATGCTGGCTCAAATGGGATAAATCAGGGACAAGTTTACGCAATAGAATTTACCTATCAAATGATACACCAGCTCAAAGAGCTGTTATTATTTGTTTATTTCATAAAATTGGTACGCCACTTGATTGTAAAAAAAGCTTGTTGTTGCATTACCCACCCTTCACCCTAAGGTCCCAGTGCGGGTTACAACATTGCTTATACAGCTATAATGTGTCTATGTGTCTTTGACAATGGAAAAGTTTCACCTGTGCCTCTGGAAACTGCTTAATATGCCCTATGCTCATAATAAACGAGGCTGTGAGTTCACAAGGTTTCTCCCTTTCATATAGATTATCCTCAGAGCATTCATCATTTGCCATGTCCACATGACGCTCTCGTCTTTCTCAAAATTTTACGCTACAGCAGAAAGGAAATTTGAAATTAACGATTTCTACATCTGAATTTTGAATCCAAAATTTGAATGCATTATCATTCACATATTCTCTCTGTGTGTATATATAAATTGCTAGGCTCAAATAGCAAATGCAGTAAGCTATAGGCTATCAACTACTGTCAGAATTTAGAAACATAGGAAGCTGCTTGAGTCAGACTTTTGGTCCATCTAGCTCCCTTTTGTCTAAACTGACTGGGTTTCAGACTGGGGACATGCCCAGTTCTATTTGGAGGTTCCAGGGACTGAATTTGGGACCTTCTGCAGGCAAAGCAGATGCTGAATCACTGAATTGCAGCATTTCCCCTGTTGTCAAATGTTAAACCTTAACAATTTTCAAACATCAAATCTTGTTGGATGACAGCTGCCAATTAAGGCGAAAAACCACAATACTATTTCACATCAGACAATACTATTGCATACTACATACAATTTCACATCAGCTATCAATACAAATACTTATACCGGCACGTGATAACTGACCAAACTGTCAAATGGTAATGATCACTGTATATCATGCAGTGAATACACGGAAATGCTTTATGATTCCATGTGAGCTATGAAATTCTGAACTCAAATACTAAAGCAAAATGGCAAATATTGAAATCAGATATTATTAGATGTAAAACACAGGCATCAAATATCAAAATGTACAAACAGAGCATACTGGAGAATATTTAGTACCCAAATCTACTCAGAAGAATTTTGGGGAACAAATTAATGTCAACTCTAGATGAATATGGTTCTTTCACACATTTTAAGAATAATGCAGCCTACGAATGAGGGCAAGCATGATTGTATGGGTAATTGAAATGACTTCTGCTGTTGATCTGCAATGCTCCAAAATGGGGCAAGGCTATTTTTTTTTATAAAGTTACAGTTATGTCAGTAAATGTCTTCACTTAAGAAAAGAACAGATGGCCCAGTCTGAAGCTTTTCATATTCTCAGATGTCTAACATTATCTATTACTATTGTCTGAGCTTGTTAGGGTCAAGGAAGAGGAAAGGGTTTTCTCATCACACAAATGCTTGGTTACATCTGGGTAAGAAATTCCCATCTTTGAGGCCCATCGGAAGTGCCTCACTGTCACCCGCTGCTTTTTGAAATCCTGGTGTAAAAGAGAGAAAGAGAGAGAAAGAAAAGCAATCTACAAAAGCTCACCCCTACATTTCATCTGAATGAAGTCCAGCTGATGAATTGACTGCAACAATGGCTCGCTATCCAGAGTGAGATCAAATTCAGCAGATACTTTGGGTTCCAGAGCTCCTTTGACCCACTGCTCCTGAGACACTTGAACACGTTTGATTAAAGCATCTGAAATCTGAAAGGGAAACATTTAATGCCCAAGCTATAAAATAATCATTTTAAATTGATTGTGACTCAAGCAAATTGTGAGTACAGGTGCTCTATATAGGACACTCTAGGGCTGGCCCAGAATTGTGTCCTCAGCTTTTGTTGTAGCCACCAAGTCTTGAACAGCGCACAGCAATTCTTTTTGCCTGTGTACATGGAACAATCCATTATGAGAAAAACATGGGAGAGATTAAACTAATGCAAATGGACCAGTCTCAGAGCAGTCCACTTATCCCTGGCTTCTGCCATTGAAATGGATGGCGTATCCCATGTTTGAATGCACAAGACCTGTGCATGCATCAGAGGGCACTTCCAGATTCTCACTATCTTTGAGTGGGATTCAGTCACATATTGGAAAATTCCAGTTGCACAATTCCAGTTGATTGGGAGGTCTTGTGCAACAAACCTGCTTCTGCAAATTATAGAATTTTTGTGATAAGGAAAGTGGTTGGGGAAGATGCATTGGAAAGTTTGGACTAATGCTTGATTCAACATTGTCGAACCTCTCTCTGAACAAATTAGGGTAAGTGCTCACTAAATTTTCAGCATCTTCTAACCTGCTTCCAAACAAATCAGGATGAATGCTTAATGAGCGAGCACACGTGGGGCTTCAGAAGTACAATACTTCATTATTATTTTCTCATTAATCACAACATTAAGAGGCAACATACCTGTAAAAACCCAGAAGGGTCATTTTCTTTGATTACTTCAAGACAATATTCCATAAGCCCTGTAGACTGGCGCAGCTTCAGAGTACAGTGGTTTATCTGGTCCCAAACAACCTGGGGAGGGGGAAATTCCATGTATAGTAGATAATCCTCTGGGCTTTCACTGAATTAAATAACTTATTTTGGAAGCAACAGCAGGAAAGCAAAGGCTCTTGCAGCCATATGGACACCACCTCATCTGCATCAGTGCCACTGAGTTGTCATTACTTAGCCCTAGCTCTTTATAAGAATTTCATCATAATTTTAATGGTGCAAAATAATTTGGATAATTCATGGTTAGGACAATCCATTAAAGAAATTAAAAATAAAATACATATAAAAAATGGAAGTTTTATGCTCAGAGACCAGCCACCATTGGATACAGATAGGCCAACTCAATATATCTTTTCTTTATCTATCCTGGTGTAAGCCTGGTTGCAGTAGCAGTGGGGAATGGCCAGGGAGCATTTTCAGGGAAGAATCAGCAGACAAAGTAAGGGGTGAACACACTGGTTTCCACCACAGCCACCAACCTTCTCCTACAATGTCCTGCATGTCCTTGACTTGACATAAATGTGGTTTTAGAGTTCATTTGCCATGATAACATACGGCCCTCATTCTAATGGGGCTTGATCTTGGGGCAGTACCCAGCAGATGGTATCTCAAATAAGCCTACACATTTATGGTTGTTGTCAAATGAAATTTCCACTCACCTTTAACTTGTGTTCACGCTCTTTGGTAACTTTTGTGAGCAGTTTTGCTTTCTGACGAGTCAAAGCGTCAACCAAGGCATCACACTGAGCCACCAGACAGGCTTCATAGTCCAAGCCATTTTCCTTGAAGACAAAAAAACCCCCACATTTCCTTCTACAACCGAAAGCCTCTTTTACTCAATGCATTGCCAGTGTTTCATCTTCCTGGGGATTTTTTTTTTTCTTTTTAATGAGGATTTGGCAGCATGCTGTTTGTGTGATTCATTACAAGTCGTGACGTTAATAACAGCTTGTTGTAAAAGTTCTGTGGGGATGCTATCAAAATGGTTATGCTGGAACACTGAAAAAGTCTAAATCTTTAGCATATTTAATTTTTTGCAGTTCTGGGAAATGTTACTATAAAATGGTTCGGCATCATGGGGAGGATATGCACAACTTCCATTCATTTCAATGGGACTTGTTTGCATAGAGAGTTTGTGGTGAACTGTCCCCACCGTCTCCAAATTTGTTTTCAAAGGTGTCATTGCAATCTGAAATTCATTTGTAGCTGCACAGTGTACAAGCGGAAAATAATTCAGTTTGAAACAAAACAGCTGACAATCAATGTATTGTTTCAGTACATGGGCATGTGTATTGCTGTAAAGTCATGAAAGAAAGAAACACGTAGCTTCAATTCTACTGAGCCTGACTGAAGTCTTAGGAACTTATGCCTGAGTAAGTATGAACAGCTTTCCAGCTTTGTAAAATCAAAATAATAGTTTCTTCTCCAGAGCTCTTCATTAGGTTAGATGGTAAACATAACAAATGTGTTGGGTATGTGTGTCCGTGTGAACAGGATTTAAAAATTTTTATTTGGCTGATGTTATTGGATTAACATTTTACAAAGTTGACCAAATAAGCAACTTCTAAAAAGCAAAAGTTGGGCAGGATTGGAACCAAAGAAACCTTTATAAACCAAACCAACACTCAGATTCTACACACAGTTGCCTAGAAGCAAATGCCCATTGGTTTCAAAAGTGTTTACTTCTAAATAAGTGTGCATAGGAGTGTGCCCTAAAATAATGCAGTTTTCTTTCTTTATCCTTTTTGCAAAAAATGCCTATTCCTCCAACATTAATTTAAAATATATGGCAATGAACAGCATAAAATCCACAATAAAATTACATTCATAACCAAGCACAAAATGCATCAATAATCAGTAGATCAGATTAATAGATAGATATAGTTGGATCACCATTCAGGAACTGCCTGGGTAAACACATGAGTATTAAGCAGGTACCTAAATACCAATACTGTAGGTGCTATAGGATTGTCAGTACTGATGTTCATTGGAAGCTTGAATTGATTATCATTACAATCTGTTTAAATGGTGATCGCTATAATTCGTTCTATCAATGCATTTGGGACACAACCTAGCACAGAGTTAGGTGTTGTGCTGGATTGCGACACAGTTAGCCATATAGTCCTATTAAAATAAAACAAAAACTACAAAACATGTTTAATATCTGCCTGTTTAGTTACTGCAGTTTGATATGAAATCCAAAACAGCTAGAATTCTGTAATTATTACCTGTATCTGCTGTAGTATATTTTTCAGCTGAACCAGAAATTCCTTTGCTTCCTTTGCTTTATCTGAAATGCCATTTAAAGCCTGAGACAGTTGTGCCTGTAAGGGGGGAAAAGTCCAGTGACGCCAAGTATAAAACAGATAATCTTTATTCTTTACAGGTTATTCCTAAAACAGTTACTTTATCTAACATTTTAGTGCTTGCTATCATTAGGTTTTTATTTATAGGAGAGAGAAAATGAACCCCTTAAAGTAGTGAGCAAGTTATGTGTCTAATCAAGACAGATTGCCTTTATGAACTCTTTTCACTCTTTTCAGCTCCTTTCATTATGAACTCTTTTGGTCCTCTAGTCACTCTAAAGGGCTCTCTTTACATGCTTAGGCTGTGATCCTGTGCACAAGTACCCGGGAAGCAGCTCTGCTATACACAGTAGGACTTACTTCCAACTGCACAAAATTGTATGTTCAGAGTCATTCTTAACAGAATTTTGCAAACTGTTGTTTTTCCTTTCAGGATTATAACATATGGGATTATTAATCTGTACTGACTTGCTTTCTCATGAGAAAAGCACTAATCTGGACTCAGTAGTGGAGTGGGGTGGAGCTGCTGAGCCACCCTTCTGACACCGGTGTCACTGCTGCTTATCTAGATGTGGCTGGGGCAGGGCAGGGTGACGGCAAGGTTGGGACTGCAAAAGTCCCCTGGCAGAACAGCTGATATCGATCCAGCATGCCTGCTGGTGCACCTGCATAACCCAAACCTCACTGCTACCCTGCCCTAGTTCCTTCCCTCATCTCCAAAGCCACCTTTTACTCACCATAGTCACCACTCCCCTCCTTACCCATCTCTAAAGACATCACTCCCACTCCCTGTAAGCCTTGCCAAAGCTAAGCCTCCCTTTACAACTCGCCAAAGCGATTCCATCTCTAGACCTTGCCAAACTTTCCACTTGTTGACCGGGGCCACCTGCCTGCATGCTTCAGCTGCCCAGCCTCTTGCTTGCATCCATCTCCAGGGGAAAAAAAAGTTAACAACAGCAACAACACGTGCAAACATCAAATCAATTCAAATCCAGGAGAGATACAAACTAGAATAAAGGTTTTAAAAGGCATGTTGCAAGAGGAAAACCTTTGGCAGGCTACAAAAATGCAATGGAGATGACACCCGCCTGATGCACAGGGAGTTCCAAAGGGTAGATGCCTCCACACTAAAGGCTATCCAAACCCTTGTAAACTATCATGCAGCCCACAAGTTCCTTCACAATAATGGAAAGAAGCTAAATTGCCCCATGTTGTAAATGCCATTGACTAAAGCCATTAAGAATTCCTGACTCTGGCTATTTTCCCAAGATTTTTCTTAACCACTTGTCCCAGAATCTGTCAATAGTATAGCATACAAGGACAGGTTCCTTATTGATTTTACAAATAAGCATTAATCCTACTATTCCTTCTCAGATAAAAGTTCATTGTTTATTCTGTATGTAATAGCAACAGCAGATTAATATTGATCTTCCCTCACCTGATCTGGTTGCTGACTGAAGCTTACAAATCGCTGAGAATGGGAAGTTTCAGGACTTTGGAGGCCCACATTCTAAAACAGAGAGATTAATTCCTAAGCCCACGGAGGGCTGGTTCACAAACGGAAATGGGTAGCCCCATCCAAATGCAATTCCTCCCATGAGAGCTGCTTTGGATCAGCCCAGCTTCCAACTATTCCAGCATTTTGCTTCCAACAGAAGCTTCTAGGATGATTAAACTCACAAGCAAGGCATGAAGACGTGACATCCCATTGTCTGTCCAGAGCAAATCCTGCCAATAACCAGTAACTACTTAGTTCTATGGCAATTCCTCAGGCAGTTCCTCTCCCCAGTTCTGTGCACGTGCACTTCCCCTTAACCTGATACTCCTGGACTGAATTCTGGGGAAATCTACTCCTCCATTAACACTATTCAATGACTGAATACGATTTACTGGGTTAAGTTGTGGGTATGCAGCCAATGATGCAGCATTAGAAGTTCGCTGGGTGCCAGGCACATTTTGCTCCTGGCTATCAGTCACCTGTGACAAAGTGAAGATGTCTGGGTGCCAGGATGGCGCCTGATGTCTCCACCATCTGGAGGTGCATGCCTGGGGATCCTGGGATCTTGACTGTTTTCACATATTAGCAACACATCCTGTGGAATTCTATCTGTTATATTTTATCTGCACAATCAGAATGAATTCCAGAAACTAAAACGTTGCATTGATATAACTTTTGAGTCATCTGGCCCCAAAATTGGCAACTAGGTGTTCTGTGTTGGTGACGGTAACCCTGGTTTAAGGAGACATTTGGTGTCTAGCTTATATAACTAAGGTTCTAATACTGCTTACTTCTCTCAAACTACTACTCTCAAGAGCTCAAAAAACATTGGGTTATAATTAAATCGGTATTTGCACTTTTATTTGACTTTTATTAGACCAACATTTTTACTGGACCAGCTTCTTAACTTTTAATTAGATGCTGCCTTCTTGTTGTACAGTGGTACCTCTGGTTAAGAACTTAATTCGTTCTGGAGGTCTGTCCTTAACCTGAAACTGTTCTTAACATGAGGTACCACTTTAGCTAATGGGGCCTCCTGCTGCCGCTGCACCGCTGCCACGTTATTTCTGTTCTCATCCTGAAGCAAAGTTCTTAACCCGAGGTACTATTTCTGGGTTAGCGGAGTCTGTAACCTGAAGTATCTGTAACCTGAAGCGTCTGTAACCCGAGCTACCACTGTATATACATATGTATGTGGGAAAACTGCACACACCCAGATGTATTTGCTATTGTTTGGTATTTTCTGCTATACAATGTATCCCCATCCTCATCCATTTTTCTAGGGATAGCACTCCTTATTTCATGAGAAGAGGGGGGAAAGTCCTAATTTCCCCAGGTCTAAAAAGGAACATGAACAAATGCATTTGTTCTCCACCAAACTGCACAAGTGACTGGAACAAAGAAAGGAGCCTTCTACTGTCTGCTCATCTAGTTCATTAATGTATGCTACACTGACCTGGAGATGCCAATAAACTTGAAACAACCAGCACAAAACCCCAAGGTGGAATTCAACATTGTGTTATTACAACCATTCAATCAGTGCAAGTATTTCTGCTTGTCCTACTAAACCATCTCCTCTTTCCCTTCCCCTGTGCAATGTACTGGGGGTTCTCTCGACCTTCCCATAACCAACTGGGGGGCACAAGGGAGCAGGTGGGAGAAGAGGACAGAAAGCCCCAGTTGCCCTGGCAGGACTCCTTGCTTTGGCTCCTGCTAGTGCAACTGCTTAGTTGAATCTGGTCCCTATTATCAAAACCAGCACAATAAAATACAGTGGTACCTTGGGTTACATACGCTTCAGGTTACATACGCTTCAGGTTACAGACTCTGCTAACCCAGAAATAGTACCTCAGGTTAAGAACTTTGCTTCAGGATGAGAAAACAGAAATCATGCTCTGCCAGTGCAGCGGCAGCGGAAGGCCCCATTAGCTAAAGTGGTGCTTCAGGTTAAGAACAGTTTCAGGTTAAGAACGGACCTCCGGAACGAATTAAGTACTTAACCTGAGGTACCACTGTACTATACAGTGGTGCCTCGCAAGACGAAATTAATCCGTTCCGCGAGTCTCTTCGTCTTGCGGTTTTTTCGTCTTGCGAAGCACGGCTATTAGCGGCTTAGCAGCTATTAGCGGCTTAGCGGCTATTAACGGCTTAGCGGCTTAGCGGCTATTAACGGCTTAGTGGCTTAGCGGCTTTAAGAAAAAGGAAACAAACTCGCAAGAACTTGCAAGACGTTTTGTCTTGCGAAGCAAGCCCATAGGGAAATTCGTCTTGCGGAACGACTCAAAAAACGCAAAACCCTTTCGTCTAGCGAGTTTTTCATCTTGCGAGGCATTCGTCTTGTGGGGCACCACTGTATACAATACAGAACTAAAACAACCATCAAACCAACTCATCAAAACTGCTAACCATAACACAGGAACTTAAAACCAAATCTTAAAAGGCCTGGATGAACAGACAAGTCTTAATCTGGCACCAAAAAGGCAGCGGTGTTGGTGTCTTGGCCAGCTGCAACACGGTACACACAATAAAAAAGAAGCATTTGGGAGGAGTCACCAACAACTTAAATTACACCTTGCGTAACAATTGATAAGAACAGTTTTTTCAAAGATGTGGGATGAAATGCTTTATTGATCAATGCACCATTTCAAATAATCACTCAACTTAATTCTAAAACTATGAGCACGAAGACAGTGTAACTTGTAACTTGTAGGTACAGTGTTTTTATTTCTCTTTGCATCAGGTTTCCCCTAATGCTGTTTCATCCTTTTTGTTGTAAATACTGGAAAGAAAATAAGCACACAATTAACTAATTTTTGTGATAATAGTGATTATCTTGTGCTCCTATAAGTGTTAATTATCCTAGTGCAATATCCTTGGCAGGATGTAAATGTGACGTCAGGGAGCCAACATCCTCACTGACTGTTCTCTTCCAAGCGAATAGCATGTTAAAGCCACATATTTAAAACTGGCTGCAGCAGGATATTTGCATGCTGCAATTCTCCGTAATTTACAGCCTCCTGAGCCCCATAATAGTGGCTAAATCATAAATCAAAGTGCCATGGGCTGAATTGGACTGCACATTTCATCAGGTTTTATGAGTTCCTGCATGGATAAGGCTGTGGGAGGAGGTAGAGTGCGTTCACCCATCATGAGCATATGCTACTTGCAACTATTTTGCAAACTGATTCCTCCTCCTGCCCATATGTCTAGGAAGCCAGCCTTTTTGTCATGCTTAAATCATCTTTTGAATAATCTGGGGAGCCATTTAGCAAGCAGATCTAGTGCAATGTCTCCACATGGTGCAGTTCAAAATAGCTCCAGTTTGCCTATGAAGATTTAAATAGTAGGTGGGCAGTCTAAACGATCAAGGGAAATTATTTTGACTGTTCCAATTTATTGAACAAATACCTTGCCCCACAGGCACCCTGGCTATGTAGCCTCCCATCCACTTTTGCACACTGTAGTCTGAATAATGTAGACTATGCAGTTAAGAGTTTTGGGGTACAGTGGATTCTGACCAGGAAGACCAAGTCAGAGAAGATCAGGGGTTCTTTAACTACGGCATGGCCCCAGTGCTTCCTGGTGATCCCCAAGATCATACTAAAAATAACAGAGGCAAATGTTGAAAGAGCCAGATAAGTCCTTCAGTTTCTGAAGAGGAATAGTTCCAGTCTTATAATATAAACTGAAAAGCAGCTGCCTCTGCTTCTTCAGCAGCGCAAGTGGTTGCTGTAAAGAGGTCAACCAACTGGGTAGAAAAAATAGTCAGTGGGTGTTGTTGAGTACTGAGCTACATGAGCCAGAAATCTTCACTCACTACTGGAGTTCCTACTTAATTCATTTAAGAAATTGATTCAAACATTTGGGAAGGTCATATGCCACAATCCTCAGGGGACTGAATCACCTCAGAATATATGAAGCAGATGTATTTTTGAATGCAACTAAATAAAAATCTCCCTGCCCAATGTTACCACATGAGAGAAAAGAATAGAGTAGCAGCATTCAAGCCATCCCACAGGAACATAACTGTCACAGTTCCCTGAGAGCTCTGATGTATAAATGTATAATGTATGCATAATTTAATAACAGAAAGCGCTTCACCCAAGTGCAATGTGAATAAGCAATAAATACTTTGTAGGCCTTTATTTTCAGCAAGGATGAATGGACATAATTGGCTTTCAGCTCAATCTGAAGAGCTTCATGTTCTACTCAAAAGTAAAGAAAATACAACTGTATTTAATAGAAATAATACAAATGCCATGCTCTTATCTATGAAATCTATGTCCTGTGATATCAAAACTGAAATGAATTGGTTTAAACCCTAAAATTTTATTGAATGGCTAATAGTTGAATGCGTAGTAAATAGTAAATAAAAATAACAAAGCAGAAGGGAATACTTGATTACGCTTATTCACTTACCTAGGATTCTTTATTCCCATAATTTAAGAGCCAAGAAAATAACATTTTATCCTGCAACTTTAATACAGCTTGGTTTTTCAACAGACTTGTAGAATGGAAATGAAATCCAGAGTAGTGATGTGTGAACAAAAATTGCATTAACTGTGTTGTTGTTGTTTTTTTTAAAAAATGTTGCCGGAAACCTACAAGGAAATTTTCCATATTCTCTTCCCTCACTCTGAATAAACACCTATTGCTTTTCTTAGCAAACATCCCCCAAAAACCAAATTACAATGAATACATTCCTACTATAACACTTAGTTGTTTCAGGATGGTCACTCTGAACTATTCTGCTGCTGCAAAGTGGTTTATAAAGCTATTAGTAGAAGTTTCCCGAGAGTGGAAAGCACAGGCAAGTTGCACAGCAGATTAGTAAGAGGGGTCTAGTCAGGTATCTCTAATATAATGTTATTTGTCTCTCACCAAGGTGGCCTTGAGGAAGTCACTATCCATTAGCCCCATCATGGACTCCCATTCTCTTCAACCAGGCCGTTGGCTGATTAGATCTGATACCCTTTTAAATGTGTTGTGGGAGCGGGTGGGAAGGGGACAAGGGTTATTGGTTTATTCTTGTTCTTGTTTTTATTATGTATTTTGTGGGGTTTTGATTTTTTTTTTCTTGTTGTGAGTGATCCAAAAAAAGATGAAGGGTGGTATACAAATTTAGTAAATAAATAAATATAATAAACAATAATAACCATCCATGGCTTTTTGCTATGCTGACCAGAGCTGATGGGAGTCCAACAACATCTGGACATCTACAGGTTTCCTACCTTTCTTTGCCCATTGTTCTTCATCTTTAGAATGGGAGAAAGGGTTGTTAGAATGGTAAATACAATGGCAATAGTACAGAACTGTGCAACTTTAAAAAAAAATATTGTACTGTAATGCTTTGGGAAGAACCTTGGAGGAGATCTTGGGATGCACTCAAAGTTCACTTCATGTAGTTCAGCTGTCCCTCAATACACTTTAAGAGCTGGTTCATACAGCAATTCGGACCATTATACAGAACAGCAGCAAATTTCTAGAAGAAGAAGTAGCAGAGCTCTATTCAGCCAGGACTCAAGACATGTTGTGCTGCAGTGACCCTGCTCCCTAGGGTTGGGTTTACTCAATGGTGTTGGGAAAGACGGGACCCTTTTGTTTAAAACCTGTACATGTACATTACTGGCATTCAAAAAAAAAATTCCACCTAGGGGTGAAATAAATACCTGCTGAAAGTGATTTATAGGGTGGGCCTTCACCACTCTTTCAGTGCCAATTTATCTATAGCGTTGGGATTCTCATCTGCTGTAGCGATTGCTAGTTCAGTTCTAGAGGGCGGTAATGGCTCCTTACGAAAGAACCGGGAGTCAATGGCCGGTTGTGATCTGGCGTGACACGCTCCAGCCTTTGCCAGCAGGCGGTGCAGGCGAGCGAGCTGTAGAGCAAAGATCAGGACCTCTCCTTGCCTTACCTTGTGCTGCTTCCACATGGCCCCCAAGGCCTTCACCTCGTGCTTGGTGTGCTTGCCTTCTTCCAGGCACTGGTAGCAGACGGGAGTCCGGCAGGTCACGCAGTACATGCTGTAGTTCTCCAGCTCGTGATCCGCGCAGGTCGGGGGCTTGCGCGCAGCCCCGGGCGCTTTGCTACCCCCGCCGCCTCCACCAGCTGCTCCGCCGCTCGCTCCGCTCGGGGCTCCCTGCTGGCTGGGCGGAGGGACCAAGCGGTGCTTGGCAAAGGGCCCCCGGGACGGGTGGCACTTGACCTGGCAAGAGGCGCAGTAGAGCACCTCGCATTGCTCGCACATCACGGCGGCCGGCTCGGGGGGGCTGCGGTCGCACAGCTGGCACTTGGCGGCGGCCGAGGCGGCGGCCCGGCCCTGCTGGTAGCGCTGCACGATGGCCTCCAGGAGCCGGTTGCGCTGGAAGCCGCGTAGGCCGCGATGGTCCAGCGAGGCGCTGCGGTGGCATTGCGGGCAGGTCAGCGAGGAGCTGGTGCCTCCACCCCGAGGGGCTGCCGCCGCCGAGGAGCCCGGAGGAGGTGGCACCAGGGGCAGAACCCGCACCCCATTGGGAGACTTAAGGCTCGGGGTGTAGGAGCCGTAGCCGCTGTCGGTCTCGCTGTGCAGGCTCAGCTTGTCCGCATGATCCACGCCGCCGCCGCCGCCGCCCCCTCCGCCTGCTCCGCTGCCCCCTCCGGCCCCGCAGTCGTAGTCGAGAGAGGCTGGTCCGGAGGCTCCGGCCCCGGCTCCCGGCGCTGCCGCAGGGCCCCGGGGGTGCAGCATGGCGGGCAGGTGTTGCTCGGTCTCCGGCGTCTGCACGGCGATGGTTCGGGCGCAAGGCAGGCAGACATTGTGCGAGCAGGGCAAGATGATGGGCTCCCGGAACAGTGAGCCGCACACGGGACATTTCAGCTCCTCTTCCATGGCTGCGGGTGGCTTTGTGTCCAAACAGCGAGAGCGGGCTGGGATGGAACCGATCAGCGCAAATACAGCGGGGTACAGTCAGCCTTATTGCTGCTCTTCCGGGAGCCCTTTCCCTCCATGTTCCACAGTAGCCGCTGTCTCTTCCTGCTGCTGTTCTTGCAGCTGGAAAGATGTCGGAGAGGAGTCAGCTTTCAGCACCGCGGCAGGATGGACAGCTCCTTGCTGAGCGGATGTTGCTGAGTTCAGCACCGCGGCGCGGATAGACTGCTTTCCCAGCTGTGTTGCTCTAGCTCGGTTCAGCACCACGATGGAGTTGGACAGCTCCTTTGGGTTGAGTTCAATAGCGCTGATGGGGTTGGCCGGCTCTTCCTGATGTACAGCTGCTGAGTTCTGCACGCACAGGGGAGCTGGAGGCGGGGGTCTTTTCCAGGCGCTGTAGCTGCTGCCGCAGCGGGACTGACCTTGCCTAGTTGCAGCCAAAGGGGTGGAAGACAGCTATTGTTTATTGCAAAGGAATTTCCTTGCCCTTGGTGTATGCAGTTAGCATAGTAGTCGGCTAGCTGGAATTCGTGTTGCATAGATTAAAGGGGAGACAGAAGGGGAAAGAACCGTGAAGGGGGCGGGAATAGCTTTTTCAGCAAATAGGTGATCGCTTGCTATGTGACTGAAAGGAGAGAATGAGTTTTATTTAAAGGGAGATGTCTTTATACGATAAAAATCCATTATTTATAGACAGGATTGAACATAGTGGGGGTTTCTTTATCTCTAATAGCGTGCTTTCCCCCTGAGGGAAGACGGGGATGTTCAAATGAGGAAGCTTGAAAGAAGAGAGCAAGCTGCAAATATATTTTCCTTTCCACATCCTTTATCATGCTGGAACACAAATTCCAACCACAAAATATTGCACACTGTTAACTAGAAGAATGAAATAGATTTTATTATTATTATTATTATTATTATTATTATTATTGATGGTACACAGGCTGAATTGTGATTGGATAGTGGCATTCCACACACATACAAAAGATGATGTTGGAAGTAGGAAAAAAACCCCTGCACCACTCCACTAGCAACCGAATCCAAATTTGCTTCAAAAATAAATCAGAGTTGACAGCTGAGTGTTTTGTGAGTTGGAAATAACCATCATTACAAGGATGCACTAGCAGTGGGAAATCCCATCTGTTTTTTCTTTGCTCTACATATGTTTAGGATAATAGAAAGATGGAATGCTAGAATAAAACAGAGATGATAAAAAGCCATTATTTTGTGACTTGGAAGAGATTATAATGGTTTGTAACCCAAGTAGCAATGGTATAGAAAATAAACTGGGTAGGTTGCTCCAAGACCTTTTTTAGAAACAAATAGTCTTACACTTTGCTTACTTAAGTGCGTATGGATGTTTTAAAATATACTTGAAACCAAGGGGAACAAAAGGTGAAAGATTACAAAGGATTACCAAGAAACTGTATAAAACCAGAATTGGCTGGAATGCTGTTTTAAATGCAACACATTTTATTTTCCCTTTAAATCTGTTCCTCTACTACCCAGATCTGAACTAGTGGCATATATGGCTAAAGAGGAAGGGCCAAAAAAGAGTAAAGAAGCAATACGTATATGTTATAGAGGTGGGTTAATAATTAGTGCCTTGGAATGCAAAATAAATCATTTCAGTCCTGGAATCCAGCCAAAATACTAACTACAGCTAGTTAGCATGGCTTTCTCAATATTTGGCCATCTCTCCACCGTCTTATTGATATGTCAGCATGAATATGTCCATGAAAAAAATATGGGAGATTCTGAAGCATCTAAGATCCAAAGGTGGTTTGAAGGTGTTGAAGCACTTCAGAATGTCCCAGAGTTTTCTTACATATATGTATTATTAACTACAATCATCACCATCACCATCACTCTGATTCAAAATGTTTCATTAGTTTAAGAAACAGCTTGTTGCATGGTGCAGGGGCTATGGTCAGAAGGGAATTTTGTAATGTCCACAGCTGTGGAGATCCTGTTCTATGGATCACGACTTCTGCCTGGGGTATATTTTGATAACTGATGGGCCAATTGCTGGTTGAAACAGAAAATGAAAAACTGTCTCAACTCTGTTCATCCTACAACTTTAAGTACCAGTTTAAGAGACATTACAAACAGCAGGTGCCTGCACAATTACCTGAGCACTACACATTTAGCATATTCTCCTGTGCATGAGATCACAGTATGAGATCTTGCACATTAATTTTGACATAGATAACATGATAGAATTTCCAGGTGAATTGTGCCTACCTTGGTTGCAGGAGGTGCCTATTTCAGTTAATTAGGGGTGTCTAGCAATGTGTGTCCCAAGCAGCTTACTAAACTGGAGCCACCACAGAGCAATTATTACTGTGTGTTTAACACTACTCACATTTTTAACCATTTCAGTCAAATCCTCAGATGGTTATTAGAGTGTTTTCCAACTGTTTCACAGTATAAACTTGCTTATATCATTGTATTAATGAACCTACAAGAAACATGCCATTATGCTTGTTCTTTGATCATATTCTCATACAGGATTTGATCTAAGGTGTAAACTCATTGTTACATATAAAAGTTCCTGCTGCAAAACAGAGTTTCTTTCTACCTACAATTGTATGGAAGAAGCAAGGTCTAATGTCTTATTCTGGAAGTAGCTATATTCTCTTACTTCCAGTGCAAACTTGCACTGGCAAATGAATGTAGAAAGATGGTGCAAGAGAGGCAGAGGTGAACTGCTCTGCCACATTTGCTTCTCATATGATGTTTCTGCCAATACCATAACTGCTATAGCAGGGAGCAATGGGACCATAAATATGGAAAAGTTACAGCTAATTGCACTTAGGAGGTAGAAGAAAAAGGGGGTAGGAAAAAACCCCCAGAAATAATTTCTCTCTCAAAAGCAGACTACAAAAGCTTGGGATGCAAGGAGAGCACCACTTACCTCTCCTTGCATTGTCTGAAATAGCACCTTCCTCCTTGGAGTGAGCAATAGCCAATCTTCTGGGCCCTATCTTGGCAACAAGATTCAGCCAACAACAACGGATTCTCCCATTTCACCAGTTCTTCTTCTGAGAAACTCCTCTGAACCAGTTAATAAATAAGCTCTCACTACAAATCCAAACTATGCTTGGCAGATCCCACGTAGATAGGATAGTGCCTAGGGCTAGGTTAATGCTAAAGGCAGATTGTGAGCCCTATAAATTAATATGGGACATGAGGAAGTTGCAAGGGATCAGATGGTCTCCTAAATGCCCATTGGTCCTCTGGTGTTGAAGTATGCTTGTTTGCTGGCTAATATGGGTTGTCTCAAACCTAGACAGCATCTCAAACCTAGACAGCATCCCAAACCTAGACAGCGTCCTAAAAAGTAGAGACATCACCTTGCCAACAAAGCTCCGTATAGTAAAAGCTATGGTTTTCCCAGTAGTGATGTATGGAAGTGAAAGCTGGACCATAAAGAAGGCTGATCGCTGAAGAATTGATGCTTTTGAATTATGGTGCTGGAGGAGACTCTTGAGAGTCCCATGGACTGCAAAAAGATCAAACTGATCCATTCTGAAGGAAATCAGCCCTGAGTGCTCACTGGAAGGACAGATTGTGAAGCTGAGGCTTCAATACTTTGGCCACCTCATGAGAAGAGAAGACTCCCTGGGAAAGACCCTGATGTTGGGAAAGATGGAGGGCACAAGGAGAAGGGGATGACAGAGGACAAGATGGTTGAATAGTGTTCTCAAAGCTACCAGCATGAATTTGACCAAACTGTGGGAGGCAGTGGAAGACAGAAGTGCCTGGCGTGCTCTGGTCCATGGGGTCACGAAGACTAAACTAAATGACTAAGCAACAACAACATGGGTTGTCTAACTTGACAGAAGGTGGCCATCTTTGAAGAATACTTCTGTTTGATCTTAAACTTATAACCCACCTTTCTAACCTAGTATCAAGCATAGTCAGTCAGACAGAGGGCCTTCTCGGTAGTGGCGCCCGCCCTGTGGAACGCCCTCCCTTCAGATGTGAAGGAAATAAGCAGCTATCTTCTTTTTAAAAGACATCCGAAGGCAGCCCTGTTTAGGGAAGTTTTTAATATTTAATGCTGTATTGTTTTTAACACTTGATTGGAAGCTGCCCAGAGTGGCTAGGGAAATTCAGCCAGATGGGCGGGGTATAAATAATAAATTGTTGTTGTTGTTGTTGTTGTCTACAACTGATAAACATTTCAATACACAATAAATACAATAAAACTGTATTTCTCTAAGCCTCTGCTTTATCTAATGAGACACGTCACACCTGCCTTTTGGCAAGTAATATAACATTGCACACCACCCCAATCTCCAAGCAGTGAGAGATTCCAAGGGTTCCAAGCATTTCACCTGGGTTTGTGTTCCCTTTGGAATGAGGTAAATTGGAGATGATGGTGTCTTTATGACATACGGCTTATTTACACACACACACACACATATACAACCTGAGCCTGTGAGGAGGGGTTCACAGCATTAACGGCCCAAGAGGCTCTTGCTTCTTCCATAGCGACAGCCTTGGATTCAAACAGAAATCAAACATCACTCTTGTTCTATCTTCCCAGCTTGCTGATTTGCCTCTAGCTTACATCACTCCCAACTCTCAACTCTGGCTTTGTCCTTCTAACTATTCCCAGGTTGGGGGAGGGGCCCCCAACCATTTGCTGTCTTGCACAGAGCCCCTTCCTTTGTTCCCCTTAATGGCCCATCACCTCACTGGGAAGCTATCTTAGCTAATCCAGGAATTAGAAGGGATGCCCAAGCAACTGAAGAGTCTTGGCACACAGCCTACTTCCTACTTTCTCCCACCAAAACTCATATAACATATGTGAATGTTGTTAATGTACAATAGAATGCAAGGTAGCTATTTTCAGGTCAAATGTATATTCTAGTTAAAGCAGATGTTACATTCAAACCAGGGGAACTTCCAAATTTTTACTTCATCCTGCAGTGAATCTGGCTATGTAGCTATATCTGCTTGTAGTTTATGGCTCTGGAAAGAGAACTTATGGCATAATGAATATATTTTAAATAAATGAATCTCTCATGCTGTCAAGATTATTTTTCTCTATTTTTTGGCTGTACCTTCATTCAAGGTACGGTACTTTCCAGATTTTTAGAGGTCAGTTGTTATACATTTAGGCCTTGGCATAATGACAGCTGGGGTGGAACAATTTAGTATGTTGAACATTTTTCTTGCTTTATTTATCTCTCTATAGCTTTTATTTCAAGGAATCCAAGAAACAACTACATTCTCAGTCAGCAGAATGGGTTGGCAATGGAAGTGTCATGACAGACTGTGGAGCAAGAACTTCCCCGCACTTGGCAAGTAGATGCACAATTATCATTCCATTAGAAACACAGAGGTGAAGAATTACCATCCTGCTGTCATGTTTAATGCTCCAGGGGCCAGAAGTGAAATTAATGAAGCCAAGGAGAAGGAATGCCCTTCTAGCCTAAGAAAATGCTGCCTGTAATCCCCAGAGAACCTCTCATACCCACTATGAGGCTTACAGTCATACTGAAGAGCCAGAAGTAGCTTTCTTGAAGCTAGGTTGCTTTGTAACCTAGATTGCTACCGTGGAGGCACAGGTTCATTAATTTCTTCTAGCTACCCACACAAACCCAGAGAGAGCACTCAGGACAAGTTCAAATAATCAAATCTGGTGTCAGGAGGAGGGGATGCAGTCTGCAAAGAGGGTATGTCCTTTAGGAAAAGGGCATTTCCATGCCATGTTTGCAGCTCTACATTTTACAAATGGGAAAGCTGAGTGGGAATGGTTTGTCTTAGGCCAAGCAGAGAATTCAGGACTGAGAAAGGACATAAAGGCAGACCTTCTTTGTTCCAATCCAATACTATCCACTCTCCAAAGAACTCATAGTGAAAAAATAAAAGGCATGTGTATGAATAATTTTTAAAGTGTTTAATACTTTCATTTCCAGTTCCTTATCCTAACCTTTCAGCTCCTTGCCTGATGTTTCTTTCTCTAATATCTTTTTCACATATGTGAAATGATTTTAGGTGATTTTATCAAATGAATGTTTCATAGCTCCGTTGGTTAGAGCATGGTGCTGGTGATGCCAAGGTTGCAAGTTCAATCCCTGCATTGGACAGCTGCATATTCCTGCATTGCAAGGGGTTGGACTAGATGATCCTAAGGGTCACTTCCAACTCTACATTTCTATGATTCAAAACTTAAGAACCTAAGAATAAATTTGCTGGATCAGAGCAAAAGGCATAACGAGTCCAGCATCCTCTTTTCAGAGTGCCCACCTTGATGTCTATGGGCAGCCTTTGTGAACGCAACAGCATTCTCCCCATTTGTGATACCCAGCAGCTGGTATTCAGAGGCATACTCTGATGCTGGAGGTATAACATATCCATCAAGGCGATTGTACAAAGAATGCACAGAAATCACTAAGTGATTTATTGTATTTATACCCCACCTTTTTTCTAAGGAGCTCAAGGTGCTGTACATGGTTCTCCCCCTCATTTAATCCCCATAATAACCCTATGAGGTAAGTTAGGCTGGTCCAAGATCCCTCAGTGAATTTCATGGCTGAGTGGGGATTTGAACCTTGGTATCCCAGATCCTAGCCTAACACCCTAACCACTATGCCACACTGACTCTTGGTGACTACACCACACTGACTCTCAAGTTGTCAGTGAGTCTCCAAACCTATTTATTTCAGTGAACACAACTCTTCTTTTCCACACAATTCGTGGCCACTGTGTTTAACACCAATAGAATTACATTCACAGTTACAACCCGTATTACTTCTCATCTTTCCCCATCCATTCCCCCTCTGGTTTAGCATTGCATTTCCTTATAAAATATAAAGGGTATAAAAAGAAGAGAAATACTTCACATTGGGTGTATTACTTTACTTCACATTGGGTGTACTGCTTTACTTATGAGAGTGTATATGTCTTCTTTCCTGTTTTAGAAAGGAACTTTGATCTGATACCTTGCCTGAAGTCCCCACTTCTGGTAGTCAAAGCTTTGAACCTGAATCTCTGCTTGAGAAATGCTTTTCTATTGTTAGATTACTGCCATCAGATGAAGTCATTCACACACATCAGGATAATGAAACTGAAGGAAAAGCCACAGGAAGGAGATAGAGATACAATTTGAACAAAAGATCAAGTATACAGCAGATAAGACACTTTCATACTCATGGTGCAACAACAGAATGACCCAAGGAACCCAGTTGTCTTACTCAATGAATTTTGTCCTTTATGTTCTCCTTTGAATCTGTCTCTTTTTCCTTCAGTCTTTTCCCATCATGTCTTACAGTGTCTTCCTGACTTCTTCTTCTTGACTTTTTTCTGATCCATTTCTCTTCACTTTGCCCCCTCCCCAACATGGATCAACATGAATTTAAATTATTAATTACTGCAATCTTTGACAAAATCATGAGTTCCAATTTGCATGTTACTTTGCTTGGGTATGCTGGCTTAAATTTATCTAGGAAACTGATGAGCAAAGCAGCATTTTTAAGGGCAATTCATACAATCGGTTTACAGGAATAGGACTTAACAGCTTTTTGCACGAGCAGCTATCATTTAGGTGATGTCATGATCACAGATCCATTACCAAGGATTATTCTTATCATATCAACCCATCAAGTAAAGCATTAGACTAGGACAAGATGAGAAAGATGGTCCTCGATAGTGGGTTGTGATAATGTGTTTTCTTCAAGGGCTTTTCTTTCTGAGAGTCAGAACTCCAAGGGAGCACTGATAAAAAAGGAGAAAATTGAGAACTCTTGCCCTTGAAGAAGAAACACTGCAGAAATGTTTGGGGAAATCTTAATTTCTCCATTCAGAGACTGTGGGTTGCCTCTCTGTCTTTTCTCTGTTGTTGCCTTCCTTGACATTTTTGGTGCTGCCCCTCTCTTGCTGTACTGGGTGTGCTGACTTTGACTGCCTTATGCAGAACACACAATGTTACATTGATTGTGAATGGCTTGTACAATGCACATAACAGGGATTCAGGGAAGAAGAAGCAGTAGCTATATATACCATAACAGATGTGCCTGGCGTAGAACAGCTACAGAGATGTGAAGGCCCAGAAAAAGAAAAGAAAGAAGAAATTCTCCCCCCTCACCAGGGATTCGTGTCTCTAGGAAGATTGAATTTTTAAATATTTTGCTGCCTTAAGCAAGTGCTATTTTCAAGGTCAGTCCTTTATAGGACATTGGGTACTTCCATTGAGCAAGTACTAATGAATGAGAGTCATGCAGGAGCACAAGGTGTGCTCCTTGTACAATCTGTGGCAAATGCTGGTACAGTGGTACCTCGGGTCACAGACGCTTCAGGTTACAGACTCCGCTGACCCAGAAATAGTACCTCGGGTTAAGAACTTTGCTTCAGGATGAGAACAGAAATCGTGCTCCAGCAGCATGGCGGCAGCTGGAGGCCCCGTTAGCTAAAGTGGTGCTTCAGGTTAAGAACAGTTTCAGGTTAAGAATGGACCTCCGGAATGAATTAAGTACTTAACCTGAGGTACCACTGTATGTAGGGACGCGGGTGGCGCTGTGGGTTAAACCACAGAGCCTAGGACTTGCTGATCAGAAGGTCAGCAGTTCAAATCCCCGCGAGGGGGTAAGCTCCCGTTGCTTGGTCCCTGCTCCTGCCAACCTAGCAGTTCGAAAGCATGTCAAAGTGCAAGTAGATAAATAGGTACCACTCCAGTGGGAAGGTAAACGGCGTTTCTGTGCACTGCTCTGGTTCACCAGAAGCGACTTAGTCATGCTGGCCACATGACCCAGAAGCTGTACGCCGGCTCCCTTGGCCAATAAAGTGAGATGAGTGCCGCAACCCCAGAGTCGGTCACGACTGGACCTAATGCTCAGGGGTCCCTTTACCTTTACCTTTACCTTTACCTTTACCACTGTATTAGGGATAAGCAAATGTATACAGTTGGAGTAGGTAGTGGACACAGGCTGCAAACACTCCATGAATTTAATGCACATGACGTCCACACCCACCCACAAGAATCCCAGAAACTTGCTCAGTAGACTGAAGCTACACCAATAACCCCCTGACAGCAGCACTGTTGTTGTTTATTGGCAGGGATGATGTGGTGAAGAGGTCAGGGCTGACTGGCTGAACCTGCAGGAATGCTGGATTGGCTCTGCCAGAAAACCCATGCAATTCCTGCTGTCCTGCTGCTTCTTGGTAAACAGCAGTGGCACTGCTAACAGAAAGGGATTGGTGTGACTTCAGCCCACTACTCCTGGACCAAACACTTTACCTTGGGTACAAATCAGAACTTCACATATATGAGACTTCCTATCTCCCTATTGCTTGTAATGGATAAATACTGAACGGTCATAAATCCTTTACCTGTTCACATATTTGGATGAAATTTTAAAACACAGTCACCCCTCTTGAGTATATACAACCTTCCTAATTTCAGACAAACAGGTTCAGGCATTTTTGTGTTGGGCACACATGTTTCATTTTTTTTTAAGGCAGCAATCTATATTTTGTTTATTTTATGGCTGAATTGGATGAAATATGTAGAAATTTGTGGAAGGCTCTTCTGAAGGGGTGAATACCATCAGTTTTATACAGTTTTTTTTTTGGGGGGGGAGTTAGAAAAAAGGATTCCCCTTTTCCTCTTTTTTGTTTTGGGGGAAAACAGCATACATAACAGACATTATGAGGTACCCCTAGGTCAGAAACCTGCCCAATTTCAGAATGATAGGTAGTGGAGGTTTTATGCCAGATGCCTTTGAAGTTGACCAACGGGTGGGGGACTAAAAAGGGATTTACTTACCTCCCTGATTTTTGTGTGCGGGGGGGGGGGTGTATATTAAAATGCTAAACATCATAGAGTATTACAAGTCCTTAAACTGGTAATCTGTAAAATTTCAGAAGGATTTGGTACAGGGATTAAGGAGTTAAGATGAATAAGAAAGTTTGCAGGCTGTGGGGTTGGGTTTTTCCCCCAGTTGACAACAGTTAAGTTTCTTCGTTCTACACCAAAGTACAGCAATCAAATGGAAAAAGGAGAGCCCTACAAAAAACTGTTAGTTGGTTGTAAGTTAGAGCTCTCAGTCAGAAACTTACACTCCCCCCTTCCCCCCTATCCTTCTGTAGTAGGAATGGACAACCTGTGGGCTTCCAGATGTTGCTAAACTACAACACTAGTATCCATAGGCATTGATCATGCTGGCCAGGGCTGATAGAAGTTGTAGTTTGGGGAAACGTAATGATTTTAAAGAAACAGACAGTCTGAGTCTGCCTGAGTTCCGTAGGTTTTCCAAAGCAGCCCCAATGGGGCTTCAGAGGCAGCCAAATTTAGCTTGGGACAGTTTGTGGGACGCCTGTTTCAGAAGAGTCTTGAGTCTCTCCAAATCTGCTGCTCAGGATTCATTTGAACCAAATATACGCCCCAGGTATATATAGACCAATGAAATATATTGTTAGGAGCCTTTGCTATTCATTTTGTTTTTCTGTCAAATATGTAGCAGTAGCAACTGTTGGATGGGGGGGTGGGAATCAAGTACTTGTGTATGAATTTGAGTCATGTTTTTAATATTTCTTTGTGGTTTGAGTGTTTGATAGAGGAACCTCCCTTTTCCCGTTTTTATACAGCTCTTGCGGCATCTGCTGTCCTTGCACAGGATGAAGCATGTAATCCTCAGAGTTGGCTCAGATTAAGTAGTTGTTAGGAGACAAATAAGGATTTAGCCCTCCTCTTACTTCATCATGCTCAAGTCCCTACCCTGATACATGTGCATAATGTATCATAGTCACCAGGTACCTTATTTAAACATGCTTCATTATATATATATATATATATATATATATATATATATATGTGTGTGTGTGTGTGTGTGTGTGTGTGTGTGTGTGTGTGTAGAATTGTCATATATTAGGAAATGCTCATTTTTATGTCATGCTTATGTCTAATAGTAATATGAATTCATTCTTTTACTAATGAGTGCCCCAAAATGTTGTGCGTTCTTACCAAATCTCATGATATATGCAACATGCTGCAAAATATACAGGCATGAATATAGGAAAGCATTCATACAATTTAAATACTACAAATCTCATAATATACAAGTGACCAAGAAATGTATAGTGTTGGCATCTGGAGGCTTTAATAATACAATGTAGAAGGAGTAGCAGTGCAGATACAGTGGAACAAATGTCAGAGAGATTATTTGCAGAAAACTGCTGTATAAGGCTCCTAAAATGGAGCTGGAAATGGGATTTCTCCTGCAGATTGAGCACTAGCCATGGTGCAATTGACAATTTTTGCACTGAATAAACTGATTCCCATGGTTATCCAAAAAGCAGCTCCTTGTCTCAGCCTCACTTACCATTGTGGGGGGTGGGCACTAGACTACCAACCTTGGCCTTGGCCTGCTCTTTGCCTACAATGAGCACTTCCCTAGGCTTGCACCTGAATTCCTGATACTGCTCTCAAAAAGAAAGCACTAAAATTCAGATCTTCTCTGCTGACATCTTCCTCTGAGACACTGGATTTCTTACAATAACCCTCTGTCCCTTTAAACTGTTTTCATATTTACTTTTTATGTCTGCCAGGAATTTGGGGGGGGGGGGAGGAGAGAGAGAGAGAGAATGAAGAACTGCTGAAGGGACCAGATAAGAGATTTAATTGCCACCAGACACCGTTCTACCCCAAACTGCATTGGCTGGCAAGCTGCCCACAAATCCTTCAGACATCCCTGGGTGCATAATTTCACTGAATGGGAGCTGTATTTTCAGAAAGGGTGGGTAAACTGAAGAAATCGTGCTTTAAGTGTAGGAAATCCTGCCTGTGCAGGAGTTGGAATTAGATAAGTCAGCTTCCTTATGCTCTCTAAGGAGTTTTTATTTCAGCTTTTAAAATCTTGGTGTTTATTCTATATGCAGCAATGACTAGCACAATGATCCAAGCCTTGAATGATACATACTGGAAGGGACAGAATGCTAAACCTCCTTTGGGCTGACGGAGCACAACTCCAAACCAGTATCAACTCCATAGCAACTCTATAAAATGTAAAAAGATGGGCTATCCAATCACAGATCTGTGTTGTCTCATCCAGTCAGGCCTTTATATTCTCCACTTTGTCTCACAAGCCTCCTTTTGATCCTATGCAAGGCGAGTGACCCTATGATTTAATTGGATGTTGAAGCTTTAGAGTTTTCTCAATATTTCTACCTACGACTTAACCTTTCTGGTCAGTCGGATGCTCATTTTCTCCTAATTTTCCTTCCCATTAGCCATCACTTTCATCCTTTTCTACATCTTGTCCCTTTGAACTTAAGTCACCTATCTTTTTCTGCTTGGAAAAGGCAGCAAAATGCCTTTCCTGCTGGTCTGACTACAGCAGACATGACTAGAGAACTAAATGACTACTCCCAGCTTGCCCAGTTGCATAGAAAATCTTGACTACCCTAATAGAAAAGGATATGCTGAAATCCTGCATATACTTAGTGGGACTTGCATCAAAGTATGGATACTTAGTTTTGGATTGTAAGTATTCTAACAGTACAATCCTATGCACGCCCATTCAGAAGAAAGCTATTGAATTTTGAGGCTTATAATGGCAGAACTCTGTCCAGCCCCACCTTACTTCCATGTACATTTCATGAAAAAGAACAACCTAGTTTTGTTTTAACTCCGTGTGTACATAGCCTATGAATTAGCCCTAAGAGAAACTATTAATGACAAAATAGCATCTTGTGCTAAGAGCTAATAAAACATGAAATGGACTAAGTCTGAAATCCTATACATCAGGGGGTCAGCAAACTTTTTTAGCAGGGGGCCGGTCCACTGTCCCTCAGACATTGGGGGGGGGGCGGACTATATTTGGGGGGGGGGCGGAATGATGCAAGAGCACCACGAGCCCTGGTGGTTGCTTACCTGTGTCTTGCGAGCGACAGGGGCTGCCGCCACTAGCAGAACAATGAGTGGCACGCAAAAGGGCTCCGGAGAGGGGCTGCTTAAAATGGTAGCCACTCAAGAGCTGCTGCTGCTGGCAGCAACAAAGCCCAGCCCTCTTCCTTCTCTAGGCAGGGCGGGGAGAAGCCAGGAGGGAGGGAGGGAGGAGGCGCTGCCGCCATGTAAGGGAAAGACCGTGCGTGCTGGCAATCCACGTGGCAATTCCTGGACCATACGCAGGCCAGATCCAGAAGGCAATTGGGCCTGATCTGGCCCGCGGTCCTTAGTTTGCCTACCCATGCCATACATACTTACTTGGGCACAAGCACTTTTGAATTCAATGGCTTACATCTGAGTAGACATATATAGGATTGTGCTGTAAGTTACTTACTTAAACAATAGTGTGTGTGGTGGCAGGAGGTAGAGGTACTCAGGCATTGGATTGTAAATTTATTTTTATTTTTAAAGACCTCTTCTTCCATGTCCCACACTCCTGCTTTCAGTTTCTGTTGCGATCTGATTCTTCCTCTCATCATCTCTATTGTGGTTGTCTGCACAGCATGCAGCATGCTGTTGGTGCTTATTAATGTTATATTACGACAGTCATTTCTGTATGCTGCTCTTCCAACCCCCAACCACCAGCTGTTGTGCCTTGGACAAGACTCCCCTTGTGCTAAGCTCTCTTCCCTCTCATCACTGCTATCTGTGCTAGTCTCTACTCTGATTTTCTAGCTGCTTGCCAGCTCTTTTTTACTGTCCATCTGTAGCTAGACTCTTTTCTTACCAGAGAGACAATAAAGGTAGGGGGCAAACACATGTGAATAATGAAACAATGAAAGCCCTCTCAGGACTGCAGATGGGCTCCTGCCCCTTGGCTATAAATCCTTTTCATGGTGAATCTTAGAGATGCAGAACAAGAGCAGAGAAACCTTCAGAGCCTGCCCTAGCCAAAAAAGCAGCCCTCCCTGTTCCTCATGTTAAAAAGAACCCACACATACACTATACAAAGGAATATAAGCCTCACCACCCCACCCCTCCTCTCCCCCCTCTTCTTCCCCAACCTTATACTGTACTCAACACTAATGTCACAACAAATGTAGCTGATTTGTAAGAATGACTGTACAACATGAAAAAAGAGACAAGGCGTGTACTTTTGTAAACCAAGAAAATCTTTATTAAAAATTAAATTTTAAAAAAGAACAATGTATATTTTAGAAATAGGAATCCAGCCTTCCTCTGTGATACAGGGAAGAAAGGAAGGTTTTGTGCAACAGTAGTAGTAGGTTGAGTGATTCATGAGATAGGAATTGATTTTGTAAAACTGATTGAGATGGGGATTGATCTACAGTGATGGCAATGTTATTTGCAAAGAGAAAATGGAATCTCTTATACATTAATGTATAGATACCTATAAAATGCTCAGTGTTGATTCTATTGAGCAAGGAGATTACTGCTTTGTGAATGTGATTGATTGAATAATGGTGGGGTGAAGATTGGAAGGGTGCAGAGATCTGAACAAGAAAAATATTTTGCTTAGTTGCAATAATTCCCCTACGTTCCTCTGGGATTTAGGATCAAGATGTTCATAGTAACTTTATTGAAAAGGATTTCATGGAGAGGGAGCTATATACTTTATTTAAAATATTTCTATCCGCTTTTAGGTTTGTTGAGGGCCAACAGTAGAAATCAAAACAACCTTTTTAACAACAAACAAACAACAAACAAACAAACAAACAAAGTAGAGCCAGGAAATAAATAATTGAAAGTAGCATTAGCAATAAAAAGTAGCATCCCCCACCCCAGAAACTAGCTGTGGCCAGTGTCACAGCTGTTTAATGCACATCATGAAGAATGCTTTAACCTGAAGAAAAATAGTAACACTCAGAAACAGCCATACATGCATTATTCTTTGCCATTGTCTTATACTTTGCTATTATTCTGTATATGGTTCTGTATTTATGGAATCCTTCTTGAGATGTTGGCTACCAAAAAGTCAGCTGATAAATATTTGGAAGGAAGGAAGGAAGGAAGGAAGGAAGGAAGGAAGGAAGGAAGGAAAAATACAATACAATACAATACAATACAATACAATACAATACCAGGGCCTTTTCCCTGGTGGTGCCCCATCTATGGCTTGCCCTCCTCAAGAAGGCTCACCTGGCACCTGTGCTGTTTTCTTTTTTGTACCAAGTAAAGACATTTCTGTTCTCAGAGTCTTTTAACTACATTTTTTTGGATTTTGTCCTAAAGCTGGCCCTTTTGGCTTGTGTTTACCCAAACCTTTAAGCTACTGTTCCAAACTGTTTGAATATTTTTTATTGTTGGGACTTTTATTATTATTTTATTGGTTTTCATTTCTTGTGAACTTCCTAGAGACACACAATTGAATAGGTTGCATAAAAGCAGAAATGCTAAGGTTTAATTTATCTGTTTTAATTTTAGATTCTTACACATACAACACACACATATTATTCAGTTATGCTACAATATTTTAATCCTTTGTATGGTTTAGATTTTTTAAATAAAATCAAGCATTTACCAGAAATCCGTTGTGAAAAATAATTTGACTCTTAGCTGAAGTTTATAGCTGCCACATTATTATACGTAATAAATATTATTTTTAGTGCACTCCTTCTCTCTTTATATGCATTATTTCATTGACAAGATTACAATTTAGCACTCTTTCCTCTGCTTAATCATTTGTTTCTCACTTATTGTTTTTGACATCAATAACAAAAGGCACAAAACGCTTCATTCTTGCTGGGTGAGTTAACACATGGGGCCTGGTCTAAAGTAATCAGTCCATAACGCTATTGCAAATTGAGATGAGAGGAGCTGCCTAAAGGGAATTGAAATTAGCTAAGACATGCTGTTGTTGCCATCTATGAAGATCAGGGGAGGGATGCAAGGGGAGAGGTGAACCAACACATTGGCAGAGATTCCAATGTGAACCAACACAGTCATTTGAAAAGGATTGCCAGGGGACTAAAGGCTTTTCTGGCCCAAGCTGTCAGACCTCATGTCACACTAATGCAGTTGGCTGAAAGAAAGTGGGTACTGGGAAGGAAGAGGATATAAGAATAAAGTCCTCCATTAGCAGGTATATTTTGCTTTTCCTTCTTCAGTAGCCATGTTACTACAGTGGCTGAGACATAAACTTCCTATTCTGGAAGAAGTAAAAGTAATAGTAGTAGTAGTAGAAGAAGAAGAAGAATCTGTTGATTCTTCTTGATCCCTTAGCAGCTTTTGATACCACCAACAATGGCATTTCCTGGACTGGCTCTGTGGGTTGAGAGCAAGAGGCACTGCATTATGATTGTTCCATCCCTACCTGCAGGGCCAGTTCCAGAAAGCAGCATTGGGTGACTACTTCTTGGCTCCTTGGTGCTTGCTCTGTGCAGTCCCACAGAATACCACCTTGTCCCAAATGCTTTTTCAACATCTATATGGAGCCACTGGAGCTATCATTAGGGAATTTGGAGCAGCGTATCATCAGCACACTGTTTATAACCAGGAGTATTTCTCTGTCTCATCTGAGCCAGGTGTGGCTGTGCAAATCCTAGATCTTGAAGCAGCATTGGGAGGGACAAGGGCCAATAAGCTGGAGCTAAATCCAGGCAAGAATGATGCTGTGGGTGGGCAGCTCCCAAGCTCAGGAATCAGAGTTTGCCTGTTCTGGCTGGGGTTGTAGTCTCCCTAAAGGATCAGATATGCAGTCTGGAGGTAGTCTTTCATTCATCACTGTTGCTGGAAGCTCTGGTGAGCTTAGCAGCCAGGAATACCTTTCATCAGTTTTGGCTGTTCCTGGATAATGTTCCTGAACATTGTGGCTTACCACAATGATCCATGTATTGGTAGCCTCAAGACTGATTATTGCAATGTACTGTATGTAGGGGATTTCCTTACGGTTGGCCCTGAAGCTGCAACTGATGCAGAACTTGGTGGTTTGGTTGCTGAGTGAGGTGGCCTGTGGACATTTACATTTTTGCTGTTCAAGGAGCTGCATTGGTAGCCAATTTGCTACTGAACCAGATTTAAGGTGTTGCTATTAACATATAAGGCCCAGTTACCTGAGAAAATACCTTCCTCCACATAGGCCTGACCTCTGCAGATCTAAACTTCCAGGCTCCTTCACCACCTGTGAAGGCATGTACTGTAGCCACCAGGGGGCAGGCCTTTTCTACTGTGGTGCCCTGCCTTTAGATAGAATCACCTCCACCAGGAAGCAAGGCAGATGCCATCTGAGCATCATTACCCATGTCTTGGTTGAACTTTCATTAACAGACTTTTTGTGAATATTTTAATTGACTTGTTTATGCTACTAAGGGTGCTGTACTGTTGTAAATGGATTTTCAATGTACTGTAAAATTTGGGTTTTAATTTTTGTGTTTTTGTTTTGGTATTCTTGTTGCACACCGTCCTGAGCTGTTGTTTGTAATGAAGTATATAAATGCTTTTAATCATAAATAATTGTGACAGAGAAGTCCAGGGCTGTTAAAATGATTTATCAGCTGGCTTTGTCCAAGGACAGTTGTGCTTAACACAGAAGGTCTTATAGTTACTGCTGGGACATAAATAAGCAGGTAATGCATCAATAAAAGATACATGTCTCTTGTCCCATAGAAGTTGTATCAGAAAGAATATTTCCACCAGCTGTATGCTTCTTCCATCATTCAAAGTTCTGGGGTAAATTCATAACCTGCACTGGGTGGAATTTTCTCTTCCAGCTATATTATACCAACAAGCATATATATGCACATTAAAAATGGGGCTGCTACAAGCCAGTGGTGCCATGCAGTGATGTCCTATGCATGCTTACTCAGAGTTGTTCAACTGTAAGTATACAAAAGATTGCAACCTAAGTACCACAATTTCAGAGAAGCTAGAGAATTTACCCTCATACCACCATTTCCAAAAGTGCCCTGGTGGGACAATCTTGCTTTAAAACATTTTGATAATCCATACTGTATCGTTTAACGATTGTGTGGAAACTGCAGTAGTATCCAGGATCAAGCTCATTATAATAAAAATAAACCTTGGACCTTTGCTGCAGCAGCTGCTAAATTGTAGAATATTTCCCACATCCTCTGACCATGGAAATTTGGCAAGCCCACTTTCCTTGTGCATTCAAGGTTATTAACCCGGATACATTCACATGATTTAAAGAATAATTTAAACGATGTTGTTATGCTGGGCTATTTTATTGTTATTGATGGGTTGTTGTTGTTGTTGTTGTTGTTGTTTGCTTTATTCTTTAATCCTAAAAGTTGGGATATACAGAAGATAAATAGATAGTTCAATACCTACCCACCCACCCTTGTTTTATGGAATCCAAGGGGGATTTTCCAGCCAGTATGACTAGCACTCCTGGTGAGCTCCTGGTCATGTTGTGGAATAATGAGACAAGTAGAGACGTTGACACAATCACTCCTAAATGTGTGCTCTAAGTGCAAGGAGCCTGAGAGGCTCCTGGCTTTCTTAGGGACAATGAGCAATGAAATGGGCTTGTACTGTAGATGTCTAAAGATTGGGTTACCTACAACCAAATTGCACTCACTATATGGCAGTGGTGGAGGCAAAGAAGGTGTACTTCTCCACCACAGTGAACTGTCCAGCAGAGCTTTCTTGAGTGGTGAGTGGACTACTCAAATCTAGCCTTCAAGTAGCAACAGTTCACCACTCGGTGCTGTGATACATTTGTGAAGCACTTTGAGTTCAATGTAACTTGACACCATGGTTGTTGCAGAACTGAAGAGGTAATTAGACAACTGTCTGAATGAGATTTGTGGGATCAATTATTGCAGCATGAGGATCATAGAATCATAGAGTTGGAAGAGACCACAAGGGCCATCGAGTCCAACCCCCTGCCAAGCAGGATGTAGACCAAATGTTTTCAGGGGTTAGGCAAACCACATGCTCTCTTGACCCTTGCCCAACATGGCTGGTAAGATCTAGCAAAGAGGAACTGAGTGGGTCCATAGAGTGATTAAAGCCTTGTTACAGGGGAGAATCATACCACTCTGTTCTTCAGAGCAGTCAGCATGACTCCTCCTGAAAAGGCCCTCCCTGGACCTTGAGTTATTAGACAACTAATGCCCAGTCAAACACCCTTGCCTAAGAAATGGATGTGGCAGGACATGTCTGGATGAAGAGGACTACATGGACTCCTTTCAGTCTGGCTTCAGGCCTGGGTATGCACTGAAACAGCCTTAGTGGCTTTAAATGATTACATTTATCTGGGAATGTTGCCCTGTTAATTCTTCTTTATATCTTGGAGGTATTTGCCAACAGTGTCCTTCTGGAGTGTTTCTGCAGATTGGAAGTTTGCACCTGTGTGTTACAGTGGTTCCACTCCTATCTGCAGAAAGTAGCATTTGGGGACACCTGCTGGTTTCCTTGGAGTTTATGCTGCAGGGTCCCACATAGTTTTAGTCTCCCCCCCTCTTGCTGTTCAACATCTATGTGAAGCTGCAGGGAACTGTCATCCAGAGATGTGGGGTGTCATCAGTATGTGGGTAACAACTAAGATCTCTTCATTCCATCTGAATCAGGGAAGTCTGTGCAAGTGTTTGACAGATGCCTGGAGGCAGTGGTGATCCAATAAACTGAGGCTGAATTCTGATAAGATAGAGACACTATGGATAGGAGACTCTTTGAGTTCAGAAATTAGGGAGATGGCCTGTTCTGGAAGGGGCTGAAGGAACGGCTAAATAGCTTAGGGCTATCCTCAATTCAAAGCTGTCGCTAGAGGCACAGGTGGCCTTGGTAGAAACAAGTTTGTTTGTCATCTGTGACTGTTCCTGGACAGGGATAGCCTACCCTCAGTTATCAATGCTGTAATAATGTTATGAATGGATTATTCAATGCACTCTATGTTGGGCTGCCCTTGAAGATGGTTCAGAGGCTGCAGCTTGTGCAGACTGTGGTTACGCAGCAGTTAAGCAGGGCAGCTAGATGAGATCACATAACACTGACAGCATTGCTGTGGCTGTCCTCTTCCCAACCCCCTTCCTCACTTCCTACTCTCCCAGTTACTCCCACTGCTCCACTTATTAGGCAGCAGCAAGAGTGTGTTCATTTTCTCTCTCTTTTTCTGGACAGCTGGGTGCTGTCTGCAAGTGTCCACTATGAAATACCTCTGAGCCCAAATGGGGCCAAGAGCATTCTGGAGATATTAGCATGCTGGTGGTTGGAGGTCAGCACTTTGCTTTGAAGTGAGCCCAACTCCAAGAGGTGCTTTTTTTTAAAGGGAGACACAGGGAGCCTCAGCTGGCATCTGTGGGCCCTAGGCTTACAGCAACTGCTCCAATTCACCAGACATTTCTCCATAAAATATGACAAGGCAGTGGCGTAGCGTGGGTTTTCAGCACCCGGGGCAAGGCAAGTAATTTGCGCCCCCTAATCCGTGGATTTTAGTAGGGGCAGAGAGCTGCGAGTGCGAGCGTGCCCCCCCCAGATGTTGCGCCCGGTGCGGCCGGCCCCCCCTGCACCCCCCACGCTACGCCACTGTGACAAGGGGCAGTTAAACATCACCCTTGGAATCATTTACCTTGGGCCCTGAATCTATGATGCACAAGAGCTGCAGTAAATTTGAAAAGGAGGGAAAACCTTTTGTAAACTGTAACTCACATTTATGATTAAATCCCCCCCCCCCTAATATTTATAAGTGAGCTGTCTGCTTCAGCTTTTGTTTTCTGTCTTGAGGCCAGGAAATTTGTGTACACATGAAAGACTGCATTTGCTTGTTTGTTTGTTTGTTTGTTTGTTTGTTTGTTTGCCCGAGGGATTTATTTGACACAAGTTTGAATCCAACATTCTAATAACTGGTTCTAATAACTAATCCTAATAAAAGAATTACCTATTTTTCAAGAAAGGGCTGTATGCACAGGAAAGCTGCAACTGGGGCTTTGATGTTTTATTCACAGCCATGCACAAAGAGAAAAGTTTGGCTTGCTTTAAAAAGCAGCTTGTCTTTTCAGTGGTCAATGTCTTAGGACTACTTTTAATTTATTACTCAACAGTAACACTAAATGCACACGTGCAGCATAGAGCCATATCCATGCATGCTTTACATTTTAATGTATGCCTTGAAATTTGTGTGTGCATAATAAAAGGCACTATCTGAATCAGCTTCCATTAGATGCTACTTCTTATCTGAGACAAATGCAGCTACCAAGACAAGATAAATTAAGGGACTGTCTATGCAAATAATTTAGCTAGCTTCCTCTGTGAAGGGAAAAGCACAGCAGCTGTGACATGATTCCAAAGCCGGCACATTTCCAAAACACACAGAGAGAGCCCAATAACAGTAAACCAAGTCCACATCAGAAGAAAAAAATACATAACCCAGAATGAACCGAGATGTCTGCATATGGAAGTGATAGGACTGAGGATAACCAACCTTTAATTCTTAAAAGAACACTTTCCCCCTCAATATATAATTTGGGAATGTTAACTGATATTTAAATCTGACTATTAGCAACATAAATATATAGATAGCTGACAGTGATTAAAATAATGAAGTGTGTTTTGTTTCTTTTAAACAGATTTATTCCCTTTTATATTTTTAAAAATTGTTTCTAAGTTTCATTCATTTGATTTTTTTCTCTTCTGTTTTTAATATTTTGTTGGGAGCCGTCCAGAGTGGCTGGTGCAGCCCAGACAGATGGGTGGCATATAAATATAATTATTGTTATTATTGCTCTTGTTGTTCTTGTTGTTTCAATTGCAGCATTAAGCACCTGCTGGAATTTCATCTATTGAAATGAATAAGGCTTGAAACTGCTTAACTTCAGCTGGATCAAGATCATGAGTTTTAATGACAGGTACTGTAGAGCTGCATGGCTCTGTTCCACAATATACATGGTGTTGCTTCAGTTGAAACAGCACAAAACACTGTTTGTGTTGCTCCAGATGAAATAACTTCTCTGGATCAAGCCATTAGTCCTAATGCACACAAACCAACTCAAATTAAGTGCTTCAGCATAACTGGACTTAGGATAACAGTCTCTGTTTTGGGGAACCAATCATCCTTCTACTCCTTTATGGGTCAGCAGTTACCTTGTTCTGTAAAATTTAATTTCTGGCATGTAATTTATCTACAGATTTAAGAGATTACGCTTCTACCTCAGATAACCTCTGCTCAGCATAGAAGCCTGGTCCTTGCTACAGACCTCCCTGAAGAGAAAAGTCTGCTCAGTGTCACTAGGATAATGAGACAAATACCTTTTTAAACCCTGCAGCTCTTATCTTTTTGCTCATCTACTTTCGGTAATCAGATTCTCCAAGTCTGCTACTGTAAATCAACCTGTACTGTTGACAGCAAAGAAGCTCGTTGCTGCATAGCTAGCAAACTAGGTCCTGCAATAGCTGTCATTTTGAAGAGGAAAATACTGTAGCTGGTTTCCACCAAAGGTTCTGGAAGGGGGAGACAATTCCAGGAAGATTTGAAACATCGCTTAGAGTTGTGTTCAGTTGAGTCTTGCTCAGACCCATTGAAATTGATTAAGTTAAGTTAGTCACGTCCATTAACTTCAGTGGATCTGCTCTAGGGGGACTAGCATTGTAGGACTAGCATTGATTACCACCCATAATGTTTGCATTTCCAAAATAGCAAAAGAGGCTTAGTTAGAACTGTTAAATGACCAATTCCTAATATTGTGATTAGATTTTGTGCTGTCACTATGCAGTGGTGTGTCCCGTTCCCGCCCCTTTCCTTCTGAAAGTAGGGCAGGCATTTTTTATTATTATTTCTTGACTATTTTCTGGTTTGTTTTTTTAAAAAAACAGGAAGTACAAATGATAAAAAGCCATGAAACAGAACATCATACAAACAGCAAAAAAAGCCCATCTGAACTCAGAATTTTAAAACCATTACAGTACATGGGTAATCCCCCCCCCAGTCAGAAACCAGAGTTCTGACCATAGGATGTTATCTATCTCCTCCCTTCCAACTCTATGCCTATGAGGTGTGTACAGGTTTGAAGCAGCAAAGAACACTGCTGCTGCAAAGCTATGCTATGCACACTTTCCTGGGAGTAGTTCAGTGGAATACAGTAGGACTTACTGGGCAAATGTACATAGAACTGTACTGTATAAACAGTAAAGAGATTATTTAATGACATTGATAGAACTGCCACCAGCTTCCTCTCAAAACAGGAAAGAGACTAAGTTTGAGTTGAAGTACCATATTCCTGAAACCACCCAACTCTTCAAATACTTCAAATACATTGGTAATGTATGGCTCACAACATTTTTATGGTGTGAAAAATTCCATTTCCATTCAGAACAAGATAATCCTTCAATAAAAGCAATCTCGTTTAATACAATGAAACTGAATTTCCAACGCTGGCAGAGAATTAAGGTATTTAGAAAATAAAAGTGTGTGCAAGATGCCTAATAATTTATTTGGCAGAGTGTTATCAGGTCTTGGAAAAAAATTAAAGGGGAAAGTGGGATGGAGAGAATGTGTGTGTTCAGTTACTTTTCCCTGCCTCCTGATCTCCAATTTGCATGTCTTGAAATTATCCTAGTTGGTCATGATGCTGTAATTACTAGTTTGGCCCTTGAACTAAGTAAATATATATTATGTAAAGAATGTTCTTATACTGTCTTAGTCTAAGGAGATGGGGGGCCAAGATAGCATAGCAAGAAAGCAGGAAGGATACAGATATGCTAACTGGGGTTTTTGATGGCTCATTTGCCTCTATACTAACAAACTCACTTGAAATAAAGCTCTTTGTCTCACACTCTTGACTCAGCTCTAGCTGGCTATCAATAAAGCTGGCTCCACAGACAAGAGATCTGGACAAAATTTGTTTGGACTAAATTAATAGTACAATGATGCCACCTGTTATCAAAACTTGGATAAAGACAGTGCTTGGCAGGCCCTTTAAAGTGAAATGTCCCATAATTCTTGTGCTACAACAGAAAGCGATCTCGTCTTACAGAAAGACTGCACTCGGAACACGCCCTACTTCTTGATCTTCAAGTTCATGAGGGATCAAGTGTGCGCAGTCCCATGTTGCTTTGGTTCTATAGTTTGCTTCTGCTAGGTCACCTAAAATTTCTGTAGTAACCCTGGATCTGAGGGTCATTTCCCAAGGGTGGGAAGAGACCAGCAACAACTCCTACTTGCCAAGAGGCTGAGGAGGAGGAGACAGATCTGGCTTCCAAGAAGCCTGCGGCATTGGCAGCAGCAGCGAGCAATGAGTTATTTGGAGCCTGAATTTGCTGCCCCTGTAGATCTTGCCTTTTAAAGTGGTCCCCTCAACTTGCCTCATGGGTGGGCCGGCCCTGAACCCTACACAAAACAGAAGACATGATAACATGTCTAGGCATGAATGTCAAATTTTCAGACACCCTGGATTTTTCCTGTAATTCTCCTGGCTCCTTGGAATTCAATATGATGCACCAATCTCAGGTATAGTATTGCACAAAATGGAAAAAAGCTAATTAACTTTTGCCTTCAAAATCTTTACTGCATCATGTTTACGGTTACCAAAAAGTCAGACAAGGAGAAAGGTACAGTATATATCCCTTGCTATGCAAAACTACGAGCCCACTCATCTATTCCTACCCTATGCCTTCTCAGCAAATGCAAGCTATCTCAGGAAATGCATGTTTACTGCAGGGCTCAAATCTCCATTTACCAATGATGTTCACTGGGTGACCTTGGGCCAGTCACCATATCTCAGCCTACTCTACTCCATAGAGTTGTTGTGATGATAAAATGGAGAGGGGGAGAACCATGTACGCCAACTTAAGCTATTTGGAAGAAAAGTGAGGTATAAATGTAATAATAGAAATCATTCTTTATTATTATATTCATATTCCATCTTTTCTCCAAGGAGCTCAAGGTGCCATACATGGGTCTCCCCCTGAGTCTGTCAGGATAAAATTATTGGTTCTACAGGTATTTGTCTTCACACACCCACACAGGCAGTCTAAGGTTCCAGCAAAAACCCACTCACTTTTTCCAACAACAATCCAGAGGTGCACTGATTCACAATAGATCCACACAATCTGAATCATGCTTTCAGAGTCTGCACTGAATTAGTAGCACTGCCAATGCCATGTTAGACCCACATTGGGTATACCATTGGACTGGCAGGAGCCATTTATGATCATGATGATAAAGCCTTCATCTATCACTCTAGTTCTTGGTTAGTGACATGCAAAAATAGGTATGTACCACCAGATTAAAAACCACTAAGAACTGTTGTGCTTGCATTGATAACATAAACACTCTTAGGGCAGAAATGCACCTTAGAAGCCGGGACTTCCTCAGAAAATGTGCTGAATTATCCTGCTCCCACTTTGTAAACAATGTCCTGTTTCCTGACAGTTATCTTGAGCACTTCCCTGCATCTGCCAGTGACTTTCATTTGTGTAAAGTGAGACTGTGGAAATGGAGAGGGTAATTATGTCTGGAAAGAAATTATACTACATCATAGAATCATAGAACTGTAGAGTTGAAAGGGATCTGGAAAGTCATCTAGTCCAACCCCCTGCAATGCTAAAGCATCGATGATAGATGGCTATCCAACTTCTGCTTAAAAACCTGCAACGAATGTCCACCACCTTCCGAGGGAGTCCATTCTACTGTTGAACAGCTTTTACCATAAAAAAGTTATTCCTGATGTTTAGTCGGAATCTCCTTTCTTTTAACTTGAAGTCATTGGTTGGGATCCTAGCCTCTGGAGCAGGAGAAAACAAGCTTGCTTCATCTTCCATGTGACAGCCCTTCAAATATTTGAAGATGGCTATCATATCTCCAGAGTACATAGCTGTCATGAGCCAGAGTCAGAGATCAGCAATAAAAAAACCACTGGTGTCAGTGAAGTTAACTCTTTATTGAAAGAAACTAAAACAGTACAGGCGTAGTGATCACAGCAACTCTTCCCAGTAGGTATTTCTAAGGTTCCTCCCCTGGTTCCTTCCCCAGCAGCCTAAGGCTCTGGCATCTTGCCTCTCTTTGCTTTGCCCTTTTCATTTCTCTGTGTGTTTTGGGAGAGGGGGGTGATCACAGCAGGAAGGGGAGATACTCTGGCTTATTCAGCAGCCTGCCTCCAGTCAGCCTTTTGACCTCCCCTTTGCTTCTACATCAGAAGTCACAACTGCACTCTGCCAGAGCCTCCTCCTGTTCACTAAACCGTTACCTCTTCAGCTTCTGACACCTCCTCCTCCCAGTCTTCTCTTCTCATTGTTGTCCAACCACCAATCCCCTGGCTCTGAGCTTTCTTTGCCTGGAGGTTCCCTTGGGAGTTCGCCAGCTAGTGCCTCCCATTACTTCTCTGCATCCAGCCAGTCCATGACAATGTCTGACTGCACTCAGCTTTCCCCTGCCCTTGTATAATGAAACCCAGTAGCACATGATTACTTCCTCCCAAGATTCCTAGTACTTCCACTTTATCAGTTAGTTCTCCCCTTGGTGAAAACCGGGTCCAAGATAGATTATTCCCTTGTCGCTTCTTCCACCTTTTGGGAAATGAAATTGTCAGTGAGGCAATGGAGGAATTCTTGGCATAGTTTGTGTTCCAACAGATATGGGGTAGTTGAAGTCTCCCAAACTACTATATCTCTCCTTTTTGAATGCTAGGTAATCTGCTCCAGGAAGGCTTCAGTCTGGCTTGGAGGTTTATAGCAGACACCCACAGTAAGGCTAGTGTAGTTTCCTTCTCCTACAAATGTTACCCATACACCCACAATCTGCCTTCCATGCTCCAAGTCGTGGATCTCTTCACAAGTGTACACATTCTTTACATATAATGCTACTCCTCCTCCCTCCCTGTTTGGTCTGTTTGTTCTGATATATACCTTACCATTTCTACATTCCAGTAATGCCTATTAGGTCATATTTGCCATACTTTATTGAGAGCTCAAATTTGTCCTGCTTGTTTCCCATACTCTGTGCATTGGTAGAAACAACTGAAACCATGAGTCATTCCCTCCAGCTGTTTCCTTTTTGTAGTTTCTTGCCATTTATCAGGTTTCTGTAGCACTGCCTCAGTTTCCTGTGCATCAATGAAACTATTATCCCCAGTATCAGGTGCTTCCCTGTTATCTGTAATATCGTCTCCATCACTCTCAGGATTTAGTTTAAAGTTCTGAAGGGAATGGGAGAACTCAGTTGCTCTGTGGGCAGTTGTTATTTTTCTGCTCTGAAGCAGTTGTAACAACTACGTCTGAGTTGTAGGAATGAACACAACACATAGAATTACATAGGTTGCATCAAGGTTATGTCTTGGACCAAAAATGGTAATACAAATGTATTTATATTAACAGCCAATCCACATGCTCATTTGATGCACTATGGATGCAGTCCTATACTTGTTACACTAGATGAGAGGTAATGTGATATATTGGAAGCCCCACTATGCCTGCACAACACTAGATGACAGATACAGCTGCACAAAGCCTCAGATATAATGGTGGGGCACTCTGTCAATGCAGATGTAGCATTGATGAATATAGTTAAAGATGGAATAGATAAAATAGAGTCATGCTTAGAACAGTGGTGACACAGCGAAGGAACTATTTGGAAATGGTTTGCATAAAGCATTTTGCCTCCAGAAAATCTGAGGAAATTGCTAACATATCTCACCTTGGGATGAGACACAAACATCAAACAACAAACTTGGCTTCACCTTCACTTTTTTCTATTATCTTGCATATTCTTTCCATTTTCTTCACTATTCCTTTCACAATATCCATTCAATCTAGCTGCTCATTTAGGTACACTGAAATGCCCACTTATGAAAGTACTATGCTGCTGCATGCATATTTTACTCAGCCTAGAAAACAGTTTCCTGAACTTTTATCTATTTCATGCGCCAAAACATCTGGGCTCCAAATGTGTCATTGAAATCCTATTTCCTTTGTTTCCTGTGACTGAACATTGACACTGTTGTCTCTGGGATTGCTTTCAGTGACCTAATGCAAAATTATTTGTTGTAAGATAAAGTAAAATGTATTTTTGAATTTTATCATATTACAGTTTACATTTAAAATTAAAAAAAATGAGTAAATACAGATTTTAAAGCAACGCAACAAATTAAAAACAATTTCAGCTAACAATTTAAAAAGCTTTTTCAGTGGTGATGCCAAAATAGTGAAAAGCCTTTATAAAGATTTACTAGCTCCCTTTCATTTTCTGTTTAGATCTTTTCTCAATACCTTTTTATTTCAGAAAAGTTTCCCATGTTTAGTAATTTGCTGCTTTCAAACAGGCTGGGGAATCTCAAGTAGCAAAATAGGGCCAAACGTAAACAATTTAAACTTGGATGATATGGTACCACATTCAACTACTTTAAATAATACAGTATACAGATATTTTCACTTGCCTTACCTTGGATAGCTGCTGCCAAATTAGGCAGTCCTTGGCTAGTAAAACAATGGCATGGCTCAGTCTAATTTATCAGGAAGTTTCTCACATCCTAATTGTGGGATTAGTCAGCAAATGTGACAGTGTCCATGTGGTAGAAAGATGATGCAACATGGTATCTTTAAAAGAAAAGAAAGTTGGGTCCTGCTTCACATACTTACAACTGAACGCTAAATGTGCGTAAAAAGATTCAGAGTCACACTTGCCCTTTTATTTCCCTGAAGCAGATGTAATTGCTTCTCTTCTACAATTTTAGTTGGAGCATTGCATGTTGCTTTGTCAAAGGCAACATACTTTAATTTCTTACCCACAGCATGCCCTGCTTCAAACACTCCCTTCTAATGGAATAGTCAACTTGGAATAATCCCCTTTCTCCCAGCACCATTCATTCATTTATTTAGCATTATTTGTTTGCTTTGTTTGATTATTTATATTAGTTGTTAATGTATTGTTTATTTATTCACACATCAATACTCAAGGCATAATGCATATATAACATTACTCATATGCACACAGGCAACACCTGTTTTGTTTTATTTCTTCCCCCCTCTCCCACAATCCCAACTTCTAAAGGAATCCTTGCTAAAGGAAAGTAGCTACTCACTTATCACCTTCATGTGTTTTTGGTACCATTACATCTAATTTATATTCCTCCCCACCTCATCCCCTTTTGATTTACCTCAGATATGCCCAACTGAAGATTTTTTTTATCAGTGCTGCATGCCCCTCCGCTGAAGAGAAAGAGCTGCTATCCCTGCGCAGGATAACACTTTAGAAATTAATCTTCCCCAACCTTCCCCTGCAGATGTAGCTGGATCAGATGCGAGTTTCTAGTCCAAATTATCTTGAGGGTGCGAAGATTAAGAAAGGTTGCCTTAGATATTTCAAAACCCCCCACCTTTCCCTCATCTTTTACTTCGGACCTGCCTGGCCCATATTTTATTTTGTCCTTACCGTGGGTTTGTTTTTTTTAAGCAATAAAAAACAACACGTGAGCCACCTTGTTGAAACGTAACAAATAATAAGAAGAAAACGTTTCACATTCACATTCCCCGCCCTCACAGCTCTTAATTTACCTCAGACCCGTGGTTCCCAACGTGGGTCACACTTCCCAAAGGGGGGCAATTTGATTTTTAAGGAGGGCAATTCGAGAATGAGTTATTAACAGTTAATGGCCTTTTAGCCTTCCTCCATGTGAAGAGAAGTTCACTTTTTGAATAATAAGAATTACATGTCGGGGTGTGTGTGTCAGGATTTCAGAGATGCTTAGGTGGGGCATGGCCAAAAAAGGGTTTGGAACCACTGCCTTAGACCAAACTGCCTTCTTAATTTATTTACGACAGCTCTTAATTTACCTTGGACCAAACTGCCTTTCCCCCCTTCTTTTTTGAAACTGTACTCTCTTCCTAAGCTAGTCCTTCTCAGCAGCCCCGAATAGCCCCCCTTCCTCGCTCCCTCCGCTTTATGACTAGATGAAGAAAGCGAACCCCTCCCGGCCGCCGCCGCCGCGCACTCCCCGCAGTGTTTCGGGTACCATTTTGCGTCTATTGTGCCTTCTTCCCTCCTTCTGGGGCCCGCCCTGAGCCCGCCTCTTTCTCCCTTTCACGGCCTGTCGCTGTTGCGAGGGCGGGCCGAGCGGGGCCGGCAGAAGGGAGGCGGGCCCCGAGCGGAGCCGAACAGAAGAGAGCCTTTCTCTGCGAGGGAAGGAGGCGGAGGCGGCTCTTGTTTTCTTTCGCGGCAGACTTAGCTCAGCTGGGCTGAGGGGACCGGCTGGCCGCCTTGCCCCGCCGGGTGCCATGAGTGGGTCGGGGCTGCCCGGAGGCGGCGGCGGCGGCGGCGGGTCTGGGTTGCCTCCCCTGCCCAAGAGCCTGAGCGGCTTGTTGAATTCTTCTTCGAGCGGGGTCGGCCCGGGCGGAGCAGGCGGGCGCTGGCGGGACCTGGAGCGGCTCTACGCGCAGAAGTCCCGCATCCAGGACGAGCTGAGCCGCAGCGGAGGCGGCGGAGGGGGAAGGGGATCCCCGCGGCCGCCCAAGCCTCCCAACCTGGACGCCGCTTTGGCCTTGCTGCGGAAAGAGATGGTGAGCACCCGCCAGTTTTTGCTTTTTTTGCGTGTTTGTGCTTGGTGCAAGTCTACCGCCCCACCTCCTTTTTAAAACTGCTCAGTTTTGAGTCCCGGGACCTGGCTCGAGAACGTCGCCTCTGAGCGCGTGCAGAGTTCAATTCCGGCGCCGGGAGGCTGTTGGCGATTTCTGCTCCCCTGGCGCGCATGCCGGTACGATGCACACGGTGGAAAGGAAACCTTTTGTTTGTGGCAGGCAGGATTCGAGTTTTCATCCCAGCTCCTGGCGCAAAAAAAGGCAAATGCTCTTCTCTACTGCGATAGCAAGAGGTGGCAGCACCCCAGTTGCTGGATCTGCTTCCCAAAAGGAAGTGAGATTGGCCTCTTTTAGGTGGGCAGCTGAGGGGGCAAGTCCTAAGCCCTTGCCTGTGAGTAAGCACATGGGTGTGGCCAGTGCTTTTTTTCTGGGGGTACGCAGGGGTACGCATACCCCTAAACATTTTGTGAATCTCAGTTTGGCCTCATTGAGGGGCAGTTTTTCAATATGAGTAGGAAAATGAGAGTACAGTACCCCTAAACATTTTTTTTAGAAAAAAAGCACTGGGGGGGGGGTCAGCTGTCCCCAATCAACAACAAAAAACGGAGGTTCTGCCCCCCCCACGAAAGGCCTGCCCCCCCCCCCAAATCCTGACTATGCTCATCAGTAAGCGCCATTCAATTCTGGGGAGATATGGTTAGGAATGTGCAGTAAGACACTTTTCCACCAAGCCCTTAGTGTTTACCTGTTGCAGACTCGTTATTTTGCTCTCTTCTTACTTTAATACTGTTTTTAGTTGTAGAGTTTTTAATTCTTGTAAATTGCATTTGGGGCTCCCTCTTAGGTCCAAAAGGCCGTATATACACATTTTTTAGGGATAAAGATATAAAATCTATTTTTAGATAGATTTAAAAGCGATAAAGGTGGAAACTGGAAGCTGTTTTGCTTATTAATCACTATGGCTACCTTAGCTGTGCTGAAGACCTTGGGCAGACCCTGTGGAATTTTTATACTTATTTATTTACCCTTTGAACAGTTGTGAAACTGAGGAGTTCAAATGGAGAATTGCCAGGAGGTAAAGGGGGGTGGGGGGGGCTGCCAGTCTAGAATGACAAACCCAAAGGATGCATAGAGCTAGTTGTGCAATTCTTTGGGCCTAAGCCTGTGATGGTTATCCAAGTTGCAGTTAATGGATGCAAGACCTATCTAGGGATTGTGACTGAAACATTCCTCATGTGAGAGAGAAAAAGAAAAAGAAACTCAAATCAAAAGATTGGCAAACCAAAAAAAAAACCACCTTGATAGCATCTGAAGTATGTCGCTATTATCTTCCCTTTTAAAACTCTTTTCTCATTCTGTCCTTCTCTTTGTTTCCTTCTAAAATTCTTCTAAAATTTTCATTCTGCACTCTAGTCATAGTTGCATATTGTACAAGCACACACCTGTTCTTTATATTCACTATTTGGATCAGAAGTGTTTTGTTCTGTTTCAGAAACTGGAATGTGACTTCTAGTAAGCAGGCTGCTTCTTTCCCACCTTTGACTTGTCTTCTGAAATGTAGGTTAATTGGCTTAATGGGCTTTTACTTTGCACAAGATTGGTACTTGGGCTGTGCACCAGATTGCTTACAGCAGCAGATTCACATTGGTTTTTAAATGTGACTAAAAACTGAAGTGTTTCAAATATTGTTACACTAGCAGATCATGTAAGCAAACAAAGTATGGGCTAGATTCATTTTGAATATCAAGCATGGCTTTTTGTCTTATAAACCTATAAATCAAGTTAAGAATGAATCCTTTCATTGTCCCAGAAAAGCTTTTGCAAAACCCGCAATCCAAAAGGTTTTCCCATTTTAAGTGGTACACATATGCCTTTCATGAGACAAAAGCTTCAGGTTAAACAAGCGACATTGCTCTTAGTGAAACATGACTGAATTATTAGGTATGCAAAACTTTTCCTCTGGATCAGTAACATGAAACTTCCAAAGGCAGCAGAGATCTATGCCTGTCTGGCACACCCCTGATTAAGTAATCTGGAGCTATCTTTTTTCCTGCTGTAGGAAGGAAGTTGCAATGGTTGACAAGTTTTCGTAGAATTAGGATGTCAGCTCATGAATACGCACAGCATGTGATCACTCTAAATCTGGCTATTTTAAGATGTGATTAAAAGGTATTTTCTCTTTGCAGTATTTGTGGGATACTGCTATCAATCTGCACATGGTCCTTGGAAACAGAACATGAAAGCATCATAGCATTGTCTAGCTCGGGCCATATGTGGTGTACGTATGGCGCACTGTATGTTAGGATCCTGTAAACTCCCTTCAAAAAACAGCAAAGTATCACTTTAAAATACAGAGTATTAGAGTCAGACATCTTCTCTTACACATGTCCTCTTTGCATTCATAACAGTGCCCACCAATCACAATGTTGCATACTGATGACACCCTCAGCTTCGCTGCACAAGGAAGAAATTATGTGTGGTGATGGTGAAACATCAACATCACCTTGCCCAACCACACAGATAAGATACAGCACTGCAAACACATACTAGAGTGCCCTTACCACTGTGAACCACTCTGGTGCATCAAGTCCAAATCCCATAACTGGGATCCCTGCAGGTGCCCTTGCACCATGCACATGGGCCGGAGATCAGCCTTTGGACAGGAAAACATACAGGAAGGATGGGCATTCCTGGCATATCACCCAGCCTCACTTTTGCATGGTGAACCTTTGGCCTCCCCTTGGCAACCGTTCAGCCCCTGATGGGGAAAGAGTGCCTTTGTGAGAAAGAAAAGAGATCTTTTGCATGGTAGAAGGAATGGAGATACCAGGTGGTGGGTGTGTAAACAGAGTAAGAGGAGCTGGGGCAGTGGATTTTAGCTCTCCATTAGCTTCAGTAGGAATGTTTTTAATTTACACACAGCCAAGCTTGGGGAAGCTTTGAAAACCTGTTGTTCCTCCTCCTGACACACTGCCCATTTTTTATCACTCTGCTGGTGGAATTGCACCCCGTAAGCCTGGTGCTATGCCAGTGTCAATACCCATCACCACTGTTTATCATCAGCTAGTGCAAAGAAACCGACTGGCATTTTGACACCCCTCTCATCTGCAGTACATGGTGCATAGCTTATTACTGTACTACAATTTGAAACTGTAGATATTCCTGACTTCACTAATGCCATTGCTAGTCAGAAGGTGTATTTATGGAATCTGGAGCCTGGCTGCGTGGTTTCTATTTAATGTTGAGATTATATCTCAAAGGTAAAAAACAAACAAACCCTAATTAGATGGTATCACACCCTCCACTATAAATCTTACTTGTATCTTTTGGATAGAAAATGAAATTGTATGTTCTGGTAAGAGATATAAACCCAATTGTTTAGATTGCTTTTCTGATGATACCTAGCCTGCATATTTGTCTTGCTCATCCTTTACCCACTTTTACTTATAATTCTTAATCTTGCCACCCCCACAAATACCTGCAGTTGTTGTTTACCTATGATTCATTTCTGTTTTCCTTATGAATAACTAGTTGAACTGTAACACGGCTAGCCTTGCAAGTTAGTTTTGCCCATTAGTGGGAGGTGAGTGTTTTGCTTTGAAGGGCAAATGAGAAGTCATCACTAGATCCACCTTAAGGGGAGAAAAGCAAGCTTAATTTCTGGTAGTAATATCATTTTTGAAAGGCAGAATAAAATAATGTGCTATGATCTTGGACACTGCAATGCCTATGCTATTTTTCTTTCTCTACTTCGGGGCCAGGGGGGGAGCCTGGCATGAGTTGTGTGAAAGGCAAGAATGAATGATATGAGGTGTTTGATTATATTCATATTATTTTCCTAAATGTCCTTGTGAAAAGCTGCCCGTATAAGCTGAAGGTAGTTGCATATGGCTAAAAAACAGAAGTCCTATGGACCAAAAAGTTAAATACATTAAAAAGAACATTTATGGCATAGTGCAGATAATACAAAGTACTCTTGTCTTCCACATTCATTCAGTTCTCCATTACTGTGTAGGAAGGAAGGAGGCAGGTAATATATGATGAAGTAAGCCCTGAAAGAAGTTCTGTAAAATGCTCAAAGACTCTTGTTATACCTTGGGCAGTTTCTGTATTTAATTCAAGAATTTAAGCGTTCAGAACAACCTGGCTTTGTACTTCATTCCTGTCCTTACTTTAAGTTACCCAGCTTCTGATGGAGCTCTCTTTTAAAATGCTTGTGTGAAAAGCTGGGAGTAAATAGGATGAAATTGTTGTAGTAGCTGGCTGCCCTCCACAAGTGCTACAGCAAGCAAGCATCAAACTGAGTGTTCTTCAAGGGGCAGACACTCAAGATTTTCTGGGCCCATGTGGATTATGGATTTTGCCCTACTTGCAAAAGAGGGCATACATTTGCATACGTTTTGTGTCATACGCAAATTTGCATTCTCTTTTGTAGGGTGGAGGACCATAAGATAAATCGGGGGCCATACAGGAATAACATGTCTGTCCAACAGAATGGGTGGTATCCAGCTGACTGCTTCCATTAGTGCAAATATTTCTCTGTTTTTTCCCCCCTCCACACTCCCCAAATTTGCTTTGGGAACCCCCAGAACAGATATGAGGGGTGTAAGGAATGGAGATGGGGAAGTTCTGGATTTCTATATAAGGAAAGGCATAACCTGTTAAATTACTGCTTGCCACATAGCCGTTAAAGGCACAAAAGCTCAGTTCTCCCTCAATGCTAACCCTAAACCATGCAAAGAACTCATGTTCCATGATTTGTAAACCCCTTATGATACTGTATATCTGTCATCAATTAATCTTAGGCTAGCAATACCTCATTCAGTACAAGACCAGACATGGTGTTTCAGCCGGCTGGCAGTGGGGGTCACAAGAGATTTTAAATTTACAGTTATTTTGGTTCAGATGCCTATTCTTGGGTAAAGATTACCGTACATTGTTTTAAAGGAGGAGTGTCTTTTAGGAGCATATGTTACAGCTATTTATTTATACCTAGTAAAAACTACAACAATATTACCAGCCAAGGTGAAACAGCCATCTTTTCTTCTTTTTAAGCAAAAAGGAGTAGTTGATCCTTTGACATGAATATATTCATTTAAGTGTATTAAGTGCAGCACCTTGCTCCCAAGAATCCCCGTTTCCTTCCCCCCATGAGTGGAAAAGCAATCACCTTCCATGTTGCTGCTACACCTCCCCAGCTTCATTTCTGTAAAAACAGAGGCACACACTTTTACGAGACTAGAATACACTGAGCTACACTGCAGGGTTGTCATACGGTATTATCTTCCGCCTCCCCGCTATCCAAGCAATATCAGCACAGCAACACAACTTTTTTGCAAGGATGCTATAACCCACACTTTCCCAACCTCACCACACCCTCCCCCTGAGGCAATATGGATAGAGTAATGATGGGTTGTATTTATATTTGCATTGGTAGGATTTTTTAAAGTTTGCATACTCAGGGGAAAAATAAACTAGAGTTCAAAAGAGAATGGACTCTTTTCTTTGCTGGTACTTTTTGCTTTGGGGTAGACATGTTGTTGCCCAATCACAGCTATGCTAAAATCCTGGATTTCTCAATTATTTTCTTTGTGCAACAACCACTTATATACCAAGGAAGATGAACAGGCACCCTCAGAATGAAGCAGACAGTCTCTGGAGAACAGTTGAGTCATACAAGTACCAGAGAAGAAAGACCCCAACATGGCTTCAAAATGAATGTGGAAGTCTTTTCCCATCGACCCTTAATTTCTCAAGAGCACTTGTGAATCAGAGCTCTGCTTCATGCATGGGGGGGGGGGCGGCACTGAAAGGCAGGAATAGTATCATATCTCACAAAGCGATTGCTTTGAATGGTACCTACACACTTTGCTTCATAATTTTCATTCTACAAGGGCTAGAGACTACTGCCCCCCCCCTGCCAACCAATCAAATGAAAGTGTGGAGCTGGGCCTGATACAGCAGTCATCCCTGCACCAGTTTGTCAGAATTGGGTTCTGTTGATTTCCTATGAAGTAGAATTCAAAGGGAGGAGGGAGAGAACACTGAATGTTTCCTCAATTCATGCTTTCGTTCCCATGAAGTTGCTTCTCTCCCATAGGGACACACTGTCTAGAACCTTCCCCCAGTGGAGTAAAAAACAAAAAGGAGGGAGTATCAGTCCCTCTTCTCCCACCAGCCCAAGGTGCACCTTAAACTACATTTATTTCCCCACTTTATAAGAAATTGGCAGTGAGCCACTTCTGACACAGGTCTGTGCTAATCACATCTGGTTTCTCCTTAATGCAGCATCAGCCTATGGTTACACAGATCCTCTGCTATTAAAGAGGGCATGGTAACATGACTTAAGCATCAGGAATGTTTTGCCACGCTGCTTCCTGCATACTCCAGCTTCCCCCACAGCTGTTTCTTCCTTACTTCGGCAGGGTGGAATCTCCCACGTAATTTAATTATCCTTGCTCATATTGTGTAATTGTCAGGTACAACACTGATCTTCTGAGTGAAGTCATTGTGGGGAGCAAAATGTGCAAGCACCAGCATTTTAGAAGTAAAATTAAGCCATAAATACTAATATGTGTGTGTGTTCTCTTCTACAAGGTTGGTCTCCGGCAGCTAGATATGTCATTATTATGTCAACTATACTCCCTTTATGAGTCAATTCAAGAATATAAAGGTGCCTGCCAAGCTGTATCAAGTGCAGACTGTGCATATGCTCTGGAAAATGGCTTTTTTGATGAAGAGGAGGAATATTTCTAAGAACACAGCCGTTCCCTGGAGTAGAGCTGAGATCATCGGCGTCTAATTGGAACTTAAAGTGCATTCCTGCCTTGTGCTGAAGAAAAGACGCTCAGCTACTTTGCAGCCCATTTATTTCTGGCATGCTGTCAACCCGAGTTACACATTGTGTGAATCCTCCTTTAAGGAAAGCCATGTGCGACAAATTTTAAGGCGTCCTCAAGCATGTTTGACAGGCCATGTCAGTATAATTTGTGAACTGGGTCTTTCCAGTTTGCACATGTTGGAAAATAACTTTCTATTAACTGTGGCTTGGGTTCATGCAAGGAAGAAATGACATCTGGAGTGTTCTGACATGTAAAACATTATTAGTAATAATTATATATGTATTTTGTAAACATTTGAATAGTCTTTGAACTGATGTTATGACTTTTTATAGAAAATCTTGTTAAAAACTCAGAGCATTGAGGACCAACATGTACCTTCTCCAGTACTGTATTAGATAGACTTTTAAAAATCTCAGATACACTTCTGAAAGCCTCTTACCATATTCTTTTCCATTCCAAAGTTTACAAATGTTAGGAATCCTACCCTCTTTCCCCAGTGATCAGTTCACTCTTTCACTCACATAAGTTTTAGCTATTTTAATCCAATCAATTTAAAGTTTTGTAACACTTGGTATATTTTTACACAAATACAGTGAAAGCAAATGGGTCTTCCTTTTTGTGAGCTTATATAAGTGTAATTAGATTGCTTATTCAGTGAATAGTAATATAAATTTCACACAAACTGAGACCAACAGCAGTATTTTATACTCCTTAATGCTTGGAAGAGAGCTGTGAACTTTGTATCTTATAAATCCAAAGGATGTGTACAAATTATTTGTAGGTTTGTTTTTTTATACTATTGTAACAGAAAACTCAAGCTTGACCTGTAATTTATTAAACTTTATACCAAACATGGTGTGTGTATGTAAATAAGTAAAATTACCTAAGTACAGCCAAGCCTGCTTCCTTCACAAATAAAACACAAACTGCCACCTCAGTCATGTTGTCAGGTTTTGCACAGAGAGTGCTTCCATGAAGGAATTTTCAGGAGACCAGTACATTCGTACCTTGGATCTCAAGCGCCTTGGCTCCTGAATAAATTGGCTCTCAAACAATCAAAACTCAGAAGTGAGTATTCCGGTTTTTGAATGATTTTCTTAAGTCAAATGTCCAGTGTGGCTTCCGCAGCTTCTGATTGGCTGCAAGACGCTCCTGAAGCCAATCGGAAGCCGCACTTTGGTTTTCGAATGGTTCCGGGAGTCAAATGGACTCCCAGAACGCATTCTGTTTGAGAACCAAGGTACAACCATACCAGGATGGTCACCTGTGAGACTAGATACAGAATAAGTCAGTTGCAGTGGGACTTAAGTGTAGCTATTTTAATCTGGCTGTAACTTATAAATTCTTACTATGTGTAAAGGTGGTGGAATTTGCTTGGCTTTGGCTTTCCACCATGTACACAAAATATATAACAGCATGAACACTTGAATAGCTAGTTTAACTAGTGACCCTGCAATCACCACCAAGTAGGGCCTTTGTTGGTGACAGTGCCTACATACGGATACAACCAATGAATTTGTAATGAGGGCACAGACCTAGTACTGATTCTTGTATTGCAGACACCACAGTGTCCCCAATCCATCAGTAACTTGGGTAGCAACATGTCCCCAGGGCTACCTGCAGTGGTCTGAATCTCCTTCATGCTTCACACAAGCATTGTTTTGGAGCACAATTCACACAGCAAGGAAGTGGAGCCCAAGCTACAACGCACTTATGTAGCCTCTAGAGCAGTGCACAATCTACCTGGGACAAAGCCTGAAGCTCTATCCAGGGAGAGAAAGATTCGTCAAGTAACCAGAGAGAGGTGCAATAGCAGCTGTAGACACTGACAGTAACAACCTCTTGTGGCTTTGTTGCTTGTTGGGAAGTAAGGAATATGCACACATAGCTGAGCCAATTGGGAAGATTGCTGCATAGACCAATACCCTCTCTGCTGCATTTGGCCCATTCCAACCACATGTCAACCCATGTGATGAATTTCCCCACCACCCTTGCTATTTTGCCTGATAGGTGAGCCTTGCTGGATAGCAGTCCACATTTCTGCATACTTCATTCCTCCCTCCCACCCACTGCAACTGCTTCCTGCACTCTGACAGCAGCATACACCTTATTTACACATTCTGAGATAAATGCCCCTTCACAGGGAATCTGCATGTTGTTGCAAGACTGGGTTTGGACCCAATCTGGCTAAGTTTTCTGGATAGTCAAAGGACATTGCGGGATTTAATCATAGAATTGTAGAGTTGGAAGGGGTCCCCCCAAGGGTCAACTAGTCCAACCCCCTGCAATGCAGGAATCTCAACTAAAGCATCCATGACAGATGTTTTACATTCACTTACAGGTATTTATACCCCCTTCTTCAACTCTAAAAAGCCTTACACTTGGGAAAGAATGCTCTTTCCAGAGTTGATGGTGGGGAATTTTGCAATCTGTTGTACTTTACATATGTATATTCAACCAAGCTGCAGGGGGATATAGTCTTTTAACAAGATAGTATTTTTAGCTAGACTATGTGCCAAGATACACACTTGTTTACTCAGGAAAGCCTTGAACTTATGCAGGCTTTTGCATTACCAAAGAAAGCAAGGGAACTGTTCTTCATGACATATCTGCAAAATCCTGCTATTGAGATTCCTATGAAACTACACAAAGTTCAGATTGCTCAACTTCGTTGTTTTGGTCTGTTTCCACATATACTGAGCATTCTTTGGAGATTCACAAAAACAGCAGGATCTCAGGGAAGCAACGAAATGGCTTCCTGCTGTGGGCTTCCCTCTGTTGTCCAAAAAAAAGAAGTCAGTATCTCTTGTGTCAATATTTTGAAATGTAGTTACATTTATTTTGGGCGAGCTACAGAGAATTCATTGGGATAAGCTACATTTAATGGCCTTATTAATGTCTTCAGCAGTTAAAAGACTTATGAAGATGTTTTCAATTTAAAAAGATGTAAAGACTCCAGTTTTTCTCATGAAGCAAAAATACTGCAGGGAAAATGTATCGTACAATGCCTGTTTAATGTTCAATATCACCCAGAAGCCTGCCCCTCCCACCCCCAAAATATGCTTTTAAGGCTACAATATTACGCACATTTTTCTGACAATCTCTATTAAATACAGTGGGGCTTACTTCTGAGTAACATGCATAGATCAGTAGCAGGACAGCAAAGAGGAAGAAACAGCTATGGCTGATGCCAGAGGCCAGTCAAACACCAAGACTTGGAAACCAGTAAACTGCTCACTGAGCTGGTTATGATACCATTTTAATTTTGCATGGGATTCCTGGCAAAGCCAGATGCCGTGTATGTCTTTCTCTTATTCTGGCCTTCCCTGCAGCCCAGCTGAGAGAGAAGAACCTGTCTGTTTTCTCCTCCTTTTCTGCAGTGCACAGATGAGTTGTCATGGAATGGCCGAATGCAGAGTTGTTGTGCGGGGAACCCCTCTAGGGAACCCCCAAGGGAAGAAGGCTCCGAGCCAGGGGATTGGTGGTGGGAAGACAATGTGTGGTCAGACGGAGGAGAAGACTGGGAGGAGGAGGTGTCAGTAGCAGAAGAGGTGACAAGGTTTAGTGAACCCAGGGTTTAGAAGCTGTGGCAGAGAGCAGCTCCGACTGACTCTGAAGTGGAGGCTAGAGGGGAGAGTGGTCAAGAGGGAGAGTAGAGGTTGCTGATGAATCCAGGGAGTCTCCCCCTCCTGCTGCGACCTCTCCCTCCTGGTCTACCAGAACACGCAGAGAAATCAAAAGAGCAGAAGTTGATTGTGCACAGACACAGTCTCAGATTGCTGGGGAAATAACCTGGAGAGGAGTGAACTCAGTCCTCGCAACTTCCTCACTGGGGCAAGACTTGCTGGGAAGAGTTGCCGGGATCACTAGGCTTGCTCTGTTTTGGTTTCTTTGAATTAAGCATTAACTTACCTGACATTGTGTTTTTTATCGCTGACCTACATCTGACTCCGGCTCCTGACAGCATGTGAATTTTACCTTTATAGTAGGCTAGTTTCTATACACATCCATCTCAATCTTCAGTCTAAGACAGCAAGAAGCATCAGAGTTCAAGGACACATCCCAGGCAGGAAAAATACTGGAGGTACAAAGCAGGGCTGTTGAGGGGTGTGGCTTGGGGAGAGTCCCAAGGACCTAACAGCCCTGGAAGGCCCCATTTTCTTCTGCAAGGCCACCAGATGTTAGTGGACTGCAGCTCTCATCACTACCTACCGCTGGTCATGCTGCTTGGGGCTGATAGTTCAGCAACATCAGGAGGCCCACACGTTCCCCACTCCTGGTTTAGAGTTTCATGCAAAACAGGCCGGTGTTAACTATAGTACAAATTAATGTACTAAGGCTGAATTCCTATACTTGGGAGTAAATCCTTATAAACTCAGCAGGATTATTTCTCAGCAGTCATGCATAGTATTTCACTGCACTTCCCCTTATTTGGAAGTAAGTTTCATTGCACTCAGCAAACATTTTGGAAGGAGAAAGTGTTTTGACACTAAATGCTATCTTGTCCCTTTTTGCAAAGTCAGAATTTCAAGATTTAATAATGCATGTTTTATTGTGTTATGACCTCTTGTTTGCATATAGCATGTCTGCTCTTAAGTCTGTGAGGTTTTATTTTGGGCAGGATCCCTCCCTCACCTCAAAAAAATGTTTATTTATCTCATCAGCCCAGTGTCCAAGCACATAGTGCTACCCCTCAAGGGTCAAAGAAACTATTCAGTGGAGTTGAGAGGACTGGCCCATGTGCAGTAATTCATGGGTTCATTTTAGACTTCCGGAGCTAGGCTCTGTCACAAACAATAATTATGCCTGTCTGAATTGTGCCAGCTATTGCTTAAACTGTTTCGACTGGTTAAACACAAGAGCCTTTTGAATCATTTAGAATCCGGCAGAGCCAGAATGGCTGTATCAAGATTCCAAGAGGAGAAATATATATTTTTAACTCCGTCTATGGCTCTTTTTGTTCAAATTCATTCAGCCTAGTCACTTCTGATTTAAAATGTACTTAATGGGAATCAAGCTGAAGATTTTAAATTAATCCAGTGAAACTTTGCTAGATTGGTAATTAAAATGACATGTTAGGATATATTAAAGAATGTAAGATTAATACACTTACACTTGGAACTTCTGGTATGGTACTAAAAGCTACCCTTTCAAGAAGCTGAAATGCAGCATAATTGATACAATACCTTTTACTGAACCAGCTAGTCTATAAACCTGGAAGAAAGCATTTGAACTCCATATTTTGAAGTAAGTTTAGGTGTCCAAAGGGGTGGTGGTAGGGAATAATATAATGTTTTATGCCAACAGCAACCTTCTGTCCTTGTTGGAGGAAATTAGGTCACAAGCTCATCCACAATTTGGCATGCTGGGGGAAGAAAATCAGCAAACTGATAATTGAACTTTGTTTGCTTCCTGTGCAATTTGGTTTGAGGTGCAATCCTAGGCACACATACATGAAGTAAGTTCACCTGAAGTGTGACTTTGGAGTAAACATGGGTAGGATCAGGCTGTAGGGATCCAGGTAATTTGTAATTCACCTAACATGTAGCTGTAGATCTTTGGTAGGCAGTGCTGCTTTCAAATGGCAAGTGGTGGGATATTTTATTGAAATATCCTCCACTTGCAGTTCCAACACAGAAATGTAGAATGTCAGAGAGGCGGCTAGTAGGCCTGGGCGATATATCGCCCAAGACCGGTATGAGGAGCAGAATGTGATGTCGGCTTCACTCAGCAGTATATCACTGGTGAAACAGCCACCACTCCCGAGTCTCTCTGCTAGCAGCGTCCATTAGAGTTCCTTCTGCCAGCGGCGCTGCTAGCAGAGAGACTCGGGAGTGGTGGTTGTTTCACCAGCGATATATCGCTGAGTGAAACCGCCAGAGCATTCTGCCCTCATCCGATGCAGAGAGAAACAAGCTGTATTGGCGAGGCGCCGATACAGCTTGTTCCTCCCTCTGCATCTTTTGGTGGGGGCTTCATGAAGCTGCTCAGCTAAGGGGCGCGCGGTTGGCTCTGCCCGCTTGCCCGTGAATAAGGGGAGCACCAGGGCTGTCTCAGCTGGGGAGGGGGAACCTTCCTGATCCCCAGCTGAGCTGTGCAAACAAGCTGTATTGCCCCAGCCTGTGAGTGCCTGGGTGAAACCAGTTCCCAAGGTGGGAGCTGTTTCACCAGGTGCCTAGTGCAGGCCAATGCAGCTTGCTTTTTCAGTGCCGTGGTGTATCGACAAACCGATGTTTGGCTGGCGATATCGTTGAAAAGCTGATATTGCCCAGCCGTAGTGGCTAGATTATAACCTTCTTCCTGACATCTACTTAGAGGGGATTTTTCAAGATGGGGGCTTTCAACTCCCCCTCCCACTTAAACAGCAAACCTGCCCACCTCCATATCACTGAGAAACAGCTTTTGAAACTGAACAAAGCTTCAAAAGCAGTTTGAACAGCACATCAGGTCAGGTTAGCATATCTGAAGGTTAAAGATTATACAGGGTCATCACAAGTCCCTTGAAGGATACCAACCTTTTCTTAGATCCCAGCAAAAGCTTTTACAGTTATGTGCCGAGGAGAGAGATGACTGGTTGTGATCTTTTACTGTTTGCTTTTATATGGCTTTGTTGTCATCACTGTGTTATATAATTTCTTTAAAAGAAGTAGTATTGTTTTATATATTCTGTTTTGTTCTCTCAAAGATGTAGGCCATGGAAAGTTTCCAGCCCAGCGTGGGGCTGACCGAGTTCTGTCCTCAAAGCTGCTGAGGATGGAACAACAGATGGGAGGTTGGGAAGACGCATTTTGTTGGCACAGGCTAGAAGTGGCAGTTTATTATTGGTTTAAAAATATTTTTGACATTTTTAAATAGTTGTTTTTAGCCATTTTAAAGTGACCATTTCATTATTTTATTCCTTTTGTAAATCACTCTTTTTTACAATCAAGTAGAATATAAATGTTATGAAATTTAAAAAATTAATGGCATGGACACAGATGATTGTAGTATGGGCTGTGGATATCCTGTCTACAGAAAAATTCCCTCAAGTTCAGTGGTAAAAGGAGGATTCCTGTGCCACTCTAGATACAGGGACCACCAGGAACATTTAGCTTTTAGCCTAGTTGTTGCCTTTAAGCATAATAGAGAACAGCTGACATTCTTATCTATGTGAGAAGATCATAGACTCATAGAAGTGTAGAGCTGGGAGTGCTGCACTTGAGAACAACCCTGCAATGGGGCAAAACTTATGTGAGGAACCTGCCTCTGACCAGGTATTGGCTTTCCATTTTTCTCTTCTGCTTTCCGATTTGGTTTTAATAACTGAATTTTATTATATTACATTTCATATGTAACTACTTGATAGTTCATCATAGAAATGACAAGTGACATATAAATTCTCAAAATAAAATATTCTTTGAAATGAAAGGCAGTACAGAAATGTTACCCAACAAAACAAGGGTAAGTAAGGATATTAAACATCAACACAGATTCCTAATACCTCTAGTTCTGAGTCATCGAGTTCACTGCAAAGTTTATCAAATATATCAGAGGGCTTCTCATTGAACACCAAAATTCACCTAGACCACCTTCATGTTTGAACCTTATAATTAAGTATAAATAAAACAGATGCCTCAGCTTCTATGAACACAATTCCATGGAACAGAACTGCCAAGATATTGGGTGGGGAGCTCCAGAAATCATCCTACCTAATCAACTTGGTTTGGGGTAAAAAAAAAAATTAATAGCATATAACTTTCCAAGTACAAGCTATTGTTTCCCAATGTGGCAGTTAATTACAATTAATTTTGGGAGACAATTATCTATTCCAGCTACCTCCTGTTACTATTGCCCTAATTAAATATGCTATCGTCCACAGAATGAAGTTTTACTGTACACTTAAATCATACATAGGCGTCACTCATATGTACCCAGGTAGAACTTACTTTTGAGTAAACATGTAATAAGGCTGAGTTGTTTCCTGGTTCTGCTGGATCTCTCAGCGGCCTTTGATACAATCGACCATAACATCCTTCTGGACCGTCTAGAGGGGCTGGGAGCTGGGGGCACTGTTATACAGTGGTTTCGCTCCTTCCTCCTGGGCCGTGTTCAGAAAGTGGTGGTGGGGATGAGTGTTCGGACCCCTGGGCCCTCACTTGTGGGTGCCTCAGGGTTCCGTCCTCTCCCCATGCTTTTTAACATCTATATGAAGCCGCTGGGAGAGATCATCAGGGGATTTGGACTGGGTGTCCATCAATATGCAGATGATACCCAGCTCTACCTCTCTTTCAAATCAGAACCAGTGAAGGCGGTGAAGGTCCTGTGTGAGTGCCTGGAGGCGGTTGGAGGATGGATGGCGGCTAATGGATTGAAGTTGAATCCTGACAAGACAGAAGTATTGTTTTTGGGGACAGGGGCGGGCTGGTGTGGAGGACTTCCTGGTCCTGAATAGGGTAACTGTGCCCCTGAAGGACCAGGTGCGCAGCCTGGGAGTCATTTTGGACTCACAGCTGTCCATGGAGGCGCAGGTCAATTCTGTATCCAGGGCAGCTGTCTACCAACTCCACCTGGTACGCAGGCTGAGACCCTACCTGCCCGCGGACTGTCTCGCCAGAGTGGTGCATGCTCTAGTTATCTCCCGCTTGGACTACTGCAATGCGCTCTACGTGGGGCTACCTTTGAAGGTGACCCGGAAACTACAATTAATCCAGAATGCGGCAGCTAGACTGGTGACTCACCGAGACCACATAACACCGGTCTTGAAAGACCTACATTGGCTCCCAGTACGTTTCCGAGCACAATCCAAAGTGTTAGTGCTGACCTTGAAAGCCCTAAACGGCCTCTGTTCTGTATACCCGAAGGACCGTCTCCACCCCCATCCTTCTGCCCGGACGCTGAGGTCCAGCGCCGAGGGCCTTCTGGCGGTTCCCTCATTGCGAGAAGCAAAGCTACAGGGAACCAGGCAGAGGGCCTTCTCGGTAGTGGCGCCTGCCCTGTGGAACGCCCTCCCATCAGATGTCAAAGCGATAAATAACTACCTGACATTTAGAAGGCATCTTAAGGCAGCCCTGTTTAGGGAAGCTTTTAATCTGTGATATTTTACTGTATTTTTTGTTTCTATGGAAGCCGCCCAGAGTGGCTGGGGAAACCCAGCCAGATGGGCGGGGTACAAATAATAAATTATTATTATTATAAGGCTGTCAAGTTCATTTTCAGGGAAGCATAAGAACAGTACAATTTTTTATGCACTTACTCAGAATTAAGTTCCATCACATTACTCTCAGGTAAGTGGGTATAGGATCGCCGCTTAAATCTTTTCAAAAAGAACTTTAAATATGCCTCTTACATAAACATCAACATTAAGAGATTTAGAAATGAAGCCCACAAAGCATCTTTATTATTTGAGGATGTATCAACATCAAATTTAAAATGTAGTTATCCCTCAAATAAGTAGCGCAGCTGCCAGCAATATCAAAGTAATGCCCTTGCAAAGGAAGCAAGTGCTCCAGGCTTATACTTGTCTACTCAGAAGTTAGCCCCACCAAATTTAATGGGACTTACTCATAGGTAAGTAGAGGATTTCAGCCTTAACTTTACTGCAATCTGTATGCCATGTCATAAGCATTGGTTTGCTGTTCATTCTGATGTAATAGCTTTCAGAAGGTGGTCAGACTAGGTGTCATAGGATATCATTTTGTCTCCACTTCCACATATGCTTTCCCCCCCTCATAATGAAACTACTATACTAATCAGGCTTTTTTAAAATACAAAACACTAAATAGTGTAGTAGAAAAAATGGACCACAACTGGATCCATAAATATCTAGGACAGCAGTACCACCAGTCCAATACATTTTTGACAAATAAAAATACTGAAGTACGTTATAGAACTAACTACATTCCATCAGTGCGTCATTGCACTCTTCATATTACTATCTCCTCTTCAGCATGGAACGTTTTCTTTATGTTCATTGTCTCTTTACCACTGCATTTATAACAAACAGGTAGTAAACAGTGGCAAAATAAATGACTCAAAAAACATCATTTCCTTTATATCTTCAAGTAATTCCACCTAAAACAAACTAAATCAAGATTGCTTCAAACATTCCATCCTATCCTCTGGAACAAGCTGATGATAGCATTTTCAAAAATTAATCCACTCACAATAGCCACCAGACAAAGTTTTCGGCTTGTATTCAAGGTAACTGCAAAAGAAAGGAAAAATTGGGTTAGTCTGGACAAAATCACATTTCTAGTTAATATGTGATGGCTATGTGAATAAAATATGCAGGACTAGGAACAGGTAGTGTTAAACATTATCACAGTTGCAAACTAATCATTTAAGCAGGAGTGGGCAACCTTTGTTCCATCAAGGGCTGAATTCTTTTGGAGCTAATCTCTCAAGGCTGCATGCTGTGGGGGTCAGGACTTATCACCCCCCCATCTGTTAATACTATCACCACCCAAAACCTCCCTCCCTCACATTATCCCTCTATCCCCCCCTCCAATCTTTTTCTTTCTTTCTTTCTTTCTTTCTTTCTTTCTTTCTTTCTTTCTTTCTTTCTTCCTTCCTTCCTTCCTCCCTCCCTCCCTCCCCCCCTCCCCCCCTCTCTCTTTCTCCCTCTGCCACCACACTTTTGCCTTCCAAGGGACCACAACCGCACTAAGGGAAAATGGCACAATTTTGGCCCAGCATTCCTTTCTAGTAATCTAGTCATTTTTTTGAGATCTTTTGCAACCCAGTTCCTTCTCAGTGATCCAGCCTACACCATTATTGCCAGGAAAATGAGAAAGAGGCAGTCCAGACTGACCACAAAGCACAGTACTACTCTGTACTAGACCACTGTACTACTCTACCTACCATGCTCTGCGGTTTGGCACCTGCCTCTTGTTCTTTTTTGTGGCAATTAGATGTTTATGCAAGAACTGCATTACTTGGGGGCAGTGAAGAAGCAACACTGTCCTTGTGCCACCAGCTAGATCACTGGGAAGGAACCCACTTTTCCTGAAATACTGCATCAGTGATACAGAACACCTCTATACTTGCTAGAACAGACAAGGGCAAACAGGCTGGTTTACCCAAGTATGGGATGTAATGCATATGAACAATCTAACATAATAGTACATGTTCAAGGCAAAATGAAAAACTGTTATTCCTTTGGATTATTGTGCAACTATTGTTGTAATGTCAGCTTTGCTAGAGTCAAAGATTAAGCTTTCAGTCTTTGCTATCTTTTGCACACTGTACAGATTTCACATTTATTCAAGTCTGCTGTCAGGCACTCCAATCTCTCTTTCTAGTTTCCACTCTCTGAATAAAGTTTCCTTCTTTGATGTTTTACATCTTAATGCTGAATGCCTGCCTCATGCAGTCAAAACCATGAAGATGGGGTGGCACTTCTATGTCTGGGCTGAACAAATGTCCCAATCCTGACTTGCTTTACAACTTACTATACTACAAGAGTAAAATTAGGAATACCTCTAATTGCTTGCAAGTTTGATGTCAAGACGAACACTTTAATGAGCAAGAGGCATAAATGAGTATAGTCATGTTCCCAAATAACAGCTGGAATCAACAGAAGTTTTCCATAGCTGGATAGCAGCAATGCTTTCAGAAGAAAGGTGAAATCTGCCTTGGTTGTCAGGACTACAGCTCTTGCTAGCCACAAAGCAGTGAAGATGCCAATCAAAAAGGCAGTTTGTTCTGAAAGAGAGAGAGAGAGAGAGAGAGAGAGAGAGAGAGAGAGAGATAAAGGCATTTCTTAAACAGTCATTAGAAGGTATACCAGACATTTTACTACATAAATTCGCAAGGTGCCTTTAAGTAGTTTTCTGCAGAAAAGACTACATTTTGGATTGGATTGTCATGTATGTATGACATTTGTTAGTTACTTTACCTTGCCCAAGGTAACTCAAAGCAACTTACAAACAAATGAACAAAAAAATCCACATAGATACATTAAAACCAGTTGCGGAGGGGAGGGGGAAACCCCATCAACTTCAGAGAATGAACAAAAAAATCCACATAGATACATTAAAACCAGTTGCGGAGGGGAGGGGGAAACCCCATCAACTTCAGAGAATGAGCAGAGTCATGGGGAAGGAGGCAGTCCCTAGGCATCATGCTTTGTGGAAGTTTAAGATATGATAACCAACACTTTGCACTGTGCTTAGAAATGGGGAGCTAGGCATGACTAAAATCAGAAATGGCCAGAAACAGGCACAATTGACACACCAGCTAAAGCTGAGCAAAACTACTCCTGGTCACACAGTCACTGAATATCCAGGAGCAAAGCTGGGCCCATGAGCACTCCCAAATTTTGAACCTCATCTTTCAAAGGGAGCACAGCTCCATAGCACCTCTGTCATGTCCAAACTGAGTTTCAGCTTGTTTGCCTGTATGTATGTAGCTTATCAGTAACCTCAAGGAATGGTTCAAAGCCTCCACACCCTCCCTGTGAAACGTTAAGCTGATAGAGAGCTGCATACCATTCACACACTAGTGACAACCAACTTCAAATTTCTGGGTAACCTCTCCTATGAGTTTTAAGGTGGATATTAAAGAGCATAAGGCACAGCCTTGAACCCTGTTAGACACCACCAGTCATCCCAGTGCATGTCAACCCACTACTGAACCACCACCTAGTTCTGCTCCCCATCACAATTTTGCAACTGGCTTCAAATGGTGGCTCCTGGGATTTTAGTGGGAAAACAGTAGAACTGGAAGCCTGAGACCTGACCTCCTCAATGCAGGTCGTTATTGTTCCAATTTGAAAAGAGTCTGAGAAACAAGTGATTTTCACAAGGCTAATCAAGGGGCTTTTGGCTGAAAAGAGATTTGGGCTCTGTCTCCCAGACCCAACCCCAACATTCTCTGTTGTAAAATATTTGCACTCACAAGTGCCCTGCAATACTTTTTCATACACCATTCAGATTGGTGGAATACTGTCAATTCTTGATTGTTGAGCATCCTCCAAGCAGATTATGTGAAGTCAAGTGAGACATTATGGAAAAATAAACTAACAATACAACACATCCATTGTACTCTAATAATTACAATGCATTCAAACCAGTTTAAAATGTTTAGATAAAAAGAACCTAGAAAGAATATTTGGAGCAATGACAAATTATACTGGATCTTACCCAGAGACGCTATCCCAAACATTCGATAAAAATCCCATTCCTTGGCATATCTAATTAAATCATCAGGTTCAGTGCTTTGGCTTGAATCCTGTAACTGCAACCATCTGATATAAGCCTCACAAAGCAAACAGAATATGCAAAGCTTCCCATGAATCTGAAATATGAAATAGCATTAGTTTCAGAGGCCCATGGACATCAGGCATTTAACACTATTGTTTACCATTACAAACTATGTTGTTTTTTGCAAGTTTTATTGGTGTTAGATGCATAAGTCATCATAGAAGTCAGCTCTCTCATACTAGAAGACGCAAAATGGAAAAAGGAAAGACTGAAGGAGCCTAACTGAGCGCTGCCTCCACAGAGATGTGATGGTGCACACATCTTTCCCATCCAGGGACTTGCAACATACATATGGAAATACACTGACTGCAAGAATAACTAAATGTTACTTGGCTCATAATCAGACTTCTGAATAACAGAACATCTTCCAGAGCACTGTTACACACTGTGCTACCCAAGGAACTCAATTATTATTCATTCAGTTAATATGTTATATGGGCTTTAGAGTGACTTTCAAGAGTTGTAATTATTTTTTGCCGTGGGGAACAGGACAAGACAAAACTTCCAGAAAAGGATGCAAGCTGAAGTTAATATAAGTACTACATGGAAAGGAAGAAGGAAAGACCAGTTTCACACCAAATATTTTCATTATGCCTCTCATAATTTTCTAACAAGAACCGCATATCTTACACTAAATTAAGATAAAAAGGGAAAGCCCCCAGGAACTTACATTTATCTTCGTATTGAACAATATGTGTCTATAAGCCTGTGCTTTGCATAAGATAGCATTAATTAAGATGATAACAGGATCATATTCTATATACTTGTCCACTGGTTTCTGACAGGATTTCTGAAAGCAACAGAGCAAGAGCAAGTTAAAAACATCACACAGTAATATTTCAGTGATATAGATACCATTAAAGCTCTTGATAATTCCATGCAGCCTCATTTCAGTCTAATACAACAAAAAACATTCATCTGAAAATGCTGCCTTGATAGCAAAATATTTGTACCTTCACAATTCATCCAACCATAGTGTTGGCTATGGTGCATGTTTTTGACTCAGCACACCAAGTTGCAGTGAACTGCCAGACATAGGAAAATGCATAGAAGCACATAAAATATTACCACCAAGGCTGTCTATTTTTATCCACGTGAACAGGAATTTACATTTCAGTATTTCATCATACACTGTTGAAAGACAGATATTTTAGGCTTAATTCTATACTACTTATTAGATCGAAACAGAGTCATGGGGTATACAAGATGATCTGCAAGGACCATAAAAATATCTGCAAGCTTCTTTGAGTCCCTGTCAATGAAAAAGGTAGGGCATAAATTGATGATGATGATGATCCAGTCCTTCAATGCTTGGCACAGATGCATTCCAGAATTGCAATAGTCATAGCCCATGGGGCGATGGTGTGTTGTTGTAGTAGCAGCAGCAGCAGCACTAAAGACAAGCTTAATGTTAATAATTATTAGAAAGGGACTAAAAAATAAAATAGTAAATGCCAAATTAATATTATATGCCTATGGCATGTCCACATACAGTTAATCTGTTCCTGATACCATCATCTCAGAAGTATTGCTGAGCTGGAAAAGACTAATAAAGGCAGACTGATAGAGGCTCATAAAATTATTTTCCCTCCCAGAACAAAAGTCTGTGTTCTTCAGTGAAATTGGCTGGGGTCCACAAACACCATCACCAAGTAGCTAGCAGTGAAAACTATAACTAGTGACAGATTATACTGCCATGTATACACTATGACTGGAGTATCTACATTTTCAAAAAACCACCAGCAACAAAGCATAGCAGACAGTAATTTTCCCCCCAAAATAGCAATACAGTGCACTTGTACTGGATTTTTTTATTAGTGTTATGTGCTGGAGGAGAAGGGTTGTTACAAACCCCAAATGTGTATATACTGCCCAACGTTCTAAAAACTCCTAGCCAGGCAATGATGATACAGAAACATTATATTTGCCTCCTTGCATCAGGAAGCAAGGATGCCTCACCAGTCACTAGAAATAATGGTTGGCTGCTGTATTGTTGGATAAACTCATTACCATATCACAATGCACACTGGTAGGAATAATTTCTCTCTGGTGGTATTGCTACTTACTAAAATTTTCTTTGACAAAGATGTTAAATTGTACCCAGCAAAATAGAAAGAGACACTTGTTACCTGAAAATGAAAAGTATGTGCCAACAGCAAGAACAATCAGTCATATCAAAGCATTCATGTTCATGCAAAATTTACAAAATCTGCTAACTTCTTTTATGCAAGCAAATACTGGATTTTGTATACTTTCTGCTGAAGGAATTACTTTTGTCCAGAAGACAGATAACATGTAGCAAAGACTATAAAATAGCACCTCCATTTTAGTTTTTATGTGAGGAAAATACATTTTCCTAGTAGTTAAATGATAATAAAATGCTGCCAAAGGACAGTTTGACATTGAAAAGATGTGACAGTAGTTAAAATGTGTTTTATTGCCATCTTTCAGTGCAGCTTCTTTTATCTAGCTTTCCCATCAACTACCTTGGCTGCCAGTTATTATTAATAAAAAAGCGAGCTTTACATCATGCTGTAAGCCTTAAGGACATCCAGTTTGCAATTTATATTATGGTATGTACTGAGCAGGACCTCAGCTATCTAGGTTCTACCCTTTTCCCCATCCAAATAAGAGCTTATCAGCCTCAACTTGGTGTCCACACTATTCCCCATTTTCAGAATGGTGGATCACTGTTGGGGAGATGCTTAAGTGGTTTTAAACTTGTGCTCTGAAGATTCTTCAGTGATTAGTTAGCAATGGCTAACTAATCATTTTGCTGCTATCGGAATGTTGGTCGTGTTCTAGGCCAAAACCTCATTCCATGCCAAAAATCAGCGAATGCCAACAGACCAGGACAGCACCTATGTTTCTGCCTCATCTGCCAATATTTCCCTTCCCACTGTATACAAATAAGAAAGGATATGAGGGAAAAGCCCCTCCTATAAAAACTCCTATTTTTATTACTATTTTGCAACCCATTCTTATGTTGTCTGAGCTTGTTTCCCTGTTACTTTTTTATTCCACACCACATACTGGGACTTAGAACACTTCATAATGGTCACCATGACAACTATATAAATATATTTAAATGCCATCATAACCCTAGCCATACAATATTCTTAAATACATTCTATTTCAAATTCTATTATTGCTTGGTGTTTTTAGACCATATGCTGCACTGAAGTTGATGATGAGATGAGAGAGTCATTTGTTAAACGTCATACAATACAGGGAAAGCAGAGTGTTAGAATGTTTGGGTGAGGAAGATCCAGAAATAAAGGATGTACAGGAAACAGCCAGGACAGTAGGAATACAAGACAGAGGAAATACAAGAAAGAGCAGAGTAAGAGGCAAGATCAAGAGAAATAAACTGATATCCTATTTGCACCATACATTTACAGCTCTATTATACCACTTTAAGTAGTCATACCTTTCCTCAAATAATCCTAGAAGTTGTAGTTTGTTAAGTGTTCGGAGAGGCAACCTCCATCTTCCTTAAAAAGGTAAAGGTAAAGGGACCCCTGACCATTCGGTCCAGTCGCAAACGACTGTGGGGTTGCGGTGCTCATCTCGCTCTATAGGCCGAGGGAGCCGGTGTTTGTCCGCAGACAGCTTCCAGGTCATGTGGCCAGCATGACTAAGCTGCTTCTGGCGAACCAGAGCAGAGCATGGAAACACCGTTTACCTTCCCACCGGAGTGGTACCTATTTATCCACTTGTACTTTGACGTGCTTTTACAGAGCTACAATTCCCAGAGTGCTTAAACAATCCAATCATCTTCCCTGGGAACTGTAGCTCTGTGAGGGGAATAGGATGTCCCAACAACACTCTGAACACTTAAACTGCAGTTCCCAGGATTCTTTGGGGGAAGCTATGACTGTTTAAGGGGTATGATACTACTGTACTTTTAAATGTGCTGTACAGATGGGGAATAAATAAGGATACATAAAGGTAGGAGTTTTAATTTCTGTTATTAACTTTCTGCACAAATAGTTCATCAAGAGTAAGACAATATTTTCAGACCCTGAGAGGCAGATCTTTGTTTAGACAGCTCTTTACTACAACTAGGTTCATAGAGAAAATGTGCACAAGTTGCTCAGGTTTCTTTTTTTACAAAGTTTTGATAAAGAGGCTCTCTATGTTCATGGTATGTGCCTTCAAGCTCTACAGAAGAAAAAGCCAGTGTCAACTTTACCTTAGAAACTTGGCTGCTGCCAAGCAACAGAACAAAATTCCTAAAGTAACAGGCAGAAAACGCTAAATGGCAGCATCAGATACCATGAGAAGTACAAGAGGTAAGTGAAAGGAAAGCACAAGGCATAGGCATCCTGAAGCCCCACAAATCTAACTAGAAAGATGTCCATAGATGAGTAGTACAGCAAGGGACAAGACAGTTTGAAGATCCTTTGCTTTGCTAGACAAAATAAGCTGCAGTTTATATTAAATTTTATTTCTAAAAATGTTTGTAGTCAAGACAGATAATGAAGAATGCTTGGATAAAAATTCATTGCAACACTCATCCTTCAGGAGGTAGAAACAGGAAAGAGTTAAAAGAAAATAAAAAGAGAAAGCCAATTAGCCAGGCGCTTTATGAGCCTTAAACAGAGAGATGGACTAAGGACATGTTTAATTAAATATAGCATGAACTCTATTAAGGAACAGATTATAACTATAATTAAATGAAGTCATGCTGGTTTTTCAAAACAGAAAATCTGAAAGCATGTTCTAAGAACAACAGATGAAAAACAGGTACAGGATGCAAAACTCAAGAAGTCCTTCATCCTTATTCAGCTTCAGATCCTTTATTTGCATTGTATGTTAAATATCTGAAACTGAATAAGCAAAAATTCAAATATATTTTGATTACTGAAGTTTAGCTGTCTGGTTATAAAAAAATTATCCTATGTGAACTGCCCTGAGATTAATAATAATAATAATAATTTATTCAGATGCTTTTGGAATACGCAGGCATAAAGCTTACTTAAGTACATACACAAAGTTACATGGTTTTTCATAAGCCTTACAAGTTGAAGGAACCCCCTCTCCCCCACCCCTTTAAACACACAATAGGGCATTCTCTAAATAACAGTGCATTAAGTACATTCTACAATTTATGGAGACATATATTACACTTGAGTCCCCATTTTGTGTATAAAATCAACAAAGCAAAATTCATGCTATAAGCCTGTCAGAGATGTATTCTATCAGTCTTTGATAAAGAACTGCACTCAAATAATTGTGTAACAAGTATGTCTAGATGAACCAATACCCCAATTTCTTTTTCTGAACTGCAGTCATAATAATAATAATAATAATTTTTATTTATACCCCGCCCTCCCCAGCCAAGGCCGGGCTCAGGGCTTTATTGTCATGAACAATAAAGGTTGTTCAGGCAGTGATTTGATTACCAAGGCAAACCACATTGAAGTTTATTACACTCAAGTGATATATGAATCTAGTTAGTTAGTTAGTTAGTTAGTTAAAGGTAAAGGGACCCTGACTGTTAGGTCCAGTGACAGATGACTCTAGGGTTGCGGCGCTCATTTTGCTCTATAGGCCGAGTAGCCGCCATTTGTCAACAGACCGCTTCTGGGTCATGTGCTCAGCATGACTAAGCCGCTTCTGGCGAACCAGAGCAGTGCTCGGAAACACCGTTTACCTTCCTGCTGGAGTGGTACCTATTTATCTACTTGCACTTGACATGCTTTTGAACTGCTAGGTTGGCAGGAGCTGGCAACGAGCAACGGGAGCTCACCCCATCGCAGGGATTCAAACCGCCGACCTTCTGATCAGCAAGCCCAAGGCTCTGTGGTTTAGACCACAGCACCTAGTTAGTTAGTTAGTCAGTTAGTTGAATGAATGAATGATTTTTAGAAGATACAAAAAGGACAAGGGGGAGAGAGACAGTTGTATCCATCAGCAGAAAGGTTCCTCAAGCTTATGGAATAAATTTTGGGGGCACACACAGCAGGTTGCAAGGAAGTGGAATAGGCAAAAACTGCTTCTCTCCCCATTACACTGTACAAAAGAGCCATCCATAAGCACAAATAATGTCATTGGATACAACCCATTGTAACTGCAATATAGTGCCAGTAGAGCTGTACCCTCAAGTCGGCATAATGAAGGAATTGCCAATTTTTGGAGGCCTATGGACATATCTGCAAACTGGGAAAAAACTGTTGTTAGTGCCATATACACTACTGTCTATATTACTGGTTACAATACAATGTTTCCTCCAAGTCTTATTTCACCTGGGACACATGCACAGTGGGCATCTGGGAAAGCCTCTGTGAGTGCATGTGTGCCTGTGGGTACCAAATTCCTGGCATAATGGAAAGCAGTGGATCTAGCTCAAGGCCAGTGGATCATCTTTTACCGTTTATACAGTGTTTTTATTTAAATAAATAAAACCAAAAATACAGCCACTGCCCAAAAGGTTACAAACCAGTAAGATGAAAACATAAAACAGGATATGGCAAGAAATAGGAAAGATTTTGGTTGCTTTCTGCCCTGCCCCCACATGCAGTGTTGATTTATTTCATTTGCACAGAGGTACAAAGAAAGTAGGAGACAGCAGAAGAGCTTCTGTTGTATCTTTCCTTCACCAAACCACAGTACAAGTGAGAGCTATTCTTCTCACCTAAGGGATGGGGCACTCCTGATAAAATGATTTTTGTATTCTTAATCCAAAATGTAAAAACTAGAACACAAAGACGAACTAGATACAATTAAGGAAGGCAAAAAAATAGGAGAGAAATATGGATCAGAAATGCCTTTTTTAAAAAAAGGAAATTAGAGGTTTCAGATATCAGAACTCATCAATGCTTCAAGATATTTTTTTTTGGGGGGGGGGTATTTCCTGTACTCCTTAAGGAGACAGTAGTGGAACCACTGTCTGAGAAGCCTAGTCTAGATTCCTTGGCTTTGGGGAATCCATTCAGTTCCAAATCTACAATATCTGAATAAGGACACCAATTATTAGTTCTATTCCAGGCCAACCTGAGACAAAATCTGCCTTGAATGACTTAAACCCACGGAGGATGATGGAGAGCCAAATGGGACTTAAAGGCACAATCTTTCTCGGGAGGACAGACCCAGAAGGTGGTACTAGGGGACTTTCTTTGCTTTATTATTTGGCCACTGAAATTTCTAGTGCCTCAAGTTCTGTCTTCTCCCTCATGCTTATCAACATTTATATGCAATACATAGGCTTGGGCTGATAGGCTATCAGGGGAAGCAGAACTACCACTCTTCCCCACCGCCTAATATGACAGTTTCAACCCTAAACAAGTGTCTTGGGTTGATAGTAGGCTGCATCAGAGCTAACAAGATGAAGCTTCATCCACATAGAAGGTTATGGTTTAGGAAACATGCCAATTTTGATGGAGGCTGAGATCTGACTTTGGCCTCAGTACTATCTATTGAGGCGCTGGTGGTGCTGGTTGCTAGGAGTGCTTTTTTTAGCAGGTTAGGCTGGTTCAGCAACTATGGCCCTACCTAGAGGAAGCTGACTTTGTGGCCTAGTCAGTAGCCACATTGATACATGCCTTGACCGCATACATGTTGGATTACTATAATGCACTGTATGTTGTTCCCTCCCTTGATGACTGTTCAGAAATGACAACTGGTACAGAATGCAGCAGCTAGAACACTTGTGAAAGCTGAGTGTGCAGATTGTATAACAACAAAAACAACAATTTATTTGTACCCTGCCCATCTGACTGTGTTGGCCCAGCCACTCCAGCATATATAAAAACATAGTAAAACACTAAACCTTAAAAAGTTTCCCTATACAGGGCTGCCTTCAGATGTCTCCTAAATATATATATACAGTGGTACCTTGGTTTACGAACTTAATCCGTTCCGGAAGTCCGTTCTTAAACCGAAACCGTTCTTAAACCGAGGAGCACTTTCCCTAATGAGGCCTCCTGCCGCCAGTGCCCTTCCACCGTTCGAATTCTGTTCTTAGACCGAGGTAAAGTTCACAAACCAGGACACTACGTCCGGTTTTGTGGAGTTCGTAAACCGAATCATTCGTAAACAGGACTGTTCTTAAACTGAGGTACCACTGTAATTACTCATCTGCTTGACATCTGATGGGATGGTATTCCACAGAGTGGGCGCCACTACCGAGAAGGCCCTCTGCCATGTAAACACAGCAGCAACCATCCAAATTATACTGGGATTTGAATGATCAAGTTCTACTAAAAGTCTAGGTGAATAAGATACATTTTTACATGGCAGGCTGAACAACCCTGAGAACACCTGTGCTTTGAATGGGTGAGAATTCCACTGCCAGGTGAGAGACAAGGAAGGCTGACTTTCATAAACCACACTATGAACTCTGCTTGCTGGTGAGACTAAAAGACTCCCTCTACCCATCTCTATCTAAGGGCTTGCCCTGCCACACTTATGCAAAGTCTAAACACCTCACTTCAGTTCCACGCACGTGGACAGCCACGTGCAACCCCCCACGTGGACCGCCATAGTACAACCCACATGCCTTTTCCTACTTGCAGAATTAGCAATCCTAATACGTACCCATAAAAGGCGGGTACATGTACGTTATTGTTGTTGTTATTACTGTATTTGAAGTGCAGCCAATCCATATTCTAGTTACTGAAGAGTTCGGAAAACTATTCGCATACGTTGCAATCTATTACTAACCCCACCCCCGTCTCCCTTCCATGGGCAAGTATCTCTACCACCCCGATACATTCCTTTTGGTCAGTCAGCCCCCCTCTATTTCTCCTCGCTCGGCCCGATACTTCTCTCTCAAAACATGACTCACGCAGATAGAAATACGCAGCACGCCACGCTGGTAATCCTTGTACAGCTCAGGAGCCTTCCTACTGCACTCAATGCACCTATAAGCTCCGGGTTCTTCCATCTCCCTCGGTAGCCCTGAGTCGCAAGATCCCGTTGCCACAGAAACGGCCGTCCCCTCTCCTCGGCCTCGTTCACTTCCGGGTTCCGCGAGCAGAAGCGGGGAAACAGGAGCAGCCGCAGAGCATCTTGGTCTTCGTAGTTCACGAGCCTCTCGAAGCTCCGCGGAGACCCGGCCGGCTACAAACTACAATTCCCAGAAAGCAACCCGGTCCACCCGTTCCTCGCCGGGTCCCGGCGCAAAAGAGGGAAACGCAAAAAAGTTAAGTTACTGTGCGCAGGCGCGCTGGGAAGATGGCACCTGCCGCTGCGTTCGGGGGCCGTTGGCCAAGTGTCAGTGCGCCGTCGGGGCTGCTCTCGACGCTGCTGTGGCTGCTGGCGGCGACTCGGCTGGCGCTCGCCCTGACGGAGCAGTACCCGTCGTTATCGCTTCTTAGGCAGGAGCCGCGCCGTCAGCAGGGCCAAGGGAGCAGAGGCTGCCCGGAGTTCCTGGCGGCTGAGTGGGGAGGGGAACAGTACGCGGCGGCCGCAGCCGGCGACTGTGGTGAGTGACGGGAGGGAGGGAGGAAAGAGCCAGCGGCGGTTGCTCGGCTTTCTGGCGCGGAGGGGGAGCCACGCCGCTGCCCTCCACCCTCTTCGGGTCCTGCCTGAGGCGGCGGAATCCTGAGGTGGCTGAGTGGGCTGTACCATTTCAGGGCGCAGGTGGGGGGGGGGAGATAAGAAGCTCTCTCAGCCCAACAGGCAGAGGGGTCTCTGCTAGACCCTTCCATGCTTTGCTTTGGCTCTTATCTACCTAGAGGACAACCCCACTTCCCAGCAATTTCATATTCCGCGCCTGCATTTTGAAGTGGTACAGCCCGGCTCTCCGCCTCCTTATGACTTGACACTTCATTCCGCCGCATGTGTGGACCGGGCCTGAGGGGAGAAAGGGCAGGGCGCGCCCTTTGCTTCTCTTTCCGAAGTGTTCTCCGCTCCGCTTGCTTAAGGGAGAGGCGGCAAGTCTCGGCTGGCTAGAAAGCGGCTGTGTTGAGTGAGGAGCTGCTGCTGCTCCTGCTGCTGCCGCCGCCTCCTCTCCCAAGGGGCCAAGCCGGCTCGTGCAAATTCACCTGTCAAGTTCTTTTGAGTAGCGGCGGAGAAGCGGAAAGCTCTTCCTGACTCTTCTCTTCGCTTGCCGCGCTCTGCACAGTGTCATAAACCGAAGCCCTGAGGCGCTTTCAGTGAAGCGAAATCCAACTCCGTAGGTGCACTTTAATTTGCCCTTGCCTTCCCCTTCTGATGTTTCATTGCGGGGACTTAGTATACAGTTAAACAGCAGCAGCAGAAGGGGAAGGCAAGGGCAAATTAAAGTACCGGTACACCTACGTACTTGGATTTCGTTCCATTCAAGAGCAAGGAACTAAAGTTTCCTTGCACATTTTACCTCATCTAGGTGCACACCTAAACATGTAGAGTGAATGCAGCGCGAGTGTTCTTTATTTACTGCATTTCCCCGTGTATAACACGCCCCCGTGTATAACACGCCCCCTATTTTTTGAGACTCCAAATAAAGAAATCCCCCATATGCAATATCCGTGTTAAACTTGAAAAAATAGTCTTATACACAAAAAAGGTACGTTTAGCCGTTGTATGGCATCCCATAACACAAGGTGCAATATTTGAACGATTAGCCTAGAAATGTTCTTTCCATGTGAACAGTTGTATAATTAGCACTGCCTTCCTTAGTGTCCAAATTCTGTAGCCGTTTTAAGCTGAGCATACCAATTAACAGTGAAAATGTTTCCATTTTAGATTCTTCTTTTTTGCACTTTCATGACTCAGACTGTGAACTACAAAGGTCTCCCTCTTGTGAATCCCTGCTTTCCCTCAATACTGAAAAACTTTTGGTATGTTTATTTGTTCACTGTGTATAGCAAGGAGACTGCTGATGAATTTTGCTGAAGTGACATATCTATTACAATGATCATAATACTTAAGAAATGTATTTATCAATCCAAAGGAAAGGAAATCAAATTTATTAGATTACATACACTGTTTGAAGACTGCAGAGGTTAAGATGCTAACAGTATTTGAACTATGAATATCACTGAAACTATAAATATTTTAACTTGTTTTAAAGAATATATGTTATTTTCCAGATCCATTAGAACCAGCTGTTCTTGCTTTATCTGGTGTTAAATTTTGATGTGATAAGCACTTTGGACCCAATCTAGCTAAGCATTTTTAAGTCACATGATTTCCGTGGTAGAATTAAGCCTTTGCTTGACACTGTTGCAGGGAAGTCACTGAGACTTAATTTAAATTTGGTTTGTTCTTGTCCTCGATTTTTATTTTGGTGGTATTAGTTTAATTTGGTAAATGTTTTGCAGAGTCAAGCAAAGTCACTTGCAGAACAAAAAAGATTTCCATTTGCCACAGATGATGACAATACCAATGAAGAATTAGGTAAGAGGTTCTGTGTGTGGTTGGTGATCGGTAGTAGCTATATATAGTTGAATTATATCACTTATGAGTGCTGCAAAATGTTCTGAAAATAGTGGTACTGAGATCTAATAATCCTAATTCATTTTTAAATACTTGACCATGACTGTCCACAGAATAAAATTAAGATGAAGAGCATTAGGTTGTATTCAGTCCTGTCTGTGTGTGAGTGGACCAGACTATTACTTATGCAGTGGGAGTTCATGGTCCCCTCATCCCGCTTCACCCTGCCTTCCTGGCAGCCCTCCACATGCCTGAAAAATCTGCTCTAGAAGGTTGGTGTGCTGGAGGACAGATTTTGGAGGATGGTGAAATTCCTGTCACAGGTTTGGAAGGCTGCTTGTGTAACATTGGATTCTGCCCATTGACACTTATAAAATAATTCATTTTTGCATTCTGTCCTCTTAACCTGAATTCTCCAGTGTTATGCTCATGCTGAGTCTTTATGTAATAATTATTGTGGGTAGATTCATACATACAGTTGGATGTGTTAACCATTTGACTTTTATCTTATCTTTATAGTAGAGATAACCACATAGGTGAAACACAAACACAGGCCTGCACATGTGAATCCAGCTTCACTTTTAACCTGTCACCAATCTTGCTTGTTCCAGCTGGTTATAGCATCCATCCTGGAGTTGGTCTTCTAGTCTAGTGGCATTGCACTGCCACCCTGTCATTATCCTGTGAGCATTTTTATTTACACATAACACTGGACTTCTCTGCTTTCAGTGGTACTTTAGTCAACTAGTTGTAAGTATGTCTACTTGGAAGCAAGTCCACTGCCTTCAGTGGGACTTATTCCCAGGTAAATGTTTATAGACTTGCCTTCTGGAGCAGATTTACAGGGCTAGCAGGGAAGGTCCACTGCACAGCTAAAACTCCTTGCAGTAGTGATGCTGTTTAATGGGAAACCACATTAAAGACTTAAAGACACAGACTTTAAGATGGAGTGGCTTTCCAGGCTTTCTCAGTCCTATGTGGAGAAGCTAGGTTAATATCTTTATTGAATATTTCTATGGCTTTATCCAGATTGCCTGTTTGCACTTCAGTTACCCCCATAGATGCCAGAGATTGAATGAACCCATTTAAATGGGTGGGATTGGAATGTTTTTCTTTGTTACTTATTGCCACCAAGTGGAAATTTTAAATTACCCAAAAGTGTACAGTGATGCAAAGTGTGGTTTCAAGCCTTGGGCTACGCTTTACAGGAAAAAAATCACTGAATATTTTAAATGTTGATACTTTAATGAAACTATTTCCTTATTATTATGTTGTATTTGATAGCTTATGAAATAACTTCTATTCAAAACACTCTTTTCAGAAATCATACCCCTCAATTAAACTCTTTGGCAGGTATTCAGCAATTCTTATATGCATGGCAAATGTGGAATTCATAACATAACACTAACCCGTAACACTATTTTGACAGCTTTCGCTTATGTATTGATTGGCAGTGGCCTTTATGATGAAGCTGTGCGGCACTTCTCCACAATGCTCCAGGTGATTTTTCACTCCTATTACATTGTAGTTTTAGACTTAGATAATAGAACTCCCCAAGGTAGAATACCTGCCTTCCTAGAGAAGAGTGACAGATGGCAGAAACTGCTTAGCCTATGGGTAGACAAACTAAGGCCCAGGGGCTGGATCCGGCCCAATTGCCTTCTAAATCCGGCCCGCAGACAGTCCGGGAATCAGTGTGTTTTTACATGGGTAGAATGTGTCCTTTTATTTAAAATGCATCTCTGGGTTATTTGTGGGGCCTGCCTGGTGTTTTTACATGAGTAGGATGTGTGCTTTTATTTAAAATGCATCTCTGGGTTATTTGTAGGGCATAGGAATTCGTTCACCCCCCCCCCCCAAAAAAATATAGTCTGGCCCCTCACAAGGTCTGAGAGACAGTGGACCAGCCCCCTGCTGAAAAAGTTTGCTGACCCCTGGCTTAGCCTATATACTGTAACAGATGGATGGATGGAATGGAAACTTGAATCTATAAAAGGGAAATGGGTCTGAGGCAGAACTCCTTGAAGGTAACAGAGTTAAAAATGTAAACAGAAGGATATAAGTTGATGTGAAGAGGGATATGACTGTTATGGAAATGTTACATGGGGAGGCAACTTAGCTTAACTTGACATGCAACTTCTTGGGGTCTTGATAGGAAAATTTCACAAACTATAATCGAGCAGGCATGTCTACTCCGAATCACAGCCCAATATGATTACACTATTGTAAAGGTTCAGGCTGGAAGGTTTTGGTAGGTTGAATTCCTTAGTCCATAACTGTTGCAAGTCTCAAAACTAGATATGGCATGTGTGTCCATGTATGATTTTGAGTGGGGAAAATGGCTGGCAGAGAAAGAGTTCAATAGTGCTACTATTCTTCTACTCAAATTCACAGCCACCTAAAGCTGATTTTAGTGGCAGTGGGAAATGTCAGCAGAACTTGGCACATCACATATAAGTTCAATTCCTTCAGACTCAAACTATATGACTTTGAAAAGCAGCTCTGCTGACCCAATCACCAGAACACTTTTCACTTCTCCTGTTGTATTATGGAAATTTTGTGTAGCTGTAATTTATGCATTCATGTACCAGAATGTATTATTTAATATATGAATATGAAATGAGATTTGTAACTACAGTATAGCAAAGAAGAGGTCTGAAATGAGCAATGGTTTTTAAAGTAATAAAAATGCAGAGGTTAATAAGGAGTTTACAGAGACAGTGCAAAGACTAAAGGAGCACACACACTCCACTCCTATAGTAGTTTCCCCTTTTAAGCATCTTCTGTGTAAAACTGCCCACCAAGCTGCTCTTTAATTGTATGCATAAGCCCAAAGTAACTCCTTAGAAATGCAAATGAATGTGGATGAAATGCATGAATTTTGGCTTTGGTTATGTATGATGGAATGTAGCATTCACTATTAGGACAAGTGGAACCTTCTAAAGATTATTTTATTTTGCTTCAAATAGGAGCAACCAGAGCTTGTTAGTGCAATTTATGGACGAGGGATAGCATATGGAAAGAAAGGGCTGCATGTGAGTATAACATTTTTAAAGCCGCACATGATAATGAATTTTATAATATATATGCATTCACCAGGGCTGGCCTAAGGCATTTTGGTGCTTGAGGTGAACAAAAAAAGTGTCACCTCACCTGGTACTCAGAGATAGACTGCTCCTGAACCTGGGGCCTCTATTTGTTTCTTACAGTAAGCGGTTAGAATTGCAACTTTGCCTAAGGCAGAAGATTTGCAATAATGAGGCGGGGGTTGGTATTGGTTGGTTCTAGACAGCTGTGTGAAGGATTCTCTTTTCCTTCAGGATTGTTGGGATCAGACACTGCTGTCACTCTCTGCATATTTTTAATGAACAACATCGGTTGTGTGACGTTTCCTTCTATTCAACTCCATGACTCCATACTCTCCACTTCCAGGGAAGCAGTTCCCCCAGCAGTGGTCATGGCACTCTAGCCCAGGGTAGTCAACCTTTTTATACCTACCGCCCACTAATGCATCTTTCTTGATGTTAAAATTTCCTTACCACCCACCAGTGCTCGATGGAAGGAGGATTCAGCTTGTGCCGTAGAACCCCCTACTGCCCACCTAGAATCCTGTAACGCCCACTAGTGGGCGGTAGGGACCAGGCTGACAACCCCTGCTCTAGCCCTGTACTTATTCCAAACCCAGAAGTTATTTGTACAGTCCCTTCACTTCCGATTGCTTTTTAGGATACATACTATTTTTGCAACTACAATAATGATAAAATATAAAGATTTTTATTTCCCTTCTACCATCTGAGGCAGTTGCCTCATGGTGCTTCATGGGCAGGCCAGCCCTGGCAATAGCAGATTCATGATGGTCCCATAGTAACTGGAATACTTAGCCTTGTTTGTTCTGATGTTGCATGTATGTGACTCTTAGCACACATCAAAATATTCCATGATGAAACCAAGAATTTTGATTCACTGAGTGTTGTACAATTTAAAAATTGTCACCATAACCTCCCTATGACTAAGCATACATTGTTACTTACATATTTCCCCCCCATTTTTAAGGATATAAAAAATGCAGAGCTAGCTTTGTTTGAGCTGAGCAGAGTCATTAGTCTGGTCCCAGATCAAGCTGAAGTGTTTGAGCAGCGAGCAGAGGTATTTCTTCCACTTTTAAAAGATTTTCTGATGTCTATACCTTATCTATACCTTATTGTTATTTTGTTTATCCAGTTATTTTCTGTATGTTTCTATATGTTTATTGTTGAAAGTTCTTGGTCATATTCCTAATAATATATGAATTAAGATTTGATGTTAATCAATATACAGCTATCAATACATTAAGACAAAAATAAAATAGAATAAAAATACCAAAGCTACTCACTTTCCTGAGGCAACGTTCTTCCGCTATTTCATCCAGCGGATTCACGGGACAGCCCATAATATCTTGTGCTGTATTCACCACGCTCTGTAGGCGCTTCCTATCAGATGATGTCAAACCAGTGTACCACACCGTGATGCAGTATGAAAGGACACTTTCTATTGTTGACCGGTATTTTATTTCTATTGAAAAGCATAATTACACTAGTGTTTGTAGCTGTCAGCCTTCAGAGGGTCCGTGAATGTCATTAACTCTTCATTTTCTTTGTTAATGTATAGAAGGATGCTTGTAATAATAAATGCAACAATTTTCTTATAAGCTATACAGATGGGCTTAGAAAAAAATTAGTAGGAAGAAATAAGTCATTTCAGTAAAACCCAAACCCACTTTTTCTCCTTCAGCCCCTTAATACCTGACAAAATTAATAGGTCTTAGTCTGCTTTTTAAAGTTAAATAGATGTAATGTAATATATGCATGTGCTCCAATCAATTTTAATGTACAACTTTTTTATGTAAATAATGCACTTGTTTAATTACTCAACACAAAATTAATTTTTTGTGCATAGTTATTACATATTGCAACCTAAAATCATTTTGAAAATGAAGGATTATTTGTACAATCTTGCTCAAAGTATTATCTTGGTTTTACAGATACTGTCTCCTCTGGGTCAAATGAGTGAAGCGCTGGCTGACCTCACTAAAGCTATTCAGCTAAAACCCTCCGCACGACTTTACCGACACAGAGGTACTCTTTACTTCATATCTGAGGTTAGTTTTCAGTTGAGCACCTGCAGAGAATGAGCTGGGATAGGTGCTTAGTCTCAAGGGTCATATTTGCAATGTATTATAAGCTACAAGCTATTCTATCTATCTCCTTTAAAGAGAACTGAGTTTGGGAGGCAGAGGGAGATCACCTATTCTCTTGCCCGATCTCTTGCAACAAGATAGCCTTACAGAATCTGTCTGAGGAAACAGATTCAAGTATTTTAGACTGAGAGAAACTGCTGATACATATTTTTGTTCAGCACCTATTTTTGCAGGAAGGGTGTACAAAAGCAATTTTCGTGATGATTTTTTAAAAGCGTATAATTTGTTTATTTAAGGCACATATACACTACTACTTCTTTAAAGAGTTCAAGGCAGAACACAATTTTTTTAAAAAAAAAATTCATTCTTTTAGAGCACCAACTTGGTTACAAAAGTATTATTTCAAAAAGTAGAAGGAACAGCTGATATCTGTAGAGATTTTGGCAGCAGATTATTTCTGGGGACTTTTCTTGACTTATTATCACTCCAGTTTCTTCAGTTACCATAATTTAGGTTGCTTTTCCCCTGGAACCATTATAAAAATAGAGGGAATATATTTCTTTTGGAACCTACTGAATTCAGTGAAACTCCCAAGTAATAGGTCTAGGATTGTAGCCCAAGACCACCATAAACTGTTCTTTTCATTTTAAGAGTTAATAATTTTGTGATATGGAAGGCTTGGTATCCTGTAACTACAACATTGTTTGTGTTGCCTTTGTGTTAGATCTAGCAGTTTTCTGTCTGATGGAAGTTGTTTTTCTGTCACAGGACTATTCAAGTGCCCATGAAGACTTTCAGAACTCCCTTGAACTAAACAAAAACCAGCCTATAGCTATGCTTTACAAAGGTTTAACATTTTTTCATAGAGGACTTCTAAAGGTAATTATTTTGAATAACTGTGCAATTTCTACTATATGTGTGATGAATGCATATGCTTGTTTGTTTGTTTGTTTGTTTGTTTATTATTGAATTTATATACTGCCCTTTAGCTGGAGGTATGTTACCATTAGCAATTAACAAAGTCTGCTTTATGATTGTTCCAATCCAGAGTGTTTAGCCTTATCTACTCCAGGTGTCTTTCCAAAGGTCCAGACAGGGGCCTTTACATAGCTTTTCACAGCTGTTAGTTGTAACAGAGTTGTTTAATGAGAATGGAACACTTTTGACATGTCAGATTCAAAATGTTTCAGCAGTAACTACCTTCATTTGTATCTAAGAGACTTCACAGTAGCATAATTGTACTGTGTCAAATAATTACATGTATCTAATTTATCCGTTGGCATTACATCTATTTGAGTGTTTGGATTGGTGCTTAAAATATCTGATAAATAAATATAGAACAATCTAGAGAGATTTTAAAATTGTTTAGTCCCCCACTCCTGTCCCTGATGTTAGTTATTTGTTGAGTTTATCATTTGGTTGATAGACCTTAGGCAAATTTGTGATAACAAAAATGTATATTAGTAGATTGGTTGTGTGATCCTAAGAGAGACTAAGCTTTTTGGACATTTCATATTTCAGTCTCTGAGGACATTTTTGCACATGCAGTTATAAATATATTGTCCAATGTATTGCCTTGTGTTTACCTGTACAGATCTCCCACAAAGTATTTCCATAATTATTAAAAAATCCCAATAGGAATCTTAATCTTAATCTTAATAGCACAATATTTTAATTAACAAGAGTAAATGGTTGTGTTTTACCCAGGAAGCTATTGAATCATTCAAAGAAGCCCTTAAGCAGAAAGCAGATTTTATTGATGCATATAAAAGTCTGGGGCAGGCCTATCGGTAAGCAAAATGCCTTTACATTTCACTCTTTGACCCTCAAATGTGAATTGTTTAAGGAACATATAGAAGGGAGGTTTTCATCCAGACTGTGTTATGCTGGTTTGTTAAAATGTTCGGATATCACTTTAGTGATATAATATGAGACTGAAACGTAATTCCAATAATTTAATGAGGGGGGCAAGTTATTTTAAGATTACTTTGGAGTAAAAAGACTTCCTTTGCCTTAAATAATATATACTTTCAAAGTCATTTTCCTGACTGGTCTTTTTATATCTTAAACAGATTAAATTAGATAATACAGTCAGATACATCTCTACTAAGGAGTAGGAACAATTGCAGCCTAATCTTTAGTACATGCATGTAGGATTGCTGCTTGAAAAAAATCACAGATTTATTGTTTAAAATATTTTTAATATGATACTGATTTTTAGAGCCCACGTTGGTTAATTTCAGTAAATAGCAACTTAGCTAAATAAACATTTTAATTGCTGTTTTTTGCTATTTATTTATCACTTTAGAGAGCTTGGTAACTTTGAAGCTGCTACAGAAAACTTTCAAAAGGCACTGATGCTAAATCAAAATCACGTTCAGACAATACAACTTGGGGGAATGATGCTTTATCATCATGGTAGCCTGAATGAAGCTCTGAAAAACTTTAAGGTAAGCAATTGTGACGAGTTACAGCAGTTCCGTCATATATACTCATATCTGTCTGTGCTGTGTGTGGTTATTATATATGCAAACAAACATAGATACATAAATGAGACACCTTTAGGCTACTAAGCTCTCAAATGTGCATACAATCACAAAGACTTTCATGTTCACTGTCATGTATAAGAAAAGTTGCAGCCTTCTTGAGGGCTTCCTTTAGATTGAAAGACTGTCTTGAAATTTCTGTCCAGTGGATAACAGTAGAAATGGACTGGACAAAAGCCTTTCCCCTGTGGAAGGTTTCTGCTTGTTTGTTTTAAAAACTGGCACATCGCTTCTCATTTTCTTCTAACTTCCACATAGACTCAAGATGGCTGGGACAAATTACTTTTCTACTGTCGTGGATGTGTGGATAAAGAGTAAATAAATATCTGTGGTTTGTTTATCTGCAATCTCACAAATGTATTGATTATTCTCTTTTCAATTTTCTAGAGGTGTCTGCAACTAGAACCATATAATGAGGTGTGCCAGTATATGAAGGGTCTTAGTCACGTTGCTATGGGGCAATTTTATGAAGGAATAAAAGCTCAAACTAAAGTTATGTTAAATGATCCTTTGCCTGGTCAGAAAGCTAGTACAGAGTACCTGAAAGTGAAATACCTCAGAGGTAAGTTGCTGCTAATGAAATTTTCATTGTTTCATACCCAGATCCAGGACCTTTTTCAGCTAGAACTCAGTTCCGGCACCTCTCGGGTGGGCACCATTGCCATTATAAGAGAACAAGGTTCATGGTGTGTTCCAGTACCTCTTTTTCTAGAAAAATAGCACTGCTGAAACCTATGTTAACTTAAGTATCAAATTTGTGCACATTTTTTAAAAAATTGCTGTATGTACTGTATTGTGAAATTCTTTACAGCTTTCTTACCTCAAAGAAAACATAACAGAAAGTTTTTTTCAGGTTTACATACGGTGGTAAAAAGTACTTATTTAGGCTTGTACATCAATCCTAGCTATCCATTAAATTTATTGCTAATTGGCATGCCCTTTCTGTAGATTTGTTTTTAATTGAAAATATAAAGTTATGTATATGACTACTTACGTAACTATTGGCTCAGGATATTTTTTCCTTAATAAAGACTGAATTTGTGCAGTTGTCCATATGTACCCTGATCAATTGGATACAGTTTGCCAAAGAGTTAAGTATGTATTTCAAGGAAAAGGAGACATATTATTTTAATTATTTAGAAAATTTATCCCCCCAAAAATTCTTCAAGTGGAGTACATTGAAATGGCATTGTGAAGTTGTAAGGTTTAGTGGTTGCAGTGATGAAAGTTCCTCACTTAAATAATCTCTGCTAATGGAAGAAATATTAGGGAAATGATCCACAAGTTTATACTACTTTAAGGAAGTACAGTGCTTTTGTATGGAAAGGTCCCCAGTTACAGCATGTAAACAGTAAACAGTGACATGGTTGTAGTTTGTGTGTGGATTTGGGGGAGGGCCATAGATCAGTGGTAGAGCATGTGCAGAAGGTCCCAGTTCAATCCCTAGCATCTCCAGGTCGGGCTGGGAGAAATGCCTTTCTGAAACCCTGAAGAGCCACTGCCACTTAGTGTAGACAAGACAAAGCTAGATGAATCCAGCTCAGTATAAAGCAACTTCATATGAGCTCCTTACGTATTTTTCTTCAGCACTGCAGATCGCTTGAAAAGCATTTTGCCTAGAGATCATTTAAGCTGACTTGCAGGAAAAGGGGCTAAATGATATTTACTTCCTTCACAGAATATTCTCGCTATCTGCATGCCCACCTTGATACCCCACTTACAGAATACAATATAGATATGGATCTTCCTGGGAAGTTTAAAGATCACTGGGCCAAAAATCTTCCTTTTCTCATAGAAGACTATGAAGAACAGCCAGGACTACAACCACATATAAAGTAAGTACCGTATTTTTTGTTCCATAAGATGCACCTGACCATAAGATGCGTGTAGTTTTTAGAGGGGGAATGCAAGGGGGGGAAATTATTTAAAGGGAGCGCTGAGCAGAGCCTATATGCATCCCAGGCTCTGCTCAGCGCTTCCTTTCACAAGCTGCGAGGAGCGTGTGTGAGGCACTTGCAGGCTTTTCCCCAAGGAGGAAAGCTCTTTAAAGGGAGCGCGGCTATCCCAGGCTTTTGCGGGAGGTGGGGGAAGGGACAGAGGGGCTGCCCTATCCCTTCCCCCACCTCCCAGAAAAGCCCAGAGGCTCCCCGTAACCCGAAGAGGCTTCGCACGGCTAAGCCAGAAGCTAGAACAGCAAGAGGGAGCGCTGCGCAGCGATCCCTCTCACTGTTTTGGCTTCTGGGATAGCTGCGCAGCCTGCATTCGCTCCATAAGACGCACACATATTTCCCCTTACTTTTTAGGAAGGGAAAAGTGCATCTTATAGAGCGAAAAATACGGTAACTAAATTTACCAATTATTGGGCTCTACTGGAAATGTTTGCTAGTGGTAGTTCAAGGTTTAACTTTAATCACATGGCTTCAAATACAGTCTATGGTTTTATAGAATGTGTTTGTAACAGGTACAAGTTGATTTCTAGCCTGCACCAACTCCAAAAATGTGTTCTGCTGAAAATGGACCTATTGAAATAAATGAACTACTCTGAGTATGACTTAGTCATAACCCTTTATGTTTTTTGTTGTATTTCAGATTTCTAGCACCAATTTCCAACACTAGTTTCTTGCTGTTCTATACTACTTTTATACTGGTTTTGTGCTGGTGTTGGGTTTTATGTTGGTTTTACTGAGTTAGTTTATGATCTTTAATATATGTTGTTTGGTTGTATTATTGATCCATAACTTTTTAACCTGCCAAGGGGACTTAGTTGGTGGACAGCATAATAAGTAATATTAATTTATGGTCCATTTTGTTCTTGAAACTGAGGAAAACCAAATACCTCAACAATCCTAGAGGTCCAAAATAATGAAAAGCTAGTGCAGAAAGTGGCTTCATTGTTCTACAGTATGCCTTTTAGTCTGTACTATAAAGAACAGTTTCTGCAAATGTTTCTATTTATTTTTCTTATTTTTCACAACAATTCAAATTTTATGGTGTGTTGTGGCTCTGGAGCTGTCATTTCACTTAAGAAAGGCAACTCTGGATTATTCTTTTTCCCCCCAGTTGTATTTCCTCAGAAGCTGAGGACTCTGTATAGTATGTGACATTCCTGCAAATGAAAGAATTCTGGAAAGCAACTCGATGATCTCTGAAACAGAATTTGTTAGATTATTTGTTAGAGGCTGATTAACTATTGGTTGTTCAGAGGGCACTTGGAAGTTGTGATCTTGGTATTCTTGCTGGCAGGATAAGCAGAAGTTAAGACTCCTTTAGATGGATGTGAACAGGCGGTCCTTGACCTTTCAATATGTTTGTTGGACTCCATCAGATCCCGTGACTTCTATGGTTTAAATACAACAGATAACAGGGTCACTTATATTACAAAATTAATTATTCCTGTCCAACACAGAGCCTTTATGTTACCCCGACTGAATATTTTCCCCTCAGCTTTCATCAAGGGCAGATATTTAAACATCTCCAGAAATGATAGACATTGCGGATGTTTTTCGAATGTGCTGGACACTGTAGAAGGTATTATTTTCTACTGTCCATTGTACAACCAGCTATGTAAATGCTTGCTATCCTCTTTTTTTTGGGTAGTCTAACATCATGGCACAATGAAAATATCAGATTCTATTGGTCTGACATTAACCCAGAAGTAACTGCCAGGGTGGCTGAGTTTTTGTCAGTAGTATCTCTTAGAGTGGGAAGAAACTCCACCGAAAATCCTCGTTATTAAATATTTTACATGCCTGTTTATTTGTATATATAAATATATATATGGATGTTTTATGATGGCCTATATTTGCAATGCCTAATAAAGGTTTGGCAAAGTAAGTAAGACTCAATCAGAAAAGAAATAGCACAGTAGTTTTCCTGTAGGACTAATTGCAGTCGTTAACAGTCAACAGGTTTACCATATCCATTGGGTCAATCTCCCATCTCCTATTACCCTTATGAGAAAAAACCCACCCCACCCTCCCACTATATATAAGGGTCTAGTGACTTCTGTTTCGGTGTATCTGAAGAAGTGTGCATGCACACAAAAGCTTATATCCAGAACAAACTTATTTGGTCTCTAAGGTGCTAGTGGACAAATTTATTTATTTATTTATGCCCAAATAGAGTTATAAAAAGGAAAGCTGCAATAAACCTTGGCAGGGGTTGGTAATCTTAAACCATATTTCTAATGTTTGTCTATCTCACGGGCTGCTACTAATATAGAATCTATGTAAGAAATCATCTTGATATTTAATCCTGGCTTTATTTGTGATTTTAAGGGATGTACTACTTCAGAAATTTGAAAACTATAAACCCGAAATGCAAGAGATTATATGTGTTGCTGATCAGTTGGGTTCCCTAATGCAATATGAGACCCCTGGATTTCTTCCAAACAAGAGAGTACATAGAGGTAAACTGGAAAAACTTTATTGAAATATGGAATTAAAAGTATAATGGCGCTTGCTGTGATTAGCATTGGATATTCAGCAATAAAACATGCTCTATTCATATGGCAGTTCAGCTTATTCATACATAAAAGAAAACTACTAATAATTATTACAGTCCATTATGTACTGTAAAGTGTGAATACTTAATGAGGCAGCAACCTCCAGTGATATTAAATATTAGATCCTACGCAGTCATCCACTTGCATCTCTTAGACTGCAATTCTATGCCCACTTACTTAGAGAGTAAGCCTTACTGAACATAGTAAGGGCATGCATAAGGTAAAGGTAAAGGGGCCCCTGACCATTAGGTCCAGTCATGACTGACTCTGGGGTTGCAGCGCTCATCTCGCTTTATTGGCTGAGGGAGCTGGCGTAAAGCTCCCGGGTCATGTGGCCAGCATGACTAAGCCGCTTCTGGCGAACCAGAGCAGCACACGTAAATGCCCTTTACCTTCTTGCCAGAGCGGTACCTATTTATCTACCTGCACTTTGACGTGCTTTCGAACTGCTAGGTTGGCAGGAGCAGGGACCGAGCAACAGGAGCTCACCCTGTCGCGGGGATTCGAGCCGCCAACCTTCTGATCGGCAAGTCCTAGGCTATGTGGTTTCACCCACATAGCCACCCGCATCCCTCAAGGGCATGCATAGAATTGCACTATTTTGTTGCTTCAGCTTCTGCCTCACGTTTAGATGTCAAGTATAAATGTGAATGGGCTTCACTGGTAACCTACTTCTGTTTGTTGTTCAGCAATGGGGCTAGCTGTGATAGAAGTAATGCAAGCTGTACAGAGAACGTGGGTGAACTCGAAAGTACGAATTAATGGAAAAACCAGGCTGATGCAGTGGAGAGATATGTTTGACATTGCTGTGAAATGGCGAAGGTAATAAAGGAGGAAATTTAGTTTGTGAATTATTATTATCAAGAGTACTAAACTGTAGGCTAAGCAAGTATCGACTTTATAAAGGCAGAGGCAAAGTGAACTGAGGAAGTATTTATAGATTTTTGTGGTTCCTACATCCTTACTTCTGCTGTTGATTACATGATTTATAGCCCTGTCTATGTGACTACTTCACAAAACCTATTTAATTCTTCTAATAAGGGCCATCCCTGGAGGCTGGAGGCCACAGGGCAAATCATAGTGTTTGGACCTTCCTATACTGCTTGATCCAGGCATGTTGGGTTTTTCTTTTCTCTCTTTCACAATGCTTTCCTCCCCCTACTTCACCCCTTATGCAAATTCTAATTTTACATTTCATATTAGTATGCACATTGTGTATCATATAGGGCGATGCATAACTTGAATCTTTAATCCAACTTCTTAGATCAAGAAACAAAAGTTCTTTCTCCTTGCAAACTAAAGTAAATAAAGTTAAGTCCATTATTTCATTCCTCTTAACATTTCAGATTTGGTTATAGCAATATAGTTGTACAGAACATCACCAAGATAACCTTGATTTCCTGAAGAGCTAACCAGTTTTGTAAGATGTAAAGGCTCAGTGATTCTCCATTCTCTCTGTCCTTCCCATTCTCTTCCTTGGCAATGTTGCCAGCTGCCTTATGAATGCGGACGTGTTGCAGTCGGGCCCCAATCCTCCTCCTATGCTTATGTTTTTGCAACTGTAAGAGGGCTTCCAGGTCAGCATTTGGGGTGCATTCCCAGGCAGTGCTGCTGGCCATGGGTGTCATTATTGGTGCTGTGTTATGGTGAGGTGCCCCCCCAAAGTCCAGATTGGTTGCCCAGATTCCCCCCACCACCGCCCCACATCCCTTAGGAATTAGTTTGATTCTGATCTCCAAGTTAATTTCCTCTAACTCTTGAGGTTAGCCCATTATTGTAGGTGGAAGAAAGCAATAAAAGCTTTCTTTAAAAATAGATGAAAAAATTAAACCTGAATTAATACAACTACCAAATCTGTAAGCAGTGTTGATGTTGTGTCTCTTTACAGGATAGCTGACCCAGACCAGCCTGTACTGTGGTTAGACCAAATGCCAGCTCGAAGTCTTAGCAGAGGCTTTAATAATCACATCAATCTAATCAGGTATGATGCTTTAGTGAAACCTTGTTTGCATAAGAAATTGTGCCAGAATCACACATTTTGCACATAGGAGTTCTCGGTGTTAGGATTTCTGAACTTGTATTCTGACATTTTCTTCTTCAAATGAGTATGTAATGTATTGCATGTTTTATAGCCCCCTTTAGATATTTCTTTTTCTTTTCCTGAGGAGCTGGAATTGTACATCTACACTGTTTTGGAGTCCAACAAATAAATCCAATATCTTTCAGTACTGCCTTCTGTTAGGTAATTTTCCTACACAGAAACCCACAGCTATGCTTAAAATCTTGCCAGGCATTTCTGAAAGGTAATATATGCAGCACAACTGATTCATTATTGCATTATGCTTCATCACAAGCCCACTCCTCTTCAAAGCATAGCTTAGCAATTGTTGTATGTTCCCTCTTCTCCTATACTACAAAACAAGATATCTGGTATTAGAGCAGCCACAAAGAAGGAAAGGCAGGGAACACTACAAAAATATTGTCAATCACAGGGGTTTAGACTAAGGAGCATATATTTAAGCTGCCAAAGTTTGTAAGTTTCCTAGTAAGAACTTGTTGCATTCTTGCTTTGACCAATTACTTCTATTTCTATTTCTTTGTCCAATCTTTACCAATAGCATCAACCTTTCACTGTACAAGCTGGATATTTTACACTCAGTTTGGGTCCTTCCGATTTTTATTTCCTTGACTTCATTTATATTCTTTAACTAGATCCATATCAAACTTTTCTGAAAATCTAAAGTCAAGTTCTAAAATCTGCTTGGCATAGATATATGCTGACTGCATAACTACAAGGCCTACCATGAAAGTGTGGTAACTTCTAATTCACTTGTAGACTCACTGCATTCTTACTAGATCCATCATAGCTTATTTTGTAGTGTGAAATGTCTTGTCATCAGCATAGAAAGTGTTTGACAGGCAGCAGTGGGTTGTGCTAGAAGTGGAAAGTTTGAATAAATAATTTGGAACTATGATTTCTCTGCTCCTTTTAGAAAAAAAAATCTTCTGCTAATATGATTCTTGCTTTTCCATTTACTGCATTGATGAATCTGCCTTAAGCTGCCACTTCTTTCCAGGCTTCTTTTCATCGCTATTATTATGCAGTTCTTGTTTAGTCATAGCAGGTTTAATTAAACTAATTAAGCACCACTGGCTCAGGTAAGTGAAATTAAAGACAAGTGGCCTAATTAACCCCTGTGATTGACAAGTAGCTTTGTCTCTTGGTATTTGCGGCTATAAAGCTTGCTCTATGAAATCTTGTTTTGTAGACTTGGAAACGAGAAGGGACTTCAACAAGTGCAATAATGGTATGTAGTTTTGCCTTTGGTATATGTGTTTGTGTGGCTAGCTGCGCCCTAGACATATCTTTTTACTGTTCATGAATGTTTGGACAATTACATCAACAACATTCTAGATGGAAAACAAAAATTCGTGTTTGCAAGCAGTGCTCAGAATGAAAATTTAGCTGGAGAGTTTAAATAGATATAAGCAAATATAATCCAGTGGGCATAAATCTTGAAATGAATGATCAGTGCATGAGTTTTCATTCATTTCATTTCAATGGCTCTGGTTTGGGGGAAAATATTGATGAATTATGGGCAGTCTGTGTAACCATATCCTGAGCAGGGCTGAAAAGTTGTATTAGGTGAAATATTCCCATTCCTAAAATGATTACAGCTTTCCAGTGCATGCATAATGTTGAGTAGCTCAATAAGTTCATAGGGCTCAAGTTTAAGACTTCAATATTATAAATAATTTTTTATAGATGTAGGAGTCTGCTTGCCTGTAAAGACAACCTCAGTACAGAAACAAAATAAAACTCAAATTAATTTTAATTTTATATAGTTACATCCTTTTTCTTCTAAATGCTAACAATGACTCTTGTCAGTTTAATATTTTTAAAGAGAATACACAAATTATCAAAGATTAAAACTGTGTGGTACAATCTGCTATTTGTCAAAGTTGCCTTGTAAATATCACTTGAAAAATGTTCTGTTAACTGTGCAATCTATGCAAATTTACTCAGCAGTAAGTTCCATTATTTCAAAGTCTCATTGAACCCAATGAGTCTCATGGAACCCTTCTAAGTAGAAACGCACAGATTTTTGCTGTAACATGTCCATAATGCTTTGCAGTGCACAAAAGTTCTCTGGCAAGTAGAGTCCCTTGAACAAAGTTTGAACTCCAGTGTTTTACCACATAGAAATCATATATGTACTTTCACAAATGGTATGTAAATGCTTGCTATCTGTTTAATGTCCCGTTTTAAAAATGTTCTTCTCTGCAGGGGACAAGTTGTTAACATAAGATATCTGGAATATTTTGAAAAGATGCTTCATTTTATCAAAGACAGGATCCTTGTTTATCATAGGTAAATAAATTCTTCCTTTTCCTGCATTAATACGGCAAATTTTTATATAGTGTTCAAGAATTAGGTGCTGCACAGTAATATTTAAAACAACCTGCCTGCAGGCTTACAATCTAAACAAGATGAGACCATGGGGAGGGAAAGAAGAGATTAGAACCAAATATTTAGGAAATGGTTTGAAACATTGCATAAACAATTGAAAAGACAGAAGGGTGCAGATTTCAGGTGTCAGTGAGGTTCAGAGAAAAGAGAGCAAGTGATGATGGAAACGTGAAATAGAAATGACTTGAGATTTTTCAAAGAAGAAAGCATTGGCTGAGCAAAGATAATAATGCAGCGGGAGAGAAAGAAAAAGGGTGACAGATAAGGAGGGGCCGAAAGGTAAAAGCATAGTAACGAATAATTTCTGATAAGGAGATGAATTTCAATAAATGGATGTAACGCAGGAAAAATATGGGCAAATTGAGATACAGAATAAACCGAATGGGCAACAGAGTTAAGAACAGAGAGGAGAGGGTGAAGCTGAAAAACTGGCAAACCAAAAAGAAGCATGAGAGAATAAACAAATGCTTTTCCAGTAGCAGGAGACAAAACTATCAAAATTTAGCAACGTTTAAAACTTGGACGTTGGCAGTTCTGACTGTCAGATTGACTGTATGCAGCCAGGAGGCTGAGGCAAGTTTGAAGATGATGAAGGAAAGGTGTAAACTATGGTCAGGGAAAGCCAGGCCAATGAGAATGCTGAAGAAGAAGATTTTAGAAGATCTATTTTTGTTATCAACATAGAAGAGAATGGAGTAGCAGCAGAAGGGGAAAGAAGACTAAAAAAGAGCCAAGAGAAGAAAACTAATCTGTATTTATTGAGATAATTGTTTTTTAAAAGTCTTAACAGGAGAGAAGATGATGAAGAGTAAAGAAATGGAAGCATGAATGTGTAAGGAGTAAAAGCTGAAGAGCAGCTGGAGTGTCAAGTTGAATATGGGAAATGCCCTTGCTCAGTGGTGAAGCTCACTCAGTGACTATGAAGATGTCACTTTATTTCACCCTAAGAGTCAGTCACTGTTCCAGAATCCTTTAAGGGTGGAGTAGAACATACATATATATTAAGATTACAAATGAAAATAGAAAGATGGAACAACGGGTCAACATATATATTTTTAACACAGGACAATATCGGGAAGGGAAAGGTGTAGTAATAACAGTATGTACTGCTTCAGTCTGCCTTGTTCAACATAACTCTAAACTATATTTTAGTTATTGCTATGGAAATAATCATGGATGAGCCTCAAGTTCCCATGCTCCTCCTGTGGAGCAGCTCTGATGAGATCAGATGTGTTTGTCCCAGTTTGGACATAATGGTAGACTGTGGTTAGTTTTAATGATGGTTGAGGTTGCCTTAATCAGATAAACTGTAGGTAAAACTAAGGGCAGTTTAGCCCTTTCATACCTACTGACAACCATGATTAGTTGAAAATGGAAGCAAATGCTTTCAGTCTCCTTGCAGTCACATCAGAAAAGGGGACACGGGCTCATTATAACATTAAACTATAAAGAGTGGTGTGAAACAGGGCTGTGTTCTCGCCCAACTCTCTTTAGCATATTCTTCTCCCTGTTGCTCTCATATGCATTCAGCTTGACTGAAGACGATGTGTTCATTCAAGGAGCAATGGGGGTCTGTTCAATCTGGCACGTCCCTGCACCAAGAAAAGTGCAGCGGGTCCTTATCTGAGAGACGTTGCTTGCAGATGACACAGCCTTGACAGTGCACTCTGAGAAAGCTCTACTGAGACTCATCAACCGTTTTGCCCAAGCCTGCAGGGAGTTGGGCCTTACCTGACAAAGACTAACATCCTAGGAAATTGCAAATACCAAGGTCTACCAGACTTGCATGTTGAGCATGCTGCTTTATGGAAGTATGTTGTGGGCAACTTACAACCATCAGGAGTGATGCATCAATGCCTTCCATATCCACTGTGTCAGGAAGATTTTGGATACCGCATAGCAGGACAGATTTTCAATCAAAGATGTGCTTTCCTAAACCCACATTCCTAGCATGCTTGCACTCCTGTCTCAGCAGCGTCTACACTGACTAGGTCATGTCCACAGAATGGAAGATGGCAGGATCTCCAAGGGCATGCTCTAAAGGGAGCCCGCTTCAGGCACTAGGCCCATTGGCAGACCAACTCTGCCAACAATGTCTACAAAAGTGATATGCATGAACCCTGCCATGTGGGAATCCCTTGCAGATGACAGCAGTGCCTGGAGACAGACAGATAGGTCAGTATCCATAATGATGATTGGTGGAGGAATGACCATTGGGAAGAGCGCAAAGAGAAGAAATCCCGTGGTGCATCTGCATCAGCACAACCAGACACCTTCATCTGCCCCAGCTTCAGTGAAACATGTCTCTCCTGTATCTCTCTCTACACCCACAGCACACTTTTCCATCGTCTCCCAAGACACACGGATGCCAACCAGGTTTAACTTTGTATATAAATAGGTTATCTTGTATAGGTTATTTTCTCAGTAACATAACCTAGGTATGCTAAAAAGCTATTGTCTTTTCTTGTTAGAATATGTTCACATTAATATAAAAACTAGAACAAAATATTTAATTGAAATCCTATTGAACCCTTTTGTCTAACCATTTAGTGCTAATAACCACAAAGAACTAGTAGACGTTCGAGAAGCTCTGGAGCAAGTGCAAAAAGTAGAAGATCTTCTCCCAATAATGAAGGTAGTCTTTCTATCTCCCCCCCCCCCCAATTCCTCTCCCATCCCGCAAAATAACTGTATTTTTGTTAATATTAGAAATAAGATTATGCAAATAACATTAGTTAGTGATGATCCTTCAAATTTCATGTGAAAGTGGAAATGGACTTAAAGTTACCATTTTAAACTTGGATATGATTTTTTTCTAGTACACAATGAGGGTTTGCTGAGGAAGTTCATTTTGCAAGGGAAAGCTCACTAAACTCCAAGCTAGTTTTCTGTGTATTACAGTGTTTTGTAACAAATTGTGGGTGTTTATTAGTGTCTCTTGGAATGATGAAGGGGTTTTTAATTGCAAAATTGTCCATAGTAAAGAAAATAAGCTCAATGGATCTTACTGCATTTTAAGTACTCATTACAAGGAAGACTTAACAAATACCACATAAATGAAAAGATACAAATAGCATGAAATGAAAGAGGTGAATAACTTTGAGTAGGAAGCCAACACTTCATTTGTCAGAGTGGGTCATGTGTTACTTATTCATAGGGTCAAACTGGCAGAATTTCACAATTTAGCAACCGTTTTAGCTAAAAATAATCCCCTCTGAGATTGAATGTATAACCTTGAGGGTGCTGTTTTCTATTAGTTGAAAGCGGTTAGCTGAATAATTCAATAATTCTCTAAAGGCTGTTGACAAAATGGTTTTCCTGTGTAGGTCCTGACTTCCATGTCGGAAGAAGAATGTCAACATGCATCTGATATTTGAACAGGAAAATATGAAATAGCCCAAGTATCAACAACTAGGGAAAACTATTATCTCTTCTATGTTTTTAGCACATCTCTGTTGTGTGGTATGCCTAAAAAGAGCTCTAACATATTTGCATATGTTTAGCGAGGCCATAGTCCACAAATAGTAAACCTTCCTTACTTTTAAGAGCTCCCCTGAGTGCGATAGGTGAAATTCTTTTAGCAGTGAGAGAAAAAAATGCATGTTAGATGTAAACTTTAATGGGAAAGAAACCTTGCTATATTTTTGGCCACATGACCCTGGAAGCTGTACGCCAGCTCCCTTGGCCAATAAAGCGAGATGAGCGCCGCAACCCCAGAGTTGTCTGTGACTGGACCTAATGGTCAGGGGTCCCTTTACCCTTTACCTAGTTATGTAGCATAAAGGAAAGCTTATATTGTCTTAATTGTAATATGGAACAAACAAACAAAATCCACTTTTTGATATTTGTTTGAAAGCAGCTCCACAGTAAAACAAGAGATGGATTCACGGTAAACACCAAAGTCCCAAGCCTCAAAGATCCAGGAAAAGAGTATGATGGATTTACTATCACCATAACAGGAGATAAGTAAGCTAAGTTTCTATTTTATATCATGTAAACTACAGGCAAAAGCTTACTAGTCTTTATTTTAATTATTTTTTTAAAAAATAAATTGAAGACAGTGTTATAGCACTCAAAGGTTAGGCAAATTTCAAATATGCTTGGTTTTCCTTCTGTAGTAAACTTTGTCAGCAAAGCTGCATTTTATGTGCTTTAATGTAGTATTAATTTAATATATTTACACCCATATAATCCATGCAAACATGTCCTAACACTTAACCAAAATCTGACTTTACTAAAACCTTGTAAGTTGTATACACTTATTATAGTTTTATCCTTATCCATATTGGAAGCTTCTCAGGTATACAGTTTGGATGGCACATGTTACCCACCCTTGTTCTTGCTGCTTATGCTCCCCAGTTAATATACTAGTATAACAACTCTTCTTCTGTGAAAAAGGGGGGGAGGGAATCAAAGCAATATTCTGTATTTTTCCTTTTCAGGGATACTCACTAAATTTTTATATGGGCAATGTAGTAGCTAAAGGGTAGGTTCCACCAGGTCCTGCTTCTGCCCATTCATAATCATCTCGCCATATTTGTGTGAGTGTGTGTTTTAAAAAAGATTAAAAATATTACCAACTAATTAACAAAAAATCTGCTTTGTCGTTTTATGTTGCCTTTTCAGTTTTGATATTTGGTCTCTGAAGCCAAAGTAACATTGCACTCATTTCTATATTCAACTGGAAATTATTGAAATACATTTTAGAGCAACTTAACCAATCGTATATAATCTGTATGCATTTGTATGTGTTTGTTTATGTATGTGTTGTTGAATGTATTTGTTTATTTTAAAAACATGCCTCTGATGCAGACATATATTTTCAGGATTGGGAACATACTATTTTCAGTTGAAACGCAGACAACAGAAGAAAGAACACAACTGTATCATGCAGAAATAGATGCTCTTTATAAAGACTTAACTACCAAAGGAAAACTACTTGTTTCATCTGCAGAATCTGGGGTAAGATCTTGCATTATGTAATTAGTTTTTAGTATCATGAGCCCAAAAGGTCTAAGAGCACAGGCAGGCTGATACACAGAGAGATGTTTCTTCAGATATTTGCATCTCAAGGCATTTGTAAACCACCCTGTGATCACTGGTTGAAGGGTGGTAAGCAAATTGTCATCATCACCATCATCATAGGCTTGGCATGTCAACATCAGCACCTTGAATTTTGTCTCAGAAGCATATAGGCAGCTTTTCAAAATGTTTCAACAAACCATACCAGTTTACATTCTGACAGCCACATTCTACTCCAATTATAGCTTTTGTATCCCCTTCAAGGGCAACATCATGTAAGACCAGGTTATAACCAGGAAGTTACCAAACCAGTGACCATCGTGGCCAAGCTATTCTGGTCTGGGTGAACCAGAAAAAGTGACCCTTTTGGTCTGTTCATCAAATTACTCACTAGCTGCTCTAGAGAGCAGTGCATGAGGAGGAAAGGTATCATTTGAAAGGGATTGCCATATCCTTTCTGTAAAAGTAAATTTCAAAATTCCGCATGTCAGTGTTTTTTGGACCAATATTCTTAGGGCCAAAATGGACACAATGGGTGGGTGGGGGGTTGTTGCTGTTATTGTTGTTAGTTTTTTGTATCTTTATTTTAGATGTTGTTATGGATGTTGATGTAGAAATTGTTTCAATTTGGTTGTTTACTTTTTTATTTTATTTTTTGTTTATGACTACTTTTGTTACGTTCATCATTATGTATTTTTTCATGTTGTGAGCCACATTGAGCATGGTTTTAACTCTGGAAAGACGGCATGCAAATAAAATTATGTATATATGTTAGTCCAAGCACACCACTGAAGTCACCTGAGCCTCAAGTGACAGCGCTGGGTCAAGCACAACCCCAGACTATGCATCTAAAGCTATATGTCCAGCCAATTCTCAAACCTGAGAACCAACCTACCCATAGGACCTGTGTCTTGTCAGGATTCAGCCTCAGTTTATTGGCCCTCATCCAGCCCATTACTGCTTCCAGGCACCAGTCCAACACAAAGTATTAGTTAAAACGCATGCCATCACTATAAAATATTTAAGAGATTACTCCTATTTATGGTTAAATGCAATGCATTGTTTAAACATTTTAAAATTTATTTTTGTTGGGCTGGATCCAGAGTGTCCTTTCTGTGAACAGCCTTTTTCCATTTGTGGAACACACTGAGATACAACAGAAGCTCCCTCGGAAGGAAAGGGGAGGCTCTTTTCTCTCATTCCCCCTAAATGCCACCTCCCACACAAGGATGCCTTGTCCTCCCAAGAGCTATTGGCTAAAATCTGATCCCCACCCTAGCTTCTTCCAGCAGGAATTCTGCTCACAGGAGCTCTGGATCCAACCCGTTTTTAAAATCTCTTATCTGTCCTTTCTGTTCCATTACTATTCAAGGTAACTCACAATCTGACACACACCCCAAAATTAACATGGCAGATAAAAAAAATGCTTTTTAGCACGGCTTGAGAAACAACCACATTATATACAAAGCTTAGAAGGCCTTAGCAAATGAAACATGTCTATATCGCTTACTGTCCTATATACACCTTTTCCTGCTTGAATGCTGCTTCTTGTCATGCTACAACTACCAACTTAATAAAGAATTATACAGATAATAAAATACTGCATATTGCAGAATGAAAACAGTTTATTTCCATAAATTCCATTCATTTAATGTAATTTGCTTGGTGCATGCAGTTTTCTATTGCTATTTTGATTTTTCAGGCTAAATACATGGTTTTATTTTTCTTAGGAGTCGGATGCTGTGTGCAGTCTAATCCTGTCTCTCGTATATTATTTCTATAACTTAATGCCTCTGTCCAGAGGGTCCAGGTTAGTATCTTTCTTCTTATGTAATAACTGTATCCATAAAGATTACATTGTGCACAGTGATATGAGATCTTACCTTACCAGTTCTTCTTTCTCCTGCCCCAAGTCCTAAACACTTTTACATAAATGTTGGCAGTCATATTATTCTTGTGTGCATCTTTAATGAGAGAACATTTTCTCCATTTTGTAGTAGATGTATTTCTCATTTTGTATTTGACATGTTAAAACTTTAAAACTTGTCTTACACTCTGCAGTTTTTTTAAAATACACTTGAAAGTAAGTCCTGTTGCACTCAATGCAGCTTACTTCTGTACAGAATTGCACTATTAAGCTCGATATAGCAATATTGAAATTAATACAGCCAGGTCACAAGTACATTGCATTGAATTTAAATATTTATGAAAATGGAGAATCTCTTAACCTTTAAAAGCAGTAAAATATGTTCTTGTGTTTCCATGGAATGCTTTGTGTGCATTTTATTTCTTCTGTTTTTGTTTGTTTCTCAGTGTGGTGGCTTATTCAATAGTCATGGGAGCTCTAATGGCAAGTGGAAAAGAAGTATCAGGAAAGATTCCAAAAGGAAAGGTACACTCTGAATAAAATGCCCTGAAATTTAGAAAAGAGCAGCTTGTGACACCCAAGTTTTTCCCGCAGGTCACACCTGTGTCCAAAAAGTTATTTAAAGCATAATGTGGGGCTAGGTATGAAGTAATGCAGATGTTCAGGAAGCAGTTTGTGAATACCTGCAACTTCTCAAAAGATAAAGACATGTTATTTTGAAAAAGAAGTGAGATGTGTGAGAGAGCATTCTTGTTTCAATGTGAGAAGTAGACCTATGGACTGGAAACTGTTGGTGTAGCAAAATAATTAAATAAAGCAGCAGTCCTAATCTCAGAAGGTGATGTCCAGTGTTGTCTACCTGCAAATGGAATGAGCACCATTTGCAGAAGTTCTTCACCCTACCCTTTCCCCCTGACCTGCTCTGGAGGGTTAGGGTACCATCTAGAACTAACTGGAAATTTGCATTTGGCAGTGGGGTGGGGAATAGGAAAAGAGTGTTGGATATATCACCCAGTGGAACTTGCTTCCTAGTAAATCTATTTCCTAGATTTAACTATCATTAGGTAATGTTCCTGTTATTGTTCTTGGCAGATGCTAGAAGTGATGGAGTGTGTTGTAAATGAGATGAAAGTTTCTATGTGATTAGGACAATAGTAACTTCTCTTTATGATCAGATGAAGTTTTTCACATTTTTTGCTTCAAAATAGTTTGGAACTTTGTGTCTTGCAACAGGAAGCATCATCATCAATAACAATAATACTTTATTATTTATACCGCACTCATCTAGTCTCTTGTGATGATGGTTTTCTTTAAATTTTAAATCTTCCCCCCCCTTTAAATCATACTATCAACTTCAGCCTTTCATTGTTATACCACAACTGCTAAAATAGCATATTTAAAGCAAACAAATCCAAAGCATACAGTTCAGCTCTTCTCGTCTTCCAACTTCCACTACAAATACCTTTTCGATGGTGCTAAATGTGAGGGTATGTTCTGACAGTGCACTTATTTTTGCATTTAGTTATTTATATTTAATGTGTGTTCCAGCTGATTGATTTTGAAGCTATGACAGCAGCTGGATCAGAGGCCTTCAGTAAAGTGGCAAAAGATTGGCTGAATCTGAAAAGGTAAAATTGTTAATGTTGGCTCAAGGTTTTGCATGTCTTAAAAAAAAGTCCCAGCTTTCCTCAGAAAGACAGTCTTTGTTACTTTGAAAAGTTGAGTTAACAGAAGAGTGCTTTCACAAATTCCAACTTATGGCAGCTATTGCATTTCACCCTCTGCCCATATATCTATGGCTGCTGCTTGTGACACTACTCAAATATAGTTTGTGATAACAATGTAGTTCTTGTTAAACTTAAACCACCACATCTAAAAGGCCTGGTTCCTATTATAAATTTAAGTAGTACTAAAGTTACATGAAACAATAGACCCAAACTAGAAAGAACTGTTTGAATTTGGCACACCATAGAGGTCTGCATGTGTGGCATTTTACTCTCTAGCGGAAGGGAAAAATAACCTAATACATTAAATTTCTTTGTGGTTTTCTGGATTAGAACCATGGTGATAATTAGCTTCCTTCATTGATAGTTATCATCGCAGTCTACTTAACAGTTCTTCTACAATATATGGTGTTAAATGTCTGAAATAATGAACCATACTATTGTGAAACTTGGTATTTTAATGCTAGAACATTTTGAAGACAAAATGCATAGGTAGTCACTTGCCCCAAAACTTGAGCAATAAAGTTCCAGTTGAGTTAAATTAGCATTTTTGGAGTGCTTAAGCAAAAATACAAAATATCAGGTTTATTTCAAACGTAGGTCATGGACTATGTTTCTATTAATATTTGCATTTTCCTTTTCCAGCATTTCGCCTTCTTACAAGAGTCTCCCACTGGTATCAGAATACTTTCCAACATTAAGAACCATGATTGAAGCATTAAGTACAGATTCAGCTCATTGCCTGAAAAGGCTTTAGTTGCTGTGTTAACTTACCTCAATAAAGAGCAGTGACCACTTTTTTTGTATGTTGTTGATGGTGCAAGTCCTTCGTTCCCGATTATTTTTGTGGATTCTAAATAATTGAATCACTTCCTTTTAGGAACCCAACAGAAAACAAAATCCTTTTCTATAACTGAGAATTATTGGATATATCCAGAAGAAATACAGCTGATTTCAGTGAAGAACCAGTTGCCAGAAGGCAAAAGTGGCAACACAGGGTGCTGCTTAACTAAGATTTACTCAGAGTAGACCCCAATTACTGAACACGACTTGTTTATTTCATTTGGTCTACTCTGAGTAAAATTTAGTTGAATATCACACATACATCTGCCACACATTGTATGCACTGTAGTGTAATTTTAGCCTGTTCCCTGCACCGGTTTAAATTTCACACAGTCACCCAAAAGAATGATTTAATAGGTTGGCACAAAAGCCCATTTTATTACTTGGATGTATAGTCTAAATTTTGACCAAACTGCGGGAGGCAGTGGAAGACAGAAGTGCCGGGCGTGCTCTGGTCCACGGGGTCACAAAGAGTCGGAAACGACTAAACAACAACAACAAAAAGTCTAAATATCTATAAAAGGCAGGCATGGCTTATTAGCCCTCATTCTGTCAATTACTGCATACAGGCACTGATCCACTTCCTCTCCTGTATTTGATGAAAGTGCTGAATGTCACCTGCATATTAGTGACACCTCCTCTCCCAGTGATTTCATGTAGATGTTAAATAGCATGGAGATGAAACCCTGTGTGACAAAAGTATAATCCCCCCCCCCCTTTTTGGAAGTGGCCTCTAGGTAAGAAAGGAACCATTGCAAAACAGTACCTCCAACACCCAACTTGGACATCCTATCCAGAAGGATACTATGGTTGGTATCAAAAAATCCAAGAGCATCATCAGGATTACACTCCCATTCTTTCTCACAGCAAAGCTGTGTATTCCAAAACCAGGCTTAAAACCCAACTGAGATGGAGCCAGGCAATCAGATTCAGGCTGCAGAAGGATCTTTGGCAAGTAATTAGTTTTTTCCAAGTCTTCTGACACCATTTCGTTTGTCATAATATACCCAGTTTGCTTTGTTAGACCAGTTTGGTTGGTTCTCTCTACCCATTAGTCAGCAGGTGCAGTAATAAAGGTCTGGTAATAAAGAAGTCTTCGTATACTGTTATACTAGGATTTATGTACAGTGGTACCTCAGGTTAAGTACTTAATTCGTTCCGGAGGTCCGTTCTTAACCTGAATCACCACTTTAGCTAATGGGGCCTCCCGCTGCCGCCGTGCCACCAGAGCACGATTTCTGTTCTCATCCTGAAGCAAAGTTCTTAACCCGAGGTTCTATTTGTGGGTTAGCAGAGTCTGTAACCTGAAGCATATGTAACCCGAGGTACCACTGTACTGGAACAAAATACTTGGCATTTGCTCAGAATGAGCACAAACATTTTAGCGTAATTCTCGGACCAGCTCAGGAAGAAGATGCAAATGCCTTGCTGGGCAATTTGACCACAATCCTTGGCCTTTCAAACTCTGGTTTGGTTTACGAACAAATTATTTTGGATTCCGACTGGAGTTTTTTGGAGGCCCTATTGGTGAAAGCGCACCTTGGGTTACGACCTGTTCTGGTTTACGAACGGACCTCCAGAACGGATTATGGTCGTAAACCAAGGTACCATTGTATGAGGGAACAAACAGTACAGTGGGAAAATAAGTATAAGATATAACGGAAAATGGAGCATCTTTTTCTATCATGTCCAAATCTAGAGTCCTTGGGAAGAGTTTTAGCCACAAACTCCTTCAGGGATTATATCCAGTTTCATCAAATGCATCACTGACTGATGAATCTTTTACCTGCTGCTTTCTTGTTGAAGGTGCTCATAACTTTTCTACAACCACACCCTTAGCAACTCCCAGACTGTTTAAAGTGGTATGATACTGCTTTAAATGTATAGTTCAGGTGGGGCCTGATGGTTGCTAGAGTGTCACAGGAGGTCTCTCCCTCACAAACATATAGGATGAATATATTAAATTACTAAATTAGTATAGACTACAGTATAGGATTACTTGGTAATTTATTCATAAAGCATCTGGTTACTCATATTGCCTGACAATACAATAATTTCAAATATGCTCGACTAAAGTTTTGGTTCAAATACCAAAAACCCACCAGAGTTAAGTCCATTCAAGCACCACAAAACTGGGAAGCCTTAAACCCCATGCCCCACGATCAGCAATGCTGCTGTACACTGTCACCAATTACACTTGCTTCCATCTTACCCTCCACATGCACACCCTCTCCCTTGGTCTTTCAGGCCCAAACACAGAAAGGAGGATGGAGTGTCTGGGACCACCAAAAGTGCCCTATGTCTTCCTGGTCCTGCCTTGCAGAGCATCTGAACACAACTATGAATCCTCCCCATCTGTCACAGAGCTACCCGGACAGTAAATTACACAGTTCAAAATTGGTGTTAACTCTTTATTAGCAAAAACACTATAGTCACAGACTTGGCTGTCAGGCTGAATGAGCCCAGCAGCTCATTTCCTGTGTGTCTTACCATGAAAGTTACCAAGAGTAAAGATCCCCACCTCCCTACAGCGATCTATGTCTCCTCCTCTCCAGGGCTTTTTCCAAGCAATTGGAGATTAAGCCTGTATGTTTGTCTTGGCTCCTCCCATTTCATACCTCTTCTGGTTCTGGGAACAGTGATGGTGGCAGGGAGACACCCATGCTTCTTCAGCAGTCTGACTCATCTCTGCCTCTTGGCCTCCCTCATTTCACTCTCCTGCCCCTGCTTCTGGACTTTTCTCTCCCAACTTCCCACACCTTCCTCTTTCTGATTACACACCATTCCACCTCCACTCCCAGGGCTGGATTTAGGTTTGATGAGGCCCTAAGCTACTGAAGATAATGGGGCCGTTTATATGTCCAGCTGCCCTTTGTCAACAACAAATTGTCGCTGTTTTTTGTGTTGAGTATATGCTATATGGTAATTTATGGACTTAATAGGTTCATACACAAAACAAAACACTGTTGCTGTATGTAGGTTTTATTTTATTTGTTTTTTAAACTTATATTTTGGAAATGTACATCCTGGGGTTTTTTCCCCTTTAAATTGTTTGGGGGGCCCCAAGAGAGTGGGTCCCTAAGCTATAGCTTGTTTAGCTTATACGTAAATCCGACTCCCACCTCCACTCCCCAGACTTGAGTCTTCATCCTTTGGTGGTTCCCCAGCTAGTTCCTCTCGCCATTCCTCGGCTTCCAAGCAGCCCGTAACACCATCCCTCTTGGGCGAGGTGGATCCAGGCTAAAGCCGGCAGGGTGTTAGATGCAATCCGTCCACTACACTCGCTTAGTTCGTCTGATTTGAGCACCGCCCCCCGTATACGTTTGCTACGCGTAATTTTGTGCTGTGAATGGCAAAGCGCGCTGCTTTGGAAAGGGTTCCTGGCTCTTTACGCGGCACAACACCCACGCGCCCCGCGTTGGCAGCAGCATCGATGCCTCGTCCCGGGCTCGTGTGCTTGTGTGTGTGTCTTTTGTGTGTTTGTTTTTAAGGGGAGGACGCCCGGGAGGCGGTCCTAAGAGCAGGGGCGGAGCCAAAGGCTTCCGGGAGGCGGAAAGCGGAGCTGTGCGCGGAGTCGAGGAGAAGGAGGGCGCGGCGGCGGCGGGCGACCGAGTTGTTTTGTGCCCCCGGCTCCGCTGCGCTCCACGCCGGCGTCCGAGCGCGCGCTAGGGCCCCGGGGGGCGGCGGCGATGGCTTCGATGGCGGCGGCGATCGCCGCTTCCCGCACGGCGGCCCTGAACGGCAACCGGCCGCTGGATGAGCGGGAGCGCAAGCGCTTCAGCTACTTCTCGTCGCTCAACCCCATGGCGCGCAAGATCATGGCGGAGAAGGAGCGCATCCGCGAGCGCTACGGGCCCGAGTGGGAGCGCCTGCCGCCCCGCCAGCAGGACGAGATCATCGACCAGACCCTGGTGGAGCCCCACATCCAGGCCCGCTACGCGGCGCACCGAGGGGTCACTCGGGGACCCCCGCCGCCGGTCTGCTACCCGAACCTGCGCCTCAACACCGGCCAGAAGGTGGTGCACTTCGGCGACGAGGTGAGATCCTGCCCCGAGCGAAAGGACTCTCTGCACACGCTCAGGAGCACGGTTTGTTGTCGGTTCCGGGCCTGCGCTGCGGGGATCTGTCTGCTTGGCGTCCAGTGTTACGCCCCCTTGTGATGGTGTCGAGGGAGGGTAGCCTCTGGGAAAAAGATTTGCAGGGGAAAGAATATAAAGCAGAGGAAGGATTTTTTTTCCTTTTAAAAAAAGCATATTTGTTTATTCAAGGCAGGGGTTTGAAGAATTCCGCTCTAGAAGTAGTTTTCGGTGGAACATGTGTTGCAGTGAGAGATTTCATTTAGACATGTACAGAGTGTAGGTTCCACTCCTTACTGAGCATAGCCAGATCCCCCCAAGTCTGAGATTTGCAGTGACATGGCAGAGAAGCATGTATCACTCCTTGGCAGACTTGCGGGTTGGGTATCTCATGTCGTCCAAGTACTAAAGGACTTCTACCTAGGGCTGCTGAGCTTTTGGCGCTCCAGATGTTTCTGGAGTCTGAACTTGCAGCATTTCAAACTGTTGGCTGTGCTGATGGGAATGGAGTTTAACAACACCTGGATGACCAAAGATTCCCTGTGCTCTGACCTAGGCTGGTTTGGGACGCGGTGTAAAAACACACACACACAGAGAGAGAGAGAGAGAGAGAGAAACAATATAAGTCACAATTCTTTATACTGTTGTTTCTTAGGAAATACTGTGTTTTGAGGCATTTCCCCCCAGACTAGCTTCGATCTGAATTGAGAAAAACCCGGTAATGTGTACACAGTGCTGGAGTGTAATCCTAGGCATGCTTACTTGGAAGTAAATACTACTGCGTTCAGTCAGATTGACTCTGATGAAAGGGGTGCTTAGGATTCCAACGTAAGACATTACAGTGGTTGCTTCTTCAACTTAACAGGGTTGTTTAAATTTCTGCTTTTACAGCAGAAATTAAACTGCTGCATTTTCAGTAGCTGATGAGTGGGGTAACTGAAGAGTGTTGTTCTTTTAACCACTTAAAACTGGTGCAACTTTTGTTGTTAGCTTTCTGCTGCTGTTATTTGGAATTGTGTGTTTTTTTCAAAAAGAATTGCGTGTGCAAATATATATTATTATAATGTTAGCTTTATGCTTCAAAATATGCTTTAAGTTACTTGGAGACCTTATGTAACAAGTGACCAACTCATCTAGTATTTTTGTTACTGCTGCTGCTTTTTATTGTTGGAAAGTACTTAGCAATGGAACTGTTCATTTTATTGTCAGTGGTGTAGGTGATGTGCTTTTACTTTTGGCTGTAGAGTCTCTTTTCTCATGCATCACATCTGCAGCTGTCAAAGCTAATAGCAGTAAGACCAGCACCAACGCCTGGAAAGTCTTCATTGCCCTTCCCAGCATTTCCCTTTTGCTGCTTTTGGGCTCCCCTGCAGGAGAGGTGCGGGGAGCCAGCTGCAAATCACCTAACCTGGAGAGAAGACCTCTTCCCCTCTGAACTATATTGAAACTGGGCTGCTGAAGAGACCAGCACCAAGAACTTCATTTACTGTTGACTTTTTCTGCTTTGTTTTTGGCTCTAGATTAATTTTTTCATAATAGTGAATTCATTCCATGTGTGCTGAATTGTTTATTTTTGTCCAGTTAGAATTATACGATAATCTTTATTGTCATTGTCCCATACAGAACAACGAAACTGAAAAACTCTACATCAGACATTCAAAAACCAACAAGCCTGCTATCCCAGCCTGGTTAGTCCCCTAAAAACCCATAATTAATTAAATATAATATACTCCCATAGAGACTACCTTACACTGCATTTAAAACCAAAATCGCATTTGAATAGAATTTGTTTCTCAGGCGGATAATCCTAGTTTTTATAACCCTGTACCTTCTTCCAGAAGGCAGAAGCTGAAAGAGAACATTTCTGGGGTGCGCACTGTCCTGCACTATCTCTGCAGCTTTCCTATGGCACCTGGAAGCATAGATTTGATCCAAGGTGGGAAGAGTGCACCCAATTATTCTCTCCCTTATAGAGCCGGAACAGACCCTGAAGGTAGGGATCCTGCCCACAGCTGTCCCCGGGTGGGCTCAAACCATCAACCTTCTCATTAACAGCCAGATGCACTGACCCACTGCGCCACAATGCTCCCCCTAACCTGTTTTGTATTTTGCTTCAAGTGGGTGCTTGTTGTAAGCCGCTTTGGGCGCTGCTAACTGTGGAAAGGCAGCACATAAATAAATGAAACCAGTCAATCATTTGTGCAACATGCCATTACATCACTGTACAAAGGCAGTTCATGAGGTCATAATGAGATCATTGGAAGCAGTAGTGAAACAGGGTGCCATTTGTTCTTCATGGTTGCTACCTCATCCTGAGCAGGCAAAGGCAAACTTGCATATGTTCAAGCATGAAGAAGAAGAAGAAGAAGAGTTTGGATTTGATATCCCGCCTTTCACTCCCTTTAAGGAGTCTCAAAGCGGCTAACATTCTCCTTTCCCTTCCTCCCCCACAACAAACACTCTGTGAGGTGAGTGAGGCTGAGAGACTTCAGAGAAGTGTGACTAGCCCAAGGTCACCCAGCAGTTGCATGTGGAGGAGCGGAGACTCAAACCCGGTTCCCCAGATTACAAGACTACCGCTCTTAACCACTACACCACACTGGCTCTCAACACTAGCATGGACAATATTTTCTCAAAGTAGCATTGTCTAGGCTGCCACTGTTTTAACGGTAGCTTTTTAAAAAATGCCGATTTGGACTAGTTAACTTTGGCCTGAACTTTCAGAGGCATAGGCAAGACCAATGTAAGAGACATGAACTGGGCTGAGAAGGTGGTAGGTGTATTTACCCCATGTTTAAAATTTGCCTGTTTGTAGAGATGGAGGGAAAAACCCAAAACATTAGGCGGCAAACCTAACTTGTGTCAGGAGAGCCAAACACAGCTCAATAGAAGTTTCAAATAAAAATATAAACATGTCTGTTGGTTCTTTAATAGTAGTCACCCAATACACTCAATTCTCTGGGTGGTGTACATATTTGTTTAAAAACGCCACTTAAAATCACACATTGATTTAAAAAATACAATTCAGTAAAGCAGTGCAGTACAGAAACAATGTAACTGACAGAAAGGAAACCTAAAACTAGAAAAAAATAAATCATACCAAGCCACACATAATACAACCGGATGATAAAACGACGACTGTACAACACCAAATAACTTAGCCATTTAAAAAGCTTGTGAGAATAAATAGGGCTTTGCCTGATGTGGAAAATACATTAAAGTAGGCACAGTTTGTCAGTATAGTAACTCAATTCCTACAGAATTCCTGCCAGAAAAAATATCGGGGAGTCAACCAACCACCTCCCCAGGTGTTCTGTCTAAGTGTTGGACAGCTCATACTTTCTGGAAGTTGTTCCTTATCTTTATTTGAGATCTACCTTCTAGAGTGACGTAGAATAAATGTGCCCCATCATCAATGTCACAACCCTTAAAATATTTGTAGATGCCTATCGTGTTGTCTCTTAATTATCTATCCTCCAGGCTAAGTATGCACAGCACCTTCAACCTTTCCTCATAGGAAAATGCTTATCATGGTTGCTTTTTGAAAAACAAAGGCTTTGAGGATCCAGCCATTTGTTTGGGGTCTTTTGGAGAATTTGACCTCATTTCAAGATGCTGTTTTCAAGCAGATGCTTGCCATTATTGAAAAGGAAGAGGGATTGTTTATGCATTTGTTAAATTTGTATACTGCCCCTAATCCGTAGATCTCAGGGCGGTTATCGACATGAAAATACAAGACCAAAAACACAAAATGCATAATAAAAGCAAGAAGAAAAATACGGTGATTGTTGAGTGGAAAGCCTTAGTTTCACTTGTGCTTGTGTCACCATCTCAAGCTGCCTTGAGTAAAAAGGCAGGGTATAAATTAATAATAATAACAACAACAATAATAATAACCATAGGTCTTGGCCTATTGCCAGTTTTGCCACCTTTCCCTGCCGTACTTCCATCCATGTGCGTTTATAACCCACACTCTTTATTTAATGTTTTTGCAGACAGAGAGAATGTACATTACTTTTCACGGTGCCACAGAACTCTTTATCTTTTCTTTTCCATTTTTTGGACAGCAATAAGCTAACATGACTGACTGTCCACAGTAAATATATTCTGAGGTATTAGATTTTCAATATTTTACTTCCTTTACTTCCTTTGGTCCCCAGTGGTTCTTACCTGTGCAAATCTGGATTGGGACTGGATAGTCAAGATGAGATGTACTGCTATGTATAGCCCTAACACTGATGTCAGAAAGTCATTAAACAACAGTGGTCTTGAATAGTCAGGGTCAAGCTATTTTATTTATATTTATAAAAGCCCTGGCTCATTAAACAATAACAAGGTAGTTACAGATATATATAGGATAGGAAACAATATTAACTCCATGACACTTTGCCTTGGGTGGAAAGTTATTCTGACACTCTCCCCTCTTCGGTGTGTTTTAATTTGTTGGAAGTCGCCCAGAGTGGTTGGGGTAACCCAGTCATATGGGGCGGCAAATAAATAATAAATGATTATAATTGTAATTTTTTTGTATAAAATATGTACAAGAGATTCAGGACACATATAGCCCGAACATACACACACACACACACTGTAGCATGGACTTCATTCAAGTATTCCTAAATCAATACTGGGTTAGCAGGGTAATCTCATAGAAATTCCTCCGTGTACAGTACCCGTGGTTCAAGGGTTTTAAGATGTCAGGAAATTGTTCATTAACTTACTCTGAAAAATCCTGACGGTCTGCTGTAGGATGTTCCACTCAGTTTGTGTGGGGAATTGGTCACCTTTTGGGGTCTTGCGTGCGGCTGAGTGTGACCTAAAAGTCCCAGTGCTCTCCCATGGCTGCCGTGAGCAAGATACCTTTTCACAGAAACTTGCCCACTGGCATTGGCCTCATCACTGGAAAGGAAGGAAAGGAAGGCCTCATCACTGAAGGAGCCCCTGAGATTCCAAGTAATCTTATGGCTTTCCTAATCACAGTTTGAAAGTAACTGTCTTCTCAGTAGGGTGTTCTTTATGTAGATATGTTTGGATGTTGGGAAAAAAGATCTACAAATAATGGTCCATCAAAACAGTCTCATGATTAGCTGTTAGAGAATTGGCCATCATCTTATGGTTGTTGAGTGGCAGATAAACTAAGCCAGCGGTTTTCAATTAAGTGAAATACTGAAGAGAAAACAAACATTATAACCAGGAAACAATGGAAGGAATGCAAAGGAACCAATGGAAATACTCTAGTTGGCCTGTCCTAAAAGTTCATTCATAAAAATGACCTATCTTATTTTAGAAGGATGTGTGTGTGTCTTTACTAACAGCTAATAAGTTTAGCAAAAGGCAGTAGGAAGTTACTGCTAAAATAAGAATTAGAGCTGAGGAAATGTTTACATTCAACGCACGGAATCTGGCAAGCCGTTCCACGTATCTTGAGGGAAGTCTGGTGGTATAATAACTGTGGCTATTCCAAGAGTTGATGTTTTTAAGACACCTTCTAAAAAGATTAAATCAGGTTTTCCATTGCTGCTGTTGAGCCAGGAAAAACAAGAGTGTGGAAAAATAAAATTTAATGGTCCTAATTATAACTGTTTTTAGGTTTTGCTAATCTCTTGATGGTTGATACACGTGGCAAAGCAGCTGGAAAATGGAGCAGATGCTTAATAGTACTAGTAGTAATAATTTTAAAAAAGGTAAAGGATCCCTGGATGGTTAAGTCCAGTCAAAGGCGACTTTGGGGTTGCGGCGCTCATCTCGCTTTCAGGCCGAGGGAGCTGGCATTTGTTCACAGACAGCTTTCCGGGTCGTGTGGCCAGCAGGACTAAACCGCTTCTGGCGCAATGGGACACTGTGACAGAAACCAGAGTGCACGGAAATGCCGTTTACCTTTAGTAGTAAAGGCATGCTTTCCCCAAGAAAGTAACGCAAAAAGCCTCAAAAACAAAAGCGCAAAATAAATAGCAAAAACAAAAGCTCCAAACTTAATCCGTTCCTGAAGTCCATTTGACTTCCAAAATGTTCAAAAACCAGCTTCTGATTGGTGCAGCCGCACTGGAAACAATAGCCAACAGCTGCATCGGATGTTCAGCTTCTGGAAAACATTTGAAAACCGGAACACACACACTTCGGGTTTTCGGTGTTTGGGAACCAAGGCATTTGAGAACCAAGGTACCTCTGTACTTGGGGGCAAGCTGATAAATTTCTCCTCCCTTAAAACGCTGGCATATAATGCAACTAGGAATTGGTAGTGGTGGTGAGACACGTAGGGCTGGGAGAGACCACTGTCTGTAACCCAAAGAGCTACTGCCAGTCAGTGTAGGCAATACTGAGATAAGTGCACCAGTGTCCTGACTAGTATAAAGCAGCTCTCTCTGTCCTTTATAGGGAGAGAGTCATAGCACCATTGTGGAAGATCTCAGATTCAGTCCCCCGCTTCTGCAAGTAGGATTGGGAGACGCTCCTGTCTGAAGCCATTGTGAGCCACTGTCGGTCAGTGCAGTCGATGATTCTGAGCAAGATGGACCAGTGGTCCCTGTACAGGGCGGCTTCCTGCACTCCAATGGGCCCCGGCCATTCCCTTCCAGCTTAGAGCTTGTAAAGCATGGTTAAAATGTGCTGGCTTTCTCTGCATCCGCACAGTGGTTGAAGTTCTAGCAACCTAGCAGGTACAGAAAGAAGCCAGTGAATCTCAGCCAACCCTCTCCAGCTTGGAGCCAGTGAGACACAGAAGAGACTGGCCTTTGGTGGGGAGCAGCGGGGTGGGAAGGCAGAGGTTGGGTTTGGTACTCTGCTTGCATCCAGGGAGCTAGCACAAATGACAGGCTCCCACCCTTGTTTGGAGCTGCGGAGGAGATTATTTACTCCTCCAACACTGGGAGGAATGACTTGAGCGCATCTTGCTTGCAAGATAGCAGGGCTGTTGTCCAGCCCCTGCTTAAAAGTATATTTTGAATACATCACAGGCATACACATTTAATCCACTGGGCTTCTTGATTATCTGCATGCTGCACAGCATCATTATGACTTGGTTTTCGTAACTCTTAATTCTGTCAGGCAACCACTGTCAGAACTATTTTTCCAATTCTCCAGTTGCATGGCAAACTAATCTGCATCTTGTAATCACATGTGATTTAAAGTGAGTGGAGCTTGAATTAACTCCAAATTGGTCTTGTTGCATAGGATCGTCCCCGTCGCCCCCAAGTGCTATTTGAAGTATTTAGATCAGAATTGAGGGTATCTAAAAAATGATGCTTAAAAAAAACCCTGGAATGTTTTCTGTTACTTAGCTGAAAGTCAAAACCAATATGGAACAAGTAATTCACCCGCCTTCCATGATATGAAGAACTGAGGAGAAGTTGTTTTTGTTGGAATTCTGCCTGGGTCAGAGGAATGTGCCACAGCGTAGGCACCGGCAGATATTCCTGTCGACCTCCCCGCGTCTCCACTCTGCTGATAAGCAGGCGAGGTCCGGCGATTCTTCTCAGATGTATGAGAGGAACACACCGTTCTTCCTCTCTCCCCTTTGGTGTCCCCAGGGAGGGAAAAAAAGCAGACAGAAAACTATTTACATCATTTATTTCTGCCTCTTACATCAGTACAGAGAATCATGTCTGCACTCAACAACAGCAAGAAGAAACTCCTCCCAAGTACATCCAGTACGGGTCATAAGACACACACACACTGAGCTAACATCCGGTGCTCAGTACAGAATGGACTGCCCCTTTGTTCCCATGGCAACAGTCACAAACATCCTGTCTGGCTTTCCAGCCACAAGCAGCTGGCTGAGCTGCTAGAGCCTTTGCTTGCTGCAGCATTGGTGCTTTATGGTAACATACTCCCCTAAAGTATCAATGTGTGCCGCGAGCAAAGCGTCATCCAGAGAAGAAAACAAACAGTTGTTATATTTATAACATTCCCCTGTTGTGTCAGTTCCACCCTTGGAACTACCCGCCACTGGTTTAACCAATGTACCTCTCTGGTTGTCTGGCTTCCAAGGAATGAGTGCTTCTGCATTACCTTGGCTAGCTACCCTCTGTTGTGTCTTTGTCTCTGACGTAGACACTGCTTCAACCTGCTTTGAGTTGTTAACAATAGCAACACATGCAACAGCTAAGTTAGCAAACTCTTTTGAGTACCTCTTTGGTGGTACACCCTTTGTAACTCTCTCAGACCTGCGTATGAGGTTCTGATCTTCTGTGCTCACTGGTTCAACCTTTGGACTCTGTTGAGAACCAGTAGCAATCAGTGGTTCATCCTCCTCTTCTGAGGGTCTAGTCATTATGTGAGATTTCCTCTCAATGACTGTGACAACTGAGCTGTCTGAGCTATCGCTGTCATCATCAGTACTACTGAACTCAATAAGATCAAACTCATCATCATCATCATCATCAGAATCGTTTCCTGTGGGAAATGTCTGTACTATCCGCTCTTGCTTTGGAGCACTCTCTAGGAACTTTGTGAGAATCACCTGACCAGATTCAGACAAAATTACTCTGTAGAGACCTTTTTCATAACCCACAAAAATGCCTCTGGCATTCTTTACACCACCTGGAGCTTCTGTTCTCACATGAGACCCGAAAACCTTGAAATAGGCAACAGAAGGTTTTCTATTGAACAGCTTCTCAAAAGGAGAACATCCCAACTCTGTTGAGACCTTTCTCAACCACACATGAAGATAGGACGCTAGCGATTCGGCCCAATATTCATGTGGCAAATGTGAACTCAGCAATTGCGCATTCATCCCCTTTTGCAATTCTTTGTTCACTCTCACACAGACCCCCCTGTTCCACGCTTCTTGCGAGACTGCAACTTTGTGGTCTATCCCTTTTCCATCCAGGAACTTCTGAAACTTCTGCAACAGAAAAATTTGCTTCTCATCTGTGAAAAGACAATCAATGTTAGCATCATGCATACTTTTAACCTTGTCACAAAACTCCTGAAACTTTTCTAAAGTTTCTTGCGGTTTCTCCATCATATAAACCCAAGAATAATTAGTGAAACAATCCACACACAAAAGGTAAAATCGTGCACCGCCTCTAGATGGTTCTAGAGGACCAATCACATCAGCATACACCCGCTGAAATGCTCTGTCGACCTTCTTGGTCTTAGTCACCTTCCTGGTGCTCACACTGGTCATGGTCGCCCCTGCAAGAGAGATTTCGTTAGAAACAGAAGAATTACATTTCATGTAATCACTTTGATCAAAAGTCAACAAATACAGTCCATCTTTCTCTTTGGCAGTAAGAAACAGTTCTCCATCTTTGTAGATCTTGCAGCTTTTAGCATCATAGGACAGTTTCAGTCCTTTCTTTGCAATCTGCGACACGCTCAGCAGATTAAATCTCAGTTCTGGAACCAGGTAAACATCACTTATAGTCAAGTTCAGACTTTCAAGATACACAGTCCCAATTCCAGTTGCTTTCAACTCCTGACCGTTGGCCTGTTTCACAGTGAAGCTTTGCTTCTTCAACGTCGAAAATAGTTCTCTGTGCGGGCACATGTGAACCGTTGCGCCCGTGTCAATTATGAACGAGTTCCCAACATCTGGCGTGGTTCCTTTCGCCATCATAGCCTTTGCAGGTTTCACCTGGCACTTGGTACGGCTTTTGCCTGACGCCTGAGGCTTCGTAGAGCTGCTCTTTGCTCCTCTTGACTGGCGCGGCTTCTTACAGTTTCGCTGTAGATGCCCAGTCTGTCCACAATTGTAGCATCGGACAGCACTCAATGCTACACCATGCTCTCCAGTAGCATCAGCAGTGGGGAATTAGAACTCTGTTCTTCCCTCCCCTGTCTTTTTCTTCCAGTGCAGCAAGTCTGTCGTGTTCATTCAGGACCACAGCACAAACTCTCTCCGCGGTCAGCTGCGCGGCCGGTAGGGAACCAAGCTGACTGGCAACAACCTTGTAGGTGCGGCTAAGGCTGTTTATCATCATGAAGCAAAACACTTCCTCCTGAAGACGGAAATTGCGTTCCACCATCTGTTGACGCAGAAACTTCATTTCTGTCAGGTGCGCTTGAACATCTCCATCAGGCGCAAGTCTCAGATTGGTCAATTTCTCAAAATACAGCAACGCTGAAGAACCAGCATCTCTCTGATGCGTTGTACGCAGTGTGTCCCATACCTCTTTCGCATTTTCTAAATGCTGAACATGCACCAACTGATCATCTGAGACACACAGAATTATAGCAGTCCTGGCCCTTACATTCTGTGACTCCCAACCTCTGGTTGGTGCTGCAGGGATGGGGTTTTCAATTACATCAAAAAGCCTCTGATTCTGCAGCAGGGCCTTCATCTTTACAGACCAAGATGAATAATTGTCATTGGTCAAGGGAGGTGGGCAAGGCAAACCTCCCCCTTTCTTGGCATCCATCTTGAAGCCAAGCCTCCAGCTCACAATGTCAAACAAACTGTAAAATCCAACAGTTGTTTTTTTTTCTTTTCTCACGCAGCAAACTGCAAATTGTTTACGCTCTTTGCACCTGGCAGCTAAACGCAGGCTGCTATTGAAAAGTCCCTTCCAAGAGCTCGTAAACCTTGTAGCCAAAACATTCTCTGGTTTTGTTTCGCTTTCCCAGGCTTACACTCAGAGTCCAGCCCCTTGCCAGTAACTTTCCAGGACCGTTGCCTAGCAACAATGCATTTCAATAGGACATCTTATCTACCACAAAAATTTGTGGAATGCAGGCTTCAGCCTTCAAGCTGCAGGCCTCTTCCTCCGGAGCTTTTGTTTTCTTTGAAACGCAGCTCCGTGAACCAGGGAATTAATCTTCCTGCGTTCACACTTTTAGCCCGAAATGCAGCATACCTTGAACTTTGTTGCTCTGGAAAACACCTCTTCTTTCCACCAGCTGTCTGTGGAGCCTCTGGCTTCTTTCAGACGCTTCTCTTCCTCCTTGGAGCAGAGGAGGACAATCCACCAGCCTCTCATGCAGATGTCCGATGAATCGCAACCATCCGAAGGCTGCCACTGTTGGAATTCTGCCTGGGTCAGAGGAATGTGCCACAGCGTAGGCACCGGCAGATATTCCTGTCGACCTCCCCGCGTCTCCACTCTGCTGATAAGCAGGCGAGGTCCGGCGATTCTTCTCAGATGTATGAGAGGAACACACCGTTCTTCCTCTCTCCCCTTTGGTGTCCCCAGGGAGGGAAAGAAGCAGACAGAAAACTATTTACATCATTTATTTCTGCCTCTTACATCAGTACAGAGAATCATGTCTGCACTCAACAACAGCAAGAAGAAACTCCTCCCAAGTACATCCAGTACGGGTCATAAGACACACACACACTGAGCTAACATCCGGTGCTCAGTACAGAATGGACTGCCCCTTTGTTCCCATGGCAACAGTCACAAACATCCTGTCTGGCTTTCCAGCCACAAGCAGCTGGCTGAGCTGCTAGAGCCTTTGCTTGCTGCAGCATTGGTGCTTTATGGTAACAGTTTTTTCCATTTTAAATAATTCATGTTTAAGGCTAAGTCTCTGAGAGATGGGAAAATGAGATTGTAGAGCTGGAGAAGGACAACAGAAATGATCATCTGGTTGGACTCTCCAGTGGGGAAAAGATACTCACATTTTTTTCTAAACTAAGAAGCCCTAAATGTTGTAAGGTGGGACAACATGACAGCACGTCTCAAGCTTGTACAGCTAAGGTGCACAAACACCCCTGACCATATGTGGCAAATCCATTTGTGGTACTCTTAAATGTTCAGTGAGCTCTTTGTGATCCTCAGTTGGAACGCAGTGTAGAAAAATATATTTGGGTTGCCCTGGGGATCTATGTGGAGGCAGAAAACCAGCAGTTCTTGCTTTTCTATTTCCACAGAGCTTATTATTACCAGTTTAATATATTCTTACATTTGAGTTTCTGTAGGTTGAATTAAATAAGAGGAATGCCATTTCCAAGTAGGGGGAACTGGACTGAAATAAGATTACTTTGGAAGCCATCCTCTGAAGAAAATGGATGAGGACATTCCATTATGTGATGGTCTTAGTTCATTCTGTGAGTTCTGCTAGATTAGGTGGGTATAGGTCAGAAACTCTCTGTGGTGAATGTTTCAGTCTACACCAGCTTGAAGATTTTTGTGTGTTTGTATATTGTTCTAGGATGGTTATGTTGTTTTGGTATTTTGCCCAGATGCTTTATATCAGGCTGGGGCTGATGGGAGTTATACTCTGTCAACGGCACAACATTGGCTATGCCTGTTCTTAACTATCAACAGAAATACACCACCTTCCGCACATCATATTGCTAACTCGTCTTTGCTGGATCTGTTATTGTTAACTATTTGTTTTCATAAGATGGAGAAAGCTTTCATATTCTAGATACAGTGGTACCTCTGGTTATGAACTTAATTTGTTACAGAGGTCCATTTTTAAGCTGAAACCATTCTTATCCTGAGGTGCGCTTTTGCTAATGGGGCCTCCCGCTGGCACACGATTTCTGTTCGCATCCTGGAGCAAAGTTCACAACCAGGAGCAGCTACTTCCGGGTTAGCGGAGTTCGTAACCCGAAGCATTCATAACCAGAGGTACCACTGTACTGCTTTCAAACAGGTAGCAAGTACGGTTACTTGAAATGCATTTAGCAGTCTGCGGTCTGCACAGGAGCCAACAATCCTGCCCATGTGGTCAACAGGGAAGTACGGTACTTACTCAAAAAGAGCAGTGAAGGCTAGGTAATGGAGTGTTAAGGCTTATATTCTAGGATAGCTCAGTTGGTAGAGCATGGGACACTTAATCTCAGGGTTGTGGGTTCAAGCCCCGCATTGGGCAAAAGATTCCTGCATTGCAGGAGATTGAACTAGATGGTCCCTTCCAACTCTACAAGTCTATGAGTCTAGGCTCATGCATGTGGCAAAACAAGCTTATGTGCTGAGAAGTTGTAATAATGCAACACTTACTGCCATTTCCCATTCAAGGTTCTCCTGGCAAGCTGGGACTTTCATAATCGCACATGATGATAGACACAGCCTCCCACTCCCTCCAGTGTTTGTAGTGAAACCTGTGTGTGTAACAACCAATTGAGTACCGGGAAAGTAAATTTTGGAATAAATTGCTTTTTTGAAAAAGAAGAGGCAGAAGAACCCTTGGCTTCTGCTCTCCAGACTCCTTTGTAGCATTTTCTTTCACATTTTCTCAATATTATTTTTATAATACTCCTTCTTATTTATTAAATTTGTCCTTTATTATGTTATGAACTGCTGCTGCAAGGCATTTATAGGCTGTGAGCAAATTGCTGGCTTAAAGACAGCTTAGTCGTTCTTTTTCTTAATTCAGATTGAAGCTGGTTTGGGGGTGGGGGAAACGTTTCAAAATGCAAGATTTCGTAAGAAACAACAGGATTGATATGGATTGTGGCTAAAGTAATGCGTAGACTCCTTCCAAAAACAGTGGCAGGGGTACACTGGATGCCGAGTAAACTGGCGTGTGTGCACAGCCTCAGTTGCCAACAGAGTAATCTTTTGTGCTGACTTGGATAACAGAGCAGTCATTTGGCGCTTCAGCGCTGATAAATGGTCAGATCTCTGCTTATGTCATTCGCCATCGGGAACGAACGATACCACTGTCTCTCGCATCTTAGAATTCCAGTGTCTTTTTCAAAACAAGCTGCTTGGAAGAAGTCTCTGTTAGTTGCATACTTTTCTGCATTTGATGCTTTGCAGCTGGCGGCTGAGGTTAGCTCTGTGACCGAATTCTTGTTTGTGGATGGCATTTTTGTCATGAATTCAGATAAGCAGAGGCCAACAAAGACTCCAGCTCCTTAAATGCGCTGCCGGGTGAACAAAAGCCTAAATCCTTGGCATCTCTTTAGAGAAAGTGCTCCATTTCTTGAGCACGGGCGGGGGAGGTGGGGAAAGGGATTCAATTCTGATGGCTTATACTCCTCCCAAGAGACTTACTCTAAGCTGTGCTGGAACATTAATCAAAACATTTATATATTCCCCTTTCTCTTACTCTGCTAATCACTTGTGTGCTGTGTTAGATCTCAACACATTTCCAACAAATAAATAAATCTCATGGAGCTAGCATACCCAACCCAAGAGACTACATCTGTGTCTAAGCATGACCTCTAAAATAGCCAGGAATACAGTTTTTAAGATTATCGTGAGTGTACAAAGGTGCAGAGAGGTGTTCCCAGTGGCTGCCCCATAACGTTGGCATTACTTTTCCCTGGAGACACACCAAAACCTGAATAATCTTTCGAAGGCTGTGTTCTGTCAGGGCCTAGGGTCTGAGCCCATGATGGTGAAGTCAGCAGAAAAGTGTTCTAATCCAGAATAAAGATAACCTCTGATTAGAATTCCCAAACGTGGGCAGGTCTACGCAGAAGTTTGGTTACTCTCAAACATAAAGATTATTTTTCCCCAGTATGAAAGTCCAATACAAAACACACACACACAAACACAAACACCTGGCAGAAGCCTACCCCTTTGTTCGTGTGAAGAGAAACTACTTTTGCCCAACACATACAACTAGGGGATGGGGGGCAACATTTTTTAAAACCAAACATAATAATTGCCCCATCCTGTTTTGAAAAGTAATACACTACAATGCAAAAATGGGGCTCCAAAACGCTGTCTCTCCTGTGGATAGCTGCCCTTATTCAGCAGTTGTACACATTCTCACAGACATACACTGTAGTGCTGTGTGTAACAGTCAAAAGACTTCAATAAGCTAATGCAATAGAGAGAGTATGCTAGATCCAGGCCAAAATAACATTTCCTGTCAGTGCAGTTGAGCTAGAGAAGAATTCTGTTCTGTTTTGTATATCAGCAGCAGAAGTTCTAACTGGCTTCCAGCTTTTTATTTTGAGTTCACATGAAGGGTGACATGTGAGCCAGAAATAATCCAGATGGGCTCTGCATAGAGAGGCTAAAAGCAAGGGGAATAATATTTGCTTCTTAATAATCGAGTCAGTTTGGAAGGGAGCATCTGAGGCAGTAAACATGGAATGCCGGCTGCATCAACATCCTTCTACAATTTCAAATCCCACAATTCTTTGAGTGTATAAAGTTTTTTTGATGTAAGATGAATCAGCAAGTGTCTCTTTAGATCTCCACTTTAGAGCAAAGTGAATATTCTGTCATAAAAGCACATTCAGATATTTGAGCATGTGATGTTGTGGATTTATTCTACAAATCAGCATACGAAGTGAGAGCCCGTCCCGTTCAGACTTTTCATCAAGGGAGTGCCTCTTATTTTACTTCTTGTCTTTCTCTATCTGTTAGCTGATTAAAGCAGACATTTTGTAAAATCCTTCAACTGTATTACATATTATTAAGGTCTACTATAAAATGTCATCTCTTTGGCATTTAAAAGTCTACAAGCTTACTTGTGCATAATTATTCTTCCATTGTGTTCCAGGATATCACCTGGCAAGATGAACACTCTGCTCCTTTCTCCTGGGAAACCAAGGTAATTTCGCTAACTTATGTTATTCTCATGTTGGTTCACCTTGGAAGTTTTATTAAGCCTAATTGACACTCCATAGTTAGGGTTATACCATGCTAATGGTAGTTTAAAAGAAGAGTAGTTTTTTTCCCTTGCAGTTAATGTGCAGGCCATTTAATATTGTGTGAGCTCAATGGATATCACTTCTTGCAACGCTATACAAAAATGGATATTGATAATACTGCATTGCAGCCAACCAAGTCAGAGTTAGGCCCGCTGAAGTAAGCATAATCCCCTGCTTTATTCTCGCAAGAACCATGCAGGGTAGATTAGGTGTGGGGCTAACCAGCCCAAGGCCGAGGAATTTCATGCTTGAGCAAAGATTTGATCCCAGATCTCAAAGGGCAAAGTCTAATACTCTCTAATGCTGTTATCTACAGTGTCTAGCTCTCAAAACTGGATGCCATTGTGTTCAGTGTGACTAGTTATAGCTCTTAGAACAGGCTTCCTCAGCCTCGGCCCTCCAGATGTTTTTGGCCTACAACTCCCATGATCCCTAGCTAGCAGGGCCAGTGGTCAGGGATGATGGGAATTGTAGTCTCAAAACATCTGGAGGGCCGAGGTTGAGGAAGCCTGTCTTAGAATGTGCTCTTTGAAATCTAAGTAGTTCAGCTATGGTTTAGAAAAAATGTGTTTGGCATAGCTGGCAGCCTGCTCGCAACTTAAACTGGTGCAGCATGGTGGTTAAACTGGCAAGTTGTGAACAAGCAGGGACCCTGGTTTGAACTGTACCTTGGGCAAGCCTCTCCCTCCCTCTGCTCAGCGGTCACAGTAATACTTGCTGCGCTTTACCGGGCTATAAGGATCACTGAGAGAATAAATGTGGAGAGCTTTGGGCATTCAGGAAGCAGCATCTAAATGGCAAGTATATTATTATTCCGTGGAAAGACTGACCTGGAAAATGACTGCATAATGTTGAGGATGTGGGAGGATAGAATTCATCTTGTTTAAAGGTCCCTTTAATGGGATTCTTTAAAATGGAAAAATAATATAGCTCTAGTTGTAGACTCCTTTTTGCTGTCCTTCCTATGAAGCTTCCCCCACTCACCAAATGGAATAAATTTCTGGTGTCACTTTATAAATATGATGTTGACAGCAGGTCGCTGGAATGCCAGGGAATAAATAGTCTTTATGAAAAGGAACTGACTTCAGTGGGGGTGGCATTCAACTGAGTTTTATGCAGAGTAGACCCACTGAAATTCATGAACATGACTACGTTAGGTCCATTAATTTCTGACTGAAATTTAATGAGTGCCACCCTGGGTTTAGTTCTCAAAGCAACTTACACCTTCAGTGAAAAGATCACCTGTTTGAGCTTCCACATGTTGTTTCCAGGTTGCCACCAGCAGAATGTAATTGCTTAAAATTGCCTGATATAGCTGGAAAGAGGTGGCCACAATTCTCCCCAAATCACCTGTTAGTCCTGTTCTGCACTTTGCAAGAGCAGATCGCCACCGGAAGGGTGTGGATGGGTGGTCACAAGGCATGGGAAAGCAAAGGGTGGAAAAGGCCATGCCTGCCTTGTTTTGCTCCTTCAAATCAGGGCATTTGAACTCGGCATGCATATTCTCCAGGTTGCAATCTGCCAGCCCACCTTTGAACATTTGTTATATACCACTGTTGTAGTTGTGGTGGTGGGGGCGGATTGAGGACCCCGAAAAGCCACTGAGTGTGAAAAGTTCTGCTCTACCTTTCTTACCTTTTTAGGTGGTACTTTCCATTTATACACCAAGAGTTCTTTTTTGACGTTTCTACAGAATGCATAGTGTAAGAGCAGGCATAAGGAGTGCCAGTATGTCCTATTCCATTTTTGTTTCATTCCCTTCCTTTGCCTTTTATAAGCAGCGATATATATGTAGCTCTGTGGCTGATGCAGTTACTGTTTTTATTTTTATATAATTGTAGAGTTGGAAGGGACCATGAGGAATCTCAACCAAAGCATCCATGACAGGTGGCCATTTAACCTCTGCTTAAAAACCTCCAAAGAGGGAGAGTCCGTGGGAGTCTGTTCCACTGTCGAACAGCTCTTACTGTCAGAAAGTTCTTCCTGATGTTTAGTCAGAATCTCCTTTCTTGTAACTTGATTCCATTGGTTCCAACCCTCCAGAGCAGGAGAAAATAAGCTTGCTCCATCCTCAACATGGAAGCCCTTTAGATAATTGAAACTAAACATACACAGGCTAAACATACACAGCTCCTTCAAGCGTTCCTCATAAGGCTTGGTTTCCAGTCCCTTGATCATCTTGGTTCCAGATTATCAATATTATTACTTAGATTTCTTACCAGCCCTTCACAGTTAAACCAAATCACAATCAAGAGAATAGGTTAGATCCTAAAATATCTCTCTCTCAGGGGTCAAAGACCAGAGTGAAGGGGTATATTATCTATATACAGTGGAGACTACATAATGGAAGGCACCAGAAATTCCACAGAGAATGTCCTCCCCCGAGCTCCCTGCTTGAATTGAATCCATTTTGCTTGGGGGAGGACGATGGCACAAAAGATCTCCAGTTTTGGAGCCAAGCTTCACATTATAAGCAGTTGCATACTCCTCCCCCCCTTGAGAAGCAGCCTTGGAGAGTGCAGCCAGGAGCAGAAAAGCAGCAAGCGAGGAGGGTCTCCTGAACCCCTTTCCCCCTTCATGCCAGCCTGGTCCTCCAGAGCATGCCAGCTGTGTAGTTCTCACACAGCAGGGCTTGGGCTGCAGCAAGTCATGACCCCAAAGCCATAATTTCCTACAGCTGTCCATATTTTGGGAGCTTGATCATGTTACTAAACCAACACGTTCAAAAGAGAGCTGGCCAAAGATAGAGCCGTTTCTTTGTTTTGAGAAATGTTGGAATTTTTAATTTATTTCTTTGCTCCTTTTACTGCAAATATGTTTTTGTCACTCCTGCTTTCAAAACATAATGCTTGGCCTACCTGGTTGTTAGCTGTGGCTATACATGTTCAAAAATATGAGCAGCGACGTCCCACAATTTGGGGAGATTGGTGTAGACTGGAGGTTTCTAAAAAAGATGAATGACACTGAGGGGGTGAAATGGAAACATTGGTTTTGGCTGTAATTCGGGCCCATAGCTCTGTGGGAGAGCATGTTCTTGGAATGAGGCTTCAGAATTCAGTTGCTGCCACTTCCAGTTAAGTAGCAGGACCAGGAAATTGACTTAAAACTCTGCATGAGAGCTGCTGCCAGTCAGAGCACACTCTCCTGGGTCAGATGGATGAATGATTTGATTTGGTAGGAAGCACCAGTGTATTGAAATCTTTTCCTTCTTTCAAGTTACCATTTCTCTCTGGGATGCAAGCTTTTCTCTGATTTTTGGAATCTGTTTGAATTCCCACATGTGCAAAGCGACTTAGCTTCCCCAGTACTATTGCCCATTTTTCCTGGCAGCAACTTGCCTCGATATGGCAAGAAGCCATGCAGGCAGTGGTATCCAGTCTGTGTGGCGAACATTAGACCAGTTCACAGCATGTGGAGGCAGGGAGGCAGTCTCAGCCTGGCAGAAACAACCCTTAGATTCACATGAAAGAGCATCAATAGCTGCACATCTCCATCCTAGTATCACCTCAGTGCTTATCCGCTGTGCTCACATTCACACAAGGAGACAGCATGGGACGGGGGAGACTCCCAACACCCAGTTAAATTTCTGGATCTGAAGGCAAACAGCCTAAGGAGCTGCAGTATCATCTTATTTGTAGTTTGAGTCGGTGGCTCAAACTGTCTGATGGTCTTAAGTTCCCTGAGTGGCCTGCATATAAATGCCTGAAGTGATTGACGAAGGGGTTCTTCATTGTTGCGGCAACTATTTGAGAGCCATTGTGGTGTAGTGGTTAAAGTGCTGTACTAAGAACTGGGAGAACAGAGGTCAAGTCCCCACTCGATCATGAAGATCAGTGAGTGATCTTGAGCCAGTCACAGTCTTTCAGGTTAACCTACCTCACCGAATTGTTATATAAGCATAAGAGGCAGGGGACAGAACCATGTCTGTCCCCTTGAGCTCCTGGGGGAAAAGGTGACATAAAATTATAATAATAAATGTAATGAAATACAGTCATATCTTGGTTTTCAGACAGCTTAGTTCTAGAACGTTTTGGCTCCCAAACACTGCAAACCCGGAAGTGACTATTCCAGTTCACGAACTATTTTTGGAAGCCGAACGTACGACAGAGCTTCCGATAGGCTGCAGGAACTTCCTGCAGCCAATCGGAAGCCGCACTTTGGTTTCCGAATGTTTTGGAAGTCGAACGGACTTCCGGAACGGATTCCGTTCGACATCCAAGGTGAAACTGTATGGAGCTAGCAGCAGGTCAGAGGCTATTTTGTGTACTGTTTCAGTGATGCATTGTAATCTTGGTTTTGTTGAAGTTCTAAGGTGCAGGGTGTTGTGTTCTTTGCAGGAAATCCTCATACTTTAGTGGTTGTCCAATCAGCTGAGACTTAGGCCGCAATCCTAGACACAGTTACGTGGAGTAAGTCCCACTGAACTCTGTTGGGCTTACTTCGGAGTAGACACGTATATGATTGCACTGCAGGTGTACTCTTGTCAGTCAGCCAACTTTAGGTTCCTCTCTTCCATCTCAGCAATTTTGTTTCTTGAAATACTACAGGTTGTGCTTAAAGGAGTTTTGAGTGGGTGTGGTAAGCTCTTGTCCTACAGGCTTTGTTTCAGTATTTGCCGGTGGGTTTTTTCCTTTTTCTATTTTGAGGTTGCCAAGCCAAACAGCTTGTTTTGGCTGTGTGCGCTATCTGCTTAACGAAATACTGCACATTCCCAACCAGTGAATAAGCTATAAAAATAACTCTGTGAATTCTTGTGGCCTTCTCTGTTTTTAGTGCATAGTTGAGAGCTGGTTAGCAGAGATCCAGTTTTCATTCAGTTTGACGGGGAGCCAGCCTTCTAATTCAACACTCGCCTGGTTGCCTAGGGCATTTGCCACCATTTTGCAGTGAGGGCAAAAGAAGCTAGCCACAGAAACCTCTCTTGAGAACCCTGGCACAGCCTCCACAGCCTCCTTTCTAGCCATTAGAACAAAGAAAGCAGACTCTGTGGCACTCCATGTTTCTGGACTGCAACTCCCATCATTCCTGGCCAGTGGCTGTGCTGGCTGGATCCAGTGGGAGTTGGTGCCCAACAACATCTAGCATGCCACAGGTTGCCCAATCCCACGTTAGAGTTAGCGGGTGTAAAATACCCTGAGAGTTTTATTAAAAGGTGGTATAAAAATAATTATGAAATCAGTAAATAATTATTAAGTGGGACATAAATGCCTTAAATAAATGAATGCAGTAATAAATGGTTGTAGATAGCCAATACTGGAATAAGCCTTTCATTAATGTACAGTGAAGTGCAAAACCAAGAGGTCAGTTAGTCAGATCCTGCTGTTCTCCCCTCTGTCCACAGAACCTGAATTGCCTTGGGGTCAGGGCTTTAAAAATATTGGCAATTCTTCATTGCCAGCAGTGGCAACTGAAGCCCGTTGTGCCTTTCCATTTGCACTGGGTCACCCATTGCCAACTTGGTGCCCTCTGGCTGTTTTGGACTATGGATCTAAATCAGCTGCCTTGGGAATAGGCCAGAAATATGAGAGGGAAACATGAGAGAAAGGGATAAAGTTGTGGATGAAATCAGTGTTTAGGCAGATTATTTTGAAGAAGACCAGAACCGTGACCTTGAATTTTGTAATTTCAGAACTCAGCAATATAAAGCTTTGGGTCTGCCAGAGCTTCCCTACCCCATAGTGTGCAGAACCCCAGACTGCCACTGCATGGAAGTGCTCCTGCTGGTCAGTTATTCTAGTGGGGAAAAACCTTGCCAGGCCGGAAACTTCATCGCCCAAGCCATACATTACGTCCTGCTGCTTGAGCACATGGCCAGAAACAGGACATGTGGTTTGTGTGCTTTCAGTTTGGAATATCTGGAAGCTGTTGAAACTCATTCTGCCAGGGAACTAACTCATCCACTCCTTCCCCCTCTCTGTATGCTTTGTTTCACTTTTTAATTTTATTTGTTTCTTTCTTTGGTCTCTGTTTATGAATCGCTTCCCATAAAATATCTCAAAGTGATTTCAGAGTAAGAACATCAACGAGAAAAACAATTTCTAATCTGGTATGAGATAAAGATACCCACTTAAGAGGCTTCCTGAAGAAGGAAGGTCTAAATAACAACAACAACAACAAAAACAAAAACACCAACACTTCTTATACCCCACCCATCTGGCTGGGTCTCCCCAGCCACTCTGGGTGGCTCCCAACAGAATATTAAAAACACAATAAAACATTGAACATTAAAAACTTCCCTAAACAGGCCTTCAGATGTCTTCTAAAAGTCAGATAGTTGTTTATTTTCCTGACATCTGATGGGTGGGCATTCCACAGGGCGGGCGCCACTGCTGAGAAGGCCCTCTGCCTGGTTCCCTATTCTATGTTGTGAACCGCCCTGAGATCTACGGTGGTATACAAAAGGTGGTATACAAATTCAATAAATGAAATAAAAGTAATTCAATAGGGGTCAGAAAGACAATAGAAATGGAACTCTGGGAGGAAGTTCCAAAGGGTCGGTGCCACCACACGAAAGACCCAACTCCTATTTCTTACATTAAAGGCCTGAAAACTGATCAAGCTGTTACGTACTAAGAAGGAACATTAGTGAAACATAATAATGCTGGTGGGATAGGAAGCTGGCTTTGCAAGGGATAAGATGATGGGCAGCGAAAAGGTCCAGCGTTCTCCATCAGGTAAACCTAGACTCCAAAAGCAAAAGTGAGCCTGGTTGGAGTAAAAGTGGAGTTGGAATGGGTGTGTCTCCTCTCCTGCCTCCTCTCATTCTTCCTTGAAGACCATCTTAGAATTTCCCCATTAGCCGAGCAAAAGCTGGGCTTGAATTGCCTCTTTGCCAAGAAAACACATCATTTGGCCTCTAATGTTGCAAGCCACTGGCACAAGTTTTCTCAAGTTACTTTAAACTGGGGATGACTATCCCATGGTCCTCCAGATGTTGTTGGGCTCCAACACTCCTCATTCCAACCAGTATGGCGAGTGGCCAGGGATGATGGGCATTGTAGTACTACAGCATCTCAGGAATCACACGTCAGTCACCCTATGCTTTAAGCTATATCTGTTTGTTCCTGCATGTTCTCAACTAGGGTTTGAGCAATTGTGGAGCCAGTCAATTCAAGCATGATGGAGAGTGTCCTGATGTTCAGACTAGATTTGAAACCTGAATTGCGTAGTAATGCGCATGGCCACCCTTGCGTAGGAGTGAAATTGATTACCATCCAAATATGTTTTCTCTGTTATGTGTGGTGTGTTTTTGTTTGTTTGTTTCATGCCCCTTTGTGATAGTTCCTTTAATGCTGTGTACTTCTTAGATAATTATGGGCCATTCGTCAGAGGAAGCTAAATCTGTAGTATCTGGTATCCCATCTCGTAACAGCTGCTTGACTCTTCGTTGGGCCTAATGGATTGCATCTTATAAGCAAGTGCATGGCAAATCTGTCTTATTTGCACAGTTTCTACAGGTTGCAGAATCCCCCTTTACTTGGCACAAAACCTAGACTGTGTTTGTGCTAACCGTCAAAATTGTGTGCCCATCCCAGATTCTGCCCACAGCTTACCTGCAGCAGGCAGTAAGTAGAGTGGTACCTCGGGTTAAGAACTTAATTCGTTCCGGACGTCCGTTCTTAACCTGAAACTGTTCTTAACCTGAAGCACCACTTTAGCTAATGGGGCCTCCCACTGCCGCTGCGCTGCTGCTGCTTGATTTCTGTTCTCATCCTGAAGCAAAGTTCTTAACCCGAGGTACTATTTCTGGGTTAGCGGAGTGTGTAACCTGAAGCGTCTGTAACCTGAAGTGTATGTAACCCGAGGTACCCTGTACCAGGTAGCTGTGGTGCAGTCTGCCAGATCCTCACCCATAACCTCTAAAACAGCCACCACCACCCCTCCATAAACCTCTCCACTACGTGTGTTTTCTCATGCAAAGAGAGTTGGCATTAATTCTTTCTAATCCCCAACAGAGTCAGATGGAGTTCAGCATTGCTTCTCTGTCCATACAAGAGCCAAGTGCAGTGGCATTGCAGAGCGAACCAAAGCAGACCACCAAAACCGCTCCAGGGCCCCCAGCCCCCAAGCCCGCACAAGGTGCTAAAACGCCTAACTCAGAGGGGCTTCTGCCAGCTAGGAAAGAGGAGGAGTCGTCATTCTGGAAGATCAATGCTGAGCGCTCGAAGTGTGACGGAGAACAGTCTGAGTTCTGTTCTCTGACCCCAAGCCAGATCAAGTCCATGGAGAAAGGAGAGAAGACCCTCCAGCCTTACTACAGGCAAGAATCTGGTCCAAAAGAGGCAACCAAAGCAGAGAAGCCTAGTGCTAGCAAACCTGAAAAATTGACCACCCCCGTTCTTGCTGCAACCTCAATAGAATGGGAAAAACCTCAACCTGGCCAGCTGAGTCCTCCTGATGTTTGTCCTGAGCCAGTGGAAAAACTCTCATCAACTGGGACCAAAAGTGAGGAGGCTGATAGTGGTTTCCTTTCAGAAGTGCAGGTAAAAGCTGGTCTTTCATCCCTTGCTTTGTCTATTTGAGTGCTTTGCAAAACAAAACAAAAGTCCACCCTTCTACAAATGTTGTTCGAGAAGATTAGCAGTTCATACAATTCTAAACACTAAGCTTGTTTCTTTTTCTTCTGCCAGTTAAATCCAGCTCCAACATAAATGCTAATGCATTTTCAATATGTTTTTAATATACAGTCGTACCTTGGTTGTCGAACGCCCAGGAACTCGGATGTTTTGGCTCTCGAATGATCGAAACCCGGAAGTGACTGTTCTGCTTTTCTAACGTTCTTTTGGAAGCCAAACATCCATTGCGGCTTCCGCAGCTTCTGATTGGCTGCAGGAGCCACGATTTGGTTTTTGAACGTTTTGGAGGTCAAACAGACTTCCAGAATGAATTCCGTTCGACTTCCAAGGTACAACTGTAGATATAGTAGCCACATTTGCCATTTGAATTGTCTGAAATCCTGTATGTGTCCCTGCATGACTTGGTTTAGAGCAGGGAAGTGGAACCTTTGGCCCTTCAGATGGCTAAACTACAACTCCCAGGAGACACAGCAAGCATAACCAGTGGCCAAGGATGGTGGGAATTGTAGTTCAGCAGAATCTGGTAGGCCTAATGTTCCCAGCACCTGGTTTTGAGGTTTAGTTTTTCTGCTAGCACGCACACACGCAACCAGAGATTGAAATCTTCCTCCCCCAAATCCAACCCTGTAAGTTTTTCGATGCGAATTTCGAATTCCATAGCACTACTTGCGGTGACGGGGGACTCTGATGCTCACATGTATTTTTGGGTGCTTTTATGGGGTTTGGGTTTTTTGTTCTTGTTTTACAGTGTCCATGTAATGCTATCAAAATGTCAGCTACCCCAATTTAATCTAAATTTATCCTTTCTGGGGGAAATCAAAAAACGGGGTGGGGGGAGGATCTGTTTCCCAACAACCTGCTTGCAATATTAAACCTGTGCCAGGAAGCACCTTTTATTGTATATAAGTGTATGTTACTGATTAGGGTTAATTTAGTTTCAATGATTTAAGTATTCACTTTGTCTAATTTTTGTGTCTCTGCAGAGCAATGCAAATAACGTTATCTTGAAGACCGGATTTGATTTTCTAGACAACTGGTAAAGGACCAAAATAGCTTCAGCTCAGTTTTGGAGGAAGAGAAAAGGAACATCTCTCTTCCAGTCTACTTTATTTTATTTTATTGGTATTGGCTTCTATTTGATCTTTCAAACTAATATTTTTTCCAACTGTTTTAAATGTTGCCTTTGTATTTACACTTTTTTGTAAAACCATATGGATATTTGTATTTTGGAATTGTCCAGTGTTAGAAATATGGTTGTTTTTCTTTATGATTCTATAGGGTGAATTGTTATATTGGAGATGGGACAGGATACATTTCCTAATTAGTGTTATGTGTTTTAAGGACAAGGATTGAGGGATCAGAGAGAGAGAGAGAGAGAGAGAGAGAGAGAAGTTGAAGCCACCCGACAGAGGCACCTATTTTCATTTCATATACAAATTAAACTACACCTTATGGGCTGCAACATAACTTAAAGAAAGCAATTTATGTGGAGATGGTGCAGCGGCAAAACACCGTAGGCCTAGGTTCTGCTGAAGCACAAAGCTCAAAAACCAAAATTAATCTTATCTGTTTCAAATAAACTACACAGAAAATTAAGGCTACAGATTTTTACACTTTATTTTTGTATAGGTATGTTTAGTTTGACCAACTTATTTCTAATGCTGATATTGGTAGTGTGGTATGAAATATTTTCGAAATGGAAAAGCTTTTACAAAGGAGGCTGTTCAAACCAGCACCATAGCTGTACTTGGGAAAATAATTTGCCTAAATGCAAAGCCAATGCGGAGAGGGACATGGCAAGAGAGAAGACAAAACCCCACAAATACATTTCAGTGAAGCTTCTCTTCTCTTTTATCTTTGAAAAATAACTCGGTAAGAATATTTTGGGTGAATACAACCTTGCAAAGCAACTGATTCTCTTGAGACCTCTTAGCATTCCTCTTAACAGTGGCATTGCACACCAATCTGTAGGAGTGTCAATTGCCTCTTCCCTGTCCCTCCCGCAAAAGAAAACTCTACAGTAATCCACCATGTTTGAAACTTGTAGGGTGGTCAAATTCAAAAGAGGACAGGAGTCCTACATCCTTTATTAGTTGTGTAGAAGAGGGGATTTCATCAGGTGTACCTTGTATGACAAGGCGGTCAAAGGTGTTGGCATTCTGTCCTCTTGAATCCAGCCACCTTATCCGAGAGGTTTTTTTAAAAATTGTTTCAGTAATAATAATAATGGTAGTAGTAGTGGTAGTAATAAGCTTCTCTTGAAGGTATCTTGACTAATTTCTGGTGCTGCATCCCTTAGTGAGGCTAGAATTCCCAACATGTCACACCCACACACCCTGATGTGCTAAGTTTTTGTTAGTTGCTTTTTTTTAAACTTGCAGAGAGCTATTTATATGAGGGTTGGTCATTCAAAAACGACACCCCTCCACTATAGCTTGAAATTATACAGTCCAATCCACCACCTCAGGATTGTAGCACCTCCTTCTTTCTGCTGCATATTTAGACCAGGCCTCATTGTTGTCAGCTATTTAAAATGTACGTGTGTGAGTAAAACTGCCGCCTGACAATGCGTTGTGGTTTCCCATTTTGCTTCAATGCTATACCTATCACCTTCGAGCCTTAATTTCCCTTTACGCACAACTAGTGATCTGTCCAATCCAAAGCCAAAGGTGACTGACGCTCTGATTTTAAATTCTTGCAATTAAAATCCCAATAACTGAATTTCTGGAGTATTGACCCAAGGCGGTGGTTCTTTGTGCCAACTCGTGGAGATCCCACAAAGTTTGCATCGGACTACTTCTGTAGGACAAAAAAAGCAAACCTTACATCCTCTCTTTATTTTCAGTGCTTTTTCTAACAGCACTTGCTAGTAGCCTCCTCCGGGTAGCTTATCGCAATCTTGAGATTTCTGTTTGCTTGACCTCACACTAGTGTATAAACTAAAACCTGAAAATTCCTCTTCATCTACATAAGCTCTACTTCAGTCCACTTTCTGTACATCCAATCTCCTGTTCTCTCAATGTACTCTGCAGGAAACATAGAAGAAGTCTCTTCATTTGGTTTGATTAATTAATTAATCTAAGTCTTTGTTCCAAAGACACGTCCATCTGTGTTGCTATGGAAAATAAGAAAATATGGGGGAACACTAAAGGAAATGCTGTTCCTGTGTCCCCATCTCTCTCTCACATGGGTGTTTGTGGTAAAACAGCAATGTAGGCAGGTTAAATATGTGCATCTCTAAACACTCAGATGCACACTCCAGAGCTCAGGATAACTTGTGGCATCTTTGGCGATGCATCTCTCCATCACACGGTGTTTACCGTGGTAGCACCTGTCATGCTGTGTCGCTGTGCTGCCATGTTCCATGTGAATTGACTCTTGAGTAACAGGCAGCTTCCTGACACTGCTAGTTATTCAACTTGGGATACTGGCAGTTCAAAATGGCAAGAGGCTGAAGAGATTTTTAGCAGAAGAAAGCCTCTTGAAGTTCTGGTAACAGTTTGTGAGTGATCTATTTACAAGTTTTCTGAGTCACTTTAATATTTGTAAAATAAATTCAGAATGGTTTTTTAAATTAGAAAAAACATTTGGTATTTAAAAAGCAACAAAACACTATGATTGAGCACAAGTTCTACATGCATGAAGGCATTTCTGATTCACATTTTGGCATTTGAAAGGGAATATTTGCAATCTTATAAAAGCTGAATAATGTGAAGTGTGACTTTTTTTAGTTCAGGTCCTCTTCTCTGTGTTGACAACTTCAAGAAGCAGATATTTTCAGTTTAGCAGACAAGTAATGTCACTTTCCATATTTTTTTTGCCCATGAAAGAGAATGCCCTAAGGCCTAGAGAAGCATCTTTTTAAAATCTCTGCTTTCATGCACTGACAATGGATAAACGGATAGGATCTGTGTTATTTTCTTCTTCTGTTCTCTTGTTTTGGAGTCTTTCATCTTATACACTTAGGGTTTACTTCCTCTAAAGTGTTTGTACACAGCCTATTCACTACAGTGAGGCTAACTCAGAAGATGTTGATAGATTGTACTCAGTGCAACCAGCCAGCAAATGTCTACTGCAGAAACCTTTACTCTCCCTTTCCCTTTACTGTGCTTTGATGGCTAAATCGGATGCTTCTCCCTTTCTTAGATATGTTTTTACTGAAGTTCGTATTCAAAATACTTGGTCACATTTTGTATAAAATTACTTCTTAATTAAAGGCACCTGACATAAACCAGTTTCATTGCCTTTATTGATTTGATGTCCTTGCCTCTTCCTCCTTGACTGTCATGGTTCTGACATTTTGGTATGGGCTTCATCTGCATTATATGTTTACTTTTATTATTTTTTCATAAAAATTATTCCCAGCTGATTTTTTAAAACAAAACCTTAAAGCGGTTCACAAAAAAGAATTTAAAGCAGTATCATACCACTTGGCTTCCCCCAGAGAATCATGAGAACTGTAGTTTGTTAAGGTTGCTGAGAAAATTAAACATTACTATATTGGTTATTTGTTGCAAATCTTTGCACAAAATTGACTCTCATGGGGGTGAAAGCTGGTTTTTACCATGTCAGACAAAAATGTTTAGATCTAGAATTGTTTCTACATCTTGAGCTTAGAGTGCTAAAGACTATTCCAAATTCCCAAAACTAGAATCAAACTTGTGCCCATCTTGTGAAAATTGAGTATCTGTCTATCAAACTTGTCTAACACCTATTATTATAAATTACCCCCTTCTCTTCCTGAAAGGTATTTCATCACTACTTGTTTGGGCCAAGTCTAAGCATAAGGGAGCTCTACATTTGTAGAGGGGTGTGTCTTTTACAATACTGTATTTTTCCATGTATAAGATGCCCCATATTTTTTTTTTACCCAAAATTGAGAAATTAAGTTGCTTAGCTTTTGGGGGGCTAGGGAAGGTCACTTCCACCAAATGCTCACCCCCCTGCCCGCCACTGCTGATCGCACACCTTGATGCAGCCGCCTTATCTGCCCACTCATTGCCACCAAAGGCCACCCGCCCACTTGCCGCAGCCACCAATTGCCTGCCCACCTCACCACAGCTGCCAATTGCCTGCCCATTTGCCACAGCCAATCGCCAGCAGGCCTTGCCGCAGCCACCAAATCACCCGCCAAATCTGCGTTCACTACCCATGTATAAGACAACACCCAATTTTTGCCAAAATTTTTTTAGCAAAAAAGCATCATCTTATACACGGAAAAATACAGTAATTCTCCATTTGTATCTTGCTTGTCTTTCATGGAGCCCATAGGAGATTCTCTCATGATCTCCCTTGTGGGTTAGCAGCTGGATCTCTTAGCTGCAGAACGAAATAACATCATCTGCCTCCAAACTACTATCCTGTAGTTCCAACTTTTGAGTCATAGTAAAATCAAGAAGGTAAGTCCTCTTGCTTTATAAGATCACGAGAAAGGAAACAGGCTCGTCTTCGCTTACTTTTCCTCTGCTCATTCCAAGCCTGGCCTGCTCTTTGAAGCTCAGTGGGAGCAAACAGCAATCCCCGGTGCTGTGCGAAGTAGCGAATAACATCTTAAGCGGCGGAAAGACACCAGACTCATGGAAGGAAGCCTATATTACATTAATATCTAAGCCTAACACACATAAATTAGATATGAAAAACTATAGACCAATATCATTATTAAATAATGATTATAAATTATTTGCGGAAGTAATGGCCAACCGTCTTAAGAAATGTTTAAGAAACCTTATCCATACAGATCAAGTCGGATTCTTACCCAATGGACAATTAAAAGACAATATAAGACATATAATTAACATCATTGAATATCTAGAGGCCAAGAATGAAATATCTGTGGCACTAATTTTTACTGACGCTGAAAAGGCCTTCGATAATGTATCTTGGCAATTCCTTGTAAGATGTTTAGAAACAGTAGGGATAGAGGGCGCCTTCCTGGAAGGGATAAAAGCTATTTACTCAAGCCAGAAAGCAAAATTGATTATTAATAATGATTTAACTGATTATTTCGAAATTTCAAAGGGTACGAGACAGGGGTGCCCTCTATCACCTCTTTTATTTATAATGATACTAGAAATTATAGCAAATAAGATAAGAACAACTCCAGAAATACGTGGAATTAAAATTGGGAAAAAAGAATACAAACTGAAAGCATACGCTGATGATCTGATGGTATCATTAGAAGATCAACAAAAAAGTGTCCATAAGGTAATAGAATTGTTAGAAGAATTTGGAAAGTTATCGGGTTTTAAGTTAAACAAATCAAAAACTAAAATGATGACGAAGAACATGGAAGAAGCTATGAAAAACCAGCTAGAGGCTAAAATTGGAATTAAAGCGGTAAAAAAAAGTAAAATACCTGGGAATTAGGCTAACTATGAAGAACATAAATTTAATGACGGACAATTATGAAACAGCCTGGAAAGAAATTAAAAAAGATTTAGATATATGGAACAGAATAAAATTATCATGGTCAGGAAGAATGGCCGCAATTAAGATGAATATACTTCCAAAGTTGTTATTTCTATTTCAAAATATTCCGGTGATAAGAGGAAACAAAGTATTTAAAGATTGGCAGAAAATTTTATCTAAATTCATTTGGCAGGGAAAAAGGCCTAGAATTAAATTTAAATTGCTTACAGATAGAAGAGAAAGAGGAGGTTTTGCGGTACCGAATTTGAAACTGTATTACGAGGCCTCATGCCTCTGTTGGATTAAAGAATGGATTGTAATAAAAACACTGACCTACTAGATTTAGAAGGCTTTAACACCAGATTCGGTTGGCACGCATATTTGTGGCATAATAAAGCAAAAGTACATAAAGAATTCTCCAGTCACATCATTAGAGGACCTCTGCTAGAGGTTTGGGAAAGAAATAAAAATCTTCTTGAAAGGAAAACTCCCTGGTGGTTATCACCAATAGATATTTTAACAATTAAAAAAACAAACATAGAAGGTAAGAGATGGACATATGAAGATTTATTGGTGAGAACAGAAAAAGGTTGGCAGATCAAAACGTATGAAGAACTAGGAGATAAATTAACGAGTTGGTTACAATTCCATCAAATTAATGCACTGTGGACAGAAGATAAAAAGATCGGGATGAACGAAAAAAATCAAGATTCCAGATAGAAATACTGGAAGGAAACTCAAAACTCTTATCAAAAATGTATAATCAACTGTTAGAATGGGATACTAAGGACGAGGAAATAAAAGAAGTTATGGTGAAATGGGCGATAGATCTTGGATATAATTTGGAATACAATAGTTGGATTAAGCTCTGGAATAAAGATATGAAGTTCACTGCTTGTGTTGCCTTAAGAGAAAACATGGGGAAAATGATGTACAGATGGTACATCACATCTGTAAAATTAGGAAAAATCTATAAGAATGGAGATAAAATGTGCTGGAGGTGTAAAAACAAGGAAGGTAGTTTTTACCACATGTGGTGGACTTGTGAAAAAATCAAGAACTTCTGGGAGCTCATTTATAATGAACTAAAAAAATATATGTTTAAATATACTTTTGTTTAAAAACCTGAAAATTTTCTTCTGGGAATGATTGGCAATGAAATTAAGAAAGAGGACCAGACCTTATTCCAGTACGCAAAAACAGCTGCTAGAATTTTAATCGCCCAAAATTGGAAATCAACCAATATCCCAACAGTAAGAGATTGGCAAAGTAAATTATTTGAATATTCAGAATTGGCAAAATTAACACAAAAATTAGAGACCAGAAAGAAACAAAGTTTATTAAAGAATGGAATAAATTCATAACCTATATTGAAGTAGATTAAAAAATCCAAAGATCACAGTAGGCTTAATATAACCCTTCGACATACAAAAGTTTTAAAGAAAAACTGCGGGGGGAAATGTATTACATAACCCAAAACTGAGGTGGAGGGAAGTCAATAACTTACATGTTTGTCTTTGTTTTTTCTTCTTCTTATAATTAAGTTATGTTGTTCTTATTATTGTTTTTTTTTGTGAAGAATTTATTTTCTGTACATATGTGTGTATATGTATGAAAATTAAAAAAGAGAAATTTTTTTTAAAAAAATCCACAGAAGACCCGAATTGACATTTGCTCTGATTGAGCGCTAAAGACCGAGATTTTGCAGGGAAAGCTCCAGGGCAAAAATCCGCCACAAAAATGCTCTGACACAGACCTGTGCCTGGAAAGAACAGGGCAAAGTATGGATGAGCCCAAAGCTGTGCAAAGCAATTCAGGTTGAAAATGTTCAACGACCTTGAACGGTGCCCAAATAATAATAGCCAGGCACAGAGTGGTTTGATGCAATCTTACAGCATTTTCAGATGATCACTATTTTGTGAGAGGGATTCAATCACAGATTTAAGTTGCTCGATTGATTAAAGCTGATTTGGAACTGTTCCCCCAAATACTGGACTTCTGGGATAAGGAAAACGATGGGGAAATGCACTGGGAAAGTGATAACACTTGCTTTGAGATGTCATCTAGCCTCTCCACAGATAAATCGGAATGAATGCTCTTTAAGCAGGCAATGTTGTCTAATCTCCCTGCAAGCAAATCAGAATGGAAACCTAATACAGTGGTACCTCGCAAGACGAATGCCTCGCAAGACAAAAAACTCGCTAGACGAAAGGGTTTTTCGTTTTTTGAGCTGCTTTGCAAGACGATTTTCCCTATGGGCTTGCTTCGCAAGACGGAAACGTCTTGCAAGTTTGTTTCCCTTTTCTTAACACCGTTAATACAGTTGCGACTTGACTTCGAGGAGCAACTCATAGAACGCGGTGTGGTAGCCTTTTTTGAGGTTTTTAAAGACTTTGGTGATTTTTGAAGCTTTTCCAAAACTTTCCCGACACCGTGCTTCGCAAGACGAAAAAAATCGCAAAACGACAAAACTCGCGAAACAAATTAATTTCGTCTTGCGAGGCACCACTGTACAGTGGTACCTCAGGTTAAGTACTTAATTTGTTCCAGAGGTCCGTTCTTAACCTGAAACTGTTCTTAACCTGAAGCATCACTTTAGCTAATGGGGCCTCCAGCTGCCGCCGCCGCTGGAACACTATTTCTGTTCTCATCCTGAAGCAAAGTTCTTAACCTGAAGCACTATTTCTGGGTTAGCGGAGTGTGTAACCTGAAGCGTATGTAACCTGAAGCGTATGTAACCTGAGGTACCACTGTATGTCTTCTGGAAACATCCTTGATGACAAAATCCCTTTAGATCATATGATCCCCCTGAAGTTTCTACACGACATTCTATGACAAGTTTTAATCCACACTAGTTGCACTAGCATACCGTACTCTGTTTGACAGATTGGTCCATCCATCTGAGCTTATAAGAAATAAGAAAAAACAAGGTTAAAAAACAGTTTATAAGAGAGGCCTGCTGCAATTAGTGGAGTCGGCAAGGCTAACTTTAAAACATGTAGGATTCTCTTCTATTGCCTATAAATAGAACTGGCTAATTCTTTACTTGAATTATTCTACATAAATACCCATCCATGAATCCGTATCTCTGGAATCTAATGAAAATAACTTCCTTGGTCAAACTGATCAAATCATTCCATAAATTTCCATGATGAAACCCAGACAGTGCACTGCTTACATCAGGAGGAGACACAGAGTTTGTCAGCTTAAATTTGTTAGGACTTTATAGTGCAGTGATTTTAAGGACAGGTTCTCCAAAGCCCTCCAATATGAGTCAGTTGCATTATGAGACTACAGAGCAGTCGGGTTCTATGTAGATAGGGCCGGTAGGGGTTTGAGAAGGGAGATGAGCCAGAAGACGAGATGAGAAGGGGGTTTGAGAAGGGAGATGGTGGGGCAGCACTTCTTCAATCACTGGCATCTCCTGTTAAAAGGATCAGTAAGCAACTGATGGAAAATACTTCTGCCCATCAGAATGGACAATACTGGACGAACGTTCTGACCTGGTATAAGACATCTTCCTATGGCCCTTTCTAAAGTCTGGTTCATTTCTACACATCAAGGTTTATCAAGTCTTTGACAACTCCTGAAAGACGGATGTCAGGGGTTCAGGGAGAGAGGCACAGGGTAGGCAGGAGATGGAGAGCGATGGGGATGAATTCCAAGCCAGCGAGGAAGAGGATGACAATGACTCAAGAGATTCCATGAGTCTTTCCAGCGAATCAGAGGATTCCCAGAAGGGGCGCCGGTGGTCAAGGCCAGGGAGCCCCAGGGGGACGTGTCAGGAGCAGGGGGCCAGCGGAGGATCCCAAAGTGGCAGCTGGGCGTCAGGACCAGCCTCCCCACCAGAGTGCAGCGAAAGGGGTGGAGTTTCCAGTGTGTCAGAGGAAGCAGCTCCGGCAGCAGAGAAAGGAGGGAGGTCAGAGCAAGCCGCCCTCCCGGAAGGGGAGGGGAGCAGTGAAGGGAGTAGTGTAACTGTCAAGAGGAAAGTTAGAGGTTTGGCGCGCGCGCCTGGTTCAAATGTAGAGGCGCGCGGAAGTACAGGGAGCCCGGAGGAGGGGCCAGGTCCCAAAGCCCGCAGGAGGGGAAGAGCAGTCTGATTCCGCGTCAGAGGAATCCAGGAGGGCGAAACCCCAGCGGGCAGAAGGACCCTGCGGAAAAGGAAGGAGAGAAAGAGGTGGAGCAGTGCAAGCCTCTTAAATTGGTGCAGGGGAGGGACGGATTCAGAGGGGACTTCAGCGGTCTAAGCGTAAGAGACGTAAGGCTGCGCGCCTAGGATGTCAAGCAAACAATGAACTGCAATAAACACCTTTGTATATAAGAAGACATAGGCGTTGGTCTTTTGTGAGCTGAGACTTGAGGCAGCCTTGACAACACACAACAGCTTTTGCTTTGGATGCTGAGAAACAAAGCTATAGCAAGATGAGGCATGAGAAGGTATCAGCCAGGAATGAGGGAGAACTTTGATTCAGTTCACATATAAAGGTGAATCTATCTGAGTTACACTTTCTGAAGCAGTATGTGAACTCAAGAACAGCTGCCCTTCAAAATTTGCACTTAACCAAATTTCGTGGGGCAGTTCTGCAGCCAAACAATGTCTACCAACGTGTACATATTAGGCAAAAGTGCACTAAAATGAATATATTAGTGAAAATAGCATGCAAAAATGTAGTCCTCCAGGTATTGGCGGACTTCCATTAGCCCCAGCCAGCATGGGCAGTGGGTCAACTATGATAGAGGTTGTAATCTAGCAGTGTAAGGAGGGCCCTGGATTCTCCACCCCTAGATGTGCGACCATTTGGGTGGTAGCTTTGTTTACAATTTATATCAATTTTGTGTGAGTTAATTCAGAAGCATCTTCACTCTTAAACTGAATATACCTTGGTCTATATTTCAAGCCTGTGATGAACATCTGGGGGAGGGAGGAGGATTGTTTCCAAAAACATTGCCTTCTCCATTTTTATTTATTTATTTGCCTTTCTTAAAAACAGCACCACTGGTTGAATTACTCTACTAAAAAAGAGTGCCACACATTTCCACTATCCAATAAGGCTGAAATTACATACTGAAATAAAATATTAATAACAACATAATACAGTGGAGAAGAGATTTGAATAATCTCAATGCTTCTGAATAGCCAACTGAGAACAAAACCACTTTTCTTCCAAGCTATTAAATGGATTGTGGTCATAGGATTGAAATAATAGTTTATAGGTTTATTTAATTTCCCCTTTTCTTCCTGCTCAGCAATTTTAGAAAGCTTTTTCCATTTTTGGATCATTTTGTAAATCAAACAAAAACACATTTACAGCAGGGACGCCAAGTGTCAGCCAGATGCGAACTGGAACTTCTTACAAAAGATGGGGCATGGGGTCAAGAGAATCCAGGAAAGCTGTTTTTAGAATGGGGAAAAAGCCATCTTATTTTACATAATACAATTAAATCCCCTAATACAATGTCAATCTGCTGTTGCTTCCACTTTTAGAAAGACTTGAAAATATGTGTAACTGCCCATCTGGCAACCACTTATCCAAAAAAATAGCTTTGCATGTTATGGGGGGTGTGTGTGTGTGTGTGAGAGAGAGAGATGTACTTCTGCAATGTCTCTTCTAGCACCAAATATTGTAGCCTTCCTCATATGTAGTCATATTTAGCTGTTCCAAGCAAAAACAGTTTTCTATGGGGCTTAAAGACAATTCCACCCAAGAGAAATCCTGGTCACGGCAAATTAATTTAGTTGGGAAGCCTTCTTTCTGCAGGTTTGTTTATATTCACTGGCAAAAGTTCAAATAGCAATGCCAAGAAAACTTAAGTTTCCCCAAAAAGCCTCAGAAGCAAATAGGTGCTATTAGCATCTGTAATAAAATTGTATAACTGTGCTGATTTTGCATAAGCATGCTGACTTGAATATTTTATTCAGTGACCCTGACATTTGATGAAGTTTATTGTCAGCTTTAAAAAAAAATAAAGAACAATTAACATGACTGTTCACTTGGAGTCAAATGGATATTGACTCCCACTTTACCACTTAAAGAAACAGCAAAGAGATATTGAGAGGTTGCTGGAACATGAGGAAACAACAACAACTACCCAATTTAAATTTAATAGCGCTCACTTGCAGTGCTTCCAAAATGTATTAGGCCCCTTTAATGTTTTCAGCCGTGGTACCCAAGATTTGGAAGTCTGCCTGGCTTCGACACTGTCCATTTTGATTCTCTCCATTTCTTATTTTGCCCACCTTAAATTCAGTTCTCTGCATTTCTGCAGCAATTTATGTTTGTTTGTTTTAAAAAAACAATCCTCACAAAAATTAATCAGCATTCCAGTGCAATTTTTTCCTAATAAACATGTTTGTATGTAGTTTTGATTAATGTGGACATGTCTGCAAGCCATTTCCCCTAATACGATGCATCTGTATACAGTGGTACCTCGCAAGACGAATGCCTTGCAAGATGGAAAACTCGCAAAACGAAAGGGTTTTTGGTTTTTTGAGTTGCTGCGCAAGACGATTTTCCCTATGGGCTTGCTTCACAAGACGGAAACGTCTTGCAAGTTTGTTTCCTTTTTCTTAAAACCGTTAATACAGTTGCGACTTGACTTCGAGGAGCAACTCATAGCACGTGGTGTGGTAGCCTTTTTTGAGGTTTTTGAAGACTTTGGTGATTTTTGAAGCTTTTCCAAAACTTTTCCGACACCGTGCTTCGCAAGACGAAAAGAACCGCAAGACGAAAAAACTCGCAGAACGAATTAATTTCGTCTTGCGAGGCACCACTGTATGTTATTTTCATGCATAGATTCGTTTCTATGCACACTTTCCCCTAAGATATGTATATTCTTTTGTTAAGCATTGTTTGTTTGGAGAACTACGCGGCAACATTATTTTGCTTTAATGTTTTGTGCTAACTGGCTTTCCCCAGATAATAATAGATCCTTGACAGTTGTGTTAGATGAGCACAAACAAAAATAGAACAATAAGGTCTATCGATTACTAGATTCTTCAGAGCTGTTATGAATCTAGCTATAAAAAGCCCTTTTAAAAACAAAAACCAAGGAAGAAGACAATTCTGTACGCTATTATTACAAAGAATATGCAGACTGATGTTTTTCAGCATAGGGTTGGACCTGGTGAAAGCTCTCTCTGTTAGGGTGAAAACAGTTTGCATCTTCCCCAAACGATCCCCTGTGCTCCCTTACAGTGATGTTTTTATTTCTTCCAGATACTGGAAATTTTAAGCACATAAAAGCTTCTTTTCTGAGCCAAGGGAAGCAGAGTTTCAAATGTTTGATCAAAAACAGGTGCAAGCCTGCTTGCCTTAACAAAAGGCTTTCAGTCCACTGTGGATAAACACTTGGCGGGGGTGAGGTGAGTGGAAGTTCAGTACAAAAAAGAAAGAAAGAAAAAGGAATGCAATGTTAAATTTTGCATGTCAAAAGAGAGAATCAGGATTTCAGCAGCTAATTTGAGTAGTGCTTGACATTACTATTTTTAAAAAGTGTTTTAACTTAGGAGCAGCGTGTGTTTTGGAACACATAAATCCTCTTGTTTCCTGCAGACTCAGCCAGGCGCTCACAGCTGAAGCACACAACTGTCCTTTTTGCAGCAGCGGGTTGGTTTATGCAGCCCTCATTGTGGCAGATAGATCATCCAACTCGTTCCACATGAGCAGCAGAACCAGCAACTTTTCAGAATGGAGCTCCAAGCCTCCCCAGTGTAGCACACATCCACCATGTACAACACTGGTTTATAAGATGTACTGGTACTGGCCCCAGAACCCTTTGCATTGTGATGGAGCCAGGGGGTTGAGGTTGCACCTCTGAATTTCATCTTGATGTAGCCATGCTAGAAGTAGAGCCCAGATTTCCACACTATTTGTGGCATGGAAGATTCACTGTGCAACAACTGGAATCTGGTAGCGGTGCCCATTAAATAGTCACACAAATACCACGTCTGATGCTATGCCAAGTAAATCGGGAATGAAGAATCCGTGACCCCGATCTTATTTGACTCCAGTTTCCATCTGCCACTGCTGTCATGGCCCTTGGTCAGGGCTGATAGGTTTTGTAATCCAATGACAGATGGAGGGCCATAGGTTCCCCATCCCTGAAGCAAATTGTACATTACAATTTTGCTTCCAAATTAAGTTTGTGCTATGTTCCAAGTCTGGTTTGGTTTTTTTTTGTTTTTTCTGCATAACCTGCTGCCAAATGTTCATTTGTTCTGTACAAGCTTTTGAAATTTGCCCACTAGTACTTTTCATTTATTTTTACCCTAGGATAAGCACACAGTTCTTCCATACAGCAATATCAACATATAGAGGATATTATTCTGACAGGTCACTCTTAATCTGACCTCCTTTCTATTTCAGTTACACTTGTCCTCTAGGAAATGAATCAGATCAGTATTACGAAATGGAAATTCACTTCTCTCTGGCACCAGGCAATCTGTTTTCAAGCTAAAATGGTCTCAGGCAATACAGCTATTATCTGTCTGCAATCTGTGTTTCAGAGGTCAGTTAATCAAGGCGTAAAGGCATGGTGAGGTATTCATAACTTTGATATTTCATCCTTTGGACCTGGGCCTCATGAAAGCATGATGGATAAAGATGACAAGAATTGTGGGGTTCACATATCCATCTACTGTGAAGCCCAAAATAAAGAGGCAGCTTTTAATGGCCTAGCAGAATGATGGACTTTTGCTTTCCTGTAAACAAATTAGAAGGAAATCCTTCCATCATACATCTCCCTGTCTTTGTGGAACTGGTAAAAGGAGTCAGTTGAGTGATATAATCAAGATACTGTCAGGGCTAGTGTTACCATCAGGCAGTCTGAAATGGTTGCCTCAGGCGGTGGAATCCTGGAAGGATCCAGGAGTGGTAGATTCTGCTGCTGCGCCTGCTGTTTCTGAAGCCTGCAGCCTTGGTGCCAGTTTTAGAGGCGGCCACGACAGCTATTTCTCCAGTTCCCTCTGGTGTTGAAGTGGCCACTGTCTCCAAAATGGCACCGGTGCTTAGGCCTGGGACTTCTGCTCCAGCTGTGGCCATTCTCTGCCCCAGCGGCAGCGCTGAGGATGGAGAACAGCAGCAGCTGGAGCAGAAGCAACGCAAAGACCAAGCCACAGCTTCTTCAGTGGTCTTCTGGCTTCCAGCTCACCTGATTGGTTCACCTCTTGCTTTTGGCTCTTCTGATTGGGTCTGTTTTCCCAAGATTCCACCTATTTTGTGTTTGCTGCTGCCAGGAGCAACAAGGAATTACTTTTGTCTTTCCATTGTCTTGCTGCCATGCTGCTCTCCTGCAGCCATTTTGTTCCATTAATGTAAATTTTGCTGTCTGCTGGTTCTCAGCCAGCAGCACATGAGTTCAGTCTCCATATGAGACAAACTCACAATTTCTTCATGTAACTACCAAGTAAAGCCTGCCTTTCAGGGATCATATCGTGAACTGAAATGTGAGTAAACTTTTTGTTACTTTACTCAGAAAGACATTTGTGTCTTTATTCTTTTAAGAGGGATCAAAGGGGACACCAGGAAATAATTTAACTAAGAGATTCAAACGAATCTGCAAACTAGCTTCCAGCTATATTAAGGGGAATTTGCTCTGTTACATCACTCACTAGCATGTGTTAAGGATAATATTTATTCAATATATCCTTTTCTACTATCCTTCACATTCCCACATGTCTCACCCCTGGTTCCAATACAGAGAGAGAATTACCTGGACTTCTTATTCTTGTGGTTCAGGGTGCAGTGCTCAGTTCTGTTGAAATGACAAAAAACATTTCTTTTTCCTCGGTTAATGTATTCCACAGCCAGAGCTACTGAGCTTGGTGGGGACAATTTAGCACCTGTTAAGTATTCAGTGTCCTCAGGTCAGGTTACATTATTTTTGCCAGCTTTATTGGGGGGAGGCGAGCTACAGAGTAGTGTGTATTGGAGTTGTTTTTTAGGAGTCTGGTTTTCTGCTTTTTCCAGATAAAGCCATTTTTCTTCCACACCATCGCCTCCATCTCACTAAATTGGCAGGGGGTGTGCCATTGTGTGGTTTGCCTCAGGTGCCAAAATGTCTTCAGCCAGCCCTGGATGCTGTTATGGGGCTCTTTGGTTGCAAGGATAACAGAATGCCAAGAAGAAGAAAGAGTTGGGATGAAGAAGAAAAAACCCACGGGAGATCATTTATTCTCTCTGTTACTTTAAGATGAACTTTTACCACCAATCTTGATGAACGCAGCAGAAATCTGCTTGACTTTCAGTCCTCTGGTATTCTAGACCTGGAGTTAGGAAGGTTGCATTTGGCTGCTTTGTTATGTTGTCTCTGCCAAGAAAGCACAATGCGCCTTGCAAAGCTGGGTGATAGCTCCTGATGCACAGCACTCCTGTCCTGATTTGTTTAGAAACAGGAACAGCCAAGCCCCAGGGGCCTGCAAAGAGGAGTTAAGTGCAGATGAGCTAAGGAGCTCCAGCAGGGTACAATGACATATTTAAGGTTCTGATACTATTCCAGTTCTTGCTTGAGGAAACCAAAACTACATTTGTAATGCCTATCTCCTTGAGGAACTTAAGAATGTGAGCCACGCAAATGAGAGGGTCACAGAACAATGAAAAAAGAAAGCCAGAATCAGTGCCCCTCCAGCCATCCTCTTCATTGTGCATTCATAATTATTTGTGCTCATGATGGTCTTGGAGAGGTCACACGCGATCCTGCTTTCAACATGGTTTGTACCTGCAAATATTTTGGGGCAGTCACACTGCTTTATTTCCAATCAGTAGGTATCCCTAAACTTCCTGCTGAAATCTTAGAACTTTTTAAAAAAACAACAACAACCACCCCACAAATGTTCTGGTTTGTTTTCTTGTTGTGCTTGTGTTGCACTATAGTCCCTCCAGAAGGGAAAGAAGCAAACAGAAGAGAGAGCAGGAAGAGAAGTGAAGACTGTTAATTGAAAGACCAAAGACAGAAACGGCTACATTGGTATCAACAGTTAATGGATACAGTTGACTCATTTATCCATGAAGTTCACCATTGCCAAGTGATGTAGTGATGCGGAGTTGGGTCGTTGTGGGGTGGTTTAATTGTTCATTAGTTGGTTGGATTAAGGTTGTTAGTTTTATGAGATAAGGAAAGATTTCTGTCCTTTGACCCCTGAGGGATTGTCAGCCCACCCTCATGCCAATCACAGTACCCTGAAGCATTACTCATTTATTGGGTTGTTGTGGAAGGAGAACAACTACAGCAGCGGTTTTCAACCAGTGTGCTGTGGCACCCTAGGGCGCCTTAAATGATAGCCAGGGGCGCCGCAAGCCGTACAGTGGTACGTCAGGTTAAGTACTTAATTTGTTCCGGAGGTCCGTTCTTAACCTGAAACAGTTCTTAACCTGAAGCACCACTTCAGCTAATGGGGCCTCCCGCTGCCGCCGCGCCGCCAGAGCACGATTTCTATTCTCATCCTGAAGCAAAGTTCTTAACCCGAGGTACTATTTCTGGGTTAGCAGAGTCTGTAACTTGAAGCGTATGTAACCTGAAGCGTATGTAACCCGAGGTACCACTGTACTGGCCTCTGTCCCTCTTTCCTTCCCTCCCTCTGATGCCCTCTTGCATCTCTGCCTCCCAAAGGCTTGCACAGCTGTTTGTTGCAGCAGCACAGCTACAAGCTCCGCAGGCAAATGGTGCCTCTGGGGCTGACCAGTGGACGCTGGTTGCCAGGAACTGAGGTGGCCTCGGAGTAAGCAAGCAAGCAGGCGAGGGAGCCCAGCCCTTGCTGTTGGGAATGGGCAGATAAGTGGGAAGCCAGGCAAGCAGGCAGACAGGCGCTGTACTGGCTTTTCTTGGGCTTGCTGCATGGAAGGCCTGCCTGGGAGCTGAGTGCCTGGTGCTGAAGGGGAGCATTTCCACCATGCAGGCCCGCTGCTGCCACTGCTGCCTCCCCAGGTAAGGTACTGGCCTTTTGCTCACCTCTGGCCAGTCTTTGTTGTGCCACTAAGACTGGGGGCATCCTCTTCCCAAGCCCCTGTGGGACAGTGTGAGGAGGCACCTCTCTTTGGAGCAGGGGGAGCAGCTCAGAGACCAGGGCTAGCAACAGCTACTGCCCAGAGGTCTCCCAAGGAGAGGGGAGAGGAGAAGAGGCTGAGGGAACACTCCACAAGGGAGGGTGTTCAAAAATGGGTGAGAGGCTGCCAGCTCTGCAAGCAAGGAGTGTGGCCCCACAGGGGTGCCGCAGAAAGAATGTTGTTGGTCAAGGGAGCCATGGACACAAAAAGGTTGCAATCCTCTGAACTACAGGTTTGACTTATTGTGGGCAGTCTTTTTACAATCCACCAGCATCAAATGTCACTAGCCATCAGTGACATGGGCACTGTTAGGATTATTTGTGAGCTTCTTTTTTCTTATGCATATTTGAAGAATTTAGGCAAAACAAAATTAGGACACTTAATGGGAGCAGTTCAGCCATGCGGCAAGTTCATTGGAAACTGACATGATCATGTGTCATAAAAAAAAAATGATTGCTTGGAGCCAGTCATTCCATTTGATGTGAATTGCACTCAATTTCAAAACATATCCATGCTTACTGTGATACACACATACACCACACACAAGTTAAATACTTATCTATATTTGTTGTTTTCTTTTAAACAGGTACTTTATTACACCCCTTTTATGCCAAAATGGCTTCAAAGCAGTTCTGGTAGTGTTGAGGGCCAATATAAGAAAGGGTAGAAGATGCAGGAATTCTGTGATGTTTTCAACCATGGGAGGAACATTCCAAACTTATTTTGAGAGGCACTTTGAACACTGGCTGAAACCCAGACTGGATGTCTTCAGATGTTCATTGTCAAGTTGATAAACTAACAGGAGAAAGAAAGACCAAACATTGCCGTTGAAATATCCGATTTGTCAGAACTCTTGGGCCATAAATCTGATCAGCCTCTTCATATTCTGAATTTGTGACTACCAAAGTATGTATGTCTTGTGGAGGAGGCACTGTGGTCAAACAGGATGATAAAGGAGATCCCAAAGTAACATGTGTAAGATGAGAACTTCCCAGAATGGCAGAAATACAAGACCCTCTGGAACAGAGGTGTGGCTCTAAAATCTGGTGGTTATTTTAGCTTAAGGGAAACGGGAGCCCTCCCCATATTCTGTCACTTATTTGGTTTTAAACTATTTAAATGTTGAGGGCCATAGGCTTGGAGAGACATCCTCAAGTCAAATAATTACCCAGTGGAGGCCCTTCATTGGGTTTTCATTTGCTTATGCCAGTAGTAAAATGTGCCCATAAAAAAGTGGAAGAAGTGGGGAATCCTGCACTCAAATAGTTACTTTCTACACTTTTTGGGACATGGGTGGCGCTGTGGGTTAAACCACAGAGCCTGGGACTTGCCGATCAGAAGGTCGGTGGTTCTAATCCCCGCAACGGGGTGAGCTCCCGTTGTTTGGTCCCTACTCCTGCCAACCTAGCAGTTTGAAAGCACGTCAAAGTGCAAGTAGATAAATAGGTACTGCTCCAGCGGGAAGGTAAACGGCGTTTCTGTGCGCTGCTCTGGTTCGCCAGAAGCGGCTTAGTCATGCTGGCCACATGACTCGGAAGCTGTACGCCGGCTCCCTCGGCCAATAAAGCGAGATGAGCGCTGCAACCCCAGAGTCAGTCACGACTGGACCTAATGGTCAGGGGTCCCTTTATCTTTACCTTTACACTTTTTACTTAAGGACATATGAGCTTTAGGATCTTGAGTACTTACATCACTTATATTCAGGTTAATGAAGTCTCTGTTTTTCACACTTAGTGCTTGGAACACTCCTGGAAAAAAAATCAACATGTGATGTTGATCTGATTCATACAAATATGTGGGGGACAATGCAAGGTAAATGACCTGAGGCATTTAGTGGTACTCATACTTAAGAGTAAACCCACTAAAATTAATGAATATGACTAAGCTAGATCCTTTAATTTCAATGGGCCTAATCTGCAAAACTTAATTGGATGCAAGCTTTGGGGCCAAGATGCAAATTTGCATAAATTAGCACATGCACATTTTGTATGTATAAATGCCATAACTTTCAGAGGGGAAAAACAACCTCCGGCTGTTAGGGCTTAATATGAGCTATCATGAGAATTTACTGGGCTCAGTTCACTGCATGTGGATTGGGCCTCCTATCTCCCCACCACATGACTTATTAGCAAGAGCTGCTCTTTTGTATATATTAAAACAAAAAGAAGTCCTTGGGCAAATTAAGATGACAGGTGGGTGTAGTCTCACTGGCAATGTGCTTTGTAGTGTATTATGTGAGCACAGTTAAATACTAATAACAAGAATCTAAAAACCCCCACCAATGTTAAATATATGAAAGGGGGAAAGGGGCTATAGATCGGAAGCCAAGTAAAAAATATCTGTGGCTGAGACCCCTTGGGCCATCCCCCAAAAACACCTTGCCAATATGATCAGTGTCTTACATAAAAACTCTGTTGCAGTAAATGTCAGAAACATGGTGAATGCTGACATTTACAGGTTAGTTTTAGGAGGCCCAATGAGTAATGACAGAAATATTAACATCACTGTGGCTTCCCCTCACCTCACATTTGTACCAATGACATGATAAAGTGTCGTTTACTAATAAGTGACAGAAATAAAGGTGACATTCAAGCATTTACTGAAAGTACTAAATTGACCTTGAGCTTTACTGGAAAATGTCAGAATTTTCTGTCATTTTCCCTGCAACTCTTCAGATCTTAAGAACGACCGGTCATTGTTGGCATTCATCAAATGTCTCTCGCTTACTGCAGCAGTGGCAAACATGGCTGCTTAGCAGAGCACTTGCCCTTTCAGCTCATTATGGCACTGAGACACAAGATAAACGTCCTTTCAAACTAATAGTGTCGTAATTATGAAGCAGAATAGCAAATCCAATAATTGTAGAACACTCGTAGGAAATGAACTGCTGCAAAACCAAATGATGAACAAAAACTGTGAAAGCAGTTAGGTGTTGGAAACCCACCTATTGTGTCTATCACATGTCAATGGGAATTAAAAAGCTTTCAAAGAGAACAAATAAAGATAAAAGAAGAAGATACTCACGGCTTGCATTTTCCAGGCGAATGAGGCAGTTTAAGAAGTCATCAAATTCAATCTGGTATTGATCATCAGAGTACCTCAGAACCATCAACTGCAGTAGATAATTATTGAGCTGAAACCCTTCAGGAAAGAGAAATTTGAGCTTCTTTAATAACTGACCACAACTGCCACTCTTCCAGCAAGCTGTTTGAAAGCATCCAAGACAAAGTATAGGACACAGGATCTATGCATCCTGAGAACTGTGGTTTTAGTTTTTATATAAGCTTCCAGCCCTCGTGATTGTAAAGAATTGATTGGGTGAAACGGGGGGGGGGGGAATTAATCTAGAGTTCTGAAAATGTAGATTTTAATGCCTTTTATGATTCCCTGTAGTTCCATATATAACTAACTGTTACTTTAACCAGTCATCATAATCATTTCTTTTAATCTTTGATCTCAGCCAGCCAGTTCTGGTCAGAATTTCCATTGGAATCCTGATTCTTTAAAGTACATTCTGCAGCCACCTCAATCTTATTGACTTGATTTATTCTGAGCAAGGAACTTGTTCAAAGGAAGTGTACAAAAAATCCTGACTATCCTGTCTTAAGTGAGCCCACAGCCCTATATTCATTTTCCTGGGAGTAAGCCCCACTGAAATCATGGGACTTAACTCTCTTCCCAAGTGCCACTTTGGGCCTGTATGCCTGCTTTTAACAGATGATCTAATAAGGACTCTTTCATATCATATCTAGTGAGGATGATCTTGAAAGGCTGCTGCTCACTCACTGTGTGGGCTCCCTGCCAGCAACACAGTTGCTCCTGCTCTCCAAGCCTCTCCTGCCACCTCTGCCACCTAAGTTCACCTACTGCCAAGGCCAGCCTTTGAGGAAAAAAATGGTACCTGCTGCTTTTAAAGCAAGACGAAGTTCGTAGGAAGACATGGTGCCGGAGTGGTCAGAATCAAAATGAAGGAAAATACCCTGAACAAATGAACAAAAAGAGAAAATTATTTGTAACCCCTCTGAGAAAGGAAGAGTTGATGAGTCACTTAATTGTTTCAAGACATCCAAATGCTCCTTTATATTTGGGCTTCATCAGCCTGTGTGCTCTGACTGGCTATTTAAAAATTCATTTCTTGCTGATTGTATATTGTCCAACTTTTTCAGATCCAAAACTGGGACATGCGGCTTCTGGGACATGCTCCTGGGCACATCACGTAACCTGCCCCATGCTCTGGCCTCACAAAAGCACCTTTTCGGGGCTGGAGTGTGGCCCGAGATGACATGAGATGAAAGCACCCAAAATGGCCACTGAGATTTTGCAGGAAAAATGGGATGACCCATTTTTCCCGGAGCACTTGGCAGGTCACCAGTGTTTTCTCCTCATCATGAATCAGCACTTTCATCTTACATGTTCCAATAGCAATATATTATGTTCAAGCAATGTCTTTTGCTAAAGATTTATTTTGCTTGGCCTCCTTCTGAGGAACATTTGTTCTGACATTTATTACCTTTAAAAAATCCTTTTTTTTGCTCAAGTTTTTAAAAAATATTGCTAATGTTTCCTGTAAACTTTTTGTGGTTTGGCACAAAAGCAAACAAATAATGTTTCCTAGAAACAGCTTTTTTATTTTTAAGAGCACTGATTTAATATGAAAGTTTTATGGGTCTTTAAAATTGCTTTGTAGTTACTTCAAAAATGCCTAACCAAACAACCGAGAAAACTATGACTCTATATTAACTTACAATCCACTTCTTCAGTTTGTCCCAGAAAATTTTGAACTCATTGAATTCGAGTTTCCCATTTCCACTGGCCTGATGCAGTCCACATTAAGGAAAACAATACTAGTTGTGTCAAGTACCAAAACCAGCCTACATTTATTACTTTATTAATGCAGTTAAACATTTTGAACTAACAGCCTTGTCCTATCAGCATTAACTGCTGCAGAGCACTATTACTGCATCAAGGACATGCTGCAGAAAACGCATGCACAAAACCACCAGCCTAGACAGGCCCTGTTGCTAACATATAGTTATGTGTTGGGGTGGGGTGTAGGCTGTATGCTTGAGCCCCCTTCTAATTCCAGGATCCAGCCTAGATTCAATTCCTGGAGTAGCTAGGCTAGCTTCCTGGTGAGGTCATGGACCATTAAAGTAACAAAGGAAGTAGCTCTGTACTAGAGCTGGTAGTTAGAAAGCAAAGGGCAGAGTTGAGAGTTGCTTTATGTGAGCTAGAAGTGGGCAGGCTGCAGGCTGGGCAGCTGAGAGACAGAGCTACACCTGACCTGTTGGAATCCAAGGCTGTGACAATGGAAGAAGCAATACTTTAGCGGGGTGTTGCTGCCGTGAGCCCCTCCATCGTAGGCTCAGGTTGTACATATGTGTAAATAAACCATATATCATAAAGACACCACAGTCTCCGCTGTCCCTCATTCCAAAGGAGACATGAATCCTGGGTAAGCACCTTGAACCCCTGGGATCTCACACGGCTTGGAGATTGAGGTGGCATGCAACAATATAATGCAATACAATGTCACCAATGCCCTCTCTAAGTCTTCAAATAATTCAGTGAATGAAAACACACAACAGAACCCTGCATCCCCTTGTCCTGAGTTATTTAAATAAGCAACCAATCCTACTTGTAAATGATATTATGGTAGAATGGAAATGTTTGGAGATGCCAAACAATAAAAAAAACCTGGGCTGGGTCTGAATCACAAATATTCCAGTGCTCTTGAAGATGCTTTCGTGAATACAGTTTTGTTAAAATTCATTTCTATAATTTTTATAAGAAAAGCTGCAAAGTCATTAGGACTTCCAAAGACATGCCCTGCTTAAGTTTTCCCCCGATGCACACCAACATATTTTTATATATTGGAAAAAGCAAAATCTTGTAGAGATTATTCTAAAACTTTGTAACAGCTTCACCGAAGGGAATTCCCACACTCGATTTCAAAGGATACATCCATTAGGGAAATGATGTTTCTACACGAGAGGAGAGTTACTTTCTTGAATTTGACATTATTTGCTGCAAGAGAACAATCACTATCATAAAATCAAATTCACTGTTGTACAGCCCTTCTCTGCCACCCAAGGCTAAAAGAGCGCAGATCCATACCGTACATGGAAAGCACATTCAACGCACATGGCTTCCCCCAAAGAATCCCATGGACCATAGTTTTTTAAGGGTGTTGGGAATTGTAGCTCTACGAGGGTGAAACTACAGTTTCCAGGATTCTTGGGGAGAAGTCATGTGATTTAAATGTATGGTTACTAAGCAGAAAGGTGAACGTATGGAGTTTCCTTATGTAGAGCTGCAGTTTGGTGGTACTGTAACCTAGCTTTCTATACTGATTGGCAGATGCTTTCCAGGATTTCTTAAATATTTCATTTTTCAATTTTTAACAGTATTCTTATACATTTAAATCATTTTCAATTTTTTACATCTGAGATTACTTGAATCCACAGACTTCCCCCCAACCCCTACCCGTGGTTTCCAATATTTATCTATTTCCCCCCTATTGCATCTAATTACATTTTTCAAATTCATTTTATATCCTTTTTTTAACTTTAGTCTTATTACATTATAAGTGTTATAACAATCCTGCTAACGTTTTTAAATATATGCAGTGCTCTTTAAGGTACTCTATAAATTCCCCCCACTCTTTGCTACATTTCTTGTCATCTTGGTGTCTGATCTTCACGGTCATTTTCACTATTTTGGCATAGTCCATCGTCTTGGTTATCCATCCTTCCTTAGTTGGGACCTTCTTTTCCTTCCATTTCTTAAGGACTTAAGATGCTCTCCAGGATTTCAGACGGGTTTATCTCTTAGCCCTAATTAGAGATGCCGGGGATTGAACTTGGCACATTGTGCATGCAAAGCAGATATCGTACCGACTGAACGATGCCCCTTTCCTTTCGCCTAATATTGTGCACACTGTACGGGATTTCCCATCACTATGCGGCATAAGAAATCATTTGCCAGTTGGGCTTTGACAGCACTTACTTTTTTTCAGTACGGCGTTCAAAACATATTCAAGTTCCTCTGCACTGATCTCCATGTCCTACAGTGGAAGAAATGAAGGCAGTTGGCAGGTTTAAAATGCAATCTACCCGTAATGTGCATTCATGGAAATCTGCTCTGAATCAAGACAATGTAGTCCAAATTAGGAACGCAGAAATTTATGCCAAATTAGCCCATTAGGGGATCTAGCTGAGTATTATCTATACACACAGCAGATCTGCAGGGTTCTAGACAAGGGTCTTTCTCAGCCCTACATAGAAACATTGGGGCTTGAGCCTGGGGCCTTTGCATACAAAATGTGGTGTTCTGCCACTGAACTGAGCCCTCCTGATCATCCAGAGTTCTGCTTGAATATGATTTTTTTTGTTTGGATGTTGTTACCTGTCCTGCAATCTGTTGGAACAATGTCCGGAATTGCTTCTCTTCTTCTGTTTCTTCTTGGGGTGGAGATGGTTCAGGAAGCTAAAACAACCCAAAGATTATTATTGGAGAAAAACAACAATGAGCGTATTTTAATGCTTCTGCTTACTGTCTTTGGGGTTGCACCTTGGAAAAAGAGGCATGTTGTTAACATTGGGTTTGATGGACTCAGTTTTTCTTTATTTTCACCTGGTGTTGCCATAATCTCGGATGCAACAAAACAATAACAAGTAACCTTAGTACAAAGTAATGCCTTTGAGTATGGTGATTGGCCCAATTATTAATTTAAATGTGGTGACATACCTCTGGCAGATCAATGTCAACATTTCCATCCATCTCCCTGTGAGAAACAAATGCAAATCCAAGTTTTTATATGATTTTCTATTTGGAACATTATAAAAAACAACAACCAGAGACAGTGTACTGTGTACAATGTAAATGTACCTCATGCTCGGTTCTTACATTATGGGAAAAGAGTGGTTGTAGGTCCTTATACCTCCATTACACACTGTTTCAGTAACGTAAGAATGTAGAAAGCTGGGAGTGATGCAATGGGAATTACCGCTCACCCCCTCCAAGAGGTGGGCGGGGTTTGTGACCCAGCATGGGGCTTCCTGAGACCAGGGTGCCACCCATCTTGGTCACAGGGTGGCTGATGCCCCACCCCCATCCCAGCGAGCCAATGGGCTGCAGGCTGTGGGTGAGGCAAGGGCAGGAGTAAGGGCCCATGCTCCTCGGTCCAGGCTCACAATTTTCTTTCTGAATGCACTGAAGTGCCTCCAGAGGAAGCGATCGTCTGTACACATTGGTTCATGTCCCAGGTTCTACAATTGCTAGCAACTTACTCTTTAAAAAAAGGAAGCTGGGGATTATGGCCCAATCACCAACCCACTCACAGACACATGAAGCTCCTCTACAAACATTTAGCAGGAGCTGGTTGCAAATGTAAACTTGAACTTGGAATTTTTCCATCAGATGGATGCAATACAGTGGTACCTCAAGTTAAGTACTTAATTCGTTCCGGAGGTCCGTTCTTAACCTGAAACTGTTCTTAACCTGAAGCACCACTTTAGCTAATGGGGCCTCCTGCTGTCGCTGTGCCGCCGGAGCACGATTTCTGTTCTCATCCTGAAGCAAAGTTCTTAACCTGAGGTACTATTTCTGGGTTAGCGGAGTCTGTAACCTGAAGCGTATGTAACCTGAGGTACCACTGTACTTGGCGGTCGTACGTACTTTGCGACAGCTTTCTTCTCAGAAAAAATCCTCAGGCAGAAATCCGCCTCCTGGTGTGGCTCAAACGTGGTAGGGACAACAACGTAATCCCCAGGCGGCAGCGCAAATCGGTCAGAGACTTCCCTTAAGTTGATGTAGGTTTTGCTCCTGGCCTTGGATGCATGGTAGCGGAAAAAATCCTTCGTCAACTGTTCGTCGTTACTGGGGCTCTGTGATTGGATTTCAGATTGACCCCATTATTCATCTGTTAGCTTGGCAGATATAACAGCATAAGAACATAAGGAGAGCCTGTTGAATCAGGCCAATGGACCATCGAGGTCAGCATCCTGTTCTCCCTGTGGCCAACCAGATGCCTGTGGAGAAGCCTGTCAGCAGGGCCTGAGTGCCAGAGCACTATCCCCTCCAATGTTTGGAGCACAAAATCACACCCATTAGAATGCAAACTCCAGATTCTGAAGCTGGTCTACTGCCCTTTCATTTCAGCCTCTGCCTTAGTGTATTGCCATACATTTATACAGCAAAACGAATATCAAGTGTGGGTCTTCAGTGTGTTGTACTAAGTGGATATATGCATGGGGAACAAGGTCAGCTTGTGTAAAGAGTTTCCCCCTCTTCTCTCCCTTAAGAACCCTCTAAACATGTTCTGGGGATTCCCCCAACTCTCTAGGGCAGACTTGGGGGGGGGGGAAGTGAGGAGAGGCATGGAAAGACCCACTGCAAGAGCATATCTCATTCCATGCACATGACGACTTAGCTGAATCCTGAACTATACAGTTCAAAGTTAAATAGGAGACGGCTACATATTGTATTATTATTATATGTTGCACCTATACCCTGCCTTTCCTCCAGAGAGGAGCTCAAGGGGGCAAAAAGGCAGATTCCCCCCCCCCCCCAATTTATTCCTGCCCTTCTTTTTGCAACAGCTGAAGTGTGCGGCTCTTAATGACCCAAAGGGATATGAACTTAACCTTCATACTATGAATTAACTTCATGCCGCATGAATCATCTTCTTCTGAATGGCCACTATATGCCATTCTTTTTCACAACCGGGAAAATTAAAGAAGGGAATGCTTTTCCTGTACCAGGGCAAAGAGCATTCACACAGCCAGGGTTTTTTGGAAAGCTCCCCACCCACATTTCTGAGGGGTTTCCTATCTTGGTAGTGCAGTGCCAGTGCAGCAAGGAAAAAAGTGAGCACCTGCAGCTATCAAACACACAGGACTGACAGGGACTCAAGTTTAGCTTGCAGATAAAAATAAGAACCACTAAAAACAAGGAAAAAGCAATCATTAAAAAACAATGAAACATTGATAAAATTAAGAAACAAACACACAACATATAGTGATGAAGTGACTCAGCTGCAAGTCACATCAAAAGGTGAGGGGAAAGGCTCAGGGACTATCACCACATCAAAGATGTGTCTTGTGTCAGGTGTTCACCTTGGCCCTGCCCAGAGCAAACCATCACATTGCTGGAGAGGAAAATACCTCATAGATGGCATAACCTATGGTTAGCATTTCAGCTCCCTGCTTCCTGAGTTTACGGCGGTCTTTTTGCATTAGAGCGGCTATAAATGTGCATTCATTTTGACCATCATCTTTTTCTGTCAGCTGGAGCTTGATCTGTGGATTTGTCCAAAACGTTTCTGGAAATTAGAGAGAAAAAGAATGGAAAAACAAACTGAGTGAGAGAAAACGCATATTCCCATTTTTCTGGTATGGAGAGGGAGAGGGAGAGGGAGAGGGAGAGGGAGAGGGAGAGAGAGAGAGCACATTCAAAACTGTTTATTAAAATCAGTATGTTTATGTTTAGTCACAAAAGCATATTTCAACATTGCCATGTCTGCTTCAAGCACATTGTTATAAAATATGCTGGAAATATGCATAGCAATGTTAATCTGGAAAATGCCATTAATTATTCACAATTCCCTCCTCTGAAAGAACCTAATGATAAAATATCTTCCCTTGATAAAATAGATCAGTTATTTTCACTACCACTAGGGCATCACTTGGACTATTAAGAAGAGCTCATCCCTCCTGCCTTTCATGAAGACCAGCAGTGGAGCCTGCAGACACTGTCTGTGTACTGTGGACTAGCATCTTGATGAACCCACCATATTTCTTTCCGAACAATCTACAAAGGCTTGGAACTGACAGCTCCCCTCTGAGTTGAGTCAAAAGTTGTGAATCTGAAAATCAATGAGTCATCAATGGGCAGTAGTGGCGGTTGTCGTAGGGCAGAGCCGCCCTCTCAACACCGCCATTGCTGCTACTTACCTGTGTGGTGGTGATGGTGGTGAGACCAGGGTTGTGCACCAGTAAGATCACCATTACCCAGTCAATCAGTCCCACAAGTGCACCCAGCCTCACTACTGCCCTGTCACATGCCCTGCTGCTGTCAACAGGGGAATTCCAAGGAAGGAAATACAAACTGTTGGCTCAGCTTAGCTTTGACAAGCTGTAGCCTCTTAATAATGATGATGAAACTCTGAAGTTTCCAATGTCAAATAGAAACAGTGGCATCAAAAGCCCCATAAGTATTTATGGAGCTGAGCAGTTATTTAAGCTTATGAGGAGTTGGGCCTCACTGTTCAACAATGATGAAGAAGTATGGTCTGATGAAGAAGCAAGGTCTTCCCACGGAGAAGAAAAACGTGGCAAGAAATTTCAGATGCACACCTATGAAGTTTCTGCAGCCTCCAGCAGTGGCCCCCCTGACCCAGCTGCCTTGGTGAACTATCACCTCCCATTTATGTGCTGCATTATCCTCAAGGGCATCAGGCGTCAGGTTGCAGATCTCAACTTTGTCGAAATGAGACTGGAAATCATCAAACTTCATCCTATATAAGAGAAGAAAGAGAGATCACACTATGAAGGACTGTGAAGGATCTCAACATGCTAAAGAGTACATGCTCAGGGCAGGGGCTTGTAAGCGTGTCTCTGCTTCCCCTCATGTGTTTGTTGAGATGTGAGGAGGACCAAGTAACCACAAAAAAGGCACCCTGGTTTGCTCTTGCTTTAATGCAGTTATCATTTGAATCAGCATATTCACTTACCAGAACTCTCCATCATCTAGGGCTGTCTGATACAAACGTTTTTTCTCAGATGGGCTGACGGAACGCCATTCATGAGAACTTGAAGAGAAGGAGATAGCCGTCAGCCTGCTGGAGCTCACAGAGTACTGTGCATGCCAAACTCTCGGGCATGTTTACACCATACATTCAAGGTGCATGAAACACACATTTCAAGCGCATGACTTCCCCCAAAGGATCCTGGGAACTGTAGTTCCCCCCCTCACGGAGCAACAGTTCCCAGCAACCTTAAACTACACTAAATGTGCTTTGAATGTAGCACATGTAGCTGAGGAGATTTCACCCCTCCCATATCCAAGAATCTGCTGATGTTCTCTGCTGATTCTCCAGAGAGGAGGGGGCGGTTTCTGCTCTCTACTTATTCCGCTCCAGCCTCACATCAAAGAGAGAGAGAGAGACTGAGTGTTAGAGAGAGATCGTGTGTATAGATAAGGTTGCTGCTACGAGCAGCTGCAGACACTCAGTGCAGTTCAGCATTTTCGTTTAGACCTCATTTAGCTCTGTACATAGTTGTGTATTATAGTTGTAGATAGAATAAAGAAGATATTCTACAGAGCTGCTCTCCGAGTCGTTTACGCTCTGCTCTACTCTGCTATACTCTGCTGTGTGACGACTGTCTTCTTGTGGAAGTGAATCCGGTGCTCACAACTCTAAGCTGTGAGTCCACAGCACTTTGACCTGTTCCTGTGCTGAAGGTGGTCTCTGGAAGTGCTCCCCAGCTCGCCTGGCCCAGTCGGGGCTGAGTGGATGAGTCCAGTTGGTGGCACTGGCTCAAGGGCGATGCTGACAGTAGCAAGCCCTTTTGAAAGAGGCATCTTTAGGGTGGGTGGCTCCAGCCTGGCTAGACAGATCCACTGAGTAGGTTGAGCTCTCAACTTTTCCCTTTTTTTAAGGGAAATTCCCTTATTCCAAATAGGATTCCTAGCAAGAAAAGGGAAAAGTTGACAGCTATGGCTCTCAGAGAAGGACCTGATCCTGACCTTCTGCTCTGGCTGGCTGGGGCTTGGATGCAGCAGTGAATCTGTCACTCCGCACCTCTCAGCCCTTACTTAGGATTGCTTTGTCCATCAGTATTAATGCTGAAGCTATTTCCTGACCTTGGCCGTTCACTCGTGGATATTTTATCACACCAGTGATGTTTAGCCATTGCGTATTCTGCTTCAGTGCCTGTACTTTACTGTGTCATCCAAAATGTCAGCTGCTAAATAATGGGTGATATCAATGAAATCAATTGAATTAGGTAAATGCACTCCATTTATTCCAGTGGGTGTTCTGAGAATGGCTTATCATCCCATGATCGCGTTGTGTTTTCAATACCTGTTCCCCCACCCCATTTGCAGAACTTGTGTATGTTAAAAGTTCTTGGAACAGTGAATATACTAACTTGTCACTCCAAGGGCCATTCCATTCCACTTGACCCCAGGGGTTCCTCACTCGAATGAGCTTCACCTTCCGGCCTTGGTAGTCCACCTAGTGAGAACGGAAGCAAGAAAGAGAAAGAATACAGAACAGCTTTCCAGTGCAAAAAGAAAAGAAAAAGACTCACATGCGTAATCCAAGGACAGCCAGGATGATGCCCTGCACATATGGTTAGACTACAACTCCCATCATCCATTGGCCATGCTGGCTCAGGCTGATGGGAACTGTAGTCCGAAAACATTCTAGAGCATTCCCTGGCTACCTTGACTTAATATAACAACAACAACAACAACAACAAATTTCTTGTACCCCTCCCATCTGACTGGGTTTCCCCAGCCACTTTGGGCAGCTTCCAACAAAATATAAAGGAACACAACAAAACTTCAAACATTAAAAAGTTGAACTAAGACGTTCAACTGAATTTAGTAGGATTATAAAGCAGAGTGGGAAACCCCAAGCTGGATGGCTGAATGCAGCCTTCAGGGCCCTCATTTTTGGCAGCCAGAACTATCCTCAGACTACATCCCTGTCCTCAGAGCACACTGCTTACTAGTTCAGCTTTGTACACAGAGTGTTTTTTATTCAGCTAGAATATGTACTTGAACTCTAATTATTACTTTTGCTTATCTGGATGTAAGACAGAGATGGATTTGTGTATGTGTAAAAATCAGCCTACTGTACAAAGGTGAAATGTGCATCTGTTATTCTGTCAACCATTGCCTCTGCCCTGCTCATCATTGGCAAGTGGCCCCTGGAAGGGAATGTGGCCTCCAGGATGAAAAAGGTTCCCCACCCATGTTATAAAGCATCTATTTTGAGAATTTTAGCCTATGGAGAATCTAATCATCCACATTCATCCTGACATCTTAAACTAAGAAGCAGTTCTTCTTTATAATGCTGAGTAACTCAATTAATCTAGATGACATTCTCTTCACAAACCAAATCATCAAGCCCCTGGTACTTTAGACCTGAACATAAAGTTGGGTCTCTTTCTTTTGGAGAGATTCACAAAAATGGGCATGAATTGCCCACTCTGTGTGAAGCCAACTAAAACAATACCCCAGCAATTCAAAAGCATATTATATTACAACTATCTCTGAGCATAAGATAAACAGGCTTGGTTTCCAAAGCCAACCACTCCTCCCCTTTAAATAAATATAGGTTCCGTCCTCTTCACAGCAAGACAAACCACAACAGAAAAGCCACTTACCTCATCAATACCAGTTACTGAATAGGCATGACCTTTTATAAGTCCGTAGGGTGTACGAGCTTCTGACTCAGCTGCACTGCTGGTCTAAGGAATGGAAATATAGGTTTAAAATACTAGTCTTATTGAAGTAACATCATGTATTTATTCACATGTATATGTAAGAGTGAGAAGAGTGAGTGACCACATTTAGAAGCAAGGGGTTGTATCCAAAGAAAACATTTTGTAGGTGGAACATCTTCAGCAAGCAGAATGAAAATTCCCCTCCCTTTTCCCCTCTCCGTGCCCCTAATCTGTTCCATAGCTTTGGGGGGAACCCCAGAGCAGATTTGGAGAAGGAGAAGGGAGGATGTTCTGTTGTGCTTGCAGAAATCATTCTGCGTATGCAGTGATTTAGTTGGAAACAGCTACAGGTAAGGAATGTGAAATACAAAATCCTACAATATAATGTACAATGATAACATATAAAATATTTAGAAAGCTGGTTAATCGACAATGCAAGTAAGACCTCAAATGTGATCATTTCCCAAACACTTGGGGGCATTGATAGATCCCCAGAAGAGGTCTCTGGTGTGGTGTAGGGGCTAGCATGTTGGGCTGGGCTGTGGGAGATCTAAATCCCTGTTCCGCTATGAACCAATCTTGTCCAGGTTGCTAGCTCTCACCTAACTTTTCTTACAGGATTTATGTGAGGCCAAAGTAGTCCTCTGAGCTCCTTCAGAGCAGAATCCAAATGCAACACATTGCGGATGAGTACTGTGAATGGCTTCAAATATAGATGGGGTTAAGAAGATGGACTAGTATAGAAGAATTAGCTATGAATGGTGTATGGGGCTTAGGCTGCAACTGTGTGGATGCTTACTTGGAAGAAAGTCTCACTGAAATCTGCAGGATTTCTGAGCAGACACTGCTCAGATACTGCTGCTCTTTCTCAAATTTAGATTTCAGTAAGTGCAATTAATTAATTAATTAATTAATTAATTAATTAACATATGAGATAGCCATCTTCAGATATCTTAAGGGTTGTGGAAATTCGAGCAAGCTTATTTTCTGCTGCTCCAGAGGCTAGGACCTGAACCAATGGATCCAAATTACACAAAACAGGATCCAAGTTCCAACTAAACAATAGGAAGAACTTTCTGGCAGTCAGAGCTGTTCGACAGTGGAACGGACTCTCTCGGGATGTGGGGGACTCTCCTTCCTTGGAGGTTTTTAAGGAGAGATTGGATGCCCATCTGTCATGGGTGATTAATTTGAGATTCCTGCATTGCAGGGGGTTGGACTAGATGACCCTCAGAGTCCCTTCCAGCTCTACAATTCTATTATTCTGTGTATCATGGCAGCATCCAGCAGATGATATGATATACCAACAGCATATTCCATCCCTATTATGCATCAGGGAACTCAGTACTTTGGAGAAATTGTTCATTCAGAGCAACGAAACAGATCTATACAGATAAAACCCCTGAAACTCAGCTTTATCATTTTACTTACATCAATAGAACAGCCCACCATTGAACCTCTTTTCAGAGCTTTTTTTAAGATGTCATAGAAATTTTCTGGAGCTTTTTTAACTTCAAACATTTCTCCAACTCCTCCTGTGAAATCTTCCATTGCTTCAATTGTGCTTCCGCCTTTTAAAGCTTCATAACTTCCATTCAACCTGACAGCGGCCAGAAAACACACACACACACATATATATACAAAACTTATCATCATCATCATTATTTATTAAATTGGTTAGTTGCTTTATCTTGTCCAGGGCAACCCAAAGTGACTTACAACCAAAGAAACGGACAAACAAAAAAACCCCACATATATACATTAAAACCAAGAGGGAAAAGAAATACATTTAAAACATCCCACCAACTTCTAAAATGCCACCTATAGCTAAAGGCCAAAGACCTGGTTGTAGAGGAAAGGTTTTGTCTGGTGCCTAAAGATATGTAATGAAGGTGCAGGCAAACCTCCCTGGGGAGAGAATTCCACAAATGGGGAGCCACTGCAGAAAAGGCCCATTTTCGTGTTGCCACCCCCTGGACCTCTCTTGGAGGAAGCCCATGAAGAAGGGCCTCTGATGATGAATGTTTGACCAAGAACTTGTCCAAGTCTCTTGGATAATAGGGGTGGAATTCATACTATATACCACTTCAATTGCTGCATTGCTGATTGGGATAATCCAGTGCTTTTTTCTGGGGGATACGCAGGGGTACGCATACCCCTAAACATTTTGTGAATCTTTGTACTTTTGTCCATTTACTGTATGTATTTTTCCCAATTCAAACTTTAAAATGGTGATTTTCTTGAGTCAAAATGAGAGTACCCCAAACATTTTTAAGGGGGGAAAAAGCACTGGGATAATCTACTAGGAAAGTCTCTTAGACAAGCCTTACAGAAATCAAAGATTGCTTCCAAAGCATTTCCAAGTTCTTGTACATGCCCAATATATTTTGAAAGGTTTCTGCAGCAGAGGTTCCTAGCATATTGTGCCTTGATGCAATCACCCATTAGCTAGGACAGCATGGTGTGCTGGCTGGAGTTGATGGAAGTTGTAGTCCGAAACAACATCTGGAAAGCACAATGTTGGCCATTTCTGAACTAGGTGAATAAACTATGGCTGGAGTATAAATCAAAAGGCACACCACTGCAGCTACTTATAGTACAGCTGTTACATACCACACATTTAAGGATATTACCTTTCTTTAAAGAACCTTGGGAACTATGGTTTAATTAAGGATGCTGAAAACTGTAGTGTTATCGGAGGAAAACTATGATTCCCTGGGTTATTTGGAGGTGAAGTTATTGCATACTCCCCATTTTAAGGTTATTACCATGATTCTGTTATTAGCATTCTTTAGATCCTTAGCAGTGGTAGCAGACACAGAGAGCTAAAATAGCAGGCCTCAATATCTGATTTCACAATCAAATTTCACAGACCACACAGATGACAGTGTGAGAGAAGAGTGCAGATAGCAATGAGGTGCAGGTTGTGAAAGCCAAGGAAACCATGAACAGTACCTAGATCACATAACCCACAAGGCTTACTTGGCATAAGCTTTTTCCAACAATGCACTCCAGAATTCATTGTGATCAGCTGAGTGTAGAAAAACCAGCCGGTCTTTGAAAGTGGGCAATCGGTCATCAACGACAATATCCAGCCACTCATTGTGTTGCCAAAACTGTTTGGTAAAGGTAAACAGAATAATTTGATAAGGTGAAATAATATGCAGCACAGTAATTTGTACTTCTTTCAGTAGCAAAAAAACCCACCCCAGCAACAAAACCCACTTAATTTTCTTGGAGCAGTCAAATGGCAAGTCTTGACTAACGGGGCAATCAAAACTCTCCCCCTCAGTCCAGTGGAGCTACACAGAGTGGTGGGGGCACTGTTGCACATGGCAGTCTGGGTGGAAGGTGGACAAAGAGCAGGAGCTGGTACAGTGATTGACCCAAACCAGCCTTGATGCCATCGCACAAAGGTAGTGGGGGTGGCTTGGACATTTGGACATGTATGACAAGAGTTCTCTTACCTGAAAATGAAATATTCCAGCATAGCCTGGTCCAAAATCCTGATCGAGTGGCACTACTCTGGCTAATGTGCTTTCATTAAGAGTAAGAGATGCTATAGCTGCCAATAGCCAACAGTCACCTGGAAATCAAATAGAACAAAGCACTGATTCCTCTTGTCATCTGGTTCCAATTAACAGGAATTCTTTAGAATTCACATCTACAAAGTGGAGGTCAAAGCTCCCCGTTAAATTATTCCCATTAAACCTTTATTGCTTAGCTATTAAATTTTCCAATGCTTTTTCTTATGGTTGCACATCAGTGTGGCATTATTTTGAACAGCACTCCAGTTTATCTAGATATTTTCTTTTAAAATTGGTTGTATGGTATATAGGCAGTGGGTTTTTTTCCTAGAGGTACTCAAGGGTACTCAGTGCCAGCACCTTTTTCACTAAAAGAAAAGCACTGGGTATAGGGAATCAAATATGTAAGGTGAGCTGTCCTACCCAGGAATCATATTTGATGCATGGTAGAGGTTTTGTGGTGTACATACAAATGCATGATGGACGTTGGGTGAAAAAGGGCAGGCCTGAAATCTACTCTCTGTATTTACCAGTAATCATTGGATGAGACTGTACACAAGTGAAGCAAAGAACCCACACAAATGAGAAAGTAGAGCCAATGAACTTTAGCTGTGTGACCATATGCACGTCAACACTCGCGTTTCCATGCACAAGGCAGCTACAATTTCAGTGGGAAAGAACACTCACCAAGTTCCCCTTGACAAATGTCCGTTCTTGTGGCGCCTCCAAGAATAAACTGTGGGTCTTTAACGATTTCCTTGAAGAATATTGGAAAAATAGATAAGTGCTCTGAACAGAATATATTCTGCTGTGCATTGCTGCAACTGTGTGTCTGTTCTGCCCAATGACAGACCTGGAGCCTTGGGCAAACAGCAGACATTAAGATCTGCCAAGTCCTGTCCTTTATTAAATTGTGCATTGGAAGATTTATGGCTCCATAATGATACTATGGCATCATTGTCAATATATGAAGATCCTGTGCTGCTGGTGTCCGACCCAAAAGAAAATGGAAAATTACTGCTGTTGATTTCCTGAATTATGAGACTTCACTAGGAATACCACAGGGCATATTAGCACTTGTGCGTAGGCACAGCAAGTGATTAAAGAATTTTATACTACATTTGGATATTTAATAGCTTTTAACAAAATATTTTTAGGCTCCTTTCAAGCCCAGACAGGCTCCCAGGGCAGCTTTCAAATCAGTCCACTTAAGAATCCAGAGCAGATTCTTTTAGGAGGGCTTCTGTCTGATATCTCCTCTCTTCTTCCCTCTGCTTACTCACCAGCCATGCACAGCCTGGAGTGGCTAGGATAGTGATGATGATGATGATGATGATAATAATAATAATAATAATAATTTATTATTTGTACCCCACCCATCTGGCTGGGTTTGGGCGGCTTCCACAAAGACCAAAAATACATTTATATGTCATACATTAAAAACTTCCCTGAACAGGGCTGCCTTAAGATGTCTTCTGAATGTCAGGTAGTTGTTTATCTCTTTGACATCTGATGGGAGGGCGTTCCACAGGGTGGGCGCCACTACCAAGAAGGCCCTCTGCCTGGTTCCCTGTAGCTTTGCTTCTCGCAATGAGGGTGTTGATTTAAGCAGAGTCTTGTGCCCAGCGGAAGGATGAGGAATACGTGCTGCATACTCCTTATTGCTTTATTTACAGTTCAAAGCTGGTATATTACAGAAAGACATCTTGCCTCTGCCGGAGCAGAAAATGCATCCTCTCTCCTCGACAGCTCGGAGAGAATCACACAGTGAAAAACAGGAAACCAGTGTACGTCACATCCAGTCTCCCTTTCCCGTGAGAAACTCCAACAGTACAGACTGTGGAATGTAAACACCTGTCTCGTGACAAGCAGAGCTGCACAGTGAAGGAAAGCAGAAACCAACATCCTCCCCTTTCTGTGAACATCACTGGGCAGCGTGTTTGCACAATATCAGTACAAACCCAACTTCTGCACATAGGTACAGTGTTGATCCTTTGATACAATCTTGGACAATACATCAGCAGGAATTTCATTACCTGGCATATAGGACACCGTTACGAGTCCCTTCTGAATACATTCCCTAGCATGCTGCAACTTTAATTGTAAGTGCTTTGTGCTTTGCTTACAACCTTCAGACTTCAGCAAAGCCAAACATGCTTTGTTGTCCTGGTAAACCTGGATTGGACATTTGACAGGAATTTTCATATCTTTGCACAATTGTACTAACCATTCACAATCCTTAAGTGAATAAGACAGTGCATTCAGTTCGGCTTCACAAGTACTTAAGCTAACTGTTGTTTGCTTCTTGCATGACCAATCAAACAGACTCTGATTGTACATGTAGCAAACTCCAGACGTACCTTTCCTGTCTGTAGCGTCACTTCCAAAACTTGCATCTGCAAATATCTCAAGACCACCAGACTTCTGATTGTTAAATCTCAGTCTGTAATGCATAGTGCCTTTCAAATACCGCGCTATGCGTTTCAGAGCTTTCCAATCCTTGACACTAGGATTGTTGACTTGTCTGCTTAGCAAATTACAGCTAACAGCAATGTCTGGTCTTGAACATCTGGCAATGAAGTTTAGCTTGCCTAGCACACTCCTGTACAGTGTAGTGTCAGAAAATGCTTCTTCAGTGTCATCTACCTGATAACCTGTTGTCATCGGTGTGTCTACAGGGTTAGCATCCATCAGATTTAGTTTGCTTAACACATCAGCAATTTTCCGTGACTGGTGTACTAGAATGTTACCATCTTGATCTCTCTCTATTTCCAGAGATAGGTAGTTGTTTACCTCACCAAGATCTTTCATGTCAAAGTGCTCTTTCAGTTGAGCTAGGGCGCTATTGTACATTGCAACATCTTTCCAAAAGAATAATGAATCATCAACATAAAACAAACAGTACAGTTTCTTTTGCCCCTCCTCTTTGACAAATACACATGGATCAGCTTTCCCTTGCTGAAAACCTAGAGAAAACAATACTTCAGTGAGTTTTGTGTGCCAACACCGTGCACTTTGTTTGAGACCATAAAGGATTTCTTCAGAGCACAAACAAATCCCTGTTTTACCTGTACGCCATCAGGTGGAAGCATATAAAGTGATTCATCTAGAGATCCGTACAGAAAAGCTGTATTAATATCATGGTGACTAATGTGTAGATTTTCCTCTGCAGCTAGCTTAAGCATAAGCCTAATGCTTTCATATCTCACTGTGGGTGAATAGGTCTCGTGATAGTCTTCACCTGGTACCTGTGCAAAACCTCTGGCTACCAATCTGGCTTTGTGTCTGACTATCTTGCCATTTTGATCTGTCTTCGCTTTGAAGACCCATTTGCTTCCAAGCAGTTTCATTCCTGGAACTACTGGAACTAGCTCCCATGTTTTGTTCCTTTCTAAGGAATCAAGCTCAGCCTTCATGGCATTTAACCATGGCTCAGCTTCCTTTGAATCCAAACCCTGGATTTCTTGGAAACTTGAAGGTTCAAATACCTTCTTGGAGCTTTTAACAGCTGTTACTGCTATCTTAGCAAACTCATCAGCAAATCTCTTTGGAGGTTTGCCTTTTGTGGCTCTCTGTGACCTACGAATTAGCCTTAAGTCTTCAACACTCTCCTCTTCCTTCTTAGGAGAAAAACGACCTATTGTGAACAATGGTTCCTCCAATTCTTGATCAGAGCTTTCAGAGGGTCGCACAGAGGCTTTCGCACTCTCGAAATCCTCTGAATCACCCGATTCAGTTTCAGATTCAGACTCAGAACCTTCATCAGTGGGTGCGGGTTGTTGTGGTTGCTTTTGACTATCCTCAGTCTCATCACCGTCATCAGGATAACATTGGAAAATTCCCACATTCTCCCCCCCACTTTGCATTGTACTCGACACTTCTCGTGAGCTTAATTGTCTTAGAGTCAGTCATCATTATTCTGTAAGACCCTTTCTGATAACCTAGAAAGATACCATGCAATCCACGCTTGTCTAACTTGGAGTTTTGTGGTGAGTGAACCCACATGTCAGAACCAAAAATCTTCATGTGTTTGACGTATGGCTTCTTGCCAAACATCTTCTCATAGGGGGTACAACCAATCGCTGAAGATAACCTGCGATTGTAACTGTAAACAAAACACGAGAGAGATTCGGCCCAATAACTATCTGGAAGATTGGCATCATGCAGCAAGGTTTTTAAACCTTGAAGCAATGTCTGATTTGCCCGTTCCGCAAGTCCATTCTGCCATGGCGAGCGAGGACTAGACAAATCATGTTGAATTCCTTTCTCAGTCAGAAAAGCTTCAAACTGCTGAGAAGTGAATTCCCCCCCGCGATCACTGAAAAGAGTCTTTATCTTCTTACCATGCACATTTTCCAACCAAGCACAGAATTCCTTGAACCTAGGAAAAGCCTCCGATTTCTGCTTGAGATTGTACACAAAAATATATCTAGAAAATGCATCAATGAGAACCATGAAGTATCTATTTCCACCCAAAGAGGGCGCTAGTGGTCCAACCAAATCAGCATGAACAACCTGGTATGGTTCTGTAGCTTTCCTACTAGACACCTTACCTTTCGCAGCCATTTTGACCTTGTTTGCTGCGCATGCTTTGCACTTCATGTGGTACCTGCAGGGTTTAATAGTCATACCTTCTACCAAGGCAGGCATTTTAGATACTGCCTCAAAATGCAAATGACCAAATTTTCGATGAAAATCGTGAATACATTCTGCATGCAAACTTTTGTTAGAACCTGCAATGCAACAAGTGTCATCCTGCACCACATCATCATAATACAAAACAAACAAACGATCAACATATTCTGCATGCAATACATAATCATTTTTCTTTGTGATGATGCACTTCTTGTTCTTGAAGGAAACGTCAATGTTCCGCTCATTCAGCTGTCCAACGCTGAGCAGATTATGTTTGGCGTCTGGCACGTAAAGCACATTCTGTATCGATAAGTCCAAACTGTGAAGAACAACAGTTCCGTAGCCTTTACTGGGAATAGTGTGGTCATCCGCCTGGTGAATCGCACCTTCCTGCGGTGTAAAAGACACAAACAGTTTCTTATCGTTGCACATGTGGTGGGTCGCCGCTGAATCAACAACGAAGAAAGATCTAGACGTCTTCTGGACCTCTGCAACCTTTGGAGTGAAGCGTGAAACCATAGCCTTGGGCTGCGTTGTCCTAGACACCGGACCTTTGCCTTTGCCTCGGCCTTTTCCGCGCGATGAGCTTTCGCTGCGCTGCTCTGTCTTGGCCCTGGGATGTCTGCATTCCCTCTTCATATGGCCTAGACGTCCACACGAGTAGCATTTCACTGCCTTCAAAGCTTTGGCGCCATCTGGTGGTTCCACTGCACTATGGGATGACGTCTGTGAAGACTCCCCCTTGCCCATGCAGCTAGCACCCCGGCGATCTGCTTCATTTAAAATCACGGCAGTAACAAAGTCCACTGTCAGCTTGTTAAAGTAAAACATAGTGGATCCTGCTTCTGTCCTTAAGTGAGCCTCTCTCAAAGCGTCCCAAATTTCTCTGGCTGAGGTCTTATCACGCAATAGACAGAGCTCTTCTGGGGATACTATCAATGTAAGAGTTCCCCTTGCTTTGGAATCCTTAGCTTCCCATGCATCTGTAACTGGAACTGGGGGTTTCTGTAATCACCTCAAACAAACCCTCTTTCCGCAGAATTGCCTCTGCATACTGAACCCAGTCGGCATAATTTTTCTTGTTGAGCTTAGGAATCCCACAAGCATCCTGAAGGGCCATCATGACTCTGGCATTAGCCTTCAGCGTCATATATATGCTGCTTTAAATCTTGCTGCGTCACTGCTGCAGCTGCCTTATTACAAAAGCGCACTTAAAAGTTACTTTCGATTTCCCCAGCATAGTGACTTGTGCCTGGGAGCCTTTGCCTATTCCCGGCAAAACCGGCTTTAAAAGTTCAAAGTCCAGCCATAAAGCCATTAACTTGAAGCTGGCAGGCTGCCCGGAGCAGTAGCACATACCTCATCAATCACCTCTACGCGCAGAGCAGATTCCGTTCCGATCTGTCCCTCTGCATTCCGATCCTTTGCCGGCACTCCGATTCGACTTCTGGGCCCATAACCACGTGTTGATTTAAGCAGAGTCTTGTGCCCAGCGGAAGGATGAGGAATACGTGCTGCATACTCCTTATTGCTTTATTTACAGTTCAAAGCTGGTATATTACAGAAAGACATCTTGCCTCTGCCGGAGCAGAAAATGCATCCTCTCTCCTCGACAGCTCGGAGAGAATCACACAGTGAAAAACAGGAAACCAGTGTACGTCACATCCAGTCTCCCTTTCCCGTGAGAAACTCCAACAGTACAGACTGTGGAATGTAAACACCTGTCTCGTGACAAGCAGAGCTGCACAGTGAAGGAAAGCAGAAACCAACAGAGGGAACCGCCAGAAGGCGCTCAGCGCTGGACCTCAGCGTCTGGGCAGAACAATGGGGGTGGAGACGCTCCTTCAGGTAGTGGTGTGCTTTGAATAGTAGAGTAAGGTGCCCAGTGGCCTACAAGACTGGAGGATTTTCCATTGCTCTCAGAGGGAATTTCACAGAAAAATACAACTGCCTACAGTGTTTATGTTATGTATTCAGTGGTCTGTGTTTACCTGAGCTTGTCTGGACTAAGGATTCTGAGCCCCTGTGTTCTGATTCGATACATGATATCCAATCACAGAGCATTTCAGGATTTGGGCCTCTGCCATTGGCCCTTGAACTCTGAGTCGTGATTTGCAGCTTGGAAGTTTAGACAGCCAATCACTTTGGGAGTGGGAGTGGCCCAGGCCTTCAGGAATGTATATAAGCAGTTGCTTTGCCCCTGTTTCCCAGTAATGTAGTTCAACAAAGGTTCTTCCTGTTGTTGCTGTGTCTTGCCTCATGGGAACCCACCTACACTTCAGTTTACTTCGGAGGACTGGGCTTTTTGGGTCTATTCATCCATCCTCCTCATCAATCACGCCACTCTTAGCATCAACTGCTTTCAAGGCAAGCAGTTACCCTGGGTTGCCAATATCTGTTTTGAAAAATAAGCTAAAAAGCAGGGAAGGCATCCTTGTCTATCTAAAAGGGACCATACATGCTGATGATAAATACACATGTACTAATAAAATTACTTTGCAGGTCACAATGGATGCAGAGAGATTCTGGAGTCCAGGGCTCAAATTAAGCCTCAGACAAACAGAGGCTTTGTGGGAAGGGAGCCAATGCAGGAACGTGCTTGTGGAGCAGAACCTTCCTCCCCAGCGGGGGTGACAAAGGTCGACCATGTCTACACAGTGGGCAAGATGGATAAAGGTGGCAGCCAAGGCAATTAACGGAGGCTGCAAGCTTTACACAGGCTACTGGTAGTTTAAAAATTGAATGGAGCCAGAGGCTGGCATTTTTTCTCCCCCAGAGCATTTCCCTGCTTCAAAGGAAATGTCAGAGAGCAGGTGACCTGGCTGGCTGCATTCCTGCTGCTCAATGCCCAAATGGGGGAGAACATTACTTAGGCTGGTGTGTCATGATTAAAGAGAACAAAAGGCAAGTCAAACCAGCCCAGTCATCGCTGGCACCACCTGCTTGTTCAACACACTGGGTCATGCAGAGCTTGCAATTGAACCATGCAGCACAAAGGAACAGGCTTGCCCTTAGAGAATACTGTAGTGCCGGGAGACTGGGATAAGAAAGGGATTCCTCTAGACCTGCTCTACAGGCACAACTCGCTTCATTGCACTGTGCAGACATGCTCCTTAGGAGGATGAGGGTGCAGCTGCAGGCAGACTGGCCGCTTCCTTTTCTGGCCACAAGAGTGGAGGGAGCCTGGCTTAATAGATTACAATATAGTGTAAACATAACTTTTATATGCACTGGGAAACATTTAAAAATAAATAAATATGTGACCCGCTTTATTGCGATATTCACTTTATTGCAGTGGTCTGGTAAGCCTGTATGCATTTCTGAAGCCTGACACAGAATTTGAGGTAGCCGCATGTAACCCATGGAGTAAGGTAAAGGTAAAGGGAGCCCTAACCATTAGGTCCAGTTGTGGCCGACTCTGGGGTTGCGGCGCTCATCTCGCTTTATTGGCCAAGGGAGCCGCGTACAGCTTCCGGGTCATGTGGCTAGCATGACTAAGCCACTTCTGGCGAACCAGAGCAGCGCACGGATACGCCGTTTACCTTCCCGCCGGAGCGGTACCTATTCATCTACTTGCACTTTGACGTGCTTTCAAACTGCTAGGTTGGCAGGAGCTGGGACCGAGCAACGGGAGCTCACCCCGTTGCGGGGATTAGAACCGCCGACCTTCTGATCGGCAAGTCCTAGGCTCTGTGGTTTAACCCACAGCGCCACCCGCGTCCCAACCCATGGAATGGTCCACCTAAAATATAATGCACAACAGAGAGGGGGAAACTAAATTGTGCATACGAAAAATCCAGAATCTGAACCAGGAAAAGCTGAATTTTTTCAATCCAATTTTGCAAAATAAACACATTTGCATTTATTTGCTTACTGAGACATAATATATCTTGCTTCCATTAATTATGAGGAGGGGCAAAGAGCTATATAGGTGTCTGAACCCCCATCCCCTGTTCACAGGCAGAAAGCATACTGTCTGAAATTTTGTTACGCATCCATTGGCAGTCTGGTTTAAAAATTAAAAACCCTAAGGCAGGCTTCCTCAAACTCAGCCCTCCAGATGTTTTTGGCCTACAACTCCCATGATCCCTAGCTAGCAGGACCAGTGGTCAGGGATGATGGGAACTGTAGTCTGAAAACATCTGGAGGGCCGAGTTTGAGGAAGCCTGGTCTAAGGAGTAAGAATAGGAGAGGCCTTGAAGGTGATCAACGTCTGTTATCACCACTAAGCAGCCACACTTGGCCACACTCTTCCCCACACTGATGATCCATAGGATTCATTTCTAAATTAGCATCTCCAAATTTTATGCTGAACTGCCTTTTTGGGGGCCTTTGCTCTGGTGAGGCGCACATGGGCCATCCTACCTAAAGGAGATCAGCTGTAGATTAGATGAGGACACAGATGGGATGGGGAAAGAGTGGTGATTGTTCCCCTGTTTAGTTTTGAGTTTGTTGTTTTGAGCCTGCTACTCACTAAGGCTCATGTGGGAATAGCAGATTTCTGAGGTAACCTGCTACTGAGGTAACTTACTGCTACAAAGGTCCCATCTCCTGTGGCAGAAATATGGGGCAATTACACTTGCCAGTTTATTACCTGGAGATTTGTAGTGCACTTTTAATTTCCCTGATACAGAAAGAAATGAGGTGGGTTATGGCTTTTCCTGGGATTTTTCTCCTCAGTCCTGTGGCCTACCTTCCTCCCACTTTGGAAGACATCCTGTTTATTACCACATGATCAGATGGTGGAGGCAAAGAGAACAGGGCGGGGAAGCAAGGAGCCCGAGAAGCCACACCTGCCTTTTCTGAAGGGTTTCAACCTGACAGTCAAGCAATAGAAATGTCACCATAAATCTTAGCCTGCAGAATGTTTACATTTGTGCCTAATTTTCTGCACCCTTGGGGTATAATCCATTTTTCCCTTGCCGTAATACAATAAAATAAAAACAGTAATATACATTGGCCCTAAATCTTAAAGGAGAGAATTATTCCAACTGTGCGATCGAATATCTCCACAAAGTGCATTCCTAAAAGCTTATTCTCTATTCTAAAGGAGGAAAAGAGAGTTTCTATCTGTTATACTTTCTCGAATCAAGTCATGAAATTCTACAAGGGGGACTCTGCTAAAACAGCACCCCACATCATGCATTTGTGATGTTTGTTTATCCCTGTTAAACAGCAAATCAAAGTTTGTTGACTTTTTCTTTCTATGGGAAGGAAGAATAACAGGATGTAGGTTACAAGTTATTTATCCACTGAATGGAGCTTAGATTTCCCCATGGGAGGTGTGGAATGTGAAATATATTTGTTTTGATTCGAAATACATGTTTGCTGGTACAGTATAGACGCAGGCATTTCCGTGTTATACACCACGCTGGGAATAAGTCATGCACATGTGCTATACATTCTGAGAAGGAGAAAACATAAACATGTTTCCAAATATACTCTGGCTTAACTTGCATGGTTATCTCTGTCTATTTTTATCAATTTATTATTATTATTTTATTCCACTTGCCTTCAAGGAGCCCAAGATGTGACACACCATTATCATCTCCTGTTTTATCCTCTCTACAACTCTCTGAAGTAGGTTAGGCTGAGAGGTGGTGGTTGCTTCAAGATTACCCAGTGAGCTCCAGGGCAGGCTGACTGGGGATTTGAACACTGCAAAGGCGGGCTAGTATGAAGGTCTGAGATTTTAGGGCTTTAAAAGGGCAAAATCAACACTTTAAAATTGGGCTGAGAAATACTCTGGTAATTGGTTCAGTTGCCAAAGCTCAGGTCAAATCCACTAGTCTCACTTGATAGTTTTGTGGATGTTTTCCAGACCAACTGAAATTTGGGGGTCATTTTTAAAGGCAGTCCTCTGGGCTACATGATAAGTTATTTGGTAATAGCAGCCAAGATACCTCCATCCAGGTAAGGTTGCAGCTGACATCTCAGTTAAAACAGAAAAAAATATGATTTGAGATGGTGCTGGATCAATAAGCACTCCCATACTGAAAACCTGAGCTTAGGCGGAGTGTAACCTCATCTTCAATGAACTTCAACTTCATCCATCCAGATGCATGAACCATCAATCACAACAGTACCTCCATCTTTTCTGAATTGAGTCTCAATTTGACCCAGTCTATTACTGTGCCCAAACACACGTTTATTTCATTTATTTATTTCCCAAAATCTATATACCACTTGGCTGTAAAAAACCATCAGAGCATAAAACAAGAAATTATCAGTAAAAACAGAAGAGTAAAAAGCAGCTATTGAAAACATTAAAAATAATTAAAATCAACAATAAGCTGAAAACCAGATTAAAACACGTGTCAGCATGCCACATGTCTGTATAGGCTTGCCTGAATAAAAATATTTCTAGCAATTGCCCAAAAGGTGCCTGATGTCAGGGATTTTCAAGCTTAGCTGCTGCCACACTACAATATTGATTTCTTACAATGTTGGGCCATTATATCTATATTTAGAACCTTGAGGGAGAGAAACTTGTCTTTTGTAAATAGAAGTTTAGCTGTCTCATTTTGCACAAGATTCTACACAATGGGAGAGGGACTGACAGAAAGAGAAATCGCACTCACCCCAGGCCTCTTCCACACAAAGGGGACGGGAGGCTTCTCACTGTAGAAAAGGGAAGCGTCATTGGCTGGGAAGTCACAATCCTCAAAGAGTGTCCCTCTCTGCTGGCATTCAAGCTTCAGCTCCTTGTAGGTCTGGCCAGTGGAGTGAGTGGCAGAAGCGCTTTGGGGGGCGGGGGGAGCCCGTGGACTTGAGTTCCGGAAAGTGTAAGGCATTGTTCTTAATCCACCTGTAGCAGGTATAACTGAGGTAGAGGGGCTGAAGAGTTGAGAGGACAGCTTCTGGAAAATGCCAGCCCTGCAAAACAACAACAAGGAGTGATTATAGGATCCAATTGCACCTTGTGGCACGCAAGAAGATCCAGACCTTTAGGGAAGTGGGCGAAAGAAAGAGAAAACCTTCTTCTGTGCAAGCAGCCCCTCCTTTTTTGCACCTGTTTGAATGGCAGGTTGACAGTCACATTCACCAGAAACAATAAAAGAAAGGAACACCCTGAGAGCAAACAGAAAAGGGAACTTGTTTGGCTTCTTCAGGTGTTCCGGTTTGCTGGATCCTTTCCCTCAGGTATGTTAACTCAGAAACCGCAAAGGGTGGCACAGAGATAACTCTTGTGTTTGGCTATGTATCATGAATCTGCTACACCCAGAAGGAAAAGTCAGGGCAGTTTCTCCATGTTTGAGTGATAAGGGGAGGGTGTGGAGGCACTGCCTTCGCTGACTCAGAAAAATGTTAATTGGCACGAAAATCTATCTGCCTATAATTTCACAGCTCCCTATGATAGAGTGAACCAGATTATTATAGATTAAACCAGGGGTAGCCAATATCTCCAGATGTTATGGACTACAATTCCCATCATTCATGCTGGCAGGTGCTGATGGGAAGTGTAGTCCAAAATGCTGAATACTCCTGGGTTAAAGGCTGCCCACAATGCAGACACACAATCATTTTATTTGTATGACAGTTTTCCAAACCATGCTCAAGGTGGCTTACAATAAGTAAATATATATATAGACATAATTACATACGTAACAAAAGCATTCATAAACTATAAATAAAACATCCAAAAGTACACATTGAACAATTTCCACATATATCATAACATCTAAAATAGATACAAAAAATAATATCAATAACAGCAACAACCCCCTTATCCCAACGAAACCTCCAAGACAATATCACAGCCTAAGACACATACAGTTAGCTACATGCACGTAGTCCAGTTCATTTGACAACAATAGAAAAATAAAAGTATGGTGTTGAGCTGATTCTTAGCTGCCACTCGAATCACATCCTCCCCTCTAGCGACAGTGAGCAGTGCAGTGCGATCCTACAGCAGGCAGGTGCACTGCAGGCAGTGGCGGAGGAAGCAGCTCAGGCGCCTGGGGCGGATCACACAGTAGGGCCTCCAAGGAGTCTGGCTACCTCCTCTCACTCAGCAGCCCTACAGCTGGGGAGGAGAAGGCAGCGGGCGAACTGTTTGGGCACCACGGAGCCTGTGCGTGCCCAAGCCACCGTGTCTCTCCCAGGAGAGACGCGTGTCTCAGGCACGCTGTAGGCCCCGCAGTGAGTGTCGCCCGGCATTCTGTCACCCCCCTCAGTGGTGACACCCAGGGTGGCCCGCAACCACCGCACCCCCCTTCCTCCACCCCTAACTGCAGGCCAATGGTTGATTCTCATATGTTATGTGCACAAGTCGATTGACCAAAAGCAGCAAAGGGCTTCACTGTGATTGGCTAGGTCAGCGTTGGCAAGGTTTACCAGCCATGGGCCGGATCACTCCCACGGAGATCGTCCGTGGGCTGGACTGGCGCAGTGCGACACCAGAAATCGTGTTCGCGCATGTCTGCAGCGCTTGAAATCGCTTCTGCGCATGCCCAGAGGACGAAAATTGCACCTGCACAGAAGCGATTTTGGGGATCTGGACATGCGCAGACATGATTTCTGGTATCTGCATATGCGCATACGTGATTTCCGGCACCTCTCGGCAAGTCACCACACCGTGCTGCGCCAATTTAGCGCAGTGCATGGGGGACTCGCCAAGCGGGTGGCTCAGTTAAGGGCTGCTCGGGGGCTGGTAAAATGGTCTTCATGGGCCGCATCCGGTCCATGGGCCGCACGTTGCTCACCCCTGGGCTAGGTCTTACCAATCACAGTAAAAAGGGGGTGGGGGTGGGAAGAGAGTTGGGTACCAACTCCCTACCTGAGACTTGTTGGTTTCTGCTTTCCTTCACTGTGCAGCTCTGCTTGTCACGAGACAGGTGTTTACATTCCACAGTCTGTACTGTTGGAGTTTCTCACGGGAAAGGGAGACTGGATGTGACGTACACTGGTTTCCTGTTTTTCACTGTGTGATTCTCTCCGAGCTGTCGAGGAGAGAGGATGCATTTTCTGCTCCGGCAGAGGCAAGATGTCTTTCTGTAATATACCAGCTTTGAACTGTAAATAAAGCAATATAGAGTATGCAGCACGTATTCCTCATCCTTCCGCTGGCAACGAGACTCTGCTTAAATCAACACGTGGTTATGGGCTCCAGAAGTCGAATCGGAGTGCCGGCAAAGGATCGGAATGCAGAGGAACAGATCGGAAAGGAATCTGCTCTGCGCGTAGAAGTGATTGATGAGGTATGTGCTACTGCTCCGGGCAGCCTGCCAGCTTCAAGTTAATGGCTTTATGGCTGGACTTTGAACTTTTAAAGCCGGTTTTGCCGGGAATAGGCAAAAGGCTCCCAGGCACAAGTCACTATGCTGGGGAAATCGAAAGTAACTTTTAAGTGCGCCTTTGTAATAAGGCAGCTGCAGCAGTGACGCAGCAAGATTTAAAGCAGCATATGACGCTGAAGGCTAATGCCAGAGTCATGATGGCCCTTCAGGATGCTTGTGGGATTCCTAAGCTCAACAAGAAAAATTACAGCGACTGGGTTCAGTATGCAGAGGCAATTCTGCGGAAAGAGGGTTTGTTTGAGGTGATTACAGGAACCCCCAGTTCCAGTTACAGATGCATGGGAAGCTAAGGATTCCAAAGCAAGGGGAACTCTTACATTGATAGTATCCCCAGAAGAGCTCTGTCTATTGCGTGATAAGACCTCAGCCAGAGAAATTTGGGACGCTTTGAGAGAGGCTCACTTAAGGACAGAAGCTGGATCCACTATGTTTTACTTTAACAAGCTGCACAATATGGCTCTTGCTGAAGGTGGAGATGTGCGTTTACATCTGATGGAGATGCAAAATCTGAGACATGAGCTGCAACAGAGAGGACTCAACTTTCCAGAGGCTGTGTATTCTTTCATGATACTACAATCTTTGGGTTCAGGTTGGGAGTCTGTTGCAACCCAGATTGCTGTGCAACCAACTGCTCAGCTGACAGTGGACTTTGTTACTGCCGTGATTTTAAATGAAGCAGATCGCCGGGGTGCTAGCTGCATGGGCAAGGGGAGTCTTCACAGACGTCATCCCATAGTGCAGTGGAACCACCAGATGGCGCCAAAGCTTTGAAGGCAGTGAAATGCTACTCGTGTGGACGTCTAGGCCATATGAAGAGGGAATGCAGACATCCCAGGGCCAAGACAGAGCAGCGCAGCGAAAGCTCATCGCGCGGAAAAGGCCGAGGCAAAGGCAAAGGTCCGGTGTCTAGGACAACGCAGCACAAGGCTATGGTTTCACGCTTCACTCCAAAGGTTGCAGAGGTCCAGAAGACGTCTAGATCTTTCTTCGTTGTTGATTCAGCGGCCACCCACCACATGTGCAACGATAAGAGACTGTTTGTGTCTTTTACACCGCAGGAAGGTGCGATTCACCAGGCGGATGACCACACTATTCCCAGTAAAGGCTACGGAACTGTTGTTCTTCACAGTTTGGACTTATCGATACAGAATGTGCTTTACGTGCCAGACGCCAAACATAATCTGCTCAGCGTTGGACAGCTGAATGAGCGGAACATTGACGTTTCCTTCAAGAACAAGAAGTGCATCATCACAAAGAAAAATGATTATGTATTGCATGCAGAATATGTTGATCGTTTGTTTGTTTTGTATTATGATGATGTGGTGCAGGATGACACTTGTTGCATTGCAGGTTCTAACAAAAGTTTGCATGCAGAATGTATTCACGATTTTCATCGAAAATTTGGTCATTTGCATTTTGAGGCAGTATCTAAAATGCCTGCCTTGGTTGAAGGTATGACTATTAAACCCTGCAGGTACCACATGAAGTGCAAAGCATGCGCAGCAAACAAGGTGAAAATGGCTGCGAAAGGTAAGGTGTCTAGTAGGAAAGCTACAGAACCATACCAGGTTGTTCATGCTGATTTGGTTGGACCACTAGCGCCCTCTTTGGGTGGAAATAGATACTTCATGGTTCTCATTGATGCATTTTCTAGATATATTTTTGTGTACAATCTCAAGCAGAAATCGGAGGCTTTTCCTAGGTTCAAGGAATTCTGTGCTTGGTTGGAAAATGTGCATGGTAAGAAGATAAAGACTCTTTTCAGTGATCGCGGGGAATTCACTTCTCAGCAGTTTGAAGCTTTTCTGACTGAGAAAGGAATTCAACACGATTTGTCTAGTCCTCGCTCGCCATGGCAGAATGGACTTGCGGAACGGGCAAATCAGACATTGCTTCAAGGGTTAAAAACCTTGCTGCATGATGCCAATCTTCCAGAGAGTTATTGGGCCGAATCTCTCTCGTGTTTTGTTTACAGTTACAATCGCAGGTTATCTGCGGCGATTGGTGGTACTCCTATGAGAAGATGTTTGGCAAGAAGCCATACATCAAACACATGAAGATTTTTGGTTCTGACATGTGGGTTCGCTCACCACAAAACTCCAAGTTAGACAAGCGTGGATTGCATGGTATCTTTCTAGGTTATCAGAAAGGGTCTTACAGAATAATGATGACTGACTCTAAGACAATTAAGCTCACGAGAAGTGTCGAGTACAATGCAAAGTGGGGGAGAATGTGGGAATTTTCCAATGTTATCCTGATGACGGTGATGAGACTGAGGATAGTCAAAAGCAACCACAACAGCCCACACCCACTGATGAAGGTTCTGAGTCTGAATCTGAAACTGAATCGGGTGATTCAGAGGATTTCGAGAGTGCGAAAGCCTCTATGCGACCCTCTGAAAGCTCTGATCAAGAATTGGAGGAACCATTGTTCACAATAGGTCGTTTTTCTCCTAAGAAGGAAGAGGAGAGTGTTGAAGACTTAAGGCTAATTCGTAGGTCACAGAGAGCCACAAAAGGCAAACCTCCAAAGAGATTTGCTGATGAGTTTGCTAAGATAGCAGTAACAGCTGTTAAAAGCTCCAAGAAGGTATTTGAACCTTCAAGTTTCCAAGAAATCCAGGGTTTGGATTCAAAGGAAGCTGAGCCATGGTTAAATGCCATGAAGGCTGAGCTTGATTCCTTAGAAAGGAACAAAACATGGGAGCTAGTTCCAGTAGTTCCAGGAATGAAACTGCTTGGAAGCAAATGGGTCTTCAAAGCGAAGACAGATCAAAATGGCAAGATAGTCAGACACAAAGCCAGATTGGTAGCCAGAGGTTTTGCACAGGTACCAGGTGAAGACTATCACGAGACCTATTCACCCACAGTGAGATATGAAAGCATTAGGCTTATGCTCAAGCTAGCTGCAGAGGAAAATCTACACATTAGTCACCATGATATTAATACAGCTTTTCTGTACGGATCTCTAGATGAATCACTTTATATGCTTCCACCTGATGGCGTACAGGTAAAACAGGGATTTGTTTGTGCTCTGAAGAAATCCCTTTATGGTCTCAAACAAAGTGCACGGTGTTGGCACACAAAACTCACTGAAGTATTGTTTTCTCTAGGTTTTCAGCAAGGGAAAGCTGATCCATGTGTATTTGTCAAAGAGGAGGGGCAAAAGAAACTGTACTGTTTGTTTTATGTTGATGATTTATTATTCTTTTGGAAAGATGTCGCAATGTACAATAACGCCCTAGCTCAACTGAAAGAGCACTTTGACATGAAAGATCTTGGTGAGGTAAACAACTACCTATCTCTGGAAATAGAGAGAGATCAAGATGGTAACATTCTAGTACACCAGTCACGGAAAATTGCTGATGTGTTAAGCAAACTAAATCTGATGGATGCTAAGCCTGTAGACACACCGATGAAAACAGGTTATCAGGTAGATGACACTGAAGAAGCATGTTCTGACACAACACTGTACAGGAGTGTGCTAGGCAAGCTAAACTTCATTGCCAGATGTTCAAGACCAGACATTGCTGTTAGCTGTAATTTGCTAAGCAGACAAGTCAACAATCCTAGTGTCAAGGATTGGAAAGCTCTGAAACGCATAGCGCGGTATTTGAAAGGCACTATGCATTACAGACTGAGATTTAACAATCAGAAGTCTGGTGGTCTTGAGATATTTGCAGATGCAAGTTTTGGAAGTGACGCTACAGACAGGAAAAGTACGTCTGGAGTTTGCTATATGTACAATCAGAGTCTGTTTGATTGGTCATGCAAGAAGCAAACAACAGTTAGCTTAAGTACTTGTGAAGCCGAACTGAATGCACTGTCTTATTCACTTAAGGATTGTGAATGGTTAGTACAATTGTGCAAAGATATGAAAATTCCTGTCAAATGTCCAATCCAGGTTTACCAGGACAACAAAGCATGTTTGGCTTTGCTGAAGTCTGAAGGTTGTAAGCAAAGCACAAAGCACTTGCAATTAAAGTTGCAGCATGCTAGGGAATGTATTCAGAAGGGACTCGTAACAGTGTCCTATATGCCAGGTAATGAAATTCCTGCTGATGTATTGTCCAAGATTGTATCAAGGGATCAACACTGTACCTATGTGCAGAAGTTGGGTTTGTACTGATATTGTGCAAACACGCTGCCCAGTGATGTTCACAGAAAGGGGGAGGATGTTGGTTTCTGCTTTCCTTCACTGTGCAGCTCTGCTTGTCACGAGACAGGTGTTTACATTCCACAGTCTGTACTGTTGGAGTTTCTCACGGGAAAGGGAGACTGGATGTGACGTACACTGGTTTCCTGTTTTTCACTGTGTGATTCTCTCCGAGCTGTCGAGGAGAGAGGATGCATTTTCTGCTCCGGCAGAGGCAAGATGTCTTTCTGTAATATACCAGCTTTGAACTGTAAATAAAGCAATATAGAGTATGCAGCACGTATTCCTCATCCTTCCGCTGGCAACGAGACTCTGCTTAAATCAACAAGACTATGCATAGGAAAAGCTGGAATGAAGACACTCCACACTCCTGAGTGATGGGCAGCTTGATAATTTCATTCATTCTTGTTTTTTATAAGAGTACAAAGGGTCTTGTACCTTATATGGAAGCCCTGTATTCTTGTACATGCTTTATAATTTTCACCTGTCTGGCAATACTAGATCCCAAGCCGGAAACTTACTTGTGACGTCAAAGTAGTGAAAGGTGTGGGGGTGGGGTGGACAGACCTTTCAGGTCACAATAAATCTTGGCCTCCTACAAGCAGGGTCAGGTAGATTTGAAAGAGTCAACATTAGCCCTTAATACCTTCCAGGTGTATCTCTGGTTCAGGTAAATGCACATTAACACCCCTTAGAGATTTTTTTTTTTGGGAAATATTAGGTGCCCTACAATGCTTTTAAATAAGTAATAGACTTGTGGATGGAGGGAGGAGAAGGCAAATTCTCAATAGGCATTGTCTGCTAGACAGGAATATAATAACCCAGCCCTAAAGACCACTTACGAAAAAGAGACATTGTTGTCTGTCGGGCAAAAGCTCAACCAGTTTATCCAGCTCTTGCAAAATTCTGTACAGGATGAAAACAAAAGAAAGCCTTTCTTACGTTTTTAAATAGACAAGACAAACCCCAAAACAAATGAATAATTGAGATCATAAGTATAGCTACATAAATACTATTACAAAAAGATTTAGTGTCAGCTTAAAACTGGAATGGAAAAGGTGATGGTGTTAAAGTCGTGACACCCCGTGTGATGTTATTCACATAACAGTCAAATCAGCCCTGGGTATTTTTATACCTGAGGTGAAAAGTTAAAATGCCACACCCACCTCGTATATGTTTTATGACACACAAACCAAGAAGTCAGAGGCAAGAAAATGGCACTTCTTTTGATATGTGCTGCTCAAAGCTACTAAAATAGGTTGTTTCATGGTACATGGTAAGGCTCATGCAAATAGTCTTCAGAGCTTCTCCTAATACTCCTATTCATGTTTCTTTGTATGTTTGAGTAGCAACCCCTTGATGTTAGAATCAATGGTTTGTGTACCTAATTGTCTATACTGTATTAATTTCAGAATGTGTAGAGTGAGATAGATTTCTCTACATATGTGGCTTCTATGCTCATAATATGCAGTCATACAGGTCAGTTTTTATAGGGTTGATTTCAAAGGCGGAAGTGATGTCTGGGGGGAATTTCTGGAAGGTGACTGTCCTGGATTATCAGCAAGTAAACCCAAAAATTACATGGTTTTTTGTTTGTTTGCATTTTCAACAATTTCGGTGGTTTCCTAAAAAAAACCCTCAACAGCTTTCGGGGAGTTCTGGTTTTTAGTTTTTTGAAATATGGCAACCCTAGCTTTTATTATTCTATATTACAATATATTTATTTATATCCTGCCTTTCCCCCAGTGGGACTCAAGGCGGCTTACAGATAAAATCAAGAATCACTAAAAACATAGAAAAAATATTTAAAAATAATTAAACATTAATAGAATTAAAACTATATAAAACTATATAAAATCTGTTTAAAACAGACAAATAATTACAATTAAAACAGAATGGCACCATCCCATGGTCAGCTAATTATGTCCCTGTTTTCCCTTTATTATAAGTGCAATAATAAACCGTGAAGCAGAGAGTATTAACTCTGTAATCAATGACATTTCCTCAGTGCAGGAATATGCAGCTGTCCCTTGTGGGGATCAAACCTGCATCCTTGGCGTTATCACCACCAACTGAACTATCGGATTGTTGATGTGCATCGAGCGTTTATACCTGCTTATGTTTTTTGGCCAGTTTCTTCCAACTCTTAGTCAGCAAGTTTCTCAAGTGTGAAGTCCCTAGTCAGCAGTTCCATTTAGCAACCTACAACCTGTACCTTGAATACAATCTCAATGTATGAATCTATGTTTCAAAGTCTTAAAATAAAAATTCATATTAGTAGCAAGATACTACATGCTGCATATCACATAGTTTCCGGAATAATATATTACATTGTGTAAATGTTCAAAGATGCTAATACAATAAGCAACATGCTCTCAAATGGCAGTGTTATCAGCCACACTTGCCAATTTCATGCAAGGAAGAATATGGAGAAAACCACCTGCAGTATTTGCAGTTCATGTTCACAAGGGGGCAGACTCGTCTAAAGAATAACAATCTATTGTGGCTCCCAATCAGAGCCTTAAAAAAACCTGTTTCATCCATGAGTATACTTGGTGTCTGGGTGTGGTTCATCTACAATTGTGTTTGTATGTGAGGGGTTGTGATTGTGTATGATGTTGTGACAGTTAACTCTTCATGGGAACTGTTATTAAGCATAACTTTACATCTGCAGAAAAATTCCATTTTATTTTTTGTGTGTGCAACGTGCCACATTTATGCTGTTGTTTCTTCACTGGGTATAATGTGCAAACTGGAATTGCAGATCTGAAGTTGGAGAACACTTTTCTCTGGTCAGAGGTTATTAAACTAGGAAGGGTGATTGATCTGACCTTTCCAAGGCAAGAGATTGCCCCGGTTACAGTGTTCAAACAGGATCTTGTAGGATAAGTTTGTGCAGGTAATGAGTTGCGTATCTCACCACCTTGCAGTGCACATTCTCTAATCTGATCCTGCAGCTTGCTGTGGTATCTAGTTCTGAATCTAATCCTGTCTTCTGTCCCTGGAAGTGTCCAGCAAAAAGCATTATATCAGCTGAAAAGAAGAAAAGCCATTAAGCCTGCTAAGAGAAAGATTTTTCATCCGCTGTTAAAAGGCACAAACTCCTGCGCCTTATCTGCAGTAAAAAAGCAAGCCACTTGAAACACCGCTATGAAACAAATCACAAAAGCTTTTCATCTGAATGGCCTCCTTGATTAGAATTAAGGTTTTGTTTTTAAAAAGAAAGAAATCAACCCATACTGCTTTTGCCATTTTCTGGAGCTGAAACAGCATATTGAACAAAGGTTGTATGTGCCTTCTGCATGGCTGTCAGATTTTAGGAACTTTGAAACTCTGGCTATTCTTGCTTTTGATCACTACATGAGCTCTGAAGATAAAATGTAAGCATTCCCTGATCTTCTCTGAATGGACTATAGAATCATAGAATTGGAAGGGACTCCAAGGGTCATCTAGTTCAACCCACTGCAATGCAGGAATCCTGCCCTGCAGGGTAGGCTCGAACCACCAACCTTCTGGTTAACAGTCAGACGCATTGGCTCACAGTGCCACCTCTGTACACTCAAAGTTATGTGTATTTAGAACACTCAAAGAACCCTGCTGGATCTGATCAAAGGTCAGCAAACTGGTCAGCAATTTTTTTCAGCAGGGGGCCAGTCCACTGTCCCTCAGACCTTGTGGGGGGCTGGACTATATTTTTTGGGGGGGAATGAACGAATTCCTATGCCCCACAAATAACCCAGAGATGCTTTTTAAATAAAACCACACATTCTACTCATGTAAAAACACCAGGCAGGCCCCACACATAACCCAGAGATTCATTTTAAATAAAAGGACACATTCTACTCATATGAAAACACGCTGATTCCCAGACCGTCTATGGGCCGGATTTAGAAGGCGATTGGGCCAGATCCAGCCCCCGGGCCTTAGTTTGCCTACCCTTGGTCTACTTGCTCCAGCATTTCAGATACTCTGCTCTCCTTATGCTATAATAAATCTGTTAGCTTTTGAGATATCGGTAGAGACGGGGGAGAAATTCAATTCAGTTTACATTTAAAGGTGAACCAACCTAATCTGCTCTTTCCGAAACAATATACAAGCCAAAACACAGCCATCCTGTGAAGGAGCATCTCCACCCCCTCGTTCTGCCTGGACTCTGAGGTCCAGCTCCAAGTGCCTTCTGGCGGTTCCCTTGCTGTGAGAAGTGAGGTTACAGGGAACCAGGCAGAGGGCCTTCTCGGTAGTGGCACCTGCCCTGTGGAACGCTCTCCCAGCAGATGTCAAGGCAATAAGCAACTATCTGACTTTTAAAAGACATCTGAAGGCAGCCCTGTTTAGGGAAGTTTTCAGTGTTTGATGCTGTATTGTGTTTTTAATATTCAGTTGGAAGCCACCCAGAGTGGCTGGGGAAACCCAGCCAGATGGGCGGGGTATAAATTATTATTATTATTATTATTATTATTATTATTCAAGAGTCACATTTTTCTGAATTTTGCAATGCCGTTCTCCAGCCAAGGATTGCATACAAAATGCATATATTACAATAAAGCGTGCATAAAAATGCATTTTACTAAGAAAAATTGCAATGGAAAAATCCACAAATGTGCAAGATGTGCTTAGTGGGAGAAATTTGCACTAAAGGGCTGAATAATTTTCAGGAGGACTTTTAAAAATGCAGATTGGTGTAGAAATGTGGAGAACAGTGCTGAAGACTGGAAAACGGAGAAACAGAAATTGACAGATGGGCCTTTGCATAGATACCACAAGCCTCTCTGCTATTTATTTTCTGCAACAGATTAAGTTGACTTTGATTGTTGTTACAGAATTTGGGAGGGAATTTCCTCTTCTCCACTCTGTTGACTTGTGTTCTTTAAGTCCCTTTATGCAAGCTGAAAGCAGAGCCACTCCAATATTTTATTTTAATCAAGTACCTTGGAGCAACAGACAAACCATTTGCAATAAAACCCAGTGCCCTTTCTATGTATCTTTGGCAGTTTTTGTAAGTGCAACACCAGAAGATATATTTCTTCTTTCCCACTGGCAAATTGCTAGTTGTGCGAAATCCAGACGTCTTTGTCCAAGGCTGCACTTCTGATGTGAAGAAACCACAATTGTCCCAGCGCTCAGAACATCCGTGTTTTGGGAAATGCAATGTTTGTTTCCGAGTGAGGGCATGCATTGTGGTCATAAGTGCAGTGTGGATTGCGAAATGGGCTTGTCCTAGTGTCATGTTGCCTGCCGCACAGTGCCCATGACATCATGGCTGATGAATTATAACATTCCCCAGCCCCCATGCAGGTGCCATTTAAACGATATGTTTTATTTTACATTAAACGCAGCAGCAAGAAGAAACATGAAACATGAATGGACAAAACTAAAAGAGCTTAAAGCCAAATATCATGAGTTAATAGAATCTGTTGTTTCACAGGTGATCTTAAGAATCAGTCTCCAGGTCCTGTTGCATGCATACCAGCCGGATCTTGAAAATAATAATAGCACCATGCGGATTCCTACAGGAGAATGTATCATTTTGTGACTGGGAAATGTTCTGTTTTGCAAATGCTATTGTGTGTGTGCGCGCATGTGCATGCATGCACACACACAAACACACAGAGTGCTTTTTTCTGGGGGTACACAGGGGTACGCACACCCCTGAACACTTTGTGAATCTATGCTTGGCCTCATTGAGGGGCAGTATTTCAATATGAGTAGGAAAATGAGAGTACCCCTAAACATTTTTTTTTAAGAAAAAAGCACTCTGTGTGTGTAGTGTCATGGAGTGTATTATTTTTAATAAGCTTCTATTATTATTACAGTGGTACCTTGGGTTACATACACTTCAGGTTACATACGCTTCAGGTTACAGACTCCACTAACCCAGAGATAGTACCTCGGGTTAAGTACTTTGCTTCACGATGAGAACAGAAATTGTGCTCTGGCGGCATGGCGGCAGCAGGAGGCCCCATTAGCTAAAGTGGTGCTTCAGGTTAAGAACAGTTTCAGGTTAAGAACGGACCTCCGGAATGAATTAAGTACTTAACCCGAGGTACCACTGTATTATTATTATTATTATTATTATTAGTCACTTGTTACCTAACACAATTCATTTAAAAACATAATACTGTAGAGGGGGGAATCATATAATTTCAAACAGTTCATTTAATTTTTAGTAAATGAAGGTTTTTTTCCAACAAAAGTTTATATACCGTATTTTTCACCCCATAGGACACACTGCCCTATAGGACGCACCTAGTTTTTTGGGGGGGGAAATAAAGAAAAAAAATTTATTTTCCCCCCAGGCATGGGGCTGGAGCTTCCCCCGACCACAGCCCCCAGAGGAGCCTGCTATCTGCAAGCCTAGGGAGCCGCGCCGGTCTACCCAGGCTTGCGGACAGCTATGCGAAGCCCGGGCGCGCTGAGGCTTCCTAATGCAGGCAGCTCTGCGCAACCCTCCGGAGCCCGGCGCAGCTTGGCGCCGGGTTCCGGAGGGTCGCGCAGAGCTGCGCGGACCCCAGGAGGGCAGGCAGCTCTGCGCGACCCTCCGGAGGCCGGCGCGGCTTGGCGCCGGGCTCCGGAGGGTCGCGCAGAGCTGCGCGGACCCCGGGAGGGCAGGCAGCTCTGCGCGACCCTCCGGAGGCCGGCGCGGCTTGGCGCCGGGCTCCGGAGGGTTGCGCAGAGCTTCCTGAAGCCTGGAGAGCGAGAGCCTCTCACTCTCCAGGCTTCAGCGAAAGCCTGTATTCGCCCCATAGGACGCACCCACATTTCCCCTTCATTTTTGGAGGGGAAAAAGTGCGTCCTATAGGGCGAAAAATACGGTAATTATGCTGAAGGTCCTAATTTTTAAGGGCTGGATTCAACTAAATGGTTGCACTTGCATTGAATCCTATTCCTGCAATAGGGCATTTCTCCCTCTTTTCCCTGTGCACTGAACTCCAATGAGCTCTGGGGGATTGAGAAAAACCCCAGAGTATCGTGTGGTGGGAAGAGTGGGGAAATAATTCCATATTAGAAACATAAATGCTTGCGCCGGTAGAACGATGGCCTTAGCATGACATTGAGTTCTACTCTTAAGGCCTGAGCTTTTCCCTGAAGAGCACCATCCCTGTTTAGAATATACAAAAGCTGTGTTAGAGACTATTTACACAACTTCCTGCTATGTCCCATTGTTTCCCCTGCAGGATGAGGTCCTCATTTGAGTTACTTCTCTTTTAGGGGACAGAGAACAGATGAGGAAAAATACTGTGAGGAGACAGCAAACTCGGAACTGATGAAGCGGCCTCCTCAGCCAATGTTTGCTCTTCTCACGAGGAAAAGGAAAGAGCAATGATTACAAATACATGGAAAAACACATATCTCAGGACACTGTGCATTGGAGTCAGAGAGCAGAGGGGGCAGCTAATGTGTAACTTAGGTTAGGCAATCAGGGGGATAAAATAGGAGCACAAATTGTCACTTGGAGTCAGATCCTGAGCGCAGGAAACGGCAGGAGATCCACTTCACAAGACAGTGAGTGTGAGAGAGGTGTATATACTCATTTGCAGACCTTATAATTGTTGAGGGGAAAATGATGCAAAAGGGAGTATCTAAATAGCACTGTTATTCATATTATTATTTCACCCTGTTGGTAGGAAATAAGTGTCTATCCTTTTCACAAATTCATATGTGTTACAGTTTGACGTCCCCCCCAACAGAGGTTCCTTAATAATGCATTTATACAAATGTATGTTGAGACCACACATGGAATACTGTGCACAGCTCTGGCTGCTGCACCTCAACAAGGGATGTAGCCATGGCTGCAACTTGGATAGCTTAAAAAAGAGATTTAGATAGGTTCATGGAATATAAGGCTATAAATAGTTGTGATGGCAGCCTGCCTTGGAATTTCACTTGCTGGGGATCATGAGTAGGAGATGCTGTTCTGCTCATGTCCTGACGGTGGCGCTATGGGCTTCCCAGCAGAATCTGAATGGCAGGAGTCATAAGAGAATGCTGGACCAGTGAGACCTTGGAACTGATCCACTAGGATTCTTCTTATATGCTCTAAGATAATGTGTGTGCCTTATTTTATGTCCTAAAGCTAACAAGGTTAATTATTATTTTTCTCTAAGATGGCAAGAAACAGGTTAGCTTAGTGCAGTACATTAATTTGCAACATATACCTTTGCAGCCATAAGGTAGAATCAACATTTTGCAGAAGTCAAGGGCTAACTCCCCTAATAATAATAATAATAATAATAATTTATTTATACCCCACACATCTGACTGGGTTTCCTCAATGGCCCTTGAGATGTACAGATTGCAAATAAATGTAAAGAGAGGTAGTAAAAATGGAAAGGAATTAAATATTTTAACACCTATGTGAAGTTAGATGAAATAGCCAAGAAGCTGATTGAATTTTTTTTATTTACTGTGGATGTTCAGTACAGTCATGGGAAGAGAGAAAAGGATGGTGTCAGAAGAGGTGAAAAGGCTGTGGTCTTCAGTTAGGAAGAGTCCTGCGATGAAGTGTGGGATGTTCTGAGTGGGAAATTGTTGTGGTGCTCTTGGTCTTTATGCTATCAGTCTGAGAAAGATAACCAAACCTTACTCAAAAGCTGAGACCTGTGCAAGAAAAAGGAGGAAAACATCCTGGTTATCTGCATAACGAAAGATTCTCAGCCGACAAAAGTAACTAGGCTGCTTCATGCATTTAAAAATAAATAAATGGCATCTTGGATAGAAAAGGGCTGCAGAGTTGTAATTCTGACCTTACCTCAGAGGTCTGACAGATTCTCTACCCTGCCTTAGTGGCCACAGAAGGGGCTCTGAGGATCATCTAGTAACTAGTTCAAGGCAGGAATATGCAGCTGTCCCATACGGGGATCAAACCTGCAACCTTGGTGTTATCAGCACCACACTTTAACCAACTGAGCTATTAGGCATGGATGTCTGCAGGAGAAGCCCTGTGTATATGGGCCTCTGCCCACAATGATCAGTGTTCCAGAGCGTGTAGATGGAGTGGCTCCTTATACACTACAAAAAAAAGTGTTGCAACAGGGGTAGGGGAATGAAGACTCAGATTTACATAAAACATTGTACAAGCTAATGTAGAGATGCAAGTTTAGAAATAGTTCTTCTAATTAAAATAGAAATGTGGCACATCTCATCATAGGAGGAAGACTACGACCAGATGTCCTATGTACCGGCTGACCCTGCTGTGCAACTTCAGGGTCCCTCCTCTGTGCTCAGATTTGTTTATTTTTTTAATCTTTAAACCAGACTTGGCCTGGACAAGTCTTCAAACAAAGGACCATATTCAGGTTCTAGCTGGTACTAACTGGCCCGACCATCTCTGCTGGATGATGCAAGGGCACAGCACTAACAGAGATATTTTGGAAAGGGTCTTCTCTTTTCAAAGGTCATATTAAACTACTGCCAGATGGGACAACATAAAGCAGGATGTTTTTATATGTACTGTAAGCCTCCCAGAGGGGCTGGGAAAATAATTTTTTATTATTATTATTATTATTATTATTATTATTATTATTATCATCATCATCATCAAGGATTGTGAACCAGCTGCAGCTGCCAAGTGGTTTGAGGAAATAATAGAAATAGTATTAACCAAACAGTATTACCATTGAATCTCTTGGGAAATTTCTGAGAATACTGAATTTCAGAATATCTGGATTTTTGTACATAATGTCCACATAATGTTGAATATATTTGTTCTAGGCATTTTGCATCTCCAACAACAGTCAGTAATTTCTGGTTTTTGTATACCAGTGAGTAATTTATAAAAATGTTCTTAAAAATTCATGCATAAATTAAAAAGGGGAATTTAAAAAAGCAAAGAGATGCAGCTCTTACCCATTGCGTAGGTGACCAGGTTTCACTATTGCTTTGAGTACAGAAAGTCACAAGTTCATTCTTGTACAGCCTACATAAATAAGGATAATAGAATCATAGAGTTGGAAGGAGTCCCAAGGGTCATCTAGTCCAACCCCCTGGATTTCAGGTCATAGGGTAATAATAATAATAATAGTATTCATCATCATCACCATCATCATCCCTTCTGAGATCTTTAGGACTTGCTGCCAAATAGCCAGTTATGAGCTAAATAGACCCATGGCGTGATTCTTTATAAGACAGCTTCATATTTTCACATGATTCCTGGTTGAGCAGGAAAAGGAAGAAAGCTTACAGCATCTAGTAGTTGTGATATAGAAAGCAGCCAGATTCCCAGGTTCTAAAGCAGAGGTTCCCCTTGTTTTTCAGGCCACTATCCCCTTGGTTCCATAAACTCATCCCCAGTGCTCCCTACCCTACCCTACTCTACCCTACCATATAAAAAGCATTATTCAGAATAGCAGCCTGCACTGGGGAAGTTAACAACACAATGAAAGTCAAGACAGTTAACAATTAATTGCACATTTCTTCATAATCCAATTAAAACTATTTGGTTTGATTATTTCAATAAAACCGATGAGCTTGATCCAATGATAGTCTTTTGCATCTCCAGTGCCCCTTTTGGGAACCACTGATCTAAAACGTGACTCAAATACACCATGTGATCAGTCAGTTACAGCTTTTTTGCATAGTAACCCTTAGATCTGATTGTGGTTTTGTTAACTGATACGGGTGAGCACAGGCCTTTTAATCTCAGAGTCTGGGCCAATAAGCCTAGCAAGCCACAGACTAGAAGCATTTCCACCCAGGGCAGAAGATGGGAGGTACAAAGTACCTCCCGTTAACTGGTTGTGGCTTGAGTAGCCATTTTACCTGGCAGAAATAAATGCTTGGCAAACTCACAAAACCTCCCTTTGTTGCTTTTTTCCTTCTTCAACAGACATCGCTGAAGTTGCAGTCAAACATGAACCCCGGAGTGAGTTTTTTGTGCTTCCTTCTCTGCATTACCATTGTGGGCTGTGACCGGGTCTACGTCCACCCATTCTATCTGTTCGACGTAGGAAACCTAACTGGTTGCAAGAAAGTGGAAGACAGGGAACAGCAGGTGAATAATTTTGTCCCCGTCTCAAATTTATCTCACATCAGTTCGGCCCATGAGGAGGGTGTCAGAAACAAGAGCGAGGGAAGAAGTCATTTACGGAGAGAGCTGAGAGACCCAATTTATATTATTGGTGCACGTTTCTATGAACAACTGAGGAAAATGCACAAGGAAGAAAATATTCTTCTGTCCCCCACATTCAGCTACGAGTCCTTGCTAGCCTTCTATATAGGGGCCTCTGGTGAAACAGCAAAGGAATTGCAGATTTTTTTAGGATTTGACTCCTCATCCGTTAATCCAAACTGCACCTACAGAATTGATGGGCGCAAAGTATTCTCTGTACTGAGCAGCATTGCTAAAAGTCCATTTCACTCAAAAGAAGATGATCAGCTGTTCTTCGCGAAGTTCTCCTGGCTTTTCTCTGCCCCCGAAATCCGTTTATCCGAGTCCTTTGTCAATGATTTGGTCTTTCCAAACATGAATCTCTTCGTACGAGCTGTGGACTTTACAAACCCCACAAAGGCAGCAGAAGAAATGAATGCTTTTGTCAAAGGCACCCACCAAAGTAAGAGTTTGCTGGCAGACATTGATCCAGAAACTAACCTCCTGTTAGCAACTTACACTCATTTCAAAGGTAAGTGAGCAGGGAGAATTCCAACTTGTTGAAACCAGTAGCAATTCTATAGGGAATCAAATTTTCATCAGGTGAACTGAATTTATGTACCCCATAATGCCACGCTGTTCACTTTTTGAGTATTAAATCTTCTATTCTAACGTGGGAAATCCTCTAATGCATGTCTGGAAATTTATATCTGTACACTTACAGGTAAGTCCATGTCTTTGATGGCTTGCACATGCTTCCCTAAGACTGTGCTAATGTAAGAATTGCCCAGCAAGGTTTTACACCAGCTGTTTTCAAAGATGGACAGCTAAATGTCATAGGCAATATCACATGCAGTAGCTACTGCCACAGTTTGTCTCTGGCACAGGAAGTCAAAGCCTTGTAGTATACTGCTCTGCAGATTGAATTTCTGTTCCCGCCTACCACAGGAAATAGATATTGAGGGAGCAAGAATTGATTTCATCTGGTTTAAAGGACAGAAGCAATTCCCATAAAAATTATTTCAGTCAATATCTTGCGGCAATGAAATCAGCCTGTCTGCTGTGTTATGTGGACATGTGTGCACGCACATTGATATTTTCATGAGAAGCCTTCAGTGAGCCACTCTCTCTACCTTTCCCCCATCTTTCAAAGCAACAATAGCTAATCAGCAGTAGGGATGTGCAAATAGGTGAGGAATCTGTAGTGTGCTCCTATAACAATACGCCTTGGCTCACACAACAGCCACTGGAAATTCTTGGAGCATCTAACGGGGCTCCAAAGTCTACTGAAAAAGAAAAAAGCTTCTAAACAGTCCAAGTGCATACTTAAAGTTTCTAGTAGGTTTGCAGAGTCAATGGTTTTTTTTTTTGTTTCTTTTTACACAGCACTAGGTGTATAGAAGGGACACGGGTGGCACTGTGGTCTAAACCACTGAGCCTCTTGGGGTTGCCGATTGGAAGATCAGCGGTTCGAATCCCTGCGACGGGATGAGCTCCCGTTGCTTGGTCCCTGCTCCTGCCCACCTAGCAGTTCGAAAGCATGTCAAAGTGCAAGTAGATAAATTGGTACTGCTCTGGTGGGAAGATAAATGGCGTTTCCATGTGCTACTCTGGTTTCGCCAGATGCGGCTTAGTCATGCTGACCACATGACCTGGAAAAACTGTCTGTGGACAAACATCAGCTCCCTCAGCCAGTAAAGCGAGATGAGCTCGCAACCCCAGAGTTGGTCGTGACTGGACTTAACTGTTAGGGGTCCTTTACCGTTTTCAGGTGTATAGAATAAGAGGGTCCTCAAGATTCCTTAACTAAAAATCATAGAATCATAGAATTGTAGAGTTGGAAGAGAACCCAAGGGTCATCTAGTCCAACCCCCTGCAATGCAGAAATCTCAACTAAAGCATTAAAAGCAATAAGCCCAATTCATTGAAGTAGCGTTAGTGTGTAACTGACTTTTGCATCAATTAATTGTTCCACCCATTAGTGATTTCTTCTAGAATAACCCCAAGGAATTATGGATTTTCTCTTTTACCACTCTGCCAAAAAATGGGAGGAAGGTTTAATTGAATTTAACAGTCAATTTTACTGTTTTTATTTTGCTGTTCTTCATTTTTTTAAAAAGTCATATTAAATTGCTGTTGTTAGTCATCTGAATTCTGCTAAAGAAACAGAGTGGGGAGTAAATGTTTTAAATAATGAATTAAAAGAAATTTCCGCCAGTGTGGCACTTTGTGAACCAACCAAATGGATTAAAAAATCAACTCCTTTCTCCCTATAACCATATTCCGATTTTTGTTTTCAGTCTCTGTAAAGGGAGCCTCCCTACTGAAAGAACCTCAGGAATTCTGGCTCAGTTCACACAAAACAATCCCTGTACCAATGATGAGAATAACCGGAACCTTTCAGCATAAATGTGATCCCAGCCAGAACATTTCTTCCATCAAAATTCCTCTCAGCCAGGATTTATTTCTGCTGCTTTTGCAGCCCACCAATAACAGTGACCTGGCCAGTGTTGAAAATCAATATTCCATGAAGGTTCTTTCCAACGAATGGCTGGTGGGACTGTCCCCAAGGTATACTTTGTTTATGCAACATTACATATTTGTGGGACCAGCAACAGTCAGGGGGGATAGCTGTCTCTTTTCACTTAGATCCAGTTGCCAGAGAACTGGTAATGACAGAGTTTCTCCAAGTTAAACTCAGCCACCTCAGTCCAAATAGTAATACCTGTCATTGACAACAACATTTAAATCTTGATCAACAGGTATTTAGAAATGCCAGCAAAGAGTATTTGCACCCTCTGCCTTTAAAAAAATAAATAACAGGGCTGTCTAATTTTCTCCTTTCTACTCCTAAATCTGTTTTATAATCTCACTTATTATCTCTGTATGCTAAGCCAAGGAGAGGTCTGGTGAAGGTAAGAGCTCCCTTTTTCTTTACTTTGTTAAAAGAAAGAGGGGAAAGGGACCGATGCATGCCCTCCCTTATTTTGTGCTGGGCATCCGTGGGGGATTAAGTATCCTCACAGGGGCCCAGAACAAAATAAGATCTATTTCCCCTGATACTTAGGTGGATGTTATGAGCATACTATGAGAGAGGGCAGACATAGGAATCATCTCTGTTCTGCCTCTTACTCAAATTTCAAAGGGTTTCCATGAGAGTGTTTTGCCCAAGAGCAGGGTGTTGCTAGAAATAGATGCATGGGCCCCAAATCATTTTCTAAAGTGCCCTGAATGGGTAGATTTTGACTTTGGAAGAAAATGGATTGGGGGTGATCTGAGTTGTTGGGTGGGATATTTATCTGGGGAAGTAAGGTGATTTTTTAAAAAATTCACCATATTTGTGTCCATCTTATACCCAAAGTTCTCAGGGTGCCTTACATAGTAAACACATATTAAAAAATATATAAGGGCAATAACCAAAACGTGATCACACCAAACTTTCCCCCAAGAAGACGTATTTTTTATTGCTTGTCATAATTCTATTACATTATTTTGTCTAAAGATGATTTGGGAGGTAATGACTAGGGTAATTAAATTGATGGAAATTAATTGGAAGTACAGTAAATGGATTGGAGAGGAGCTGATTTAGGACCCAGCTATATTAGTCAAGAAAAAGTGTTTTATGTGTTATAACACTGTGACACCAGAAGGCGCTGTGGAGTCCTGTCTTTTGCCAATGTGATTTCCCATAATGAGGTTTACAACACGTTTTCCTGAAACACTTTTTTGATGCGTCTAGATCCAGCCTTGTGCTCACTTGGGGTGTGGTGCAAATTGAAGACTTGACCTGGGGGTGACTTCAGTGGGGATTTAGCTGGCTTGCCTTGTCACCTTTGACATTTCTAAATTTGCACATCCATCGGGGCAGCCTGTCCTATTTCGCCTAGGCAAAACAGGAAGTCCCCCCCCCCGGGCAAAGTCTGTCTCACTGGGGTTGCATGGTGGTGCCAGCAGCTTCCAGTGAGATCTTGTGACATCTCACAGAACTCTCAAGACAGCTTGTGCCAGCTCTGCAAGATCTCACTGGAAGCTTCTGCGAGTCCTTCTCTGGTGTCAGAGGTGGGCAAGGCACCTACAGGGACACTGCCCTGTGAGATTCTGCCGCCTGAGGCTGGTGCCTCAGTCTGCCTCATGGGCAGGCCGGCCCTGATCTCCACATACACAAATTTGCTAATATATTTTCCTCTCTTTCTCCCTTCTTGTATCTTCTTCAGACAAATCCAGCTGACTTTGCCAAAGGTGTGCTTGGAAAGCACATATGATATACAGGAACTCCTTGGCAAAATGCCCCTGTCTTACCTGCTTGGAAATAAAGCCAACCTCACACGACTAAGTGACAACAACATAACTGTTGGGAAGGTAGGGTCTATTTTCTACGCAAAAGCGCAGGCGCTTTCCATCTTCCACACAGAGACAAAGTCCATGTAAACAACAGAATAGAGAGCAGGCTAGTTGTTGTAGAGAGCAAAATCTGTAGTGGGCGAAAGATGAACATTTGGAGCAGATGCCAGGAAGGCATGGGACCAAAGACAACGCTATGAGAGGACAAGGGCTCGAGGAATCAGAGGACAAAGGGGGGGGGGATAAGACGTTACATACAGATGAATGATTTTAAAAATGAAAAGAAGCCTCAAAAGACTGCAGTGTTGAGTGAAAGGGAGGACGAAGAGAGGAGAAAAAAGGGTTCTTAGCCTTTTTCCAGCAAGAAATTGTGTTTACTGTTAGGCAATTTTAGACTCTGGACTCACTGAGCAGTTGACTTTTTAGATAGTAATGTGTTATTACTGCTCTTAAAAATATGTTAAGCCAGTACAGCTGCATTCTGGGCCATCCAGATAATACTGCTGAATGGAGCCCTCTGTGTTGTCTCAAACTGTAGCCTAACAGCACTACTGCCCACCAGACATTTTGGAGAAGGATGATGATGATGATTTATACCCCACCCATCTGGTTGGGTCTCCCCAGCCACTCTGGGCATCTTAAAACATATCTAAAAACATAATAAATACATCAGTCTTAAAACATCGCTAAACACTGTTGCCTTCAGGTGTCTTCTAAAAGTCAGATAGTTTATTTCCTTGACATCTGAAGGGAGGGCATTCCACAGGGAGGGCGCCACCACCAAGAAGGCCCAGAACCAGCCCCTTCCCATTTGCTTCTTCCCTTTAGGTTTCCAAATATGTATTTACATGTAGAAGCAGACTTTTTAGTCTCTGCTGGGGAAAACACTACTAGACCAAGGAACACTTTTAATGGGAAATTGGTTGCAGGGAACATATTGAGCATGCCTGCAACTCCATTCAAAATGGCAGCCTGCCAAGCATGCTTTTCACCTTCAAAAACTGTTATGTCATCACCACATATATTTATCCCCGTGTTCAGCCTGTTCCACTTATAACACTCTCGCCAAATAAGTTGCTAAGGAGGCTTATAATCAGTCATTTACCCCTCAAAGCAACACTTTAAGATACTTTAAGTTGTCAAATATGGCAGAGTGTTGTTTATCTACATATTTTGAAATGGAAGGAAAGGAAAAGGCACGTCTGAAATTCCTTTTCAGGTCCTTCAGCAGAATGACACCTGCCTTGTAGAGCACGAAGGCCACCAATATTATGCCCGTTTTGTCAGATGCTACAAACACTATTTTAAAAGGCTTCTCCAGAAGATTGTGTTGACTCCCAGGCAGTATCTGAATTCTTCTGAGAAAACTGCTTTAATTAGTTGCATGTAGCCATACCACACCACGGTGATATTTGGCCATGTTTAGTGGTCTGTAAATACTTGAAGGAAATAATATCAGAAAGAACAGTTGTGGATTCTATGTTAGCTATGTGAATATGAAGCAATGACCTAGTCTGGCATTCTACTGCCTCTTAATATAAACCAGGGATGGGGAACTTATGACTCTCCAGATGTCGTTGGAATCCAGTGCCCATCGGAATCAGGCAGCCTGGCCAATTGTCAGGGATTATTATCTAAATGTATGGAGTGATCACTGATCAGTATGGAAATTTCAGCCAAGATGGATTGCTAATGTGAAGCATATTTCTAATACAGGACCATACTGTACTGCCCTAGTAAGTCTTTGGGCAAAGCTGCTTCAACAAGTCTTCTGTAAACATTATGGGTTGCTTCTTGCTGCATCCCATGTCCTTTTGTTTAGCACTTTTCATACCTTTTTATTTATGGGGATTGCCATTTGTCATCTCTTTCTGTCATACTCCGCTGAGCCAGACTCTCAAATTCACTGGGCTCCTTTCTGCTTCCAGATCATAAACCAGCAGCTTTTGGAGCTCACTCCCAGGACAGCAGATGAAGCAACAGACCCCACAGCAGGAAGTCAAGACACCGAGGCACTCAAAATAACACTGGACAAGCCATTTTTGCTAGCAGTGTATGAAATGTCAGGCGCACAGCTTTATTTTGGCAGAATAACAAATCCCCTGAAAGGAACATAAACTTCCACAAGGGGAGGAGGGAATGGCTTCCCAGACTTCATTTGATCTTTTCCTTGCTTAGCAACTGTTTCTATAATCCCACTGAGTCCTAATTAGAGATTTTGAAATGGCAAAACTGATGTATCTTTCGATTATAATATTGATAAAATTATCAATAGTGTTTAGCAACATCTTTATTCCATTAAGGGGATAGCGTGAGGGTAGATCTGTTTACACCAACATCTAGGGTGCCACACAAATGCCATAATATTGTACTTTGCCTGTTGCATGTTAACTTCTCAGTAAGCCAGTCATCTGTACAGTTCTGCCAAGAAAAGTTCAACATACTTTTGTACCTGATTATCACTTGGTCAGTGGTTGGATATTCATTAACTGGATTATCCCAATGCCTTATTTACTTGAATTAATAATGCTATTCTAATAGATGTGCCGTTTAAGCAACCCCAGTGAAAATATAGTCTTAGGTCAGTTTCTATCAAATAAGAATTGTTGTTTGGATTTTTTTTAAAGGGAGCATAAAGAATAGTTTTCTATTCTTTTCAGCACTTTTCTTTTTCATAATTTCCTGTTCACTTATCAAGATTCATCCCCTATTGTAGATGCTATTTAATCTCAACATTTAGTAAGCCAGGTTTTCCTTTTTTATTAGATTCACCCCCCTCCCTAAATCCTCTAGGTTCTCACCATAATTATATTAGGTGTGTATCATATTGCAGGTTTAATTTGCATGCTGGCTTCTCACCTGAGACACCAAAGCAGCTCCAGAGCAAAAATAAATAAATATTCTGATTATCAAGCAATATTGAATCAAAAGGTTGGAAAAGAAGATACTGCTAGAAGGTAACACAGATAAGGAATGAAAATAAAAGTACTGGTTGATATCAGTATATTTTGCCAGTGCTTCATCACCTGTACTAGTTTCCAGCCCATTTTGGAGCTGAATTGGTTGTGACCTATAAAGCCTTAAATATATTGAGGATAGCAAACCTGAAGAATTATTTCTTCCCCTATAACCTGCCCACATCTTCACCAGAGACCCTTTTTAGTTTTCCCATTTTGTGAGGTAAAAGAGATGGGCAATGCCCCTCTTTACCCTGGCCTTTGATAACTGTCATGACCCACTCTGTTTCTGTGTCTAATTTGCTTTAAACTGTTTTTAATATTGAAAGGGTGTGGAATAAATTGAATACATAATACATAATAATGGCCACAAGAGTCTTTTGGAGGGGGGGATTAATTCTCTTCAACCTTTCAGTTGCTTTCGATACGCTCACCCCTGCTATCCTTTTGAAGTGACTTACGAAGTAAGGGGTAGGTGGCGCTGCTTTGTGGTGGTCCTGGTCATATTTGGATGTTAGTTTCCCGAAGGTGATGCCTGGGGAGTGTTTTCGGTCTCGTGGAGCATTTAATGGGGAGTTCCTCAGAGTTCCTCAATTTTATCCCCTGTGCTATTTAACATCTACATGAAACATCTGAGGGGGGTCATCTGGGGTTCTGGTGTACGTCGTCAGCAATATGCTGCTGACACACAGCTCTGCTTCTCCTTTACAGCTGCAGGTGTGGCAGTGGATGTGTTGAAACATTGTCTTGCCTCAGTAAAGGGCGGATGAGAGCCTACAAATGGAAGCTCAATCCAGAAAAAGCTGAGGCACTGCTAGTGGGCAGTTCCTGAGGCCCTTCTTTGTGTGCCCCCTCCAAGGAGAGGTCTGGAGGATGGCAACACGGGAACAAGCATTTTCTGTGGTGGCTCCCCACTTGTGGAACTCTCTCCCCAGGGAGGCTCACCTGGCGCCCTCATTATATAGCTTTAGGCATGTTTCTCTTCAACCAGGTGTTCAGCTAGTTAGCATTCTAAGGTTTTAAAAATATGTTGGGGGGCGGTTATTGGTTTGTTTGTTTTTGTTTTACTATGTATTTTGTATTCTCATTTTTTATTTTTCTGTTGTAAACTGCCCTGGGATCTTTGGATGAAGGACGCTATACTACTACTACTAATTTTTGCACCTGACATCATCCATCCCTCAGAAGCACCTGCAACCTCAGCTCTTACTATCTACAACAGTTATTATCCTTCTCTTTGGGTGAAACAGGGCAAGAGACAGACCGAATCATTTTATTTCTGTTGATATATTTATAGCCCCATTTTTACTATAAAATACTCAAAGCAGCAGCAATCTCATTTAAATATCATAAAAAATTTAAAATCATTAAACCTCAAAACATCAATGTGATAATCAGTTTAAATGAAGCAACGAGAAGCCTGTTGAAATAAACAGACCAACTGAAAAGAAATTAAATATGTAGCCTAGCCCCTTGGGAGAATGTCCCACAAGTGGCTCTGCTTCTTGTGGCTGTTTGTCAAACCTCAAACGGCAATACAAAGAGCCACCCAACATCAATCTTAATAGGTTTGGGACAAGGTATTTCTTAAGGTACTGTGGTCTGGGGTCATTTAAGATATTAAAGGTTACAACTTGCACTATGAATAGAGCACTCCAGAAGATAACTAATGGAGGTGCCGTATCATCAGTGTTTGGATTATGGGGGAAAAAACCCATGTTATATATATATATATATATATATATATATATATATATATATATATAACTTGGCAATTATCTGTCCTTTAATGATACTTCCAAATTAGACTCTTTCCTTTGGGTAATTGTAGGACCTGCCTTGAATGGGGCTCCCAGTGTGTTCTCATCCAAGCATTGAGCCACATCCTGTCACCAATTAGGTTTTTCAGATTAACGGCTAGAGCTATATAAAGGGGATACCCAAAATTATGGAAATGTCTAATATTATATTATCCTACCTTTAAGGTGCTGTTGTACAGGTTACTGAGATAATAATCTCACTGAATACTCAGAAAGGACTTCATAAATGCTAAAAGGTTAAACATAAAGGACCCCTGGAGGTTAAGCCCAGTCAAAGGCGACATTGGGGTTGCGGCGCTCATCTTGCTTTCAGGCTGAGGGAGCCGGCGTTTATCCACAGACAGCTTTCTGGTTATGTGGCCAGCATGACTAAACCGCTTCTGGCACAACAGAATATGGTGACAGAAACCAGAGCACACAGAAACACCATTTACCTTTCCGCCACAGCAGTACCTATTTATCTGTTTGCACTGCCATGCTTTCAAACTGCTAGGTTGGCAGAAGCTGGGACAGAGCAACGGGAGTTCACCCCATTGTACGGATTCAAACTGCCGACCTTCCAATTGGCAAATCCAAGAGGCTTCTTAGTAACAGTGCATCAATACTGAAGGAAATGCAAATAAAAGCAGAAAACACACCCAACATTTAGCACGATTGGGGAAGTCGTAATTTGATCCCAAGGAGGTGGCTTCAATGTTATGCTATCAGCAAACCTCCAGTCAATCATCCCCAGTCTCACCAGAAGTACAGTGGTGCCCCGCAAGACGAATGCCTCGCAAGACGGAAAACTCGCTAGACGAAAGAGTTTTCCGTTTTGGAGGTGCTTCGCAAAACGAATCTCCTATGGGCTTGCTTCGCAAGACGAAAATGTCTTGCGAGTTCCTGCGGGTTTTTTTCCCTCCCCCCCCTTTTTCTAAGCCGCTTATCCGCTAAGCCGATAAGCCGCTAAAAGCCGCTAATAGCGCTAATCCGCTAATCCGTCAATGGGCTTGCTTCGCAAGACGAAAAAACCGCTAGACGAAGAGACTCACAGAACGGATTCTTTTCGTCTTGCGAGGCACCACTGTATTTAAATACTAGCTATACCGATTCCCCAAACAAAAGAAGTGGACAAAATTGCAAAGGCTTGATGTTACTCTAACTAACATACCATGAATAAGCAGGGTGCTTTCTTTCCAAATTCACATTTATTTGGTTCCTTCTTTATGATGGGCCCCAAAGGAAAAATCACAGGGCAAACAGGCATGCTGTGCCATTTGAAAACAACAACAACAATAAAAAAATCCTTGTATTCCTCCAACAAGTAGACATGATAATCTACCATTTTGTGAAAATAGTTGGAAATAAAAATCTTTATAACGCTTTAAAGTATTTAAATAATTCTATATCCCACCGTATTCAAAAAGCTCAGAAGTTAACAATACATTTTTGCTTAGCCATGTAATAAATGTAGGTAAGTCAGACTACATCAAGCTTTCAAACCAGACAGGTTTTTAAACCAGGAACGCCTTGGATGGTGTGAAACAAATACGCCAAACCATGTACATTAGATTTCAAATGACCTCAGAGAAGTATATACTTCCTTAAGGAATGCATAAGGTCACTTGACTATCTTATGAGCTTTTTCTGAACGTGGATGTTAGCAGCAACAGGAACAGGTAGTGTGTTTTAAGGAGTTTGCATGTAACTTATGATGGTTTTAAAGAGGTGCAAATGAAAACCCCAAACCCAAAAGTAATCCTGAGTTTTTCATGAAACAGACAGACAGACTTTTAGGTGATTTAAGACCCTTCCAAGACTCAAGACAACCACCTCAACAAATGTTTCTTTTTCTTCTTAAAAAAAAAAAGTAAGTGTGACCTCTTTGAAGACAAAGCTCAGGAGAATGCTTTCTTGCCTGTTTTAAAATTCAAGAATAGCAAAGCTTATTTTAATCTCTTCTACACAACCCAACGTTCTAACGTAAAAGGTATGCTTAAAGGTAAAGGTAAAGGGACCCCTGACCATGAGGTCTAGTCGTGGATGACTCTGGGGTTGTGGTGGTCATCTCGCTTTACTGGCCAAGGGAGCCGGCATACAGCTTCCGGGTCATGTGGTCAGCATGACTAAGCCGCTTCTGGCGAACCAGAGCAGCGCACGGAAATGCTGTTTACCTTCCTGCTGGAGCGGTACCTATTTATCTATTTGCACTTCGTGCTTTCAAACTGCTAGGTTGGCAGGAAAAGGTATGCTTAGAGGTCAGTAAATTACTATTCTTACATTGTGTGCAGATTAATACTACAAAGCCACTTGAACTTACATATTTAATACATCTCCTCTCCAGTGATAAAATGTTACAAAGGAAGACAATGCTTTTCTTGTTTATTTTAATCATGTTAAATCAGTTTTCCTGCATGATAAGATTTACAATAATAATAAAAATAATAAAAATAATAACAACCTTTCATAGCTTTGTAGTAGATTGCTTAGAAATATATAAACTTTCTTCCATACAATGGAAAATGAGAGTAAATGCTCTTCTATAAGGTTCTCTCCTTTTTGGTGAAACAAGTTTTTATGTCTCTTGAGACACACTTAACTTGCTGCTGAAGCTGAATTAGGAAGCACTTCCTTGCTACATAGTACTTGATGAGAGAAAATAAAAAGAAACCCTCTTCTTTTCAGAAGCCAGGCCTGCTCTCTCTTCTCAGCTGAAAATCATGTTTGTTCTGCTGCTATCTGATCCTTGGCAGATTGAACAAGCTCTGAAAGAGCTGAGAAGCTTTTGATGTTGCTCAGCTGCAATCCCATCTTCTGTATCTAAAACAAAATATTACAGTTCATTTATTATTTTTGCAGGCAAAAGCAGAAATTTCTTACTTAATCATTGCATGATCAGAAGCTCTATAAGACACGCACATAGAAACTTGTCTTGTGTTGACAGCCACTTCTTTTATTTAGCATGCATTTGACAAAGTTATTTTTAGGCAGCTGGAATAAGTATCATTTGACTTGGCTAACATTCCAGTTACTTTTGCTGGTTGGGACGTTTTGATGTTTGCCAAGCATAAAATAGCATGTGTGTGGGCAACTGCTGTTGGTACCTGATGAAGTGCACAACTTGAATACTTGCTAACGGATCTCAGTTTTGCTGCCTGGGGTGCAGCGTAATACAAAATAGCTACTCCCACCAAAAGAGCAGTAAAGAGACGGGAACACAATGGTTCAAATATGGAAATCTATTCCATTTTGATTGTTCACAGAATGCCTTCAGCTGACTCCTGAAGGCCAACACTAAGAGGAGACCATTTGAGGGGCAGGGGTCTGCAAAGGAGAAAGCCCTTCCACTTATTTCCTGCCCGAAATTTTAGTAGGGACAACAAGCAGAGTCCTACCCACGTGAGTGCCAATTATAAAGACTGAGTTTGCTAACAGTGGAGGAGGCCCTCTTGCAGTTATTTGGGTCATGTGCCAAGACAACGAAACACCGTTGCACAGCCTGAAATAAATGCTTACTTCCCTTTCAAAGGAATGAAATATCTGCTTCCAGTTATTTCTGATCCATCTGTATTTACTCAGGCTTTCGTTGTATGGTGACTTTTATCCTCAGCAACAATACCTGAATAAGTGTTTCAATGAACTGTTGGTATTTTTCTCTTGGTATTGTGCTTTTATTGTTATTCTGCTGATGATTTTAAGATGAATTATACATCACCCTGAACCGCTCCCCTCTCATTTTATTTCACTTTTAATTTGTATACCACCTTCCTATGTTGCTATACACAAGGCGGTTTTCAGTGGTTTACAAGCTTTGGAAGGAGGCAGATTTATATACCCCAGATAAAGAAAATTGTTATCCCGCAAAAACACACATACATTTGTGTCTGCATCCAACTTACCTGAATTCCAAAGTGCTCCACATCCAAGGCCAGCTGCAGGCGGATTTTGTTATCATCACTCATGCCTCCATTTGGAGCGGTGCTATTTGCCATCACGGTTTTTCTTGCCTGCTTCAGCCTTTTCAAACTCTCTTCCATTTTCTTTACAGAATTCAGAATATCTGATATTGTCTCAAAGTACCTGAATAAAGAGATTCATTAATGCATTAGACTGTGAGCCCCTTACGGACAGAGTGATTAGCATTCAGAAAAACAACTCTAATCTGCTTTGAGCCCACAGGGCACAGCCAGATAGAAACAAACAAAATGTGTGTTTGTCGCTCTCACTAAACTCAACAGGACTTAAAAGTTTGGCTGGAACATCTCATAGCTGTTAATACTTAGATTCTTCCTTTACCTTACCAGTAAGTTGTGTATACGATATCAGACCCACAAAATCGACTATTATAAGTGCGTATTTAGCATCCGGGACCAAAAATGCCATGTGGGACATGGGTAGCAGTTTCTGCAGGGCCAACTCCAAGTTTCTATAGGCTCTGGGCAATATAAAGGCAGTGGGCTCTGCAACACCCATTCACATGCTGTTGCCAGTCCTGCTGCTGCATTCCATCACTGCAGAGCTGGGCTGTGTAGAAGGAGAAGGGAAGCAGCAGCAACAGGGAAAGTGGCGACTGATAGAGGCCAGAAGACCAGGGTAGCATCAGGGTGGCTGGCCTAAACTATGGAGGAAAAGGGTCAAGGAAGGAGGAGTTGGCTTGCTTGCCCACGTGCACTGCTGGAATCAGTGCAGGAATTGGTACAGGCCTCATGAATGGAGGAAGGGAAATGCATTCCATCACTGCAGAAGGCTTGGCTGATGCAGCAGGGGCTGCATGATGACAACAATAGGAGTTAGGCAATCAAGCATGTCCAGTGGGTTCATTGTCTGTAAATGCCTTTGCATACAAAACAGTAAGATTCTAAAAAAAAACAAAAACAACTCCACACCAAAGTTTCCTGGGAACTACTGTTAACTGAAGACAACCTGGATCGTTTGAAGAGAAGAAGAAGAGTTTGGATTTGATATCCCACCTTTTACTCCCCTTAAGGAGTCTCAAAGCGGCTAACAATCTCCTTTCCCTTCCTCCCCCACAACAAACACTCTGTGAGATGAGTGAGGCTGAGAGACTTCAGAGAAGTGTGACTGGCCCAAGGTCACCCAGCAGCTGCAGGTGGAGGAGCGGGGAAGTGAACCTGGTTCACCAGATTACGAGTCCACTGCTCTTAACCACTACACCACTGCTGGCTTCTACTACGAAGGGAGGAGCAAAGGGGTTATGTGCGCAACCAAAGTGCTCACTCACATCTTATTTTATCTAGCCCAAGATGTGATTGTCTTAACCCACAGTGGCTTGAGAAAAGTTGAGTTTTTAATGCTGAAATACCCTTGTGAAGTTGCAGTAAATTTTCACTTACTTTTGTGTGCTTTTGCCAAGGGCTCCTTCAAGCCACTGCTCAATTACAGCTGGTTTTAGTGTATCTTTGTAGTCATTCTTCAGTTGGTGGAAAGGTTTAAGAGCAGTGTCAACATAGGGCAATGCTTTGGTTGGCACCTCCTGGTTAATGTTACACAAATTGACAAGAAAACGAGTAAAAAGCTCGTTATTTTAGAGTTCAAAACAAGCAAAGCTCAACATGCTCATACATAAGCAGTACATGAGAATTCAATACTAGGTAGTTAATCAAATGGTTTTTTAATACATATACATATCACCTAAACCTCAATTAGGTTCCTTTTTGAGCCTACACATTTGACTTTTTCAGAAAAAAAATGTATTTTCATTGTATTCCCATCATACCAGACATAAACATGCACAGAAAGGGTTGGGGTAAGAAACTGCTTGCCTGATAGTGTTGAAGTGTGTTAAGTAGTAGTTTGTCTGAATTAAATGAATATGACAAAAAGCAATGGACCTGTTATCAAAGGTCCTGGGGGAAAATGGGAAACTAGAGATCTCAAAGTTTGTGTAAAGAGCAGGTCTGTTCCCATCACATATAAAGTGGGGGAAGGTTTTGGTTTGAGGAAGTCTGCTGATGCCAGTCTGCAGTAATGCTATACACTAGGATTCAAACATACAGTATTCCTACTACCTTGGCTTAGGTGGGCATGGCAGGCTCAATTGAGATCCATAAAGTGTAAATTAAACTAGGAGAAGTTGAAAACTGCATGTAACACAGATCGTCATTAATCAGCATAACACTGTGCTCTTCCATCTCATATAGCTAATTGATGATATCTCAGGTAAGAAATTATATGCCAAAGCTACTGTGCTTCATGGGGTTGGGGGCTATCAGCTGCAGGTAAGTGGTCAAAACATTCTATGCTGCTGACACAAGCCTTTATTGTTTAAATATGAAGGATGGGTTACCTTATTGGTTCTTCTATATAGCCTTGGAATCTCAACAGCACTTTTCAGGCAACCGAAGCAAGAATCACTTAACTCCTGAATAAGCTTACTGTTCAAGGTTGGCCAGCAACCCAGTAGAGAGTCCTTTGAGTCTTCCAGGGCTCCTGTTAAGAAAAAAACAAACTGTGGTAAAATCTGAGCTCCCCTGAGATGAACACACACTTTTGGAGTATTTCTTAAAACGTGTATACTGCCCTTCATTAGAAATTCCAGGGCTATTGCAACAGTCTTTTTCAACTCCCTTATCCGCCCCCCCCCAATGTAATCAAATAAAGAAGACAGATACTATTTCTTATGCTGCGTTACACTGACAATTCACAGCACGGTCTTCCACGAGGTTTGGATGGGCGTGAAATGACTGGTTGTCTGCCACACCCAAGCCCTGCTAGCTTGCTCCAGCCAGAACAAGAGGCACGGAGGGGTTGCCCCTCTTCCTTCCTGTGTGGATCTTCACCACCACCATTGGTTCTAGAAGGGGGATTAATTAGGCCAATCCTGTGGCCTCTCAGATGAACAAAGCGCCTGGAATCTAACAAATCCAAGGCTGTCTCCTCCTCCCCTGCCCCACAACTGGAGCAGCCTTTCAAGGGGTCTAACATTAAGTAACAAAAAACTAGCAGAAACTCAATGTTCACAGGGCTATCCACAGACATATCAAGGGCCTCCACAGTGGACGCCCCACTCTGCCAGGCTCTTTTCCGTTGGTAGATAAGACACCACTGGTTCTTCCTATCTCCCTCTACTCAGCGAATCTGTGCTTGAGGATCTTTCTGCCCGGATGCATTAATATTCCAATATATCTCGTTCATACACATACAAAAGGCTTGGGGGCACTTGCTAAAACACTGCCTGATTAAAGTTAGGCCATCAAGCAAGTCCTGTGGGTTCATGACTATTCTATGTTCCTTCTTCATATGCAAACATCTTCTCCTTTCCCTTTCATTTGTAAAGCTAATCAATAATAATAATAATAATAATAATAATAATAATAATAATTTTATTTGTACCCCACCCACCTGGGCAACTCCCAAAAGAACACTAAAAACAGAATAAAACTTCAAGCATTAAAAACTTCCCTAAACAGGTCTGCCTTCAGATGTCTTTTAAAAGTTGGATGGTTGTTTATTTCCTTGACGTCTGGTGGGAGGGTGTTCCACAGGGCGGATGCCACTACCAAGAAGGCCCTCTGCCTGGTTCCCTGTAACCTCACTTCTTGCAGTGAGGGAACCACCAGAAGTAAAATATGTATTATACTTGCACTGGCATTTTTGCTACCACAGTTAGATCTAAATCACAGTTGCAATCACAGTAAAAAGTAAATTTGCAAACTGCGGTAGTGAAAAATATCAGTGCAGCTGTAATGTCACTTGATAGCTCACTCCAAAAATGAAGGCAAAGAAGATTTCTGAACAAGCAAGAAGAAGGAGAGAGAGGACCAAGCAAGCCACAGGCAATTTCCTAACCATAGCCTGCCAAATAAGGGTAGGGTGTCGCATGTATAAAATACTGTGCAATTTAGAAATTTCCTCAAATTATGGTGAATCTTCTTGAATCAAAAATAGTCTCTCTCATTAAACAATTTATCTCCATTAGGCATTTGCCGATATACTTCCCAGCAGAGTATGTTCATTATATCATATCATGAATATGTAACAAAAAATATAAGCAGATACCTGAACTCACATTTACCTGAGATGCAGGCTATGTTCTTGAAACCAGTGGTTTCAAGTTTTGGTTTGATAATTTCCAACAATTCAGGAAACTGAAAGAAAAGTAATATTCAAACAATTACAGCTACGTTTGAATATGTTTTCTCGATATATTCAAATTCCCCATGCACAGAAGTGTTTCTTGTGTGCAACTACAGAATATAAATTTTACTCCAACATCACAAAACATAACATTTTGAAAATCAGCTATGCAAATGTCAGACGCAACAGCAAGAGATTCTGAATTCAATGCAGCACACTAAGAAAGCCTCAAGGCAAAACATCTAGAATTCATGAAACAGTTTTATTCAAAATAGCAGATTTGCTCCTTGAAGCATTTAATTAATCTTGAACAGAAAAAGTGATCAAAAAGTCACACTCAAACAGACTTCACAGCACCCCAGTGAGCTACAAGGCTTGTGTTGCAAAATGAGAGCTTGACAGTTAAATCTTGCAGAGGGCTGAGAGGCTAATCAATGAAAATTTACACTGGAAAAACAAGCACATGGCTCACATCCCAAAGATACACAAAACCACAGAGCTGCTTTCTATAGAGAGTTGTGAAAAACTGAAGCAGCAGCAGCAGCCATGAATGTTACAAATTGATGGCAAGTTAGGCTGCAGGAGATGAAATAATTCTCTTTATGACATAATGTACTGCATTATATCTTCCCTGCAGAGAGACATACTTTAAAGTAAACAGATAAACCTTGATATATCTAAACTCCATGGAACCAAAGGCACAAAGATTAAGGAATATTTTCTGCATCTGCAACCATTATTCATACAACAGTCACAGAGATAGTATCAGCACCCTTTATGTGAGCATCCATTCTAATGCTTAAGGTTCTGGAAATTATAGCTATTACTGAACTGAAGCCTGCCATTTAAATATTTCAAAAGTTCGGTGTCAGGGTGGGGTTAATGGCAGGACAACAAAAGTGGACTTTGTGAACCCTTACGGTGCCTAAGAGACAGAAATTATATGTGTGTGTGTAAGCAACAACCATTAGCTCAAATTGAGGATACAGTAACCATAAGTACACTCAACTTAATTAAACACATTAGTTAATATAAGCCCTCCAGATGTCCGAATAAGTATCAACACAAGATTGACACTTTTAAAAATATGTTCAAATGCAGCTAGGGCACTGGACCTCAAATGCCTTGTGACTTGAACGTTTTGGCTCTCGAACGTTGCAAACTCAGAAGTGAGTGTTCCAGTCTGCGAACGTTTTTTGGAAGCCGAATGTCTGACGCAGCTTCCGATTGAGTGCAAGAAGCTCCTGCAAGCCAATCAGAAGCCGCACCTTGGTTTTCGAACGTTTCCAGAAGTCGAATGGATTCCGTTCGAGAACCAAGGTATGACTGTAGATGGCGGATGTTTATCCTTCTAGGCTTGAAGTATATTTTCCTTTTCCTGGTTTTTCTTTTTTCCTTCTTTGTTAAATTTGCTAAAAAAAATTGACAAGAATAAGCATTAAGAAAAAAGTTCAGTATCAGAGTCAGCCAGGCTCAGAGAACCTTAGGCCTGATTTGATACTTGACATGCAAACCAATGAAGTATACTAACCCATTCCTGAAGCTTATCCAGATCTGAAGCAACAAGCACCAGCTGAGTAGTGGATATGGAAGCTAAAGGCTGAGACTCTGAACAAGAGTCGTTTCCTTGGTCTTCAACAGAGCTTGGGTTCAGTGGGCACTCCTTGCTACTGCTTGCCAATGATTTTTTATCCTTTGTACTTTCGTTAGAGATGGGCCTGAGTAAAAGCTGCGATACGAAAAATGAAAATGGCAAAGAGGTTATTGCAGACATACTATACACCAAACAATACACATCTCAGCACAATGTCCATTCATAAGTAAGTTCCACTGATTTCAGTGGGAATTGCTCCCTAGCAAGTGTACAGAAGACTGTAGCCTCAGGTTATCAACATATTGCCCTAATTTGATAAAGCTACAGTGAAACAGCATTTTGGCTTGTCATACAGGGTTTAGACAACCTCCTAAAAATAACAACTATAAGAGTTGAAAGGAGAATCATAGAACTTTGAGAGAAGCCTGTAGTTTTCCTCACCTCACTAATAAAAAACGAATAGCGCGCTACAATCTGCAGTGAAAGCTTCCAAAGGCGATGTGTGAGCAATGGCAGAAATATCTGATCTGACCAACACTTCTGCAGACTTGCACATGCAACATGTGTTGCCAAGAGGCTGTACGAACTTTGAGCTGAAAAGAAAACACAGGAATAGTTAAATTATCAGTCACAATCCAGAACTGTAGCCCTTTGCGGTTTTCAAAATTATCCCAATTAGACCAGCTATATTATGAATGTTTATGGATACATTTTTGCTTTTATTCTCTTATTTCCAATCCTGTACCCATACCTGCCCCATAACTTCTGTACAGCACCAATGTTTGGGGGATCACTGACACATCTTGTGTAAAGACAGATAAGCCAAAGTGACAATAAATAATCCCGAGTCAAATATTTCGCTAACTTAAGGCCCACCCCACCTCTCACTTAATTCTGAGGAAAAGCAACTAACAGCCACCCAAGATTAATAATAATAATAATAATAATAATAATAATAATAATAATAATATTTTTATTATTTGTATTCTATCCATCTGACTGGGTCACATCTGACTGGGAGTCACTCTGGGTGGCTCCCAACAGACTATTAAAAGCATGATAGCTGGAGGTCAGAGGTAGACACATCTTATGGATTCTGGGTAGCAAAGCCATAGCTGCGGAGGAAGGGGAAAGGAAGGCTGCTACTGTTTCCTTAATAATCTATTAGCTTTTTAAAGGAGGGTTACCTCTCATTACAGAACTATGGATGGAGATACAAAAGCAAAATAATGCTATGCTGTGATGGTGCACATTTTATTTCAGTGCTACACAGAGGTTGTAGAACTACCTGTTTGTCAACTGTCCCTCCAGTCATACACCATTAAATGACACAACATTTAGGGCTGTAAGCGAAATAACTTTTGTCTTCTCTGCAGCGCAATTCATTCTTCATTCCTAGCCACTATGTCTAGCCATCACTGCTACCCAACATTTAGGCAGTGCAGCAGACAAGATTTCTGCCATAGTTGATGTCATCGGCTAAAAGCAGAAATCGTTCTTGAGAATTATTTCCTTGAGTTCACCTAGACACCATACTATTTTTCTTAAAGCACAGCTGAAGTTCCCATCAGTATAAACATGACAGATATAATTGTGAAGTGCTTTATGGTAGTGAAAAATGATTATTTGTCATTCATTCTCAAATCCTCATTGCACATGGTAATTACAGTGAAGATGTAATTTACCTGGAGCTTCTTCTAAGTCATCAGAAAAGGCTGTTTCTAAGGCCCCCGCTATTTCTCTAAACCTAAAAAATAAAAATAAAATCCTAATTAAAATTAATATTTGGCAGCTTACTGCTGCACGCTGTAGTCCAATTCCCCCAAATGTATTTCAAACCCGAATACCATAAGAATCTGTATAACACAGCAGCTATAACTGCTCCCATGTAATAGAAGAATGACAGCAGGAGAATGAGAGGCAGTATCAGAATGAGTGTTAGGTATGGAGTAGAAACAGAAGAGCGTTCGAAGAAGAGTCTGAGAGACAGAGCAGTTAGTTAATGTTGTCATCTCTAAAGAGACTGCCCCATCCTCTGCAAGGCCAATATACATTCATTCAATTCAACCCCTGGTTGTGCACTGTAGTTTCCTATGTTAGTTCTTGCTGTTATGATGAGTAAGAAAGCTGGTAAATTTCAGGAATAAAGGCCATCCCCAAATGGATAGGGCTGGTAGAGAAATGCTGGACCTTGCGAGGCCCCGAGAGGTTTCCCCAGCCTCTAGTTATCACCACTATTTTAGCATCTCTTTAAAACAAAAACTTGTGAGTTTTGCAAGCTGGGACCAAATTTAAAGTTGCACTAGCCTTTCTCAACCTGTGGGTCCCCAGATGTTGTTGAACTACAACTCCCATCACCCCTAGCTAGCAAGACCAGAGCTCAGGGATGATGGGAGTTGTAGTCCAACATCTGGGGACCCACAGGTTGAGAACCGCTGCGGCTAGAGGGAAGTGCAGATTGGTTAAGAAGCTTAAAGGGAAAAGTTTTACATTGAAAGAGGGAGGGGGAAGGGGAGCAGGGATGTGCCTTAGTTCTTAGAGTTGCTTCTGATGACCTCTGGCTGGCTAGGCCTTATGACCGTGGCACCAATGGCTGCCTTTTATTTGCTAATGGACACTGCCACAAGGTTCTGCAAACAGTTCTAGGGGATGGAAATCAATAGTTCTTTCTGATACCCTGAACATTTTTGTTTTTTAAAAAAGAAAAGTACTATCACAACCAAGTTTTCAGAAATATAAACAGAAGCAGCTTGTAAGCTTATCTGTGTTTCAAAAGAACATGTGGCAATTGCTATCAGTCTATCTGGAGGAACGCCACAGAGTGCAAAGGGTCCAAGGAACACCACAGCCAAGTCAAATGTTTCAGTCCAATTAAGCAGGAAGGTTTGGTTACCTTACTCTGGGTTTGCTGCTAACATTTAATTATTTATTCAATAAACAAGTCTAATTCTTTTGGGTACAGCTTTGTTTCACTTCACTTCACTTTTAAATCAAGCTGTTACAATAAAAAAACAAACCTTAGTTTATTAACCACATGAGTTTTAGTCAATCAACTGAATTTGCAGATGAGTAAAAATAGTAATTCTGAAATATGAAGCATAATTTGTAGATGATGGATTCCTGTTGTAGGTTACATTATCTTCTATTTGAAAACGTATGACATCACAAAAAGGTAAAATCAGACGGAATGTAATTGTTAAATTTCCAAACACCTAATAGGAGAAACTGTTCCTGTTCAATCCACATTCTACCTCATAGTAGGAAAGCTGACAGAATAGACAGCTGCAAACCACAGATAATGTGTAAGATTTGAAAAACTGTTCTATTTCAGTACTTGTTGCACAAAAAATGGAGATATATTTGGATGCTGTTCTGACAAACAGCATGTTATGAGACCAAAGGACATTTATTCCACTTTTCAACATTTTTGCCTTTGTAGGTTTCAGCAGGCAGCAAGGGACTGTGTCTTTCAAAACATGAAAAATATTTTTATCTAAATGAAGTAATTTCATGTCCCCTAAAAATAAAACTCAAATACCAACCTTATTTGGAAATAAACAGGCAAATTCCATTTATCATTAAAGCTGTGGTAGGAAGGATGTGACCGTAGTCTTTTAACGCTGGCTTGTGAGCCACACTGCCGTTCAAATTTTCTCACAAAATCCATGCTTATAGTGTATTTCTGAAGAAGGAATATTTAAGGTATATCTTTAACATACAAATATTGAAATAACATAGTGCTATTTATCAAGCTCTCTGAAATCCAGAATACCAGATATATAATTAGCAACAGAACTGGAAAACTAACTAATTTTTATTCGGTATATTTTGTTTTGTTTTGTTGCAGCTCCTTGAGGGTATTTTTTGATGAGCATGATGAGCAGAGATAACACAACTTCCAATTAATCAGAATTGAGATTTTTAGTCAATTGAGCAGGTTAAAAGGCCTAGTACTAAGGCACATCAAATGATGCTTGCTTGTATCAAATGATACTTCATGTTGACATTCTTTACATCAATATTATTGTTAATCTCTGTATAGAAAATTCAATACATGACACTGCTCTTAGTTGTTGAATTTGAGCATTCTGTATTTCAAAAATCATTTTCTAGTTTTCATATTAAACTAAAGGCCCACATTCCTTGGTTCATTGTGTTAAAGAGAAGGTTAATATGCATATTTTAAATTACCTCATGAAATGCATCTGGGTTCCCAGGATTAAACAGTGATGGCAGCTTAACTTCTAAACCACGAACTATTTCTGGCCACACAGAATTTACCAAAAAATCATATCCAGGAACAACATTCCCCTTTTCGCTGCAAAATTAAATAAACATTTTTCTTAGAAATACTTAAAATATAAGCATTATCAATAATTATACAAAAATGTACATTAGTAGGTTTGTAGCAAATCATTTGAATATTTCTACTAGCTTAATGTCAACATATTCTTGGTTTCTTATCATTTTAACATCTTGTCTTTTTGATACTACAATCAAATCCAAATTAATTAACAGATACTTCTATGAAACATATAAATCTGCTTATACAAATCTGTGGGGATATACTCAGTCTGGGAAAACTTTATAGATATAAAAAGTTCTGCTCAGCACAGAGTTGGTATTCTGGGCAGAGGGCATTTAGGAAGAAAATTTATAGCACAGCAGCAGCTAGTTCATACTTAATGCAAATACAGGAGAATGTGTTAGTCAGTGACTTGTTCCCAATAACTCAAGCAGTCAGCAGGAGAGCTAGCCAATAGTGCCCATGAACCTGCACAACCGGTAGGTGAATATCGCTACCCAGAATTGAGTTTAAGGGTGCTTCCAAATGGGCATATCCTATCCAGTTGTTGCTCTTCTGCTACAAGCTACACATGAAACTGCAGCCAACTTTCCACATCACTCAGAACATGTTGCACTGCATGCTTGTAACATCTCTCCATTATTATTAATTATTATTATTATTATTACTTATACCCCGCCCATCTGGCTGGGTTTCCCCAGCCACTCTGGGCGGCTTCCAACAGGAGATTAGAAATTTATTAAAACATCAGTCATTAAAAAACTTCCCTAAACAGATCTCCAGATCTCCACTCTTCAGATTTCCACTCTTCCCTAAACAGATATCCAGATCGGCACTCTCGAGGACTTAATTCATTTCTGACTCTATAGCACAAAGATGTTGTTCAAATGGGTGTGTGGTTGATTCAGGGTAGGATCTTGTGATAAAGGCAAAGATAAGGAGAATCATTCTTTTCTCCCAAGTCTCTTGAACAAAGCTAAACATGAGGTGCTGGCCATTAAAGGTTAGGGAAATGGGTTCTGCAAATATCAAAACCACACCTCTTTCAAAAGGCGGGTGAGTCTTTCTAAAGCTGTCAATAGTTGTGAGGCTTGTGCTACGCGTTCGTAGTTTTTGAAGTTGTATTTTCTGAGGCATAAGAATACATGGAAGCATCATGGAAGAAACATACTAGGAAGTCCATGATGTAACAACTTTGTGTGGAGTAGCAATTTCAGTGTAAATACCTCATTTGAAAGAAACCTAAGCTCAGGACAAGGAACTGGGTATGCAGAAAGCCCTATTGTGCACTTGATAATTACACTATTGGACATTCCAGCAAATGCATGTATCAGTGAGGAAAACACTAAAAGGCAACAAACATGGCTTACTTCCTCAACAGCTACTGATAGATAGTTAAGTACATCCTGAGCCTGTGCATAGACGTGATATGGGCTGGACACATTCGGTGTTCATCCATATAGTGGGCCATGTATGTGTCTGATTTTAACATCAAAAGGTCATGTGTTTCAAAGGAACTGAACCCTCCCTGTGGTCTGTTGACCGTAGCATTTTTATTCTAGTCCAGCTCATTCTGGAGCTTAACTATGTGAAAAGAGGTAAGGAGGTAACGTTGAAAATGAAGCAGGACTCAGTTTCCCTCAAGAACACATAATAATATAGACATGAATGGGAAACACACTTGAACATTATTGTGGCTGCCCCAGGGAGAAAGAATAAACTTTGTTTTCTTCTTCCCTGAGTTCCAATTTCTAAATGTAACCAGCATCACATACAGATTAGGATTTATACCCCATTTGATAGTTCGGAAACTTGGGAGGCAGAGTGAGGGAATTAAATGTTTTATAGTTCTCGTCCATCACAAACAAAATATTAATGATTTTCTCTTATGAAAGAAGATTAAACCTATTCAGGGATTAAGAGAATTGAAATGTTAGCAAAATGTTAAGTCATAGGAAGAGCACCACAATGCCTGGATAATTAGGAAAGTATTTCTGCAGTCTCGAGAGCTAAATCCTAAGCACCAATAATTGCAGGCTACTGTGTTAACTGGAACAAAATAAATGGATTCAATTTAGGTGGCCTGAATTTAATTGCAATATGAATTAGGCACTTATTTAAGGAGATAGCAATCCGAAATAATAGGCAAAGTGCTCAGTCATGTAGTTCCACTAGTCAGATTTACAATCTCTTTTTCTTTTTTAATTTTATATAGACAAATTCGCAAACTACATTTTCCAACAATTAGCTGTTACATGCTGTAACACAATGACCCATTATATGAGATAGCACCAACCTAGTACACACACATTCCAGAACTTAGATCAACAGTAGAGTTACTACAGTAGATACACAACACCCTATGTCTTGATGGAGTATTGCCCTGAATCTACTGACTGTAACCCTAATTCTGCACCACAGTCAAGCTCATAGACTTTACACTCCAGCCCACAGCTTCCTGTTGCTTGTGATTCTTCTTGCTGAATGGTGGACATCAATTCTGTAAAGGCTTGAGTTATAACAGTTTTCTAGTTCCCCAAACCACTACAAACATCAAATCCAAACAAAATACATGCAGGTGATTTGAAATTAGCTGTTGAAATCATGTCTAGCACATATTTGGAAACACCTGAATATACCAGATGTGCTAGCCTGGATTAAGAAATTAAAGGTCCTGGCAATGAAAAGAAAAATATTTCATTAATGAAGTGACAATAAAATCAGACACTTTCAGAATGAGTTGAGGTTATTCTATTGAACACCCCGCCCCCCCGGAGACCACAGACAGGAATGTGGTTCTGATAACGGTTTACTGAGTATGAAAAGAATATTTAGGGTTTTAATCTTTTTTCTTTGTGGAAAACAGTTGCATTTTCAATAATATTCTCAGCAGGTTACAGCATCTCTATTCTCTACCGTAAGATATTGATTTTCTGCAGATGAGGATCAAGAATTCTGCTTGCATCATTTAAAATCAGACTAAATCACACTCAAGAGTAGCCCCACTGAAACTGATGCACCTTAGTTACAACTAACTCAAGTCCACTGACTTCAGAAGGTCTACTTGTTTTGCGACTGGGATCCGTTCCGGAGCCCCGGCTGCTAGCCAGCCGAAGCGGACGCTAGATGAGGTGGACATTCGCAGAGGTATTATTGTATTGTCCATAGTTATAAGTGAAACCGAAACAACAATTGCTCACGCCATTTAACAAAAAAAGGTTTGTGTTACCTTGAAATACCTCCCCCTGTTACTTCACGCAAGAGCCGGCAATGGAGAGGAACAAACTCCAGCAATTTGTTGTACATGGTCTGGAGGCCATTAGGACGAGATTGAACAAACTGCTCCACAATCACCTGTCAAAAACATTTAGTATCAAATTAAAGATGCCAGACAAGAATTCCAGTGCAAAAAAGATTAAAATATCTTCCATCTACAGCCCAAAGTCAATAATTACTGCATTATCATAGCAATGCTCAAAATGCTGTTTAATAGGAGATATAAAACAGTTAAATTAGCTTTCAGTTCCTACATGCAACAGCCTCCCGATGTTGTAACACACTGACACCATATTTTTTTTAGCACCTGAACATATTCAAGGTCTAGTGGCAAATATTATTTATTAAATTTGTAGATCTTAGGGCAGTTCACAACATAAAAATGCAAGATAAAAATACAAATGTTCAAATAACCTGCTTTCTGCTCTAACTTTCTTTCTGCTTAACTTTCATAAGTCAGGAAGAGCCCCAGAAGTACTAGACATATATACAAAACACAATGTATTCTCCTGAGTCAGTTGCCTCCAGCTTCACTTACCTCATCTACATATGGTTTCACAAGCACTTCACCAACTAATGCTTCAGCATCCCGTGTTTTGTCTATTGTTGCATAGGTTCTCAAGCAATGACGGATTATGTCAATGTTGGAAGTTTGAAGACCTTCTAAAAGCAGCCCTTCCAGGGACTGCTGCAGCATTGCTGTTATCCCAACTATTCGCTATGATTTTCAAAAAAAGAATGAAAAGAATTGTTATTGCTGTGCCAGAAAAATTAGAAATATCCACTAGTTTTATTTAGTCATTTAAGAACTGCATTACAGCCTCAAAAACCACCAATCACCAATATACTGTATTTTTCCAAGACGATGCTTTTTGCTAAAAAAAAATCAGGCAAAAATTGGGAGTCATCTTATACACAGATAGTGAATGCAGAAGGGGGATGTGCGATTAGTGGCAGCAGCAAGCAGGAGATTGGCAGCGGCGATTGGGCGGGTGATTGGTGGCTGCGGCAAAGCCTGCTGCCAATTGGCTGTGGCAATTGGGCAGGCGATTGGCGGCTGTGGCGAGACGGGCAGATGATTGGTGGCTGCAGCAAGTAGGCGGGTGGGCTGTTGGTGGTGGGGAGCGGGCAGACCATTGGCGGCTGTGGCGAGGTGTGCGATCGGCAGTGGCAGGCAGGCAGGTGAGCGATTGGTGGCAGTGACCTCCCCTACCCCCCCAAAAAGCTAAACAACTTAATTTCTTAATTTTGGGTAAAAAAAAATAGGGGTTGTCTTATACATGGGGGAGCCTTATACACGAAAAAATACAGTAGGTTAAAATTCTAATCTGAAGTTTACCAGAAACCCAACCCTTAATGATTTTTATAGATTATTATTGAATGGCTGTTTAAAATTAAATTGTTTTAAACAACATGCTTGAATATTTGGGAATAATAACATTGGTTGAGGTATAATTTGAGTTAATATTACATTTATTACGTGCGTTTGCTACTAACAGTAGGAAAACTACTACTCCTACAAAGTTGTAATTATTGAAGAGTGCTGGTCATTGTACTCACAACAAAACTGACATACTGTATTTGTTAGAGTTCTGGATGGTAAACACTGCTGAGCATGTGGGTTAAAAGTGTAAAAATATAAAACAATTTGTTGAAAGGATGACATGTTCTTTACATACTGGAGCAGTAAATATCAGAACAATGTACTGCTATACATACAGTTTTAATTGATAGGCATGATTTGCTTATTTTTATAAATATATTTTTTAAAGCTTAAGAAGAAGAAGAAGAAGAGTTTGGATTTGATATCCCGCTTTATCACTACCCTAGGGAGTCTCAAAGCGGCTAACATTCTCCTTTCCCTTCCTCCCCCACAACAAACACTCTGTGAGGTGAGTGGGGCTGAGAGACTTCAGAGAAGTATGACTAGCCCAAGGAGGAGCGGAGACGCAAACCCAGTTCACCAGATTATGAGTCTATTGCTCTTAACCACTACACCACACTGGCTCTCTTTAGCTGAGATAATCGGTGATTCAGCTGCCAGAAGGCAAACAGAAACGCAAGCATTTCAGTCTCCAACAAACAAGATTTTAGGGATTTTAAGGAGAAGAGAACACATTGGCTGACTAACTGTTTGGGAACAGATACAATTTTTGCATTCTTCTTGTTCATCACAACTACAGTCCAAGATAAATGCATGAACTTTCATAATGATGGCACCACTGAAAGTCCACAATATTATTATGATTTAATTGTGACAACTTTTTTTTGTAAAACAAGGCAACATACTTACTGGTTTCAACTTGTCTAGGAGTGGCATTCCTTTGCTCTGTACTGCATGAAACTGTAACTGGTTGAATTCTGTGGCAATTCTTTCTAAAATCTGTCCGGTCAGAAGTGGACTTGCAAAGGAATTGGCACACATCAGGATACGATTTTGATAAAACAATGGCAGTAGATAATCATAATCCCTCTCCCCCCCTTCACACAAACACACAGTCTCTTCCTATATATGTATGCGTGTATATATACACAAGTTCATGTGATTTCCTCCCAGCTCCCAACAATCCCTTTGCATTTAGTGTGACCAAGAAGATCCCACAACAGGGCTATGCAGTTAGGAACAGGCTTGACTCTTAATGGCGGAAGCTTTCAGACAATACCTCCAACACAATAGAGGCCACATGGGATAATGCAACATGTCTACTCAAACCAGCTTCAAAGCAACTGAAAAATGCCAGAACATAGGAAGCTGTGCCAGGCCCTGTCTCCTCTGTCAATTCCAAGGAGTGTCAGAATCCCAGGTGGATCTCCTATCTTCAGAGACCAGCTAGTGAACCCTTGCAAAGCCTAGAGATATGCTAGGAGATTTGTGAAAACAGGCAAGACAAATGGGCATTTGCATTTTAAAAAGATGTACTGAATGCAAAGACCAAGAAGATTTCAGAGGCTATGAAAATGTCCCAGTGTTATGTCTTCATATGTGATATTTTTCTTATGGTGGTATCACAACACGTAAGTACAGTGCATGCTCTGTTTATCATACATGAAGAATGCATACATGACTGTTTCACTAAGCAAGGGATCAATCATAGGTTTCTATCACATATACAGTTCATGAAACAGGCACTGTGTCTTGCACAGGTTTGTGTGAACACACCTTCCATACATAGAAGCAAGATTTAAGCAGGGAAAACATGACCATAGCTCCCTTTTGTTGCTGGCACAAGATAAACAACAACAACCATAGAGCCATAGGGAAAATCTACAACTAATTTACTCCAGAACAGCCCTATGAAAGTCAACAGACTGCTCCACAAAAGGGTACACAGGTGGCAGGACAGGTGCTCTGCTAACTGTAAAATAGCATTTGCTATTTTGGCATGTTATTGTGACAGAAGCAATTGGTGTATCACGAACTAACTTCTTTAAATAGTTGCTTCCTCCCACTTTGGAGTTTCAAGATGCTGGTATATAGATTTCAAAGACAGACAGAACTAAGCAAAAGCACCTTGCTGATCCCATACCTGCTTCCTTCTAGTGATGACATTTCTTTAGAATTTTGGGAGTGCAGAATTTTCTCAATTTTCTCAACTGCTTTAATAACTTGAATAAGTCTCAGGACACACATCTGGTTGGTGGGGGGGAGAGAAAGAAAAGAAAAACTTCTCATATTGAATCTGAGATATTTTCTTCCCAACAAATTTGCAGGTATTTTGGGGAAATGATTTGACTCAATAGGTAAGGAGCTGGAAGTAATAAACCTATTACAATGTGATCTCTGAAGTCCACCACTATGCCAAAGGGACCCCCACCTCTCCACTGCTGAGGTTAATAACTGTATGGAGCTCCCATGTAAACCTGGTTCTTCTTGGCATAAGGAGGGGAGGTGTGTTGTGTCAGAACTGCAACACGTATTAAAGACAGTGCCTTCTGTTACCACATTCAAAGAAATGCATAAGAAAAAACAAGGAACCCAAAAACTCCCTATGATGGCTTTTGTCCATGTTTACCGTCATTTAAATGCATACTGTTCAGTGCAAGTGGGAAACAGTTTAAACAGTGGAATCCTACACATGGCTGTTCAGAATTAAGTTCCACTGAGTTCAATGGGACTCACTCCCAGGTAGGTGTGTATAGGACTGCAGTTGGCAGAGCAATTCAAAAGAGGAAGGGAGAAAGAATCAAAGGCAGAGAAACTACGAAATCCAAAGCTCTGTCAGGCTCATGTAGAGAGGGTAAACTTGTTTTTCCTCCCTTGCCATTAGCTCTGAGGTCCTGTCCATTAGTTTCCCTCCCATAGGTTTCTGTGCTTCCTGCTCTTGGTCTTGTGCAGTTTTCTCCTTAGCTTGGTAACGTACTAGAGGCATGAGAGCACTTTAGATTCAAGGCCTCCTTCAATTCATCCTGCACACCTCTTTTTTCTCACTTGCATTTGAGCACTGACAGGACAGGGAGGTTGTCCACAAAGGTTCTTACAGCCACAACAAGGTAGCCTCCAATGAAGGATCTCCCTTTCTACAGCCAAAGGGAAAAGTGTATTCTATCCTATAATTCCTAGAACACTCTTCAAAAGGACATAGGTCATGCCTTGAGAAAGTGTGTTAGAAAAAGTAAGGCTCTGATCTTCTAGTAAGGCAAATCTGCATCTACTAGTTCCTTTTCATTTTGCCATGTCAGAAGATTGCATGAGGTGCTCTCAAACTAATAATTAAATTTCCATATTGTGGTATATATGTTCATTTTGCCCTTTTGCCATAAAAATGCAATAAATGGATCTGCCTGTTGTACCTTTTTTGCCCTGATATCTTCTTGTTTAGACACACGTTCATCAATTGCTCGAATTCCTTCACTGACACATGACTTAAGACTCTGGAAAGAAAAAACATACACACACACTCTCCTTATTTCCTCCAATTAAAACAAGCAGTTCTGTGCACATATGAGTTAACATCTCTCACACGGATTAATCACGTCTTTTGTGCCTTTCTAAAATGCATAAGTTATGAACGAGGCCAAAATATTTATTCAAAGCCAAATCTCAGGTGCTGGACACCTCCTATTATGTGCTCAGCTGGAGCTCCTTTCCCTGGAGAAATATCACTCATTCCAGGCTGTGCTATAGTGATTGCAAACCCGTCTATCTTTTGCAACAAGACTTTTCTTTGCTGAGCTACATTTGAAAAGTAAGATGGACATGATTGCAGGGCTTGTTGGCCATAGGCAATTTCCAATTGAGCATGATCAGGGACACATTGCAATCCAACTGGCACCATCCCACTGTTGATATAACTTCTGTTTGTTTCTGAGAATTCCTAAGGTCCCTTTCCAATATTATCTTAGCAGCATGGGAGCCAACACTGTATTTTTCCAGTGCTACTTCAGTAAAATAGGACGTCTGAGGTAACAGGCAACGCAATGCTGTTCATCTTGGAAGCTTAGTCAATAGTGACGTAGTCTCCCATGTACCTGGGGCTTTCATCATTCCCATGTCAGAATAAGAAGGAAACATCCTTCCCTGATCTAAGGTAAAGTGTACCTTACAAGTTCTGGATGGCAGCTCCCCTACTGCTTTCTGTGTGGGAGGATCATTTCTGAAGAACATAACCCTTTACAAATTTCATTTTCAGAGCCTTATTAGATTTCAGTAGAGCCACTTACAATCATGAGTTTCCAGGCAGTGACAAGACAAAAGGAGTGTAGCTCCTGGTTCATTAGGTAGATTAGTAATGAAACAGTTATGGAGAGTGAGGAGTGGTGGTAAAAGAGCTCAGGGAAATTAAATACAGTGGTGCCTCGCAAGACGAAATTAATTCGTTCCGCAAGTCTCTTCGTCTTGCGAGTTTTTCGTCTTGCGATGCACGGTTTCCCATAGGAATGCATTGAAAATCAATTAATGCGTTCCTAGGAAACCGCCTTCAGACCAGGTCCGGGGACAGTCTGTCACCGGACCTCTTCTGAAGGCTGGGGGGGGCAAGGGCTTTTCTTCCCACCCCCAGCATTTTAAAAAACCCCGGGACAGCGGAGGACTTCTCCACTGTCCGGGCGATCTTAAAATGCTGGCGGGCGGCATTTAAAATCACCCGGGACAGCGGAGGACTTCTCCGCTGTCCGGGGCAACTTAAAGCCCCTGGGAAGGCAGGCAGGGGGACAAAGACTTTGCCCCCGCCAGCCTTCAGAAGAGGTCCTGGACCTCTTCTGAAGGCGGGCGGGGCGAAAGTCTTTGCTCCCCGCCTTCAAAAGCCCTCCGGGACAGGCAGGCAGGGGGAGCAAAGACTTTCGCCCCCGCCCGCCTTCAGAAGGTCTTCCCTCCCCCCGCCCGGCTCGGAGCACCGTTCCGAAGCCGGGCGGCGGCGGAGGTCTTCCCTCCCCCGCCCGGCCGGAGCACCGTTCCGAGCCGGGCGGCGGCGGGAGGTGTTCCCTCCCCCGCCCGGCCGGAGCACCGTTCCGAGCCGGGCGGCGGCGGAGGTGTTCCCTCCCCGCCCGGCCCGGAGCACCGTTCCGAAGCCGGGCGGCGGGGAGGTCTTCCTCCCCACCGCCCGGCTCGGAGCACCGTTCCGAGCCGGGCGGCGGCGGGAGGTCTTCCCTCCCCCGCCCGGCCCGGAGCACCGTTCCGAGCCGGGCGGCGGCGGCAGGTGTTCCCTCCCCCGCCCGGCCGGAGCACCGTTCCGAGCCGGGCGGCGGCGGCAGGTGTTCCCTCCCCCCGCCCGGCTCGGAGGAGCCTTCCGAGCCCGGCGGCGGCGGGAGGAGGTGTCCCCGCCCCGCCGCCAGGCTTCGGAGGAGGTCCGAGGACAGTGGGGAAGGCGCGCTGCGCTTCCCCGCTGTCCCTGAGATTTCCCTATGGGCTGTCGTCTTGCGAAGCAAGCCCATAGGGAAATTCGTTTTGCGAAGCGCCTCCAAAACGGAAAACCCTTTCGTCTAGCGGGTTTTCCGTCTTGCGAGGCGTTCGTCTTGCGGGGTACCACTGTATGAGGAAATTCAGCCCAAACAGAAGCAACACTTTAGGTCTTGCTTTCAATTTAATCTAACTGCCATCCTGTAGAAAAAGAAATGTCTCAATATCTAGAAATTATTCTAGTTATCTTTTCAATCAATTGGTTCAGAGACATTCCATCCCACTTCTATTATTTCAGTTCATGAGATCACCTAGCTAATCTTGCATGTGTTGCTGGTTATTAATATTATTTCCTATTTTAATACCATCTGCATATTTAATCAACACAGCCCTACTTTCCTTTCCAACACATAATACATTAACTTTTAGGGAAAAAAGAGGTGAATGAAATAAATAATTTATTTTTTAGAAACAAGTATTTGCTTGTTTGGCTAAATATACTTTATGCATAGTAAAGGTAAAGGGACCCCTGACCGTTAAGTCCAGTCGCGTACGACTCTGGGGTTGTGGCGCTCATCTCGCTTTACTGGCCAAGGGAGCACAGACAGCTTCCGGGTCATGTGGCCAGAATGACTAAGCTGCTTCTGGTGAACCAGAGAAGTACATGGAAATGCCATTTACTTTATGCATAGGTTAACATAACCTGTGGTGTTCTTGTCTCTGTTCTTACCACACAGTTAGGGCTCCTAAAATGGTTTCTAAATGTTCTGACAAAATGTATTTTGCTGCTTCATGAAATCCCCTATGTCAGCCCCATACAGAATTTATTTGGTTTCTCAATATTTTCAAAATCAGACAAATGATATGAGAACTTATTTCAGAACATACCATAACTTCCTCTCGCAGTTGTCCTAAAGGCACTGAAAGCTGATTAAGGGCTTTGTCCATGCCAACCTAAATAAATTGTCCAAACATATTACATATTACGATTAATGAGCAGTTGAAACTGTGCATGTGTATATTTTGTAACAAATTACATTTCTATTGAAAACAAATGTAAAAAATGTTTACAACCAGTACTTCAGAAGACATCCCAACTAGCAAGTAATCCTGACTATTATATTTTCCTAATGGCTGGCTGTCATTGGTACAACAGAAATGGCACTTGTACATTGCTAACTTGTAACCTCTGGCAAGCTGGCTCCAATCCTGAACAGAATTATCTGTGAATGACTGCTGAAATCAAAACAACATAAACTGGACAAAAATGGAAGACTGTGTGTCCACATACTCTATATGTGCAGAGCGTTCAATAGGTACCTTATCTTTAGCGCCGTTATCAGCACCCCATGCCAACTAAGAAGACAGAACAAGGATCTGGACCAAAGGGACCCATTTCAAATCTACACTCAGCCAGGAAACTCATTTAGTGGTATGGAACAAGTCATCCTAATGCACATTAAAAGACTTTTAAAGAATTGCATATTCTATCTATTTTCAAAAGTATCAAATGCTATAAAAAACAAAATCTTATCTATCCATTCATTCTCCTTGAAGGAAAAGTGGGATGCAAATATGATGTGAGAAAGAGCTTTTAATATATATTTTTTACCTCTGGACTATTTAACCTCTCTTTTCTAGCATGCATCAATTCACAGCACTTGCACACACTTTTTCATATTACAGCTAAGAGATTTTAAAAGGTGTTTTTTATTTACCAGTTGTCTTCCTTCTGTATATTGAAGTATCCTATGACATCCTGCACACCCACCTCAAACAGCCTATTCACATACCAAACCCTTGCCTAGAAGCTTCCAATACCTCCTTAAAATGTAAGGCCCTTCAAATGTTGCTGGACTACAACTCCCATCATCACTGACCATTGGCATGGTGATTGGGGCTGACAGGAGATGCAATCCAGCAACGTATGTAGAGCCACAGGACCCTGCTTTTGGAAGTATGTTGAATATTAGCATCTTCAAATATATATTATTAGTATACATAAACACTAAGATTAGTACATATAAAACATCCAATTTGAAACTTACTAGATTGGTGGAAAGATTAACAAAGTCTGCATAATCCTTGTTTATGAGCTCTATCATGGCAGTTTTAAGAAGTTTGTAGTAGAGCTCAAGATCATCCCGAAGCTCTTCCAACTGAACACGTTTCCTGCACTCCGACACAAAGTGATCGACATCAAAATCCGGCTATATATGAAATAGGTAAATAATAATAATCATGATTTAAGAAATGGCTCATAACAGAAAATGCAATTCCTTGTAAAAGCAGTTTGTATTTATCTAACTTCCAAGCATGCTTGAAGTGAAGGGATAAAAATGAGGACCATTAACTAGGAAAAGTTTTTGTTCTAAATGAAACACTAAAATATAAGATGTATAAACACAGTCTTATTGGTTTGTTAAAGTGCTTTCTGTCTGTAAAGCCTAACTAATTGGTACTATTCAAAATAATATTAATAATGATGGTAATAATAATAGTAGTAATTTATTACTTCTACCACCCATCTGACTGGGTTGCCCCAGCCACTCTGGGCATCTTATAATAGAGTATAAAAGAACACATGATACATCAGACATTTAAAGCTTCCTGATACAACGCTGCCTTCAGATGTCTATGGAAGGTCATGTAATTGTTTATCTCTTTGACATCTGATGGGAGGGCGATCCACAGGGTGGGCACCACTACCGAAAAGGCCTTCTGCCTGCTTAATAATAATAATGGGTCGGACAGCATAAGACCATAAGAAGAGCCCTCATGAATTAGACCAAAGGCCCATCTAGTCCAACATCCTGTTCACACTGTGCCCAACAAGATCCCTATGGGAAACCTAAAAGTAGGACATGAGTGCAACAACAAAGAATGTTTTCAAGTTGTATAATTGCTTACATCCAGGAATCCCCTTTTATTTTATTTTTTTAGATATTCGGAACAGCAGTTTTTCAAGGAGACAGCTATGTGTCTAGAATTAGAATCACTGAATTGTAGAGTTGGGAGGGACCTTGGATCATTCAACCCAAATTCCTGCAATGCAGGAATAGGCAGCTATTGAACCCATAATCTTATCAGCACCATGCTCTAACCAATGGAGCAGCACATTCTGAAAGAGCCAGTCTACATGTATGATGGGCAGTATGACAGGTGAAATAGGAAGAGCTGTCTGGCAGGCCGCAACACAGGGATGCCTCACAGGATCAGAGGACCCAAATCCAACACGGGCGTGAGTTCTCCACAGGAAACGTCCTGGCTGAGGCATCTAGATTTTAAACAGGTTCAGACTGAAAAATGTGTGCGTGCAACATACCCGAAACGTAAAAAACCTACACAAGATACATGCCATGCACAGGCAGCATGGACTTCCTTGTGGGAATTGAATAATGTGCGAACGGGGCCAGCAATAGGAAGTCCAAATATTCATCTATTAAAAAGAGGTGCATATACCCCTATCTCCCCCACATGGAGAAAAACAACCTATAAATCATCTCTGACAACCCTACTAGGAGAAAAATGAGCTACTTTGAAGGGCTTTCCGAGTTGGGGGGGGCAGGACTAGAGCTTCCCTGGGGTGGCGAGGCCTGCGAGTCACTCCAGCCCAGCCAGGGTCTCCTACAGACACGCATCTCCCCCTAGCATCTCCCCCCACCTCCCAAGTCGCCCCTCCTCTCCCTTCAGCCCCGGCTTCGGCCCAGCCAGGCGCCCTCCTGCCCAGGGGCCTCCGCCTCCTCACTCACCTTCATAAACTCGTCCTTGTCGAAGCACAGGTTTTCGGGTCCCCGGGGTAGGTTCATATTCCACGTCTCCATGGCTGGCTGGGCTCCGCTCCCTCTCGGCGACCCGGGGCCGCCACGTCTCTTTCCCGGATCTCCGCTCGGCTTCGGCTTCGCAGTCGACACAAAATGTACGCGCGCGCGCCACACTTCCGCCAGCACCGCGGCGCCGAGACCGGGCACCGCCGGCCGCCTCCTGCGCTCGGGAGGGCGGCCTCCAGCGGCCTCCGGCCTCACTGCAGGCGAGCACGAGGCCTCCGGGGCGGGGGGTCCCGTCTTCTGATTCTCGCCCTGGGAAGTGAATACCGGGAGGAAAAGGGTCTGACCTCGGCCCCTGAATTTATTTTCCAGGCCCGAGGTCGACGCCAACCTATGTGGAAGGGGAGTCTTGCAAGAACTTCGGGGCCGCATGGCTGCAGACTAGGGTGGGAAAGCAGGCGGGGCAGGTGCTGCGCAGGGAGACTTTCCTGCTTCAAAGTTTCCTTACGCGAAGCCACTTGCTTTAGTATACAAAAATACGGCAAGGATTAAAAATTAAGCATGGCTATGGGTGTCCGGAACGTCCTAAACTAGGGAAACAGGCCTCCGCCGCCAGGGAATATGACAAAAAGAATATAGAGAACCATGAACGTAGCCAGGATTTTTGTTAGGGGCCCCCCAAAAAAGTTTTTGGGAGATCGTGAGTAAAAATCACCACCTCAAAAGGGGCAGGCTTTTGTGGGGAGGGGGGAGCAAAACCTCAATTAATTGAGGAATGCTTTTGAATAATTTTTGGCTACACACATGCAGGGTACCATGTTTGTAAAAGTTTGCAGATTTTGGATATGTGTGTGTGGTAGTGTTGAGTTGTTTTAATAAGGAACACGACAGAGATCGGATTACTGCTTCACAATGTAAATCTAGTACAGCCCTAAATTCCATAGGGTTATAAATGGAGGGACAAGCAATTAAAAGTACTGTCATCATTATCATTGCTGCTAGAAGTGGGGTGGGTGGGGATTTATAGCGAGCATCTTTGTAGATGGATTTCTGCTGGGCTTGTGAAGAGATGCTGCCTGAAAGAACACGTAGGATCAAAGTAGGCCAGGTAAGGTTACGCCATTCAGGTAGCAGATTGTGGCATGCTAATTAAAAGGCAGATATATTTTCATGACCATGGGAAGTGTGTTGCTCTGATCCTCTCTCCAGCTTCCTGCTTTGCTTCTAGCTCACATTACCAAAAACTCTGCCCTCAACTCTGCCTCTGTCTTTTTAACTATTCCACCCATTTGCCACCTTGCACAGAGCCCCTTTCCTTTGTTTCCCTTAATGGCCCATCACCCAGGCAATCGCCCCAAAGCAGGAAGCTAGCCTGGCTTATATTTTAACACTTGCTGGGATTAGAAGGGTCTTGTCGTACAGCCTACAAGCATGTCCCCCAAATTCATAACAGTATCACTTGGAACTCTGACTGAAGTCCAGAGGAAGCAGGAAACATACTGAACACTGTATGGCTTGCTATTGTGTAAAGATTCATAGAATCACACTGTCTGTGATGTACCGAGTAAAGGTACACACAATACCTTTAAAGCACATTTGAAGCGCATTCTTTCCCTCTGGACAGTGTGCTATTTACTGGCATTGCTTGTTTCCATCTAAACATAGTTTGTAGTACATAGTCAAAGATGCTCCCCAGCCAAAGGAATGCACACGGCAGATAACTCTTTATTGTCAAAGACAGCACAGTAGTTTCTATGGCTCCGAATACCCATGCACACCAGTCTAGCACCTAGGCAGCTGCTCCCAGATCCACACTCTAAGGAGTAGTAACAGGGAGCCACTCCTCCACCAGTTTATGTACCTCCCCACAAGAGGCTGCACTCATAGCTGGAGACTACGTCTGCATGGAAGCTTTCTCTGCTCATCCCTCTTCAATCCCCTCCTGGTTCTGGGAAACAGTTGTGCAGGAGAGGCTGGGGAAGCACCCAGCTCCTTCACTTGCCTGACCTCCTCTTCCTCCTCTTCTTCCAGCCCATCCTGTGCTCCACCCTCCAGCTCTGTAGCTTCCCCTGCCTCTGGTTCTTGCCTCCTGGCCGGTACAGTTCCCACAAATCACTGCCCCCCTCTCCTGAGTCAGACTCCAGCCCCCTTCCCCCAGTGCACACTTGTCAGCATCCTACCAGTCCCTGACATACATCCAAATTGGACAAACTGACCTCCAAATCAGGATTTAAGACCGTGGCTTGGAGATTAGAGCTAACCAACTGCCTGATTCAAACATCACGGCAAACTATGGTTAAATCAACCAGAAAATGGAGGAGACAATCAGTGTGCAAGAGTGGAGAAGATGATGTGAGTCTCTGGCACATTCCCATGGTTTTCAAGGGCTATCAGAACTGAGTCAAGCAAATAAAATTGGAGGATGGAGATAAAGTAACATGCTAGTAGTTTATGGTTGGATTAAATTTTCCCCAAAAGTTGAAGGTTGCCAACCATGAGGAATTGCCCCAGGTACTCTGTCTCCTAGTTCTGTGTTGTCACAATTAATGTACTTTCAGCCACATTTGTTGTGTCGCAGGAAGGTTGGCAGATGGGATATCCAATCTGTATCTACCTAATCTATGTCCATTCTTTTATGCCCTCTTGTTACTTGGTGTGTTTGCATCTAGTCCCACACAATGAATTAGATACTTCTTTCACTAATTTTATACTCTGGACTGATAATTTTTTCCAATCACATTTTATTTCTGATTTTCCATTACAGGCAAGTCCTGTATGCCCTGAGCATTACAGTTGTTTATTCTGTCTTCTGCTGGCTCAGCTGCACTCTGTGGAGAGATCTCTTTCACACAGTCCCTTCAAACTGTGGGAAAATTGTGTTTTTAATTACCTCTTAGGGGACCTTCCAAGTACTTAATCTGCAGTCCTTGGTTGACACTGGATTAATAGATACCTGTCCTTCTGCAAGCCCTTGGGAAGGCCACAGGTGGAAGATCTGAAAGTCATTAGAAATGATTTTCTGGTTGCGGAACCATTACCAAATTAGTGTGAAAATGAGGAGAGATTGATAAACAATCTGAAGAATACTAGTTTTTAAAGACCAGAATTGGTCTTAGAACAACCTCCATGTGATAAAGTTGCCCTTCTCTTGAAGGCTCCCTGAGACTAATTCCCTATCTTGGAAAAGCTCTGAGTCCAAAGACATTAGTTAAATAAGACTGCAAATAACTATCTTTTGCCTCTGGCCTCACAAAGTTTCCCCTGACATATTTTTCATAATTGTTATGGTTCAAAATATTTTGAGACTGATTTCCCTTCTATCCATTATTTTCAGGTGTACTGCCAGTTACCTACAAAACAGGTAAATAGTTGAAATGCTGTTTCCGAAATGTAGGACATCTTGGTCAAAAATAGTTTTAATTGAAATCCCAGATTTTGACTTGATTTTCAACAGTTGCAAATCTTTTATCTCACTTTTATTCCTTTCTTACTTATAGGTAGGTATCCTGCTCACTCCTATGTAGTTTTCAGGTTCAAATTCAGAACATACTGAAAAGCCTTGTCATTAAATTTATTGCTTTCTGTACCGTAAGAATTTACTGGATAGCTAGCTACCATTACATGGCAGTAATTCACATTAATTTCAGTGACATTGCTTTTCAATGGAAATTGAGACCAGCATTCTTACTTGTCATTAAGTACCGGTATGTCTGGCCCACTTATTTATTTATGAAAGTATGTGTATGCCACTTTTGGTGTTAGGATGATGCACATGTCTCTAGTGGTCATCAGCCAAAGCAAATTGACTGGAGATCTCATGAGCGAGGCTTCCAAAACACATCTCAGTGTCCAGACAACCAGGCTCATATATATGCAGGTGGTGTTTCAAATAACTCAGTCCCAAAATTTAGAACTTTAATGATTAAATTGGTGCAGAATGCCCCAATAACAGATGACCAGAAACATTATGTACCAGTTTCCAAACTGTCTTCAAAGGTAGCCCTACAAAACAGCATTTTACTAGTTTCACCTGGATCTGACTTGGGCATGGATTACTGAGGTCTGACCTCTCTAAATAAGCACACAGCCAGCACGCACATACACACATACCCTGCAAACCCCATAGTATCAAATTTAAATTCATAGAAAGGTGGAAGAGATTTAGGGTTATCTGTAACACCTGCCCCCAAAGTGGAAACATCAGGAACAAATATATTTGAATCCAGGTGACAACTGGATTTAATTGAATTATTTTGGAAACAATGGGATGGAAAACATCACTTTCAACCAATTGGATCAGGGCATTTTGCTAGTGTTATCTTTAAACTGGGATAGCCCATGGAGTTTTTGTCAAGAATAGACTCTTCTCACTGATAAAGTAATGGGAGAAAAAGAGTGGGTTGTAGTCAACTAAGTCAGAGTAGTCAGAGTAGATCCATTGAAATGAATGAATGAATGAATGAATCCTAACTTTAGTGAGTCTACTCTGAGTACGACTAGCATTGAGCACTACCTAATGCCTTTATAACAAATCAGTTTTGCTGGTATCTTTGTTGGTAAGAAAGGAACAGAGGCAGCAATATGATACCTGCAGCTACATTTATTGCAACTACACTGTCACAATCGGATCATGCAAAAGTAGGTCAGATCCGTAAGGCAAAATGAGCTCGGGTTTCTGACGAAATTCAGCTGGGCTGATTAGATAAATGAATATAAACTTGCATCTGTGCACAAAGCCAGATGTCTAGTAAACACTAGTGCCTAAATTGAGTTGGTGATTGTCCTTTGGCTTGCTGAAGAGGGCAGTAAGAAGATTTTTCTCCTCTTATGTGTGCTGCTTTTTTTTTTTTTAAAGGATTTGGCTGCTGCCTACTTACATTACTCCCCACCTTACTGCATAGTTGTATATTTCATATGGCAGTTAGCGAGAACATCATTGAGATAAAGGAGAATGTTAAAGAACAACTTCACACAAAGTCTACAAAGCTTGTGGTTTTAGGTACCTGGTCTGCCGAGCGCTGCTTGCACAAGCACAAAAACTTGCTTAACATTCTAAGCCATACTGGCGTTGGTGCCCAATCTTGGGTTTTAAAAATGTGTGTGTTATGTTTGATTTCCTATACAGCTCAGTCTTGTGAGCTGGAGAAACTGATATATTAAGCCAGACAAGCTGCTTTACCACCATCCGTCATAGTAG